CACGATACGATACAATGTGCGATAAAAAGCTCACAATAACAATTGTCTCACGATATGATGATGCAGCGATTATCGATATATCGGTCAGAAATATACCTCTGATAATATTGTTCTTATATTTATGGCATAAATTAAATGAACACTTTATTTCAAGATGAATGGATAAAGTGTCATGTGCAACATTAAAGTGAACAAACAAAAATGCCTTTTAACCTGCACATTTTAGTAAACATCTACATCCAATAAAATCAATATGAACATTCTACAGAAATTGTTGAATGCGTAATGTAGCCAGATATGAAGTATCAATACTTGTTTTTTTACAAATAAAGCTTAAAAAAAAACGTATTGAAATTTTTTTCAAATAAACATTTATTTATACTGTAATATATTTATAGGCATATCGATAATCAATTGCGTGAAAAAGTATCACGATACATCACCATATCAATATATTGTCACACTCCTAGTTTTAAAGCACTCCCTGTCTTGTTGCACCCCCTCAGTGATTCTGTCTTTGCCAAATGTGACATGTACATTTCTCCATTATAAGATCAATAAAGTTTATCTTATCTTATCTGTTAACATTTGAATATTATACAGTATAATACTGATTAAACCACGACATAGAAAAGTGTGTTGTACGGTGAGTGTGCTCCATCAGCTTGTTGTGTCCACCAACTTTAGTTGTTCTATGTCCTGTGAGCAGTGGCTTGTCCCTGTGCTCACCTCTGCCTGCCCCTTCTGCCCCCTCTGCCCTGATTGGCTCAATCCTCAGTGGTTCTCTGGCTGTGTGCCAGCTGTGCCCCCTGATCAGAAGAGAATGTGACATTTGTGCAGAGGTAATGGAATCTCTGCGCAATTAAATGTGTTTCTGCAAAGACGAGTCCTTCTCCCAGCGGCGAGGGGGGCATGAGCGGTGATGAAGCAGCCCAGCAGGCTCCTGGCTCTGAATAAAATCTCAGTGTCAGGTCCTGTTTTTATTTTTCTTATTTTTTACAATAGGATGACAATTTGGTGTGCTGTTGGTTATTTGCCATAAATAATCACAGACAATAAATTAATTTAGTCCAAAGATAAGGCCACAAATGAATAAAAAGCTGCAGGGTTGTCAATGTTTGAGTGTGACACTTAACCAACAAGCTGATTTGGGAAAAAAACCCAATGTGATTAGAGTAACTGTGGACACAATATGATTTAATGAAATCTATATTGGACAATAATAACATCTCCTATCTACTGACTACTGGGGGGGGGGGGCGACAGTTAGCGCAGTTGGGTAGATGCATTGGACTTAACGGCCAGAAGGTCGTGGGTTGCATTTCCCACTTCTACACCACCTTCTCCACCGAGACTCCCACTGTTATGACTGTTGTCGTTGGTGTCCTGGGCAAGGACACTTAACCCCCACTTTGCCCCCTAAGCCCCCCACTGATAAGAGATCAAGGGGGGGGGGGGGGGGACTTTGCTCTCACGCAGAGAGCAGCTCGGTCGCTCCGGTGGACTCACCACCTGCAGAAAAGGTCAAGTGAGGGGCTGGTGCTTATGAGCTCTTGGGGGGATGCTCATGAGTGCCACCCCCTGAGACCAGAATATGGATTGTGAACAGGGAAGGAAAAGGGATGGGATGGATGGAAACATTCCCATCTCTTCTAAAACTTGGAGTCACTATATCCACCCATTATACTGTTTCTGACAATAAAAAAAACAACACGTCCTGTATATTTCCCAGCACATCCTACAGTCTCTCTGCGGTTCACTCATTAACAACAATGGGAAGAAGCGAGGAACATGGTCATATGTTCATCAGCTTCTGGAGATCAAACAAGCTGATAGAGGAAGGGTTTTTGACACAGCTTGATGCCGCAAAATAAGCATATACACATTCAGTCTACATCACTATACAAGCTTCTACGGTTCATATATTTTAGAGCTAAGGCAGTAGCAGGCGATAGTCCGGAAAACTTACCGTAATACATGTTTGTTTTGGAGTTCCAACACAGGGAAGAGTTTACTGAAAAGAAAAAAGCCTGGTCTTCATCATATTAGAAATCAAGTTGATCTGTTTGCATGCCTTGAACGATAGAGCCCCTGTGAGTCACTAGATGATGCATTGTTTGGACTCTACTACATGGGTTCCATGGCTTTGTGGTGTTAAGAGTTAGGTACCCCAGTGCAAAAACTAAAATTATAAAAAGACTATTCCACATGTTATTGTCTCCTCTCGTATTGAACCCCACTTACCCTTATGTGTTTTCAAGAGACTTTATGGTTTCTTTGCCAATAACAACTAAAGACAACAGCCTGTACTGAGCCAACCTCCCACTCACATTTTCGAGATCCACCCGTAATGACGCAATGTTCGATAAAAAAACTACAAAAAATCTGTATTTACATTGATTATCAGTCATAATGATTACTGTCTGTACATTTTGAAGTATATTGGTAACAGAATGTGTAAACAGCTATGCATTCACTCCTGCTTTTTGGTGTTTCACCATTTTTGCACCACACTGTGATTCCAGAAGCACAGACTGCGAAGGAGACAGAAAGAGGCCTTTGACTCCAATAGTGTAATATAATGTTCATTCAAAAAAGGCGAATTAGATCTGTCTGGACAGATAGTATGCGGAAAAATTGTTTTAATTGTTACAATTTTATCACTGGGGTGCAAACCACCTGTGCGGAAAAAAAAAAAACGCTGTGTATGTCGGTTGAACGGCCGACCAAGGGAAGCACATTTGGCCTTGTATGTGCGTATTTAGTCGTGGACGCAGTGAGAAAGAAACAAGAATTGGGGGTCCGGAGGATATAAAGCATAAACACCAGGAGTGAGCTGCGGGCAGGTCACAGGCGGGGAGTGCACACAGTCTCTGCCCTGTTGGAGCCATGTGTGCACCCACTCGTGGGGCCGACGACCAGCACTTTTCATCATACGAATTAACAGCTTTCTTCATGCTTTCCTTTTGACTTCTGCCTGGCATCAATGTGACTGAGATTGTGCAGGCCAACGAGTCAGCAAAATATACATTTGCTGTCATTTTGACACAACTTGGCCTTGTGATTTTGATATTCTCTTTGTAGTGTTGTCAAAGTCTCAAATAAGTATACAAGTATGGTTAAGTACTAAAGTACGTATCAAAACGGGTGATCTTTTTTGCAGCAAGTATGATATACTAAAAATAATGTGGCATAAGACAAATGTTCAGCTAACTGGGGGTGAGATAAACTTATGGCACCATATAAAACGTTACTTAATTGGCCAAAAGACCCATTGATAATGTATTGGTTGTATGTGTATCAAATTTGGTTTTGATAATATTGTCTTAGGAATGGTGTGTTTGTTTCGCTTTCTCGCATCATAACTTTCTTCTATCAAAATTAATGAACGGATGTGTTTATCCGATGATTGAAAAATGAAAACACCGTGCTACAACCATTATGTCAATTGCACATGTAGAAATATCTAACGTCACAAATGAGGAGAAGAAGATAAGAACTATCACCACTATCTCTTCTTTTCTGAGACTGCCGTTTGAAGAAGCGTACTTACACTTTCCTCATATACCACTAGTTCTAAAGCCTACAAGTACAAATATTCTCACCCTCGTAACTAAACACTGAAAAACAATTCAATTAAGTGCATTTGTTAATATAATCTTTTCTTCAACAATATTCTTATCGTTTGACCAGTGAGGTGCTATCCTGGGTGTAACCACACCATAGTACAATTGACAGGTCGTACTAAGGTCTGGAGGTGACTCCATTGTGCTCTGTTTACAGTTGGGAGGCGTTAAGCCTTTTGCGATTTGAAACGATGGCGATCTTGATAGTTACCGTGCCTAGGGACGTTATGTAGTCGCGCCGTGTCGTTGTTAGCATTGTAGCTAGCCAATTCCACTTTGCGCTAACGGGAGCCCTGTGGGGAGTAGCGCCACAATTTATATTCTAGCGAGTGATTACAGTTGCTATACATGTCTCTTGCTTCGGCTTCATAGTTCTTGTAGAATCCATACCGGATGGCTTTACTATCGCCATTTTTTGCTTTTGACAAACTACAACAGCCCGTTTGGTGCAAACTCTTGACTGCACTCACATCTAATACAACACCCGCCTTCCGCGCTCGGCTGAGTGTCCTGGGGCGAAAATTTAGGACCGATTGTACATCGCAAAACACAGGGACCAGACGCAGACGTTTTTAACATGCGCAAAATAAGTGAAACGGATGATTGAGCGGATGTGTGTGACGGATGGCTAACGGCCCAGGTAGAGTGTGTGCGGCTATGAAAGGATTGGAATGAGAAAATATTACTTCTGCCTAACAAAAGCAATCACAAACTTTATTAAACACATCTTCAGAATTTACTTACATGATAGAGATTAAAAAGATACGAAAGAACTTCAATATTGTATATTTCATTTTATAATTGTGAACCAACTAATAATTACATTTTTCATGCCATTCCATTTAATCGTACACTCATTATAAGCAAAGTCATCAGTTAAATTTAAAACATGTTCTGTTTGTGATAATTGACAAACAATAGAACTGCATTTTTTATCCTAAAGCCAAGACATGTGTGAGTTTGAATTATTGACCTATTGAAAATGCAGACCCGGCAGGGGTTTTCAGGACTGAGTGGCCATTTCCAGAGCTCACCAAATACCGTATGCGCTGCAGTCAGTAGCGCAATGCACCGCTCTAAGTGAATCAGAAGGATCAGTGCAGAATTTCTGTTTATTCATACCCTGAGGAGTATTTCTTTCAAAAGATATGTAAGAGAGAAGATGAAAGAACTGGTCACACCGAGCTATTGTAAATATTTATTCATATACTTAAATAGAGCCAGTCATTTGGATTATCCTCTGAGGCTCATTTATATCTGCTGTCATTACCAGCATGTGAGTAGGGTTTAATTCGGGATTACGGGATTCCCGGCAATCTGATGTAAAAACTATTTCCGCATTCCCGGGCAATGTTTTGCCCCCCCCTTTATTAATTATAATATCCCCCCCCCCCCCCCCCCCCCCCCCCCCCCCCCCGCCCCCCCCCCCCCCCCCCCCCCCCCCCCCCCCCCCCCCCCCCCCCCCCCCCCCCCGCCCACAATCCCCACCCCCCCCCCCCCACTTTCTTATGACTCGGAAACGGGAAATGAAAGTAAAAAAAAAATAAAAATACAGTGCGCTGCCTCATTATAAAGCACAGTTTATTGTTGTTCAAAGTTCAAAACAGTTTCAGGTCAATGAAACATGTCAACAGCTGTGAGGATGCTCCTAAATTTGTTCTTTGACAACAAATTTGGGTCGTACGCGCTAAATCCACGACTGGTATGAGGCCAGGCGCAGGGTTACGGGGGCGCCAAGTTGAGCCCAGAATTTGGTTAGTCATTTCTTTCAGAAAGTCTCTGTCTTTTTTCTCCATCTGCTAATGGGCTACAACAGGTTGGCTAATCTTACATATAACACATTTTTAAAATCATATAAAATGCATTTAGGGGATTGTTCTGCATTACAATGACGATAGGAATGATAAGGAAGAGTGGGAGATGGTAAGATGGTTGATATTAGAAATTGGATGCGCCCGTAGAGTCGGCTGCAGCGAAACACAGAGAAGTGGATGGAGGTGGCACCCGTTGTGTTGTTCGCTTTAATCTCTTTGGGCTGAGTTCCAATATGGGGGAGCTTACATATCTGCGCTCAAACTATTATCTGGACTTAAACAGGAACTGGTGATGAACTCGAAGTGTCTGTGCCAGTGAGCCGGCGCCAGGTTGCAATTGTGGGTAGGCCTGCAGATGTAAGTAGGCCAAATTCGCGACTGCAAAAACCTACAAGGGGTTAGCGGGAATGGTTGGTTTGTCAAAGAATATGGTTCAAACGCCACGGCTACTGCGACACACACAAGCGCCACCAAGCTAGCATCACATACACACAAGCTCATTTATGCAAACTTGCGCTTGTAGAAAAATGTGTACATTTGGGTGTGTAATGCCATGTACGCAAAATCCAACGTTGGGATTTTAGGCACGTGTGAGATCTAGCTTAGCTATGAGCGTATACGCAGCTGCGGGTGTTGATAAATCGGCTGTAATACGGAAGTAATTTATGAAAGTCACAGCCTTTAGAATTTATGGGTGCAGCAAATGTCGCGGATGACATGTAGCAGCACGAAAAAAGAATTAGGGAACTAAGAGGCATCCGAAAGTCTCAAACACCACTCCTAATAAGGACTGGTGGACACAGGGCGCTCAAAAAGGGGGGCACGGTTTGTTTGTTGATGGGTGATGTAAAAAATAAATATGACGCTATAGAGTCAGCACTGCGTTTTTGCACGAATATTGGGCGAAATATAGTTTTGATAGGGCATTAGAAAAAATGCTCTCGCTTGAATTGGTAGCAAGTGAATAAATCTAGATGATGGAAGAATGAAATGACATGACTGAATTCATAGTTTATTATGCAGCAGGTGGCGTCCTCGTGGATGTATTTATGTACGGGGTGGCGCTCATGAATGAAAGGTCTGCAGTGTCTTGGGGACCGCAGGCCTGGGCTACAGGGGTAGAAGCTGTGCGCAGGGCATTGAAGCGCTGTACACATTCAGAGAGCGTAGTTGCGGGTCGCAGATTTCACAAAGAAGGACTGAAGCGCAAAAACTTCCTGCAGCATGTGTGAGGAGTCTATGGGGCTGCGATATCGCACGGCACGCGCGTGCGCACGTTCGGGAGTCAGGGGGGCAAGTGAGAACAGTTTGGAGTCGGGCGCATACCCATGCGGTAGCGTTATGTGGGGGTGTGGTGGCAGTGATGAGGCTAACACCTCATATCATAATGAAGATAACACACATGGCTTAGTCCGAGAATGTGAGGGAATACAAATAGGGGTCCGTGGTCGTCCACCGCTGTAATTACGCAGTTGCAGTAGGTCCTGGTCACAGGCAACAGCTGGGTCCACCAGCATATCCGACCTGGTTGCCGGTAATAGTGTAATTACTGTATATAGAAGAGCGCTTGGTCCACAGTTGTCAGCGACGAGTTCACAACCGCATTCACACGTTTACAATAACATATAGAGCGAGGATCAAAATAAGTACCGACCACACCGAAGTCAAGATGTAATAGAGGGGTCTACGGATCATGGGAGTCTGTGATGTTATTCTGAAGTTAGGTTGGCATTTTTCATTTAGACATATTGTCCGAATGCGCTCAAATTCAACTTTTGAAACTTGATGCGTGACCTATGAAAAACACATTTTTAATTGTGCAGTGGAAGATGTTTTGATGTTGTCCATCTGAATTTCCATGCGTGTTTTGGCGTGTTGGCCGCAGTGGAGATCAGCGGATACGTTTACGCCACCCGCCAGATCCCTGCCGTATTATGTATTTTTTTGCGTATTGTACGCTCACGTCCAGATAGATAAATGCGGAAAAAGTGATTCCACCTGTTTTTCCACCCTGATTTGGTCGTACGCAAGTGTCAAACATGAGGCCTGTGTGTCTCAACACACAAAAGGCCGGGGTGTGGACCTCATCTGTGCGAGGTTGAATGTAACCTGGCCTGTACGGCGCTCTCCTCTTGGGACCGCGGGGGGCTCAGGGCCTCTGGCGCTCCTCTACCGCACGAAAGTTCACGCTGCACCTTTCTTAAAACTAAAAATGACTAAAAAGGCTCATGCATACTGTTGTGAATGTTTTGAGAGCGGTTGTCTAGTGTAATGAGAGGACCAGAAAAAAATCCGGGCGGCTTGTTCTCCGGGTAACGAGGCTGGTGTGTATATGATCATGCCTGATTTAGTGGACAAAATTATTCAGCCAAGAAACAGGACTATATTTGATGCAACTGTGACGTCAGGGGGTTACATTTCTCTGTAAAAACATTAGAACGAACATTTAGGCATTAATGTCGTGGTGTGTAAAAATAAAATATTTAAATTAGGACTTTTAATAAAAGGCTTAAAGGGATTGAGAGGCAGAAGAACAAATTTGAAGTTAGGCAGAAAAAAACGGGTAGGGCACCAGCCTACCCGGGCGTATCCCTGGCGCCGCGGCTGTCTGTGTCTGTTCAATTATTAACTAGGGTCAAGACCCATAACACAATGGGAAATGGTGCCTTTGTACGAAACTTTTGCCGTGTTAGTTTGAGCAAACACATGCGGGCCATGGAAAACTATTCTGCTGTAGCCAAATAAGTGTGAATATGCCCAGCTCTGTAGGTTCTGTTGAGTTATATGATGATGTTATTGACTAGGGACTTGATGTCGTGCCTCCAACCCACACGCACGTTAACTTTTCGACAAGTGGAATTTCGCGCCAGACATTAGAATCAGCATGGGAGTGGTAAGGACTGAAGAAAAGTCCTCACATCTCATAAATTTCGGTAAAACAGCCTTTGGCTACTTTAGGCAAAGCTGAGCAAGTCACTTGCGTGTTGTGCAAACACGAGGGGGTGTACGCATTGGCAGCTCTTGTTTGGTGTTGTTAGATTTGAGGTGATAGCTTACAGGACGTGGGCTAATATACACAGCTATTTCCCGGAGTTCCCCGGGAAAAGGCGGCCGTCGTTTCCCGGGATTTGATACGGCGCTTGTGCGGGAAAAATAATATTTAAACACTACGGTGGAGGGACAGTTGGGAAAGGAACATAGAATAGAATAATGTCAGGAAACCCGGTCCCATGACACTTCTTGAAGTGGAGTTGAGTGTTTATGTTGTTCAAGTTCACTGGTCACGTTATAGAAATTTTTTAGCAAATCATTCATTTTAATTACTTAACAAGGAGTGGAGAGGATGTTTTTATTTTTATAAATGCCCACCACCTGTGAATATCATATTTTACATCTGTGTGTTTGTAGCCAGTAGTGAATTAAGTAGTGAATTAAGTAGGGAAATAGTAGTATATATTCATTCATATTTTGTATTTCTGCCAAATGAATCGTTGAATGACATATGTAATGAAAATGCCCTGGTCCCCAATGAACGACTGTTGCTTTCTCTGTGCTGTGTTAGTGCTGGTACAAGCTAACATGTGTCAGGGGTCGCCTTGCACAGCTATGTTGTTAACGCTGCATTGTCTTGATGTTTGCACAGGGGGTTTCACAGGTAACGTGCAGGCTCCTCTGGGGATTGGACTTCGTGTGAAAGTGACTCCACACAATAGTCCATAAAAGGGGGCGCTTCAGGGAGCTCCTCCTCTGGATAATGTGCTAATGAGAAGGTGACAGGAAGGACTCTGCTGGCACGGGTGGCACTGGGTCAGGAGTCAAAGGATAGGAAGCAATGTGTGCCGGACTAAAGGCTGTAAGAAGCAAATGAAAGAGCTCATATTGCCATCTCCGCCTGCTGTGCACTTTCCTGTGTGGACTTTGAAGGTGATGTGTAGCCGAGGCGGTGACAGTTGACAGAAGCGTTGTACTGGAGAAGAGAGAGAGAGACCAGAGGAGAGAGACCAGAGAGGGAGAGACCAGAGGAGAGAGAGACCAGAGGAGAGAGACCAGAGAGAGAGAGACCAGAGGAGAGAGACCAGAGGAGAGACCAGAGAGCGAGAGACCAGAGGAGAGAGACCAGAGAGAGAGAGACCAGAGGAGAGAGACCAGAGAGGGAGAGACCAGAGAGAGAGAGACCAGAGGAGAGAGACCAGAGAGAGAGATACCAGAGGAGAGATACCAGACAGAGAGAGACCAGAGGAGAGAGACCAGAGAGAGAGACCAGAGGAGAGAGACCAGAGAGAGAGACCAGAGGAGAGAGACCAGAGAGAGAGACCAGAGGAGAGAGACCAGAGGAGAGAGACCAGAGAGAGAGAGACCAGAGGAGAGAGACCAGAGAGAGAGAGACCAGAGGAGAGAGACCAGAGAGAGAGAGACCAGAGGAGAGAGACCAGAGAGAGAGAGACCAGAGGAGAGAGACCAGAGAGAGAGAGACCAGAGGAGAGAGACCAGAGAGAGAGAGACCAGAGGAGAGAGACCAGAGAGAGAGAGACCAGAGGAGAGAGACCAGAGGAGAGAGACCAGAGAGAGAGATACCAGAGGAGAGAGACCAGAGAGAGAAATACCAGAGGAGAGAGACCAGAGAGAGAGACCAGAGGAGAGAGACCAGAGAGAGAGACCAGAGGAGAGAGACCAGAGAGAGAGACCAGAGGAGAGAGACCAGAGAGAGAGAGACCAGAGGAGAGAGACCAGAGAGAGAGAGACCAGAGGAGAGAGACCAGAGGAGAGAGACCAGAGAGAGAGAGACCAGAGGAGAGAGACCAGAGAGAGAGAGACCAGAGGAGAGAGACCAGAGAGCGAGAGACCAGAGGAGAGAGACCAGAGAGAGAGAGACCAGAGGAGAGAGACCAGAGAGAGAGAGACCAGAGGAGAGAGACCAAAGAGAGAGAGACCAGAGGAGAGAGACCAGAGAGAGAGAGACCAGAGAGAGAGAGAGACCAGAGGAGAGAGACCAGAGAGAGAGAGACCAGAGAGAGAGAGACCAGAGGAGAGAGAGACCAGAGGAGAGAGACCAGAGAGAGAGAGACCAGAGGAGAGAGACCAGAGAGAGAGAGACCAGAGGAGAGAGACCAGAGAGAGAGAGAGACCAGCGAGAGAGAGAACAGAGGAGAGAGACCAGAGAGAGAGAGACCAGAGAGAGACCAGAGGAGAGAGACCAGAGAGAGAGAGACCAGAGGAGAGAGACCAGAGAGAGAGAGACCAGAGGAGAGAGACCAGAGAGAGAGACCGACCAGAGAGAGAGAGACCAGAGGAGAGAGACCAGAGAGAGAGAGACCAGAGGAGAGAGACCAGAGAGCGAGAGACCAGAGGAGAGAGACCAGAGAGAGAGAGACCAGAGGAGAGAGACCAGAGAGAGAGAGACCAGAGGAGAGAGACCAAAGAGAGAGAGACCAGAGGAGAGAGACCAGAGAGAGAGAGACCAGAGAGAGAGAGAGACCAGAGAAGAGAGACCAGAGAGAGAGAGACCAGAGGAGAGAGAGACCAGAGGAGAGAGACCAGAGAGAGAGAGACCAGAGGAGAGAGACCAGAGAGAGAGAGACCAGAGAGAGAGAGAGACCAGCGAGAGAGAGAACAGAGGAGAGAGACCAGAGAGAGAGAGACCAGAGGAGAGAGACCAGAGGAGAGAGACCAGAGAGAGAGAGAGACCAGAGGAGAGAGACCAGAGAGAGAGACCGACCAGAGAGAGAGAGACCAGAGGGAGAGAGACCAGAGGAGACATCAGAGGAGAGAGAAACCAAACTAATCACAAAATTAGTTTTTGTTTCAGTTTTCAGTCTGTGGTATTACAAATGGTAAAGCGTTGTATTTAGCCGGGTGCGTATAACCGGAAAATTATTCTGAAATATCTTATTTTTATTTGGCACAAATTTGGCAGTTTGAATGAGCTCAGTTAATGTTGTGTTGACTTCGTATGTGCAGCAGATTTTATGAATTGACGTAATTTTTTTAACCTTTTTTACTTTTCCGCTCATTTCTTTGTCACCAATTTTAACTGTATTCAAACATTCGTAGATTTTTCTGCGTATTCAGTTTCAGTTATTAAATCATTTCCAGTGCAAAAATACGGAAGTACATGTTCACTCTCCGTTTTTATCACGGGCCCGTTTCTTTCACCTCAATAAATAACAGACGCTGAGGTTTGGGCTCACGTGAGGTTCCTAAACCCTCAGTCCTGGGTCTACAGTCTCAGTCCTGGATCTACAGCCTCAGTCCTGGGTCTACAGTCTCAGTCCTGGATCTACAGCCTCAGTCCTGGGTCTACAGCCTCAGTCCTGGATCAGTCTCAGTCCTGGATCTACAGCCTCAGTCCTGTCTGGTCTGGATCATGTGTGTGTGGTATGGCCCATACAGATTTGATTTGAAGTTATCAATAAACTTCATAAGATCCTGTGTCCACGTGCAAAGTGATTTTAAAAAACAGTTTTCTGTCCTTGAAAGTCTGCGGCCGACATGATATTATAATTCTCCAATTGGATTTTTGAAAAGGCGTGAACTCACTTGTGTTGTAGCGCGGCTCGGGGCTGTACCAGGCCGTTCCGCTTCTCACGGGGTCCGGGTACGTGAGCTCCCCTACCCCCGGGCATAGGTGGCTCATCCCCGGGTACTGGAGGTCCCCTACCCCCGGGCAAAGGTGGCTCATTCCCGGATACTGGAGGTCCCCTACCCCCGGGCAAAGGTGGCTCATCCCCGCGGAGGAGAACTGGCTCATCCCGGGCGGAGGCAGGTGGAAGCCTGGGGAGGAGGCTGCAGAGGCGCCCGCAGGAGGAGGCCCAGTCCCGGGCAGGGTCTGCAGCTCCGGAACGTGGTGATGATGATGATGGATGTGGTGATGATGAAGCTGAGGCGGCTGCGCGCTCTGCTGCTGCGCGTGCTCGTATCTCGGCCTGAAACGATTCCAGAATATTGATTAAAGCTGGGGCTCGTAACTTTGAAACCTCTCTATCAAACCCGTGTCTCTGGTTCTGGCTCTAAAACTGTTGCTTCATGTATTTGTGATGTCACATCTTTAGATCAGAGAAGACCCTCACTCAGCCAATCAGCTCTCAGCCCAAAGAGGCAGATAGTGACTCTTTCTGACACAGAAAATGAATTTGTTCACAACAGTACTTTTGACTCTCTCTTTAAAAATGTAACATGTATGAGACTAAAGTTACAGAACCCAGCTTTAAACATTTCAATTTCGGTTTTGTATAAAACTAAATGAAAACGCGTGCGCGAGGAGCTGCGGGCGTGAGTTTATTTCGCAATAAACCTATAATTATAATATTAATAATTATTATCATTATAAAAATGATAATAATTAAAAATAATAATGATTATAATATAAAATATCAATGTGAGAAAGTCTGTGTTTTTTGCACTTATAGACGTTTTATGAACAGTTTTGATGCCTTATATATTTTTACTTGTTTGCACTTCCTGTTACTGACTGTTATGGAAATATAATCATTCTGATTGAGATAAAACTGTTTAATTTAGAAACTTATCACAAACTGATTTAATAAAATCGAACGTTTGATCTTATTCATTTTTCACATTAAACAGAAGTAAAAATATAATTTATTATTATCACAAAATATTTTTTATGTTTTAGTTTCAATAATGTTTAAATAATAATGAATAAATATGTTTTTATTGAACAATGAGTTCTTCTCTGGTTTTACTGTGTCCTTCGCAGCCGTTACTCACAGAACTGCAGTTACTTTAGGAACGTGGCTCCGCTGCATTAGAACATTATTAAACCTTTTTAATGTTTAAAAAAACTGGTTAACGGAGGTCAGACTCACAGAACTGTAGTTACTGTGTAACTTTAGCTTTCGGCCTTTATTCAAATGAAATCACGAACCAAGTCTGGTCCACAGCTTTGAACTACTGTTGTTATTATTATTATTATTATTATTATTATTACTGTACATTATTACAGTCAGTTCCTAATTTAATGAATTATGAACAAATTGTTGTTTTAAAATTCTCTCAATCCGGTTTCACTTCGTTTCAACACTGCGTTTTTCTGAAGAACCGATATATAACTATATGTATATGAATATATATGTATATAAATATATATGTATATAAATATATACATATATATGTATATAAATATATAAATATATGAATATAAATAGATACATCATCCGGGTTTGTTCAGATGCGCTGCGTCATAGAAAATAAACTTTAAACATTAAAATACATCACAACATCTGAAATAAAGTCAATATTAATGTATGTTTTGTATTTTTTCAGACAAATATGATTCAAATATTATTCACTAAAAAAACTCAAACAGAATTAGTCTGTTTCGTTTTTGAGAAAATAAGTTTAAACTAAAACTTTATAGAAGCAGAAAGTGTCTGAATGAAACTCTTACTATTCATTAGTTCAGCTAAAATTATTCACATTTTTGTATTTTTATTATTTCAATCTCATATACAATTTTGATTTTTTTCCCGCGGCCCCAGGAGTCCCGTACCTCCGTCCTGACGCCAGACTCATGCTGGATCCCGATCTGTCCTTCAGGCCCGCGGGGAGAGGGTTCAGGCCCGGTGCTCGTGTCTCTGGTGTCCCCGGTATCCTGTGTCCACGCGGATGTCCCACACGGAGAAGCACGTGCAACTCATGGGTCTCAAGCTGAGGTCCCGGTCCCGCGTGAGCAGAGACAGACACCGGACTGAAGTAACGGAGACCAGCGCCTCTGCGGCCTTATCCAAGCGGGAGGCGGGGGAGGAGCCAGAGATAGACCAGAGAGAGACCAGAGAGAGACTAGAGAGAGACCAGAGAGAGACCAGAGAGAGACTATAGAGAGAGACTAGAGAGAGACTAGAGAGAGACCAGAGAGAGACCAGAGAGAGACTAGAGAGAGACTAGAGAGAGAGACTAGAGAGAGAGAGAGAGAGAGAGACTAGAGAGAGAGAGAGAGACTAGAGAGAGAGAGAGAGACTAGAGAGAGAGAGAGACCAGAGAGAGACCAGAGACAGATCAGAGAGAAACCAGAGAAAGACCAAAGATAGACCACTTGTTTTCCTGTGGTTACCATTTGATCTGATTTGGAACATGTTGGACGCGGTCAGAACGTCTTTAAAAAACACAAATAGAAGAAAAGAAGGGAACTGAAGTGTCTTTCTGAGTCTGTGGCTCTCGTCAAAGACTCATGAACCAAACTGAAATGAGACGAGGAGTCTGCTTCTGATTGGCTGATAGAAACCTGCTCCACATTATCAGCCCTGACTCTCATTCATTTAAATGGGGACAGAATGATGCACTCATTATTAAGAGAGATCCTTTATTCGCCCACAGCGGGAAAATGTCAGTGTTGCATCACAGGATATAGAACAGTAGGAAAGAGGAGCACACGGCACAAGTTAAGTCAACAATAGCTATACTAATTAAAATAAAACAAAATCTCTAACTCTAGCATCAAATAACAAGTATAAAAACTCAATCTCGAAATAATAAAAAGAAGTGTAAAAGTTTTACATTTGGCAAAATAAGAGGCAAATATAAAATACTGTGTATTCTAGTGCAAGCACAGTGTAGTTATATGTTAGCACCTGTACATTAGCAGCAGTATGTTAGCACCTGTACATTAGCAGCAGTATGTTAGCACCTGTACATTAGCAGCAGAATGTTTACATCTGTACATTAGCAGCAGTATGTTAGCACCTGTACATTAGCAGCAGAATGTTTACATCTGTACATTAGCAGCAGTATGTTAGCACCTGTACATTAGCAGCAGAATGTTTACATCTGTACATTAGCAGCAGAATGTTTACATCTGTACATTAGCAGCAGAATGTTTACATCTGTACATTAGCAGCAGTATGTTAGCATCTGTACATTAGCAGCATGAGGCTCTGAGACACAGGGACTCAGTAAAGTGACAGAGCCTCTCCTTCACACACCGAGGATGAATTAGTCTGTCACTGAAGCTGCTCTCCAGAGCAGCCAGACTGTCCTGCTGGGGGCGACAGTCATGGTCCAGCATAGATGTTAGTTTGTCCAGGACCCTCCTGTCCCCCACCTGCTGCACTGTGTCCAGGGAACAGCCCAGGACTGAGCTGGACTTCCTGATGACCTTGTCCAGCTTCTTCCTGTCCCTCTCTGTGATGCTGCTGCTCCAGCAGACCACACCGTACAAGAGGCTGATGCCACCACAGAGTCATAGAAGGTCTTTAGGAGTGGCCCCTGCACTCCAAAAGACCTGAGCCTCCTCAGCAGTAGAGCCTCCTCAGCAGTAGAGCCTCCTCAGAAGTAGAACCTCCTCAGCAGTAGAGCCTCCTCAGCAGTAGAGCCTCCTCAGCAGTAGAACCTCCTCAGCAGTAGAACCTCCTCAGCAGTAGAGCCTCCTCAGCAGTAGAGCCTCCTCAGCAGTAGAACCTCCTCAGCAGTAGATCCTCCTCAGCAGTAGAACCTCCTCAGCAGTAGAGCCTCCTCAGCAGTAGAGCCTCCTCAGCAGTAGATCCTCCTCAGCAGTAGAGCCTCCTCAGCAGTAGAGCCTCCTCAGCAGTAGAACCTCCTCAGCAGTAGAGCCTCCTCAGCAGTAGAGCCTCCTCAGCAGTAGATCCTCCTTAGCAGTAGAGCCTCCTCAGCAGTAGAGCCTCCTCAGCAGTAGATCCTCCTCAGCAGTAGAGCCTCCTCAGCAGTAGAGCCTCCTCAGCAGTAGAGTCTCCTCAGCAGTAGAGTCTCCTCAGCAGTAGATCCTCCTCAGCAGTAGAGCCTCCTCAGCAGTAGAGCCTCCTCAGCAGTAGATCCTCCTCAGCAGTAGATCCTCCTCAGCAGTAGATCCTCCTCAGCAGTAGATCCTCCTCAGCAGTAGATCCTCCTCAGCAGTAGAGCCTCCTCAGCAGTAGAGCCTCCTCAGCAGTAGATCCTCCTCAGCAGTAGATCCTCCTCAGCAGTAGAGCCTCCTCAGCAGTTAGAGTCGGTTCTGGCCCTTCTTGAAGAGGGCGTCTGTGTTATGAGTCCAGTCCAGCTTGTGGTTCAGATGAACACCCAGGAACTTGTAAGTAGTGCTGGGAACCTCAGGGAACCTCACGATACGATGTGCGATAGAAAGCTCACAATAACGATTATCTCACAATATGACGATGCAGCGATTATTGATATATTGGTCAAAAATATACCTACGATAATATTTTTCTTATATTTATGGCATAAATTAAGTAAAAAAATACACTTTATTTCAAGATAAATGGATAAAGTGTCATGTGTAACATTAAAGTGAACAAGCAAAAATGCCTTTGAACCTGCACATTTTAGTAAAAATCGTACTTAATCTGTCTCACATCCACTAAAATCAATACGAACATTCTTCAGAAATTGTAGAATACGTAATGTAGCCATATATTAAGTATCAATACTTATTTTTTTCCAATAAAGCTTAAAAAAATAATATTAATTGAAAAAAAAAAATTAATACTTAGCAAAAGCATATCGATAAACGATTGTGTGAGAAAGTGTCACCATACATCTCCATATCGATATATTATCACATTCCTACTTGTAAGAGTCCACTCTCAGTGTCCTTTCCCTGGATGGAAATCCACCACCATCTCCTTGGTCTTCCCCGCGTTGATGAGGAGGTGGTTCATCTCCTTGGTCTTCCTCACGTTGATGAGGAGGTGGTTCATCTCCTTGGTCTTCCTCACGTTGATGAGGAGGTGGTTCATCTCCTTGGTCTTCCTCACGTTGATGAGGAGGTGGTTCATCTCCTTGGTCTTCCTCACGTTGATGAGGAGGTGGTTCATCTCCTTGGTCTTCCTCACGTTGATGAGGAGGTGGTTCATCTCCTTGGTCTTCCTCACGTTGATGAGGAGGTGGTTCATCTCCTTGGTCTTCCTCACGTTGATGAGGAGGTGGTTCATCTCCTTGGTCTTCCTCACGTTGATGACGAGGTGGTTCCGCTGACACCAGTCCACAAAGTCCTGTATAACTCTGTACTCTGTGTCATCGTCCTCGGAGCTGAGTCCGATGATGGCAGAGTTGTTGGAGAACTTCTGGAGGACACAACCGTCCGTGTTGTGTCTGAAGTCCGCAGTGTAGAGGGTGAAGAGGAACGGTGCGAGGACAGTCCCCTGGGGGGCCCCCACACTGCAGGTCAGGACCTCAGACACAAAGTCCCTGGTTCTCACAAACTGGGGTCTGTCTGTGAGGTAGTCCAGGATCCACTGGGACAGGTTGTAGTCCACACCGGCTGTCTCCAGCTTGTCCCTGAGAAGCCGCGGCTGAATGGTGTTGAAGGCACTGGAGAAATCAAAGAAGAGGATCCTCACAGTGGAGCCGGGTTTCTCCAGGTGGGACAGCGAGCGATAGAGGAGGGTGAAGATGGCGTCCTCAACCCTGATGCCCGGCCGGTAGGCGAACTGCAGCGGGTCCATCGCTGAGGTCAGAGTGGAGTGGAGAGGTCCCAGGACCAGTCTCTCCAGTGTCTTCATGCAGTGGGATGTTAGAGCCTTCTGGCCAGTGGCTCCGGATGGCGCCGGTGTATGGCTGCGTGCTCGAGCTCTGGGTTGCACCCTGTCTTTTTTGTGTTGGTGCCCCCGGTGTTGATTCTGATTGTACTGCAGGTAAAAGTGTTCAAGTCGTTAACCCATTGCCTGTGGAGCAGGCTTTGGTTTAAATCCTGAGATGGACTTCAGATTGTATTTAAGTAGCATTATCTAAGATTTTCATGTAAAAGTCATCATTAAAGGGCCCCAATCTGTTAAAATGCATTAATAAACCATGCTCTTTTCAAATCCTTTTCAAAGTCCAGCTGCAGTAGAATGCATACTAAACGGGCTGTCTCTGGGCAGTGCCGGTCCTGATGGCATAGAGACAAGGTACATTAAAATGGCCTCTCATGTTCTGTGCTTTCCTCTGGCAGATCTATTCAACCTTTCATTTAGCTCTTGTGAAGTTCCCTCTGCCTGGAAACGTGCAAAAGTCATCCCCCTTCACAAAGGTGGTGACATCAGTGACATGAACAACTATAGGCCCATCTCAATAATCAATAGCATTGTAAAAGTATATGAAAAAATAGTTTTTAATCAATTATCTGAACACATATCATCTAAAAATCTTCTATCTCCACTCCAATCTGGCTTCAGGAAACATTTTTCAACAACATCTTCATTACTAAAGTTTTCTAATGACATTTTTTCTGGTTTTGACAACTCTTTTTTTACTGGTGCTTTATTTATAGACTTATCAAAAGCCTTTGATATGGTTGACCATTATCTTCTTTTAGACAAACTTCACTGTATTGGTCTGGACAGATCCTCACTCCTCTGGTTCAATTCCTATCTACATCACCGTCAACAATGTGTCTTTTACAATGGTAGCTACTCTGGTTTTTCTTTTATCGAGAGAGGTGTGCCACAAGGTTCGTCACTGGGTCCACTTCTTTTCTCCATTTTTATTAATGACCTTCCCCTTGCCTGTACAGACTGTAGCATTCAACTTTATGCAGATGATACAGTGATTTACACATCCAATGATAACATCAGCAATATTCAACAATCTATCCAACATGACTTTAATTCTGTTCAACACTGGCTAAAATCTAACAAATTATTACTGAACAAATCAAAAACAGTTGTCATGTTGTTCCAGAAAAAAATGCATCCTATTTTCTCTAACAAAATTCAGCTTACTTTTTCAGACATGTGTCCAGTTCCAGTCGTTGATAAATTTAAATATCTTGGTTTGTGGCTTGATCCTTCTCTTTCATTTAACATTCATATACAAACAATCACAAACAAAATTTCATATAGACTAAAAGTACTTTACCATTCATTGAACTGTTTTGGTTTATCTGTTAGGAAGAGGATCATTTGTCAACTGATTTTACCTATTCTTGATTACAGTGATATAATTTATCAAAACACTACTGCCTCTGTCCTCCAGCCCCTGAACGTCACCTACCACAGCCTGTGCAGGTTCATTCTCCGTTGTCCCTTTAGAACGCACCACTGCCTTCTGTACGAGCAGCTTTCCTGGCTCTCTCTGTCCTCCAGACGTCAGCTACATTGGCTATTATTTATTTTTAAATGCATTAATCTTAGTTTTCCTGACTATTTAAAACAATATTTGATTCCTTTTCACCCTCCTACAGTTTGCGTCATGCAAATCAGTCCTTCTTTTCAGTCCCAAGATTGAAAAAAGAAGTCGGGAAACATGCATTTAAATTTAAAGCACCGTCTGATTGGAACAGTTTGCCCTCATCTGTTCGCTCTCTCAGTTCTCTGGCTCAGTTTAAGAATGCTCTTGTGCGAAATCTCCAAAATCAGTGTCATTGTTTTTGATTTTGGGTTACATAATCCTATGTTTACTGCCTTTAATATAAATAAGTTTAGTATTTTCACTATTTATTGTCTGCATCAAATATATTTACAACAGTCATGGTGTGTGCGTGTGTGTGTGTGTGAGTTTGTTTTGTGTGAGTATTGTTTATTGTTGCTTTTTGTCCTTTGTCTTTATTGTTTACTTTATTGTATTGCATTGTATCTGTCACCTCTGTTACCTTTTTGAGGACCCCCTCGAAAACGAGATGTTTCATCTCTAGGGGCTTATCCTCCAAATAAATAAATAAATAAATAAATAAATACTTCTTTAATTGAACAGTAGTTCAGGGACAGTTGAATTTCAAATGGGCGGCACGGTGGCTGAGTGGATAGCACTCTCGCCTCTCAGCAAGAAGGTCCTGGGTTCGAATCCCGGTCGGACCAGGGCCTTTCTGAGTGGAGTTTGCATGTTCTCCCCGTGTCTGCGTAGGTTTCCTCCGGGGACTCCGGTTTCCCCTACCACTAAAAATATGTCCAATAGTTCTGGCATGTGCCTCCTGTACTGGCGACCCCACTCCCATCTCTGTGTGGAGTGAGAGACAAATGCCCAAAAATTAACAATTGTAAACCGCTTTGAGACTCAGATCTGCAGTGAAAAGGCGGTATATAAATTAAAACTTACTTACTTACAAAGTTAGTTTTACAGCCCCTAAATCTTGTATTTGTTTTCATTTCGATGCCCCGCCCTCCACCATTTTACCAATCAGAAAGTTTGTGATCCGAGTTGCCAGAAGGAATAAAACCAGGATTTCTATCTTTGTGAAAAAGGTGTTGGTTATTGATTTGTTGTTGACAAAATTCTTGTCTATTCAGAGATTATGGTCTTAGCTGGATTTGTTTGCATATCTGGCAACCTGAGTCAGAGAGAGTGGGAGAGTTTGCAGTACCACTTTTTACCAAATTTTTACATATGGCTCCTTTAAAGATACATTGACAGAGACAGAGATTTAATTTATTTATATATTGTTTATTTGGTTGGGACAGTGCATGTTAATGAACACATCACTCCAGATTGTAGCCATGGGCTAATTTGCATCCGTTGTCCCACATTCACACTCACACACACTGAACTATTGCACATGTTTATAGTGGTAGGGGAAACCGGAGTACCCGGAGGAAACCTACGCAGACACGGGGAGTAAGTAAGTAAGTAATTTTTATATATATTCCGCCTTTCACAGACCAGAGTCACAAAACAGTTTACAATTGTTATTTTTGGGCATTTGTCTCTCACTCCACACAGAGATGGGAGCGGGGCCAGTACAGGAGGCGCATGCCAGACCTATTGTGCATGTTTTTAGTGGTAGGGGAAACCGGAGTACCTGGAGGAAACCTACGCACATGCAAACTCCACTCAGAAAGACCTTGTTCCGACCGGGATTCAAACCCAGTACCTTCTTGCTGAGAAGTGAGAGTGCTATACACTCAGCCACTGCCGAGAATAACAGAGGGAGACAGAGAGAGAGAGAGGGAGATAGAGACAGAGGGAGATAGAGACAGAGAGAGATAGATAGAGGGAGAGAGAGTCGCGTCTCCACAGATGTGACTGTGACGTCACCGTCTGGTTTCAGTGTAAAAGTTCAATGAAAAACATCAAATATCTTCAACTAGTCTCCGTTTGTCCTGCAGCGCCCCCTGCTGGACACATGGGGACCACACATTTCACTAAAACCCATTTGTTTATTTGAGCTCGTTCAAGATATTAACACATCGACAATGTCGATGTCTCATAAATAACACATGTTTAAAGCTGGGTTCTTTAAGAGTTTAGTTATTTAACAATTACAGTACAGACCCCAGAAAGTAAAATGTGAATAAAACAGACACCAGGAGCCCTGTCACAGCTGCCTCTGCTGATGTGACAGAGACAGAAATACAGGAAACTAGTGACAGAAGCAACAGTTTTAGAGCCAGAACTACAGACATGGGTTTAAAAGAGTTCTGATGTTGTGGTCTGAAAGTCACAGACGTCAGCTTTTAAGTTACAGACCCCAGCTTTATGTCCCCACTGCTCTGTTATAGCGTCTGACCAGAGTCTGTTTTGAGTCCAATATTATTATAGATCTTTGATAGTCTAAAGTTCTCTGTTCCCTATTCACCATTCCCTAACTTGTATGTATGTTCTTGGTTCCTACACGGACAGTTTAGAGTGTTACACACGGCGACACGAGTGGATCTATTATAATAGATCCATGATTGGACTGTTCCTCGTGAGCAGGGGTAATGCTCCGTTTTGTAGAGTCGTGAGACAGAACAAGCCGAAGCCAAAGCGTGGTGCGCTGCGCCCCCTAGTGTCTGCAGAGAGAAAGAGCCTTCATCTTCAGGGTACTGCTGACGTCAGGGAGAAAGGAACATTATGTTAAAGTGGACATATCGTGTTTTCAAATAATTGATTTTTACATCTAAATCATTAATTTGTGGCCTATATAAAGCGTAACTGCAATGCCTGGGTCTGAGTCTCATTATTTGTAGCTCCACGGGCCTTTCTTCTACACCTGTTCTGAGGTGCGTCTGAGAGCAACCTGTTTTGGTGCTGTCTCTTTAAATGCAAATGAGGCGCTTTTGACCACGCCCCCATCCAGGTGACACAGGTTCAACTCCACCCCGAGCGGCCATTTTTGTAGTTTCTAAGCACAGATACAATTATCTCATAGAAACTTCTCATTACATCGCAAACATGAAGCAGGCCTTCCTCATTGACTGAAAGCAAATGTTAATTTTCATTCTTAGTCCAGTCTTATTATTGACTCTTCTCTTTTTAGCTTTGGGATCCATGCGCACAGTCTATGATGCTCACACGCCGGTTTGTTTACAGCAGCGGCCGCCCGGCGCGGGCCTACGTCGCAGGATATGACGCACTACGTTGACAGAAATTTTTACATTGAATATTACTTATGCACAATTTTACAGCATTTAAAAACGTTAAGAAAGTTTTTTCCTTCTACAGAAGGAAAGAGACGCATGCGCCTCCGGAGCAGCAGGTTGCCGACTCCTAGTTTATACAGTATGTGGAAGGAAAAACTGTAGAGAATCAAGATATGTGCAGTTTCAACAATAAAATAAAATGCAATAGTCTACATTACAAGAGAGAATAAACATGTCTCAGAGTGAGGGAGGTGGACACAGACAACACTATTGTTTGTTACAGGGATGAGAATTGGTCAAAAAAGACTGAAATGCATATTGTCAGCCATTTGCTGGCTCTAAATCTGTTTAATTTGTTCACAACATATTACTTTTGGGCTCAAACATGAACTTTTAATGCAAAGCAAAATGTAGGTATCAGAGCTTCATTTAGGGCGTTTAATCGCGCTTCGAGAGGAGAGGGGAGACGCGGACTGTTTCCTGCAGCAGTGTATTTATTGGGTGCAGATTACTCAAAGACACGCATGGTCCTGTGCACGTTTTTGGGGTTGGGTACATGGCCACGATGAGGCTGCGCGCTCAGCCACAACACGGTGGAGCGGCTGCGAGCGGCTGGACGCTCACAGCCTCTCGCAGCCGCATTAAGGGCTCGACACACGGGAGGCGACAAATGAGAGCGATCAGCAAAACTCAACGCTGTCGCTCAGATAACATGACAGACGGGGCGCGATGCGGCTTGACGACAGCGTCGAAAAGTTGAGCCGATTTCAACTTTCTGGGATCGCGTCGCTGACCTGCGCGTGCACGATACATGCACGAGCGGGAGGATTTCACACGCACGTTTTTCGCCCGTCGCTGAGCAGGAGGCTCGCTAGCGATTGACGCTATGTCGCGCACGTCCCATTGAAATGAATGGAGGCGATGCGATGTCGCCTCCCGTGTGTCTAGCCCATTACAAAGCGGCCGCAGATGCCCCGGAACACTGCCGCCGCTGAGGTGGCGGAATCCCGTTCGAGTACATACAGCAGGTGCCCCGCGGATACGCGCGCCCCGCTCCAACAATTCTCAACGGATTTACACTTCTCATAAACATGTGTTTTGTATGAGGCAGACAGACCGGCCCAAATATGGGCATCGGCCCTTTGGGCATTGCCCGGTACGCCCGATGGCCAGTCCAGCCCTGTTCGCTGGCATCCTTGAGCTTGGACTACAAATTCGAAGTGATGCACAGTAGAGGAGGGCTGGGCCGAAGTGTTTTGTTAGACGCCCATGCCCTTATATAGCAGTCTCGCTGCAAATACTGTGACGTAATAATTCTAAACACGTAATAGAGAATGGCAAAATCAGAACGGGTTGAAAAATCTTACCTAAACAGAATATGAAGTGTTCTCTGTAACCCATGAAGAGACTGATTTCAACTTTTTTGCACTTCTAGAGGCTCCAACTACACAACATAAGGCATTTAAGGCACAAAAAGTGGATTTTTCATGATTCGTCCCCTTTAAAGCTGAGGAACGTAACTCAACTTTAACCCTAACCCGTTACAACAACACAACTTGGTGTAGTTTCACATCATGTATTTGTAATGCCACATCTTCAGATCAGCCCAAAGGTTTCATCAGATGTACAGTTTTAAAGTTTCATTTAAAGATAGAAAAGAAAAACCTCTTCACACATAAATGTCTTTAATAATCTTAATAAATTACAGATCAGTCAGATAAATATGATCCACATTCAGACAGTAACACAGCAGCAATATGAAATATATATTAGAGCTTCCATCAAACAGACTTTAAATACTTAGATATGTACATAGAGTTTGTTTATGGTCCGGTCCCTCACAGACAGGTTCCCTCTGCCTCAGGACCCAACGTTAAAGGAGAAATATTATATCAGTAATTATAATAAATACACTTCATACAGTGTGACATCACCACAGTGTGACATCACCACAGTGTGACATCACCAGAGTGTGACATCCCCACTGTGTGACATCACCACAGTACCGACACTTAAACGCAGCTTCCACGCACACTGGACGCACATTCTCTAATTTTCAGACGCTAGGGGTGTTCAGACCAGAAGTCCTGGCCTACGGTGGGAAAAAACGCAGGCTTTGATGCTAACGGGATTACGCTAGCGGGTTTTTGTTTGTTGTTCTTCTCCAAGAATGCAGCTGCAGCGTCTGTGTGTCTGAGACCTTCAGAGACTTCATATATAACAGCAGTTTGTGTTCACGGAGCTGTGCCATGAGTTTATTTTATTATTAAACAGTACTTCTGTATCGAGAACATGTAAGCTGCACTTGTTTACAATCACAGGAGAGACTCATGCTGGAGCATGGATCTATAATAATAACTAGGGTATTACTCAGTTGGTAGAGCATTGGCCTTTAGGCCTGAAGGTTGTGGGTTCAATTCCCACCTCTCCACTGACTCCCACTGATGTCTGATGTTGTTGTGTCCTTGGGCAAGACACTTAACCCGACTTTGCCTAAGGCCCCCGCTGAAAGAACAAGGCTATGCTCACACTTACAGAGCAGCCGTCCTCCTGTGGACTCACCACCTGCAGGAGGATCAGTGAGGGGCTGGTGCTATGTGACGACCCAGAAATGGATTAAGGGGTAGAAAATGGACGGATGGATGGATGGGTATTACTAGCTTACAGCTATCCCACCCATGGGCACAGGGGGCGCCTGTGGTACTGCAGACTAAATTCACGAGGGCTACCCAGAAAAAAGTCCCATAGAACTCAATGCAAATTAAAACAGCTCGACCTCAGCTGACAGAGAACCTACAGCTTTCCTAAAGGTCGGATTTTGTGGGGATTTTAGTGTCCCTTGTCATCCTGAACGTTTTTTCTTCTTAAATCCTTCGGTTTTCTTTAAATCCACATTTTACTGCCACAAACTGTGAGATTTCATAACACTTTTAAGCAACTTTTGTTAAAGTTAAACTCATCATTCTATCAATGTGCAGAAGCCAGTACTTTTCCCTTGTTTTGTCTATCTGAAGGCCAAGCTACATGGCACTGTGGCTTGGCAAATATAGTTGAGTTCTACTGATCTCCCGGTTTCCGTGAAGTCCCATGAACTACTGAGCACAAGCCATTCATTTGAACAGGGCGCCATCTTGGATCACCGGGGCTTGGGCTGGAGGCATATGTTTCGAGTATTTTCAGTCTGCCCGCCCATACCGCTATTTTCCCCATGACCACTTTACGGCTCTCTGATTGGTCGCTGCACGTGTGGCCGGCGGAAAAAGTTAAACAATTCCCGCTACCGCTCCTCTGCACCTGCCACGCAGTCCTTGTGTGTCACGACGCTCATGCAGTTCCACGCTCGAACGGACGTCACCATTGACTTTGCATTGAAAGTTGCCGCAGCGCATGACCCAGTCTGAACGCCCCATTAGCCTTAAGAAGAAGAAGCAAAAGAAGCTGATTTGAACATAAACTGGAGCCAAAGTCCAGTTCTGATGGCGTTAGCTTCACGGTGTAACCAGAGTGAGCTGCAGACAGAGAGTTACTAACTTCAGTGACTCTCTCCATGACCTGATTTACAGTGATGTCACAGTGATGTCACAATTATGTCAGTTACGTCACAGTTGAGTCACAGTTATGTCATGGGACGCATGGTGGTGCAGTGGACAGCACTTGTGCTTTACAGTGATAAGGTTTAGGGTTTGATTCCACCTCCAGGAGTTTGCATGTTCTCCCCGCGTGCTCCAGTTTCCCCAACCACTAAAAACAGGTGAGGGTTGAATGGGTGTGTGACTGTGTGACAGATGGAAATGAGCTACATAGCTACAATCTGGTTTATTAAGAGCTCCTGCTGTTCATGAATATGCTCTGTCCCATCGAAATAAAAACATAAACAAATAGTGATGTCACACAGCTGTGTCACCAGCCCCAGTGCAGCAGGTGCTGCAGGGCTGCGTGTTGTGTCAGTGCGGCGTGTGCTTCCGGCGGCAGCAGCGCAGACACACACAGCAGTCGCTCACATGGCTTCAGCTGCAGGCGCCGCACCGGCAGCAGCTGCAGCGCCTCAGGGCCACGCTCCGAGCAGGCGCGCTTGAGTTTGTAGCGATGGTTCTGGAACCAGATCTTGACCTGGTTCGGAGTGAGTTGGATCAGAGCCGCCAGCTGCTCTCGCTCCGGCGCAGACAGATACCGCTGCTGTTTGAAGCGCCGCTCCAGCGCCTGCGTCTGCGCCTTGGAGAACAGCACACGCCGCTTCCTCCCGCGGGACTTTAGTGTCTGACCCATGTGACCAGGGTGAGAGAGACCTGGGTGATGACCAGAGAAACCCCTATGTGCAGACAGGGCTGACGGCTGCTCCAGCGTGCACTCTACACAAACAGAAGAAAAGACAAAAAAACATATTTAAAATGAACAAAATCATTAGACGAAAAGTCACTGTCCACAAGGGGGCACTGTGCTGCTGTCACATGTACTACAGCACTGGACTGCAGTTCCTCTCCCTGCCACTCGGAGTGTCCCCCGTGTAGACCGCTGGACTGAACTGTAGGAGGTCTGAATGGATCCTGGTCTCCCTCACAGACAGACTCCAGTTTGTTGAACTTACTTGAACAAAAGCATAATAAAATCAGCAATGAAGACTATTCCTCTTACACTAGAGTTCTCTTGAACATTCATAAAATTATTCTCCAAAAATCCTCCAAAAAGCCACCTTGAGCGTCCAACCCGTCCACCTCTACATTGTCCTCCCCCGCTTTCCCCTTACCCTCTTTTCTCTAAATACAAGGTTAAAACACTGCCACCAACAGTGAAGTTAAACAAGAGACCCAGGCCCCGTCATTAAGCCGCCTCCTCATGGTGAGAACACAAAGAATACAGAACAGCATCAGGAGTTAGACGAATCTAATTCTTGTTCCGTCTAAGATTCAATCGACAACAATTGACGCTGACACTGAAACTTATCTGAAACTTGCTTATTGTCAGTTCTTTTTGTAACAAGTCTTTTTTAATTCATAATTCCATTTGTGCTCATAATCTTATTTCGGGGAGGCATAGCCGCAGATTTTAGTGGTTACTTTGTCTTTCATATAATGCCTCTTGGGAAGTTTGGGTGAATATTTTAAATGTAAATGTTGTTGTTGTTTTTGGATCATTTGTGTTTTTCACTCATAAACCCCCAGTGGACTCTGCAACCGTTAGAAGAAGTTCTGAATGTTCTGAAACCATCGCCCTGTGAAGGTTAAAATTGTGAGGGAAGTTGTCGTGGACTAAAGTCTCAATCTTTTATGCAGCTAAAATCTGAAAATACAAAACAATACAATTTATTCTTGTATAGCCCTAAATCACAACAGAAGTCATCTCAGAGACTTAACAAAACCATTAAAATCACCAACACAGAACATGTGATACAGGCTTCTTCTTTGACTAATCCAGGTTAAAACAGTTTTTTTTGCTGCATACAACTGAGGGATTTTATTTTTCCTTTTTTAAATGTTCTTTGATGGTTTATTTCAATGCCTTGTATGATTATTCCTGGTTTCATGTGCTCTCCTGTACTGACTGTAACGTAACTTTATCTCATTCTCCTCTCTCTCCACAGGGCAGTGGCGGCTGGTGGAATTTTCTACTGGGGGGCTATGAATATGATGACTAGATATATACCAGCAGTAAGTAAGTTTACACTGACTGTTGTGACTGAAGCCTCACACGAGAATCAACAAGGTCACATGATCAGGCCTGTAGCTTTCATCCAGCTGGGATGAAATATTTATCTTCCCAAACATAGCTAATTTGAGGGCATTTTGTATGTGGATACCAGTCTGCTCATGCTGTGAAGTGCTAAAAAGTGCTTCAGATCAGTCATACCTGTCTTGATCCATTCTGGGTCAGACCCTGATGTTTGAAACAAGAGGCATGGAAAGCAAAATAAAGCATTAGCCTCGCTACATGCTGCTAGCCAAGATTTGGCGCAGAACCAGGTCCTGGAAAAAGTACGAGTGTACCGTCTCCCCCTGTCGCTGGACTGCTGACTAATGGTAATATTTGGCTGATCAGGTCCAAGCTCTTTAACCTCAACCTTCTCCTGGTATGATCTTCTCTCAAACGGTATTGTTTTGAGTGATCTAACTGAATTATTCTTTTTCTCGTTCTCCATTTTGCGTCTCTTTACGTTCGTCTCAAATTCCCACAGCTTGACCTGTCAATCACTGTAAACGGACGTCACAGACAGTGAGAGTACAGGTCGCGGGCGATCCCACCCCCTCAGGGCGCACTTCTCCTGCGCCCCCAAATCGTCTTATCTCTTGCATTGAAGAGGAGCTACTGCGCATGTACAACTTTTAACGAGAGTCCATAGACGGCTCAGGGCGCAATCTTTTGCGCCCTGAGGCGGAAATACGTCCTCAGTCCGACACAGACAACGCTGATGAGCTTAATCAATCCAACTCAGCATAAACTATAAAGTATTTCTTCCACATCTGAAATAAAACACACATAAATTTCGAAATATTTTAATGTTATTATTTTTTTTAACGTTTTATTCAAGGTAACATGGCAAGTTGTGAGTGGTGGGGCGGCGCCCTAGCGCCCTCTATTGGCCGGCCGCCACTGCCACAGGGGGCGCTCTTCTGGGACCATCATCTCAGTTTGACAGTCTGTGGTTTACAAATAATAAAAATCTGTATATTGTAATAGAGCAGGACTGGAGTGTGAGCTGTTTTAACATGTAACAAATGTAACAAAGAAAAGCAGAAACTTGAGGATCCAGTGTTATGTTTGTGTTTGTGTGTTAGCGCTTCTTTAGCATCATCTGATGTTACTTTAACCTTTTACAATAACAAACTGAGGATATTTTTAGGCCTCTCCAATTATTCGCCAGTTTCATTTTTTCCCCCTGTCAAATAGCATCGATTCTTGACCCTGTAGACACGCACAAAAGTCTGCACATGGGGGTCTAAAACGACCGATTCGGCGAAAAATGTCATAAAATGAATGTTACCAGATGATTGTCCGACAAACTGCAACTCGATAGCGCCCCCTGGAAATTTCAAATTTGCAAAGCCTATGGGAGCCAGGCATGCATATTTAGGAGTAGGTGAAATTCAGATCAGTGATAGTTCTCTATGAGACGAGCCTAAAACAATCTGGGACCAGCAGGAAGTCGGCCACGATGGTCTGAAGTTTCATCGCCAGTTTGACTTTTCATTTTTTGGATTTGTTCTCGTTTTTCATCAGATCATATGAGGTCTACCACGCCATGCCCTGGAGGCGGCTGCGAGAGTGGAAAGGCCTTTCATCGCTGCTTGCGGCTTTAATGATTTTTTAATTTTTATTTATTTAGATTTAAATTAAGAAGTTTAATGTTTTTAATCAACTGCTCCCACTAATGTCTGCTGTCGCTGTATACTTGGGCAAGACACTTAACCCCACATTGTCTGAAGGGTTGAAAATGAATGAATGAATGAATGTTTTTAATTATTCATTATCATGAAGTATAACAGGCCATGTAGCAACCATACAAATGTGTGTGATGAATGCTCATTCATTTTAATAGGAGGAGGCAGTAGAACATTTGCAGATGGGAAAGGTCCGAGGGCCGCATGAAAAGGAGCCGTATGTGGCCCAGGTCTGCATTCTGACATTTTCATGGACCTTCAGCAACAAGGTCCTGGGTTCGATTCCACCTCCAGGCCTTACTGTGCGGGGGAGTTTGCATGTTCTGCCTCTGCCTGAGTAGGTTTCCTCCGAGTGCTCCGGTTTTCCCTCCCACTAAAAGCATGTGCAATAGGTCTGAGTGGTGTTTGGTCGGAAGCTTTGATGCACCTCTGTGTTCGGGTTTCGCTTCATGAGGAGAGTTTAGAGAATATCTGAACTCTGAACACTGTAAAGGTCTTTGTGTGACATTGGTTTGTGAAATGCGCTACATAAAAAACAAGACACTAAACATCTGAATATCTGATCTAAAACAACGGGTCCTATTTGATGTGCGCATAAATCTTATTTCTCCTTTAATTCGGCTGTAATGGAAGACGAAAAAAGCTGTATCTTTGAACCCGCGGCTTTTTGTTTTCTTTCATTCAGAATCTGGCCGCGCGCGACGCACATCATCATTTTCTATTTATTTCACTGTTTCCGAAACAAACAGGATTTTTTTTACATTATTTGTAAGAATTCTATCAGTTTCAAATCAATTCAATTCAATGTATCCTTGTCTCGTAGTTATCAGAGAATCAATGTTCACTCAGGAATTAAAAAGATAAAACACACAGAGCAGAGACCAATGTTTAAAATCCTTCTTAACAACAAAGATCGTTACAACACAAATAATATCAATGCAAATAGAAAAAACAATACAACCAAAAAAACCAAGAGACCCCGGTCCAGACCCGCTCGGGCCTCGCGCACAAAGGCGGATTATCTTGCGGCGCGTGAGGAGCGCGCGGGATCAAAGGCCTCGGCGCAGACTGTGTTCAGTTTAACTGCAGATTAGAATGGATTATAACGAGTTTAACTGCAGATTAAAAGGGGATTAAAGAGTTTGTAAAGATAAATGGATTTCCCCCACGAGGACACCGCGGCGGCCGCGACCACACGCACGACGCGAGCGGAGAAAAGAACACTTTAAAACCGCTGATGCTGCAACTGCTACTGATACTGATATTACTCATTCATTCATTTATTCCAGAACAAAAGACAAATCTTTTTAAACTGATGCAGAGACTTCGGTAACAAAGTGAGTCAGATAATATTAGAGATAATAATCTTTGTTCCTTGAATGTTCTTCATGTTTGTCCAAAACCTGCAGATCACATTCTCCTCTTGGTGCTATAATAATTATAATAACAATTATAATAATAATAATGATATGATTAAAGCTGCGGTCTGTAACTTGTAAACTTTCTTTAATTACGGTGATGATTTATTATTATTGATAATAATTAATAATTATTAATAATAATAACATCTATATAATTTCAAACCAAGATCTCAGTTAAACAGATGGTAACATTTTATTCAATGTTAATAATTTTATCAATATTAGAAAAAAGCACTGTTCAATTTTCTTTAAAAAATATATTTCAAATTTTTTTCTCTCTTATTAACTCATTAATGTTGATGTCAAAATGTTGTTATAAAACATTTAGAAACAGGAATGTTGTGTGTGACGTGAACACTTTCAGATTCACATTTTTTCCCGTTTGCAGTGAAACCAGTGAAACACAGAATTATAGGGTTTGAGAAATGTTTTATGTTTTTATACAGACTATATTTACAGAACACGGGGTCCATTTTAAAATTAGATGTGTTTTTTTATCACAGGACAGTCCCATCAACATGAGCCAAGGAGCAGGTTGTAAAACAGTGACATAAAAGTATATGCAAAAATGAACATTATCAGACTGAAAAATACAACTTTGAGTAAAATGGGTCTGAAACAGAAACTAGACCAGGACTGAACCAGGTCTGACCCAGGTCTGATCCAGGTTTGATCCAGTGTGTGTGAGTCGACTCTGACCTGAGAGCGGCTGGAGGTCCCAGGGGCCTCTGCGCTGATCTGCATCCTTGTTCGAGGCCTCTCCTCTGGGCGGCTGAGCTCCGCTGGGCCCTGGTCTCACACCGGGAGTCCTGGAAATCTGGTCCGAGTCCGGGAGGTCCAGGATCTCACGCACCGAGAATCCAGATCTGGACATGACCCCTGGACCAGGTCTAAAGCAGGGCTAAAGCAGGACTAAAGCAGGGCTAAAGCAGGACTAAAGCAGGACTAAAGCAGGACTAAAGCAGGACTAAAGCAGGACTAAAGCAGGACTAAAGCAGGTTTAAGGTAGGTCTAAAGCAGGACTAAAGCAGGTTTAAGGTAGGTCTAAAGCAGGACTAAAGAAGGTCTAAAGCAGGTCTAAAGCAGGTCTAAAGCAAGTCTAAAGCAGGACTAAAGCAGGTCTAAAGCCGGATTAAGCAGTACTGAAGCAGGTCTAAAGCAGGTTTAAAGCAGGACTAAAGCAGGTCTAAAGCAGGTCCAAAGCAGGACTAAAGCAGGACTAAAGCAGGTGGCAGGACTAAAGCAGGACTAAAGCATTCTAAGCAATTCTAAGCAGGTCTAAAGCAGGACTAAAGCAGGACTAAAGCAGGACTAAAGCAGGACTAAAGCAGGTCTAAAGCAGAACTAAAGCAGAGATAGTGTGGATTTGAGGAGGTGGAGTCTCAGCTCAGATCTTGGTCTTGGTCCTGGTTTTGGTCTTGGTCTTGGTCTCTGATGCTTCAGTCACAGAAGGACCATCATGTGTTTGATCACAGCTGGTTCTAAAGTCGAGTTTTTTCCACCAATATGAGATATTTTCATAAACGTGATCAGAAGGAGCTCCCCTCATTAAAACTTGTATGGTGTGTGTTGTGTGTGTGTGTGCGTGTGTGTGTGTGTGTGTGAGTGTGTGAAAGAGAGAGAGAGGGTGGTGTGTGTGTGTGTGTGTGTGTGTGTGTGTCCACAGTTCGACCTCCTGCTGCTCTGTTCAGTTTTCTCTTGTCTCCATAAACATTTAGACATAATACTGTTTCAGCCCGAGACAATAGAGAGAGATCAGAGACCAGAAAGAGACCAGAGAGAGAGAGAGACCAGAAAGAGACCAGAGAGAGAGAGAGAGAGAGAGAGACCAGAGAGAGAGCAGAGAGGGACCAAAGAGAGACCAGAGAGAGAGCAGAGAGGGACCAAAGAGAGACCAGAGAGAGACCAAAGAGAGACCAGGGAGAGAGACCAGAGAGAGAGACCAGAGAGAGACCAAAGACAGACCAGGCAGAGAGAACAGAGAGAGAGAGACAGAGAGAGACCAAAGAGAGACCAGAAAGAGACCAGAGAGAGACCAGAGAGCGACCAGGAGAAGACCAGAAAGAGACCAGAGAGAGGCCAGGGAGAGAGACCAGAGAGAGAGAGAGACCAGAAAGAGACCAGAGAGCGACCAGCGAGAGAACAGAGAGAGAGACCACACACACACAGCAGAGTGCATCACTGGATTTCTTGAGTTAGTGAAACTGCATTGTTTACTTTACGTAACAACAATAAATGTGTTAGATATAATTAACGTTTTTAAAATCCCACTAACTGTTGTGCCTGGACTCTGTATGACGCTGAGGCCTGTAGTTTAGGCCTTCCATTATAAGTGGTTCTAGTCAGTGACAGAGGAAGACGCTTGTTCAGGTTGCTCCTGGTGTTTATGACAGACCTCCTCATTCCTGGTCTTATATCGCCATCTGCTGCTGAGACCAGGAAGTGCATCTGTCATAAAACACGTAAACCCGCGGGAAACTCGCATATAAATGACTGAACTATGGACTAAACACAAACAGATGCACTTCTTTCTCATCTGCCATAATATCTGAATAATTATTAATTGCAGTGATTGTCGTTCTACTTCCGGGTTTCCGTAAACAGGAAGTGAGCGACAGCGTAGAGGACAGAACCAAGAACGCGTTTTATGTTGACATTTTTCTCTGTCTCATATTAAGACAACGAGACTGTCCATGGAGGTGGACTGAACACTTAAAGCTGGGGTACGTAACTTTAGTCTAGTGATGGGTTGATGAAGCTTCATGAAGTGTTGAACCTTTTCATCGAGAAAAAGGTTCATTTCTTGATGCTTCATATGCTCACAAACCTCCTGTTGGTCAAAATCTGTATTGACATTTGAACTGTTTGTGAGGCTCTTGGTGCATAGGAATTAATACTGGTAACAGAAATAATAATGTAATTTGATTGTGTATGACCCATTCATTCATTTGTTTCATTATGATCAATATCATTAGTGAAAATTAAATGACAATAAAATCATAATGTACTGGGAACTGGTACAGTTGTCTGCTCTAACACACACACACATACACATACACATATACACAAATACACACACATATATTTAATGATGAATGATTATAGCTTGTCAAGTCAAAATCAATGTTATAAATCCAATAGGACAAAAAACATGTTGAAAGTGTAAGTGCTTTTCTAAGGACGTGACACAAATGGGGATATTAATTGGGCATTGTGACCCCATCAGTTGTTTAAAACCAAAACATTTCTGACAAAGTTCTTACACGTGTATTTACATCAAAGTGCTCCCGGTAAGATTCGAACCCCGGTCCACCAGGTCCCAGCCCTGCTTCCCTACCATCACTGACTGAATTAATCAAGACAAACACACGAAGTTTGAGCGGATCCTCTGCAGTACTTCATGAATCTCTCCATTTCCTGTGCTCCCGAGGCTTCAAACGTCATTGGTGACGTCACTCATCTAAAACAACTCAGGCTTCGACTCGCGCTCCGATAAAAACTTCAGGGATTTCTCGACTCACGCCCCGAAGCGCCGACGCGGCACGACCCATCACTACTTTAGTCTAGAGGAGAACAGAAAGAGTCTTAAAGTATAATGTTGAACAAAATGTGAATACATCATGCGTGTTTGTGTGCGTGGTAGTGTGCGTGTGTGTTGTGTGCTCAGATGCGCCCCCTGGAGGCCAAGCGGCTGCTGAAGGCGGTGATAGCTCTGGAGTTAGCCGGAGTGTTCGGAGCCTACGGCCTGTTCACCTGGATGAACAACAGCAGAGGTGAGACACTTTACTATCAACACATGATTGAACCTTAAAACATGTTCATAGACGTGTATGAGGAGTGTGACATCATCAAACAGATCTGAACATAAGCTGGAGCTAGTTTCCTTATATGGGCATTTGTTCTGACGCCGTTCGCTTTTCTCTGGCGTGACATAGGCAGATGTGTTGTTAAAACAAGCTGGAGTTTCCCACTGAATGAAGGCCTCTGATTTAAGCTCACAATGTTGAGTGTGACACAGTTAATGAGCCAGAGGAGTTTACTTTTACATGAGTTAATAAAAGCCTGAGAAAGGAGCCAAACTTCACCATGAGCACTTCCCTACTGGGTCCTAATGCCGACATCTCAGGCACCCCTCAGTAATCACTGTATAATGTGCAGTGTTGGACACGTTACTTTGAAGTAATTAGTTATAGTTACTTCTCCCAAAAAGTAACTGAGTTACTAACGGAGTTACTCCACTATAAAAGTAACTAGTTACCAGTAAAAGTAACTATTGCGTTACTTTTTCGTTTTGTTCTGGAACATAATGTGCACTCGACATGCGCATTTTTACCTTTAACCTCAGTGAGTCTGAAATAGTGCCAATATTTCCATCTGAAAAAGGCTGTTTTGCTGCTGAAGTCCTGTTCACTCTCCATCTCTCTCTGTGCTGTAAGCACTAAACACAAACACCCGCCACTGTGAATGTGGAAACACCGGTGAAGCACTGACTTCAGCCCAATCAGATGAACATATATATCATAGAAATCAACTGGACCTAGAGAGCGGCTTATTCACAGTTTGTTTGGCTACAGCAGAATATGTTTCATGCCCGCATTGTTTGTTCAAACAAAACACTAAACTATGAGTTATGGGTCTTACCTTATAAATGACCTGCACAGTCCACTTCAGTTCAGACCAGTTCCGTGTTTAAGTCCAGATAATAATTTGAGCGTAGATATGTAATCCTCCATTTGGAAATGAGTCCAATAAGTTTTAAAAAGTAAAACAAAAACGCATGTGTCCTCCATAAACTCTTGCTGGAAAAAAATTACCCTAAGTGCATTTTAAATTATCTTAAAATGTGTTATATGTATGTTAACCAAACATGTTGCTGCCCTTAGCAGATAAACCAGGAAGAGAAAGGAGCTTATCGATGGAATTGTATGCAGCCTTCTGCGCTCACATGCGCTCCTCTGAGGCATCACGGTGATACAAGCCGTGGTTGAGCGCGATTAAGACCCATATTTGTTTCAAAAACACAATTTATGACCGTCCTCTCAACTGTAGACATGTGGATTGTAAAGGAAATGTTTTAAATCAGCCAATAATTGCTGAGAGGTTTTTTGATCCTCCTTTCTCTCAAGACAACAGTGTCCTATCATGAAGGAAAAAAAGTTAATTGTGCGTCTTGAGTAACGCGCAGTAACGGGGTGTCGGCGATGATAACGTCGTTATAGTTATAGTCAAAGTAATTAGTTAGATTACTCGTTACTGAAAAAAGTAACGCCGTTATTCCCATCACTGATAATGTGCTGCTGTTTTCAGACTTTAGGAGCAAAGTGAACACACGCTTCCCCAGAGTCTTAGAAGGTAAGAGCGTTTACACAGACTCATGCACACGGCAGTAAGCTGAGCTCTGATTGGTCCTCTGTGTTTCAGCCTATTATCTGTCCAATGAGTACGCTGGAGTCTACGGCATCAGAGAGAGGGACCAGGAGGCCTGGAGCCAGCAGGACTGAACAAATACTGGACAAGGACCAGGATTGAACCAGGTCCGAACTGAGCTTAGAACGTGGGGGATAAAAGTTCTCATCCTGCCGTTTCATTTTCAGAACTAAGACTTTGATTAAAGTCTCTAATCAGCAGAATTGTTATCAACCGTCCGGTGTGAAAACTGTCGTTCCCCGTTTACTGAGGACCAGAACTCTCAGTCCATGTGGATTTATCCTGCAGTACCACCACGGGCCTCTAGTCCATGCTCAGCCCTCAAACCATTGTGCCAGTTGCCCCTGGTTACTGATGTTTTTATTTGAATAAACGGTTCAATGAACAAATGTGCGTGATTTTTATACAGTCACAGATTTATTCATTTGGTTTGTTACAGAAGAGTAGATAAAACACATTCAGTTTGTTTTTAACACACAGCACTGCTGCCGTCAGGGTTTGAGCTTCTAGTTACTCACATTAATAAACCACTTTCTTGTAATCCAAGAGTATATGAGTGTGACATCACCAGTGTCGTCTTGATGCGAAGCTGAAGCTGGAGCCAGTTCCCTTACATGAGCGTTTGCTCTGACATCAGCTCCGTGCCATGACAGGCATGTTAAGGATCCTGATTTGCTGGAGGAGTTTATTTTTACATGGAAGTCAATAGGTTAGCATCGTCCTCCATCTGTGTACAGTCTCTGGTCCAGTTTGTACGGAGGTCATAATAAAATATATTTATGTCCAAATGTTCATAAAACTCCAGTCTGTGGTCACTTCCTCCTCTTTCCGCTGAACTTCTTGTTTCCGGGGCTCTTTCCTCCTAACATGGCTGCTCCTGGTGTCCTCTTCCTGTCTCCTGGTGTCCTCTTCCTGTCTCCTGGTTTCCTTCTCTTCTGGAACATGGCCTTCTTCTTCCTCAGAGTTTTGACGTCACGGTTGTGGATCCAGTCGTCCCGTTGGCTCTCCCACTTCAGCTGCTTCACCCCTGCACACAACACCACAGTGACTGCTCCCTCTAGTGGCACGATTGGAGAACTACAGCCATTTCAGTTCACTTTAAAGGCAAAAAACCCATGTCTCCAATTCTGGCTCTAAAACAGTTGCTTCTGTCTCTATAGTTTCATGTGTTTCTGTTTCTGTCTTTAGATCAAAGAGGACCACCCTCAGCCAATCAGCTCTCATCATAAAGAGGCAGATAGTGGTCTTTCTGTTCAACCTACTTGTGTCATCAGTGTTGGGAGTAACTAAAGTAATGTGCTTTCTGCAGAATCGCAGTAATGTAAGGCATTAAACACCAGTAATATTTGACTCAGTAACTTTACATTGCATTTTAACTTATAATAAATCATGCTTTGTATTTGCCGCCGCGAGATCAGCAGGAGTCACCTCTGCTGCAATGGTCTTTGCCTCCAAGTGTTCCTTTCATGGTCAAACTAAAAGCTCTATCAACCTCACGCTACAGCATCATAAGCTCCATTTAGTTTGTATTTATATATTTGGGGAAAGTAACTTCAAAGTAATGCAGTAGTAGAGTAATCCTTAACAGAGACTTATTGTAGGAACACATTACTTTGAAACAACAGTAACAAGTGTCAAAGTTGTTCACCTGCTTTGTCCGAGTTCCTCACAGCGTCGAGTCCCGTGTGGTCGACTTTAGAACCAGCGTTTTCATCCAGGAGAGATCCAAACTGAGAGGGAGGAGACAGGTTTGAACCAGGACTGAGCCAGGTTTGAGCCAGGTCTGAGCCAGGTCTGAGCCAGGTCTGAGCCAGGTCTGAGCCAGGTCTGAGCCAGGTCTGAGCCAGGTCTGAGCCAGGTCTGAGGACTGAACCAGGACTGAACCAGGACTGAACCAGGACTGAACCAGGACTGAACCAAGACTCACCTCTTCCGCTGATACGAAGGCGCCTGTGTTGCTCTTCATCCTCTTCTTCTTCTTTGCCCCTTTTGAATCTGAAAAAATTAGCTTTTAAGATGAAAATGAAGAGATCCTTTATTCATCTTCCTTTGGGGAAATGTCAGTGTTGCATCACAGCGACAGAACAGTGGAATGAGGACGAGAATATTAAGTAGATCACAACTACACTTTAATATATTACAATTTCTAGCTTGTGTGTGTTTGCTTATGTAATGTTTGTGTGTCTGTACCTGTGAAGTCCAGTTTCTCAGAGTTTTTGCGTTTGCATGTAGTTTTCTGTCTGGTCTCCTCCTGCTCCTGCTCCTCCTGCTCCTCCTGCGAGTCTGGGACAGGACATGACATAACTCATCAGTAAACACATTAAATCAGATAAAACCCATGAGTTTGAATCCTCACCTTCAAAGTCGTCCTCCAGCTCTGGGACTGAACACAGACACAAGGTTATTACACAAACATCACATTAAAACATCTTTAGAGCCAGTTCATCTGTCCCAAAAAGTCACCAAATGACTACTGTTATTTTATTTATTTATTTATTAGTTTATTTGACAGGGACAGTGTACATTAATGAACATTACTGTAAATGTACCAGAATTAGCCACAAGGCTATTTTCCATCCGTTGTCCCTGGACAGATTTAAAATGTCAACCTAAAAGCAAACACAACACTTGTATACAAAACAACAATGATAAAAACAGTGTACATTTACCATATATACAATTAGTTAAAAGTTAGTGTTGACAGGACTGTTTTGTAATGAACCATGATTTGAGATGAGTTTTGAACAGATTGTATGAGGCCAGTTCTCTGATGTTTGATGGGACTGTGTTCCACTCCTGAGACGCCCTCACAGAGAAGGCACTCTGGCTGAAGGCGCTCTTCCGGAGTGGGATAACACAGTCCCCACGGGCGGCCCCCCTGGTTACCCTGTGTGTGGTGTTCCTGACTGTGATAAATTGATTGAGAGGAGGTGAAGATGAACCATGAATGATCTCGTAAATGAGACAGAGATTAGAGTATTTGATGACATTTGTCCAATTTAGAAGATGGTGTTTTTGTAAAATGGAACAGTGGTGAAATCTTTGTGGTTTTTTGTCCAGTATCTTGAGTGTTTGCTTGTATAAGGATTCTATTGGTTTTAGGGATGTTTTGTTTGCCTGTGGTTAAGCAGTATGTAATGTGAGACAGAACCATAGAAAACATGAATAATCTTGCGGACTGAAGTGATAAGTTGGATCTGATGAACCGGAAATTAGCTAGGTTGAATTTGACTTTATTGGAAATGTTTTTTATGTGGGATTTGAATGTCAGCTTTGAGTCTATTGTTACTCCCAGATATTTGTATTCTGTCACGATTTGAATTTTTTGACCGGAAACTGAGATATTGATGTTATCATATGAGGTGTTGGATTTTGAGAAGAACATACCAACCGTTTTATTGACATTGAGCTTTAGGCAGCACTGATTTAACCAATTTGTGACATGAACCATAGACTGTGATAGTTTGTCGGCAGCTTGTGTGGGGTTTTTGGCGTGTATGTAAATTACTGTATCATCTGCGTACATTTGAACATTTGCATGCGGGCACACTGATGGAAGGTCGTTGATGTAAAGTGAAAAGAGTAGTGGGCCTAAAACGGAACCTTGTGGGACACCGGTGGACAATGGGAGAAAGGGGGAGCAGTGATTATTGATCCTGACAGACTGTACGCGATCTGATAGATATGACTTTGTCCATTTTATTGTACTTCGTGAAAAATTGAATTTGCTGAGCTTTGAGATGAGTATTTCATGATTTACAGTGTCAAACGCTTTTTTGAGGTCAAGAAACACTGCTCCTACAACTCCATTTTTATCCAGTAATTTTTTTACATTTTCTATGAGGTAAACATTTGCTGTTTCTGTGGAATGTTGCGCCCTGAAACCGAATTGCATTGGATGAAGGGAGAATTGTGTTGTGTTTAGATGGGTAGCTATTTGTTGAGCAATGAGCTTTTCTGCAATCTTGGAAACTGTTGGGAGAATACTTATTGGCCTATAATTGCACAGAGACATAGGATCACCAGATTTATGGATTGGGATGACGGCAGCTTTTTTCCAGATAGTAGGAAACTGATTCTGGGATATAGAATAGTTTATCATTTTAGTTATGGGTGGAATGAATACAGTGCTGAGTTCTTTTACCATAAATGAATCCATGCCAAAAATATCTTTAGTTCTTGATGATTTAAGTGACCCTATCATCTGTCCAACTTCAGCCTCTGTCACATCAACAAAGGCGAAGGATGGTTCCAAGGTGTTCGTTGGATAAACAGTCATCTTGGTTGAGGGGAAAGATCCAGCGATCGCGGATACAGACTCGGAGAAAAAAACATTTGTTGCCTCAGCAATTATAAGTGGGTTTTTTAACACTTGTCCATTCACCCTAATTTCTGAAAGTGTTTTCCTTTTAGCGTCCTGTCCTACTAATTTCTTCAGATGATTCCAAATAATTTTAGAGTTCCCTTTAGCATTTTCTATTATGGTTAGGAAGAAATTAGCTTTGGCCCTACGTATACGATATACAACTTTATTTCGCAACGATGTGAACAACTTTCTAGCAGTATTTGTCTTATTTTTCATTGCTTTTTTAAGTGCAAAATCTCTTTCCTTCATCAGTTTTAAAATATCCTGATCCATCCAAGGTAATTGATTTTTATTTTGTTTCCTATTGATTTTAGCACTGTGTTCCTTAATTAATTGCTCTATAGTTTTTAAGAATGATTTACTGTCTTCATCAATGTCTTTACCCTGCAGTAGTTGATCCCAGTTAGTTTGTTGAATCGAGTTTCTGAACATTTCCTGCATGTTTTTGGGAATTCCCACATATTCATTGTCACTGCTATATGAGTGAAATCTCTGATTTGAGAGTTACTAGTGCTGCTTCTACTGCTACTATTGCTGCTGCTAATCGGGGGTTCGTCAGACCGATGGATCTTGAACGAAGAACACAAGGTCACTCCAACATGCATCAATTTCAACTTAAGAAGAAAATTAGCTTGAAAAATAGGAGAAAAAACCTGCTGATTGCCAACTTGCTCTGTGGTCTGAGCGGAGCCTGCAGGGCCTCTGATGTAAACATGTTTACACTGATAACGGGGCAGAGCACAGAGCGATACAGAGAGATCCTGAAAGCTCTTACCATCCTCATCGTTGTCGTCTGGGTTCATGAAGGCTCCGCCCTCTTCCTCAAACTCCTCCCCAAAGTCTTCCTCATCCAGACTGAGCTCCACCTCCTCATCGTCCAGATCCAGGTCTGAGTCCTGGTCCGAATCTGGGTCTGAGTCCAGAGGGTCTGAGGTCTTCTTCCGGCTCACGTTCCTGAAAACATGTAACAGAGACGTCCCTTAAGGCTTCGCTCTGGGACCACTGCTCTTTATAGACAACTGTGGTTAAAATATACATCTGTGTGTGGGATGTGTGTGTGTTTGTGAGAGAATGTGTGTGCGTGCGTGTGTGTGTGTGTGTGTGTGTGTGTGTGTGCTCACCCGGCAAAGTCCAGGTTGTCCTCCTTCAGCTGAACGTAGAAAGAGTCTCCTTCACACGAGTCTGAGAGAAACAAGAGTTTACTACAGTAAAACACAAGACACACGAGACACGCACACATGCACAAAACCAGTCCAGACCGGTGTGGTCCGGTCCCGATCCAGTCCAGTCTGATCCGGTCCCGATCCAGTCCAGTCTGGTCCTGATCCAGTCCAGTCCAGTCCAGTCCAGTCTGGTCTGGTCTGGTCCCGTCCAGTCCTGATTTAGTCCAGTCTGGTCTTGTCTGGTCTGGTCTGGTCCCGTCCAGTCCTGATTTAGTCCAGTCTGGTCTTGTCCAGCCCAGTCCTCACCCAGGATCTTCTCAAACTCGTCGTCGTCCACGTCCTCGATGCTCTCAGTGTCTGCATCAGGACGAGGTCTGCGTCCCTGCTGCTGCTCCTGCTGCTGCTGCTGACGCTTACGGAAATACCTGAACATACAACAATATGTTATTAATAAAAACTAATACTGCTGCTGATGGAAGGACCTCCTGCAACATTATACTACAACTACAAGTTACAGAAGAACCTGATCCATCAGTATCTCTCTCTCTCTGATCTCTTTCTCTGGTCTCACCGATGGAAGAAGACCTGGTCCACAGGGATCTGAGATTCGTCTTTGGTCACAAACTCATCACAGTTCACTGGAAACACAAGTTCAAAACAGGTTTAGTCCAGGTTTGAACTGGACTAAACCTGTTTGATGGTTTAGTCCAGTTCAAACAGGTTTAGTCCAGTTCAAACAGGTTTAGTCCAGTTCAGACCGCTCTAATCTGAGTACAGAGTCTCACCTGGGGCACTACTGGTTGCAGTTTTCTTCGGCTGCAGAACAATCGACTCAGAACTCTCTGGAAGAGGGGGACAGTTACAAGTTAGCAGAAAATATATGTGAAACAAGAGCCAGGCGGCGACGTCACAGATTAGGGGCGGCAACGTCACAGACCAGGGGCGGCGACGTCACAGACCAGGGGCGGCGACGTCACAGACCAGGGGCGGCGACGTCACAGATTAGGGGCGGCGACGTCACAGACCAGGGGCGGCGACGTCACAGACCAGGGGCGGCGACGTCACAGACCAGGGGCGGCGACGTCACAGACCAGGGGCGGCGACGTCACAGACCAGGGGCGGCGACGTCACTGCCTGATCAGTACCTGGATCACTCACGTTTCTGCTGTTTGGGATTCCTGAAGACGAATCTGTCCAGGAACCGGATCAACGTGAAGTCCTGCAGCGGGTCTCCAGAGTACGACACACTCTCCCCCTGAACACACACACACCTGGTTACACCTGGACCTGGTCTGGATCCTGGTCTGAGGCCTGGTCCTGGTCTCACCTTCAGGATGGTCTTGGCGAACAGAGACACAGACGGATGGTAATGAGCAGCGAGCTGAAACAAACAGTTGAACTTTAGAAACAATTTCTTTAATCAGGAATTAACCTCAAATTCCCCTTCGTCTGACCTAGTCTGGTACAGTCTAACCCGGTCTAGTCTGGTTGGCCCTGTGTGACTCTGTCTGGTCTGGCTCTTACCTGGTGCAGTTCCCACAGTGTGCAGTGGTCGGCGCCACAGAACAGAGGATTCCTGTGGAGCGGGTCGTACGAGTGAGAACGCACTCCTCCTGAAACACAACACACACGTCAATACAACTCACACACACGACACCCACACACAACCCATATCCGCGCACAGACACACACACAGCTCACCCTCCATGTTGTGGTGGTGTACCCATGATGCACTGGGCTTGTCCTGTGGAGGGGGCGTGGCTTTGTCTGCGTCCACAAAGTTCTCTTCCTCTTCTTCGTCAGGCTGGTCTCTGAACGACTCCTCTCCATCCTACACACAGGGCCTCATAAGTACACAAACACAGGACCTCAGAAAAACACATGCAGAGGCTTATAACTCAAGCACTTTCAAGGTAAACTTGGATAGGAATAACTTTGTCAATTACCTTTAGCTGTAAGTGCCGCCCATTGTATGTCACTCATGTCCCTATCACAGACCGGGCAGTATCCCCGTTTGTCATCTCGGCCATAAACAAACTTTGTACTTATTTCAAACTTGACATGTTAATGTCTGCCGAGATACGGACGTACACACCGTTACTGAGCATCCTGAAACCATGGGAGCAATATCATGGAGATGGAGTCGAACTTAATTTTTATAAAGTACTGAATTCTATTTCTCGTGGCATAAAGTCCTAATGTTATATTAAAACACAGTAAAGTTTGAAAAAAATCAAGCATTTTCAAGCATACTTAAAATGTCAAGCACATTCCAGACCTTCAAAACACTTTACTGAAATTCCAGCCTTGTCCAGACTTTCAAGGATCTGTACAAACTTGTCAAAAGTACACATACACACAGCCACGCACACACCCAAAAGGCCTCATAACTACACAGCCACACACAGACACTCGCCAACAGACAGACAGGGCCTCATAAGTACAAACACACACACATAGGGTCTCATAAGTACAAACACACACACACACACCTGGTTGTCCTGCAGCAGTGTCTGTAAGCCTGGCTTGCTCCTCAGGATCTCCGACAGCAGGAACAGTGCTCCGCAGGTGAAGCTGGCGCTGTTCTCTGCACTGACCTGTAGGAGGCGCTTCAGGAATGCCTTCACCCTGCGCAGCACTGTGTCCGCCTTCACAGACTTATACACCAGGTTCAGGAACATGGACTGACGAGACGACGACACCAGCCCCGGGTCCAGCAGCTTCCTACACACACACACACACACACACACACACACACACACACACACACACACACACACACACACACACACACACACACACACACACACACACACACACACACACACACACACACACACACACACACACACACACTATTTGTATAGCACAGTTCATACATAGTTTTCCGATATTTTGCGAGAATAAAGATTTCTTATCTGTTTGACATTTATCATGGTCTGTACATGAACTGAAGCAGAGGACAAGTCTTATTTTCCTCGATGTTTGTAAAGTCTTTGAAAAATATGAGGATATGAATCGCAGTATATCTCAGAATCAAATCACAATACTGTCTATATCGCAATAATATTGAATAATCGCCCAAATATCAAAATACGATTGAAATCCTCACATTTTTGCTATCTCCCAGCACTAAGAGTATTAGCTAAAACAGCAGTAACGGTGTCTCACCAGTAGAGGGCGCAGTAGTACTGGTCTCTCACTTGTAGAGGGCGCAGTAGTACTGGTCTCTCACCTGTAGAGGGCGCAATACTGGTCTCTCACTTGTAGAGGGCGCAGTAGTACTGGTCTCTCACCTGTAGAGGGCGCAGTAGTACCGGTCGGACACGGCCTGTTGAGACTCCATGACCTGGAACAGTAGCATTAGCGCCTGCACCGCGGTGTTGAAGCGGACAGAGTGCACCACAGAGAACAGCGTGTCCATGTGCTTCCTCACGGCGGCGTCTCCCTCCGTGGCGTAAGGATACGCTCGGTTCACTCCGCTCAGCAGCGCACTCAGCATCCTGCCCGCCACTTCCTGCCGCTTCACACACCAGCGGAAGAACGAGAAGTAGATCCCAATGAGGCGACCGGCCAGGGCGCCGTCGTCCCGGGTCAGGATCACCTGCACCAGAAACAGGTTAAAGCTGGGGTCTGTAACTTTAAAGCCTCTCCCCGCTCTGGTCTGGTCTCTCCCCCCTCTGGTCTAGTCTGGTCTCTTCCCCCTCTGGGTGCAGTACCTGGCTAAGGAAGCAGAGGGCGTAGTACTGGGCCTTCTCCCCCACATTGGCTCTGAACAGCAGCCGCTCCACCTCAGCACACACCACCCCCTTCATGTTGGGGTGGCGATGGAGCAGCGTCTCTAGTGTATGCGAGGCTTTAGCCGCTAGCTTGTACTCAGGGTCCCCCAGCTTATTGACCATCTGCGTGAGGAGCGCCTTCTCCTGCTCCGGACGCGCACTCAGCAGCTCGAAAGCCGTAGTCAGAGCTTTTGCTTTGGTCGTCAGGACGGTGTCATGAGAGACGACCTCCAGGGCAGACACAAAGTCCTCCATGATGATCTGAAGAGAGAGCACACATGAGGGAGAGACAGGACAGATCAGAAAGGCCAGAGAGAGAGACCAGAGAGAGACCAGAGAGAGACCAGAGAGACCAGGAGAGGGGAGAGGAAGAGAGACCCTAGAGAGAGAAAAGAAAAGACCAGGGTTTAGACCAAAAACAAAACAGTGAAACTTGGCAGAGGGACTGTGTGCTTCATCACATGACCAGAATGAGGGCGTGTCCAAACATGAGGCTCTGTGCTCTTAAGAGGCAGCGCTGGCCTGGTCTCAGGAGGATCCAAGCCCCAATGATCCAAGATGGTGCCCTATTCAAATGAATGGCTTGTGCGCAGTAGCGCATGGGACTTCATGGAGACCGGGAGATTAGCTGAACTCGCCTATATTTGGGCATCGTCTGGTCCTCCCAGTTCTGCGCAGTGTACGAGCTCCCATGATGCGTTGCGCCAAATGTGCGTATGTGGCTCTCATGCACGTGTCAGAGCGGGAAGGAAACAAGCAGAGTTTGTGGCAGTAAAGTGTGGATTTAAAGAAAACAGAAGGATTTAAGAAGAAGAAAAGTTCAGGATGACAAGGGACACTAAAATCCCCACAAAATCCGATCTTTATGAAAGCTGTAGGTTCTCTGTCAGGTTCTCTGTCAGGTTCTCTGTCAGGTTCTCTGTCAGGTTCTCTGTCAGGTTCTCTGTCAGGTTCTCTGTCAGGTTCTCTGTCAGGTTCTCTGTCAGGTTCTCTGTCAGGTTCTCTGTCAGGTTCTCTGTCAGGTTCTCTGTCAGGTTCTCTGTCAGGTTCTCTGTCAGGTTCTCTGTCAGGTTCTCTGTCAGGTTCTCTGTCAGGTTCTCTGTCAGGTTCTCTGTCAGCTGAGGTCAGGCTGATTTAATTTACATCGAGTTCTATGGGACTTTTTTTCTGGGTAGTCCACGTGAATTTAGTTTGCAGTACCACGGGCGACCCCTGTGCCCATGGGTGGGACAGCTATAAGCTAGTAATACCCTATCCAGTTATTATTATAGATCCATGGGAGGATCCAGTACCTTCAGTTTGTGCTCAAACATCCACAGCAGCAGTCTCCGGTCCCTGGCCTCTCTGTTGCCACTTGCCCGCTGCTCCAAATCCTCAAACGGACGCAGTTTGAAGGGGTGAAGTTTGCGGTTCTCTGGGAGGAGGTCAGAGAGGAGCAGCTCGCGGAGGGTGTCCACCGCCATCAGGCCCATCCTGAGATTATAAGGAAAATTTAATACAACTACAGGCCAAATCTACAGAGGAGGGATGAACAAACCACAGGCACAGGAGAGAGAAGAGGCCATTATGAGGTCTGTCACCATAATTATGGTACTATTCTGATCAGGTCTCTCCTCTCTCGCTGGTCTCTCCTCTCTCCGTCTCTCCTCACCTCCTGCCCCCCTTCCTCCTCATCATGGCCACTAGGCTGCTGAGATGTTCCAGAGAGTGCACAGGTGAGTCCTGAATGAGGACCGTCATGGCGGCCAGTCGATCGGCCAGGACTCCGGCCGACACCACGTTCTTCATCCACGACGAGTTCGCTCCTCTCTGCAGATTCTTCTTACTCCTGTACAGGTCCTGCTCCTGCTGCAGCAGCTGCAGCGCCAGGGCCTCGTATCTGAGGCGGAGAGGATGAGAGACAGGGGAGAGAGGAGTGGGGAGGGGAGGGGAGAGAGGAGTGGGGAGGGGAGGGGAGAGAGGGGGGAGACAGATGAGAGAGGTGAGACGGTGGGGAGAGAGGGGAGGAGAGAGATGAGAGAGAGAATCAGGTCAGAAACTACTCTTTCTGACCCTGATCAATTGTTCCCAACCCCTGGGCTCTTACTCCAGATCCAGCACCAGTCTCTTTAAGAGCCAAGCCTGACCCAGACCTGACCCAGACTTGACCCAGACCTAATTCTCAGACCAACAGAACTCTGTATTAAACCCATGACTCTAGTTCTGTCACATCTTTAGAACAAAGAGAGGACCACCCTCACTCAGATCACTGAGGCTGGGAGACCTAAGCCAGCCCTAAGGACACCTCACACGTCAATGTGGATGTGAGACCTTCAAGAACCCGGTAAGAACTAGACCTAAACCGGAGCTAAACCAGACCTAGACCTTGTGGCTTACCTGGACACCAGCTCCCCGTCCTGAGCTCCAGAGCAGACCTCACTGCTGTAGTCGTTATGAAACCACTTCCCTCCAGGTTTTATGAGCAGCAGAGTCCTCTGCGTGAACTCAAACACGTTCTTCTTCACCGCTGTCTTCTTCAGATCCTTCGTCTTCACTGCGGTCTTCTTCCCCTCGGCAGACGTGGACTCCTCCCCGTTCACTTTACTGCTAGCTTTACTGTTAGCTTTACTGGACACAGCTTCAGGCTTCTTCTCTTCTGGCTCCTGTTTCTCTGCTGGAGCCTCCTCTTCATCAGGAACAGTCTGAAATATACAAGAAATGTATCAAGTCCAGAGACCACGGAGAGAGACGTGAGATAGACGGGAGATAGACGTGTGAGTGTTACCTGCAGACTGGAGTAGGCCCTAATTCCCAGTTTGCTGATGAACTTCTCCAGTTCTCCTTCCTCCAGGTCGTCGATGGCTCCTTTCTTCCCTCCGTCGATGAGTTCATTCCACTCATCCACCGCCGACAGCATCACAAAGTCCGACTGCAGAGATCGCACACAACACAGCATTTTAACACACATCACAACAAAGTGTGGACACAGCAGCAGGTCACAGTAGGTCTGTTATACCTGCTGCTTCTCTTTGGCATAAATACACACTGGAAGTTATTACTGTATTGACATGTTTTGAAGACGACGGATAAAGAAACACTCAGGATTGTGTTAAGTTTCCTTTAAGCCGAGTGTCTAGGGTCTGTAACTTTCAGACGACAACAACAAGAGAACTCTGTATTAAACCCATGTCTCTAGTTCTGGCTCTAAAAAAGTTGCTTCTGTCACTAGTTTCATGTATTTCTGTGTCTGTCACTTCAGCCCAAAGAGGCAGATAGTGACGAGAATGTGTAACAAGAACAGCTGAGTTTGTACAAATGTCACCAATAATTCACTAGTCATTTTGTCACTAGTCAATTTACCTGATATTACTATTACTGCATTATTACATGTCCATCTGCTCTTTTTTCCTTCGTTCTCTGCTGTAATGTGCGCAACGATGACACTGAAATTTATCCACTGTGAGACGAATAAAGGTTTATCTTATCTTATCTTACAGGGTTCTATGTATAACAAAAGATGAAGACAGGATGTTGTGGTCCGACTTGTTTACAACATTAATTTTAAACTCTTTCTGTTCAAACATGTGTTATTTATGAGACTAAAGTTACAGACCCCAGCTTTAAACATGTGTTATTGTCTTGTATAAATGCAGACACTTCACCTGAGTGCCTCCGAGCTTCAGCACTTCTTCCAGATTAAACTCGTCAGATTTCGCGTTTTTCTCTTTCCTTTCTGGACCGGGCTCGTCCTCTCCGTCCTCCCCGCTCAGCTCTCCCTCCCCCGGGTCGTCCTCTTCTTTGTCCGCGCTGGAGAAGCTCATCTCGGACACTTTGAGCTTCATATTTTTGCCTTTAGTCTTGTTTTTCTGCTTGTGTTTCGCAGCCATGCTTCCTCCAACAGCAACGTGAATCTGCGTGCCCCGGAAGAGTTCCAATGAGTGTTTCCGGTTTGGTTTGTTGACGTTAGCTTGATGCTACTCGATATCCTTAGCTTCGCGATTCTGCTCAGAAACAGCAGCTTTAACACAAAAATAATTCGTATAAGCCCTGATAACTTGTATAAACCTACCGTAATGACCCGGTCCTTTCCCTGCTGTGGTTCCCCGTGTGAAGCTAAATGCTAAGTCACATGGCTCCAGCCCAGAGGTGACAGTGACAGCAGCGTCAACAAAGCTGCAAACATGAGGCGGTTTGTGGGATTTAACACAAGATATTTAACCCACAAAGTCTTCTATCCGCCTTCACCAGGTGAGGCCCAAAACTGGACATTCTTATGAATTCCAAGAGAAAGCACATTTCATAAACAAGGCAACTTCAAATAACAAACTCTAAACCTCTTATTGGTGCTTAGACGTTATTACACGTTGATTACTTTTGTTGAATTTAGCTCTGTCTGAATGTGCTGATTGTTTAGTGGTAGATGGACTTGAGGTTAGAAGATACAGAGGAGGAGAGAAAAAAATATCACAAATTCTTGACTCTGACACTCCCCCCAAAAACAATAAGCAGATTTTCGAGCTGTAGTCGACCAACAGACCAAAGACCTCTCTGGTCCATTTAGAATTAAATGGGGGCATGATAAAGAGATGATTATGATTGGAGGCCGAGGGTAGTGTGATTTATTTGTGATTGTTGTTGCAGTGCAATGGCTCCGCCCCCTCAGCACCTGTTCACCTGCAGAGGATAAGCCCCGCCCCTCTATGCTCAAACACCTGACATCAAAGATCAAAGCCACGGGTCCGATCTCTGTGGCTGAGTACATGAGGGAAGTGCTGACCAACCCAGTCACAGTGAGTATGGACCACCGTGTGACATCACCACTGTGTGACATCACCACAGAGTGACTGTAATTACATCATAATTACAAAAAAAACAAAATAAAAAATCGTTGTTATCTTTATGTTTCATGACTTTGAGCTAAAATAAGACTATCAGAACCCGGTTGTAAGAGTTTGTGTTCCAGGGATACTACGTGAGGAAGAACATGCTTGGAGCAGACGGAGACTTCATCACGTCTCCAGAGATCAGCCAGATGTTCGGAGAGGTGAGATTTAAGCAGAAGTGATGGAAGTGAACAGGGAGGGGACGAGGGTTGAACCCTGGGGTACCCCTCAGGGACAGTGTATATACAGTGGGGAAAAAAGTATTTAGTCAGCCAATTGTGCAAGTTCTCCCACTTAAAAAGAGGAGGGATGCCTGTAATTTTTATCATAGGCAAACCTCAACTATGAGAGACAGAATGAGAAAATTTATAAAGGATTTTTTTTACAAATTATGGTGGAAAATAAGTATTTGGTCTCGTCAAACAAGCAAGATTTGTGGCTCTCACAGACCTGTAATTCCTTCTTTAAGAGGCTCTTCTGTCCTCCACTCGTTACCTGTTTTAATGGCCCCTGTTTGAACTCGTTATCTGTATGAAAGACACCTGTCCAGTGTCCACAATCTCAAACAGTCACACTCCAAACTCCACTATGGCCAAGACCAAAGAGCTGACAAAGGACACCAGAAACAAAATTGTAGACTTGCACCAGGCTGGGAAGACTGAAGCTTGGTGTGAAGAAATCAACTGTGGGAGCAATTATTAGAAAATGGAAGACCACTGATAATCTCCTGGAGTGGCCTAGCCAGTCTCCAGATCTCAACCCCATAGAAAATCTTTGGAGAGAGTTGAAAGTCCTCTGTAATTGCCAACAAAGGGTATATAACAAAGTATTGAGATTAACTTTTGTTACTGACCAAATACTTATTTTCCAACATAATTTGCAAATAAATTCTTTAAAAATCAGACATTGTGGTTTTCTGGATTTTTTTTCTTCTAATTTTGTCCCTCATAGTTGAGGTTTACCTACGATTAAAATTACAGTCCTCCCCCATCTTTATAAGTGGGAGAACTTGCACAGTTGGTGGCTGACTAAATACTTTTTTTGCCCCACTGTATCTGTGAAAGTGTCAGAACGATCCATGGGTGTACAATATTATATGGAGGGTTTTGCTGCTTAACCCGAGGGCGAGAATCCCAGGCCTCACATTTGACCAAGACCCTCTCTCTGCTCAGCTGGTCGGTGTGTGGGTCGTCAGTGAGTGGATTGCGTCTGGACGTCCAGAACAGCTGCAGATCGTAGAGATGGGACCAGGGAAAGGTTCTCTGATTCAGGACGTGCTCAGGGTGAGGTTACTCTGATCCAACTCTGGTCTCTCCCTGGTCTCTGTCTCTGGTCTCTATCTTTCTGGTGTCTTTTTGGTCTCTCTCTTTGGTCTCTCTCTGGTCTCTCTTGTGTCTCTCTTTTTGGTCTCTGGTCTCTCTAGTGACTCTCTCTCTGGTCTCTCTAGTGTCTCTCTCTTTGGTCTCTCTCTGGTCTCTCTAGTGTCTCTCTTGTGTCTCTCTCTTTGGTCTCTCTCTGGTCTCTCTGGTGTCTCTCACCTTCCCCCTGTTCTTCCGTCAGGTCTTGGGCCAACTGTCCTCAGTCCTTCATGGTGCATCTGTCTCAGTTCACCTGGTGGAGGTGAGTCCCGTACTGAGCGCGCTCCAGGCCCAACTGCTGACAGGAAGTGAGAGTCATGTGACCACGGAGGAGGGGCCTGTGTATCGCCGTGGCAACACTCCAGTGGGGCTGCCCGTGTCCTGGTACAGGCAAGTCCAGGACGTCCCAAAAGGTGAGAGAGACCTGGACCAAACCTGAACCAGACCTGGACTGGACCAAGACCAAGACCAAGGCACAGAGTTTCATGTTTGTGCCAGACCTTCCTGATATGAATGTGGATGGATCTAAACACTTCTCCAGGTCTGAGATGAGGGACAGACTATGATGTCACAGACCTCTACTGAGGCACCCTCAGTGCAAGAAGGAGCTCTACCGGAGGGCTTTCTCCCCCACCGCTGTCAGACTGTACAATAAGTCACTTTAACTCACTAATGCTAACCACACTAGGACTGATTATCCAGCACTGCTACGGCCACTTTTATCGCACATAATTGTATTCTGCACAGACTATATTTTTGAACTCTAACATGTTGCACACTTCATGTCTTTTTGCACAATCTGAGCCGAATGGGACATGTACATTTCTCCATTGTGAGATCAATAAAGTGTATCTTATTTTATCTTATCTTATCTTACATTTCTATCTGTGATGTCATGTCTATCTGTGATGTCATGTCTATCTGTGATGTCATTTCTATCTGTGATGTCATGTCTATCTGTGATGTCATGTCTATCTGTGATGTCATGTCTATCTGTGATGTCATGTCTATCTGTGATGTCATTTCTATCTGTGATGTCATGTCTATCTGTGATGTCATGTCTATCTGTGATGTCATGTCTATCTGTGATGTCATGTCTCTGTTGCAGGCTTCAGTGTGTTTGTGGCTCAGGAGTTCTTCGACGCTCTACCGGTTCACAAGTTCCAGGTACAACGTCCTAAGGTCTCTTATGGACAGACATAGTGCCTCAGATGGACAGACATTTTGCCTCAGATGTATGGTTTCTCTTCAGAAAACTTCCAGAGGATGGAGGGAGGTCCTCATCGACATTGACCCAGAGAAAGAGCACTGTCTGCGGTTTGTGCTTTCACCTTCGGCTACTCTGGCCTCCAGTACTCTGATACAGGTACTACTGCTACTGCTGATACTACTGCAACTGCTTATACTGCTGATACTACTGCTACTGCTGATACTACTGCTGATACTACTGCTGCTGTATTCAGGTTGGGGAACAGCGCCCTCATGTGGAGGTTTGTGCAGAAGGGGGTGTGGTCATTCAACACGTGTCAAAGATCCTGTGTGAAGCAGGAGGCGCTGCTCTGATCGCAGACTACGGCCACGACGGCAGCAAGGGCGACACCTTCAGGGTGAGACGCACACTACACCATTGTCACACACCTGCAGCTGTGTTTACAGCCATCCATGCTATTATTAGGAAAGTCCGACCTAAACATGTAGCTCCGCGTCAAGACCCAGAGTCTAACCTCAGGTCTAGTCTTGGTCCAGGTCTAGTCTTGGTCTGGGTCTACTCTTGTCTAGGTCTCGTCTTTGTACAGGTTTAGTCTTGGTCCAGGTTTAGTCTTGGTCCAGGTCTGGTCTTGGTCCAGCTCTGGTCTTGGTCCAGGACTGGTCCTGGTCCACGTCTGGTCTTGGCCTGGGTTTAGTCTTGGTCCAGGTGTGGTCTGGTCTGCTTCTAGTCTTGGTCTTGGTCTGGGATGGGTCTGGTCTTGGTCCAGGGCTGGTCTGGGTCCAGGTCTGTCTGGGTCTGGGTCTATTCTTGGTCCAGGTCTGGCACCAGAGGAAACTTACACAGATACAAGGAGAACATGCAAACTCCACTCAGACAGGCCCTGATCCGACTGGAATTCGAACCTAGAACCTTTTGATTGTGTTGCCATGGTGATTGTCTCCAGGGGTTCAAACGTCACCGTCTCCATGACCCCCTGACCTCCCCTGGTTCCGCTGACCTCACCGCAGACGTGGACTTCAGCTTCCTGCGCAGCTGTGCAAGGGGCGTGGCCTGTGTGGGACCTGTCAATCAAAACAGCTTCCTGAGAAACATGGGCATCGAGGCCAGACTCCAGGTGAGTCACTATCTGCCTCTTTGATCTAAAGATGTGACATCACAAATACATGAAACTAGTGACAGAAGCAACTGTTTTAGAGCCAGAACTATTCAGCCATTTTCTTCCACTTTATCCATTGCCGCGTCATGGGGGCAAGAGTCTGCGCAACGTCCCATCGCAACAAATGCCCCCGTAACGGAGCCACAGCGCCCCCATCTGGGACTGAACGCAACACAACTGTCATAGAATACAGTTCAGAAGCAGTTTCAGGAAACTGAATAGTTATAATTTGTTTATTTATGTCTAGAGCCTCAACTGAAACAGGATGAATATTAGCACAACAAAATTATGCTTTTTGCCAAAGACATTTATTTACACATGGGGCTGTGTAGGTGAAGGCGCACACACTGAAGCTTTCTCTTTCTGGTCTCTCTCTTGTCTCTCACTGGTGTCTTTCTGGTCTCTCTCTTGTCTCTCACTGGTGTCTTTCTGGTCTCTCTCTTGTCTCTCTCTGGTCTCTTTCTGGTCTCTCTCTCTTTCTGATCTCCCTCTCTCTGCTCCCTCTCTGGTGCCTCTCTGCTCTCTCTCCCGTCTCTCGGGTCTCTCCCTCTGGTCTCTCTGGTCTCTCTCTCTCTCTGGTCTCGCTCTCTGGTCTCTATCTGTTCTCTCTCTGGTCTCTCTTTGGTCTAAACCTGGTCTCTCTTCAGGTCCTGCTTAAGTCCAGTCCGGACTCGTCTTCTCGGTCTCAGCTCCTGCGCTCGTACCAGACCCTCATGGACCCTCAGCTGATGGGAGACCGCTTCCAGTTCTTTGGACTTCTGCCTCTGAGCCGAGTCCAGAGACCAGAACCTCAGACTGGACTGAAGCCTCTGAGCCAAGTCCAGGGACCAGAGCCTCAAACCAGAGACCAGCCCGAGACCAGACCAGAGACCACAGACCTGAAACCAGGACATCAGACCGGACCGAGGTTAGAGAAGAAACAGAGACCCGCCCCTCTCCCTGTGGCTGGATTCACACCACTCAGCTACACTTAGACTAGAGACCAGACCCAGACCAGACCCAGACCAGACCAGACCAGAGAGCGAGAGAGAGAGAGACACCAAAAAGAGAGACCAGCGAAGTGAGACCATTTTGCGACTAGCTGTATAACCTTTTTTCTCCACCAGGGGGCAGCACTGTACAGACTGGATATTTAATAAACCTGTATAAACTAAGCTCTATGTGTTTCTCATTCACTTTAATGAAGCAATAACTGGAAAGTGTTGAGCCAAAATGTCCTCTGCTCTGTTGTCTGAGCGGAGCCTGCAGGGCCTCTGCTGTGTTCTGCAGGTGTGACACTGGGCCGCAGGGGGCGCTGTGGAGCTGTAGACAGGTGACATGTGATACTCAAATATTTTGACAGTTCGCTGTGGGCGGGGCTCTCGTGGTGTTTTGATATGACCTCATTAGCATACCGGCTCCTGATTGGCTGCGTCGCGTGTTACCTGACACCTCACGCACACGCCTCTATGCTGGTGCCCTTGGGTTTGGTTTCAGTCTGAGGTCTCAGGTCTCAGTACGGGTCTAGACCAGGACCGGACCACAAATCAGGACGCATGTGCTAATCCGGATTATTCTCTTTAGAAACTTTCCCGAGTTTACAGAGGTGCGTCCTTCTCATTAACAACAGTCACGTGTTTGTCTCTCTCTCTCTGCCTCTCTCTCTCTCTCTCTGTCTCTGTGTTTCTCTCTGTTTCACTATCTCTGTCTCTCTCTCTCTGCTTCTCTCTCACTCTCTCTCTCTCTCTCTCTCTGTCATAATTGCAGAATTATTATGTCAAACACAGTTGAATTATTTAATTACTATGATACAGACAGATCAAAGTCTCAGTTTCGTGTTTAATTTATATGATCATAATAACATCATGTTTCAGTGACTCTTCTTTCTCTCTCATCTCTCTCTTGTTTCTCTTTCGTCTCTCTCTTGTTTCTCTTTCATCTCTCTCTTGTTTCTCTCTCGTTTGGTGCTTTTTCTTTGTGTATGAACTGTGCTATACAAATAAACATAAACCCGCTGATAATATTTATGCCACGCCCCCTTTTTATTGCATTTTTATTACGTTAAAATGTGGCGACTGGTGAGAGAAGATTTTTGACTGGGGTCTGTAACTTTAAAGCTGGGGTCTGTCACTTTAAAGCTGGAGTCTGTAACTTTAAAGCTGGAGTCTGTAACTTTAAAGCTGAGGTCTGTAACTTTAAAGCTGGGGGTCTGTAACTTTAAAGCTGGGGGTCTGTAACTTTAAAGCTGGGGTCTGTAACTTTAAAGCTGGGGTCTGTCACTTTAAAGCTGGGGTCTGTAACTTTAAAGCTGGGGTCTGTAACTTTAAAGCTAGGGTCTGTAACTTTAAAGCTGGAGTCTGTAACTTTAAAGCTAGGGTCTGTAACTTTAAAGCTGAGGTCTGTACCTTTAAAGCTAGGGTCTGTAACTTTAAAGCTGGAGTCTGTCACTTTAAAGCTGAGGTCTGTACCTTTAAAGCTAGGGTCTGTAACTTTAAAGCTGGGGTCTGTCACTTTAAAGCTGGGGTCTGTAACTTTAAAGCTGGGGGTCTGTAACTTTAAAGCTGGGGTCTGTAACTTTAAAGCTGGGGTCTGTCACTTTAAAGCTGGGGTCTGTAACTTTAAAGCTGGGGGTCTGTAACTTTAAAGCTGGGGTCTGTAACTTTAAAGCTGGGGTCTGTCACTTTAAAGCTGGAGTCTGTAACTTTAAAGCTGGAGTCTGTAACTTTAAAGCTGAGGTCTGTACCTTTAAAGCTGAGGTCTGTACCTTTAAAGCTGGGGTCTGTCACTTTAAAGCTGAGGTCTGTACCTTTAAAGCTGAGGTCTGTACCTTTAAAGCTGAGGTCTGTACCTTTAAAGCTGAGGTCTGTACCTTTAAAGCTAGGGTCTGTAACTTTAAAGCTGGGGTCTGTCACTTTAAAGCTGGGGTCTGTCACTTTAAAGTTGGAGTCTATTTTAATCATTTTAATTTCTATGTCTTAAAAGTGTATGTTGATTTTTACTATATCTTTCTCTTTGACTGTTGCATCAAGAGCCAAAGATATTTCTTCATCTGTTACTTCCTGTTACTTCCTGTTACTTACACGGCTATAAATAAATAAATAAATAAAAATGATTCTGATTCTATAGTGTGTTGTTCTTCAGTCTGTGATGGAGGTCAGAGCCTGGACGCCTCAACAGGTCGCCTCCTGGATGAACGGTGAGTACACACACACACACCCACAGACAGACACTCACACACACACACACACACACACACGCCCACGCACACGCACACACAGAGACACACAGACACACACACTTTAGTCACAAGGCAGGTTGAAGGCCCAGTGGTCCTCAGAGGGAACAGGGTGTTGGTCAGTGTGAAAACATTTACTGTGTGTGTGTGTGTGTGTGTGTCTGTGTGTGTCATAAACCTAGGAGGGGGTCTCTCTCCTGTTTTCTCAGTCGCTGGAGTCAAACTGTGAAACACAAAAGTCTGAACAGACGTCGCTCCAACAGCAGTGGCACTGATAAAGAGAGGCCCAAACTACAGACCTCAGTTGCGGAGACAGATACAATTATTATTATTACACATGTTACAGTTCTGTCGCTTTTATTTTGATACATGTTTAAAAAATAACAAGTAAAGACAAATTTAAAGCTGGGGTCTGTAACTTTCAGAACAACAGAAGTCTGTATTAAATCCATGTTTCTAGTTCTGGCTCTAAAACAGTTGCTTCTGTCACTAATTTCTTGTATTTGTGATGTCACATCTTTAGATCAAAGAGAGGACCACTCTCTCTCAGCCCAAAGAGGCAGATAGTGACTCACCGGGATCAACAGCATGTTGTCTGCATCATCGACAACATTTAACTTTTAGACTCTTTCTGTTCAAACATGTGTTATTTATGAGACTTAAGTTACAGACCTTAGCTTTAACGACCTGTGATAGGGTAAATAAACCATGTTTGTTCAGATGCTGTGTTTTCCCGCGCTCCAGAGACCAGAGAGAGACCAGAGAGAGACCAGAGAACCAGAGAGAGACCAGAGAGAGACCAGAGAGAGACCAGAGAGAGACCAGAGAGAGACCAGATAGAGACCAGATAGAGACCAGAGAGACCAGAGAGAGACCAGAGAGAGACCAGAGAGAGACCAGAGAGAGACCAGAGAGAGACCAGATAGAGACCAGAGAGAGACCAGAGAGAGACCAGAGAGAGACCAGAGAGAGACCAGAGAGAGACCAGAGAGAGACCAGATAGAGACCAGATAGAGACCAGAGAGAGACCAGAGAGAGACCAGAGAGAGACCAGAGAGAGACCAGAGAGACCAGAGAGAGACATGCCAGTATGTAGTACTCAAACCATGAGTGACAGTACTGCAGCAGTACTCGGTGACAGTAATGCTTCCTCACTGATGTCCCGGGTCGACACGGGTCCTAACAACACTCTGACCCTTTGACTGCAGTTGGAGGATGAAAGCATTTACTTGTATCAACATGTATCAACATTAAGTGCAGTGGTTCATCTGGCACCCCCTATGTGTCTTTGTTAGCTTCCTTCTGTTAAAAATACCATCAATAGTGTGTTCTCTGTCGCCCCCTCAGGTCTGGAGGATGCACTGCAGCCGTATGTCCCCTCCTTCCTCCTCCACAGAGTCTCAGGGGAGCAACTCTTGGACCTCTGCCCCAAACAGATGCTCTCTCTGGGGGTGAGCCGAGTGGGAGACCAGGACCTGCTGCTGGAGGCTGTGGAGGCTCTGAGGACTGAGGTGAGACTGGACCAAGATCAGGACTAGGACCAGGACCAAGACCTGGACAAGGACTGAGACTAGAACAGACCAGGACCTGAAAACACATAATAATGAACCAGGACTGAACCAGGACTGAACCAGGACTGAACCAGGACTGAACCAGAACTGAACCAGGACACAGCCTTCAGCAGCCTCTCCTCGTCCTGGTCCTGGTCCTGGTCCTGGTTCAGTCCTGGTTCATTATTATGTGTTTTCAGGTCCTGGGTCTGGACCAGGATCATGTCCGGTCTCTCTGGGTCCAGATGACTCAGACTCATCAGAACTTGAGAGCCGCTGTGAGGTACCGCCGGAAGAACCCCAACTATCACAGAAGCCCCGCCCAACGAGGAAGCCCCACCCACCAAGGAAGCCCCGCCCACCTTTCCAATGACTTCCTGTCGGCAGTAATGCAGCTCATCACCTCCTCCAAGGGTCTGCTGAGGGCACTGGACCGGTGAGACAAGGACCAGGACCAGAGAGAGACCAGGACCAGGACCAGAGGGAGACATCACACTCTGTCGTATTTTAACCCTGAGAGACAGTACTGCAGTAGTACACAGACAGAACTGCAGTAGTAGTATTCTGTAGTATCAGAGTACGCTGAAGTATGCAGTAGTAAGTAATACTGAAGTAATACTGGTCTGAGTCTGTGTTGTTTAAATTCAATCTGGAGAAGCAAAGGAAGGTTTCTCACCCATCATCTGTACTTCTTAGCAAGTTTTCCCGACGTTTTGTCCTCGACCTGGGGACTTCTTCAGGGAATGAATTCTCGGACCGCGCGTTGGAGATTTATAACCTATGGGTGTGGTAAGCCACACCCTAACCCTGATACTAACTCGTAAACAATCTCAGGTCTGCTTTATGTAGAAGGGAGCAGGTCTAACGACCCTGCTGAGGCTAACGACCCTAACTCCTTAGCATGTCACAGACCTATTGTCTGCTGGGATGCTCAAGTGGAGTGCAGGTTTCACCCCTCCTAACTCATTAGCATGTCACTGACCTTGTCCCAAGTTAGGGCGTTGTTTTTAGGATGTCGTCATAGATGCGAGGCAAAACAAATCTTAACCCTCCTCCTCTGTTAAGAGAAGGTTTTTGTTTCCTCACAAAAATGGAGCAGGGTCGTTAGACCTGCTCCCTTCTACATCAAGCAGACCTGAGATTGGTTACGAGTTAGTATCAGGATTAGGGTGTGGCTTACCACACCCATAGGTTATAAATCTCCAACGCGCGGTCCGAGAATTCATTCCCTGAAGAAGTCCCCAGGTTGAGGACGAAACGTCGGGAAAACTTGCTAAGAAGTACAGATGATGGGTGAGAAACCTTCCTTTGCTTTGACTAATCCCTGTACGACTGAGGGCTTACACAAATTCAATCTGGAGAGACTTCAAGATGAGACGAGATGCGTTCAAAGATTTATTGATTAAGAGTTTAGTTTGTAGTTTATTAGTTTGGCGCACAGGCTGTGGCTCTGTGAGGATCTGTGCTCGATGCAGACCCTGATCCCCGAGGCCTAGACACTACAGGGGTGGCAACAGGGAAAGGTGGTTGAGAGCGAGTGAAGAAATCCTGAGGTGGAGGAGGTGGAGGAGGTGGAGGACGTGGAGCAGGTGGAGCAGGTGGAGGAGGTGGAGCAGGTGGAGGACGGGGAGCTGGTGGAGGAGGTGGAGCAGGTGGAGCAGGTGGAGGAGGTGGAGCAGGTGGAGGAGGTGGAGCAGGTGGAGCAGGTGGAGGAGGTGGAGCAGGTGGAGGACGTGGAGCAGGTGGAGGAGGTGGAGCAGGTGGAGGAGGTGGAGCAGGTGGAGGAGGTGGAGCAGGTGGAGCAGGTGGAGGAGGTGGAGCAGGTGGAGGAGGTGGAGCAGGTGGAGGACGTGGAGCAGGTGGAGGAGGTGGAGCAGGTGGAGCAGGTGGAGGAGGTGGATCAGGTGGAGGAGGTGGAGCAGGTGGAGCAGGTGGAGCAGGTGGAGCAGGTGGAGCAGGTGGAGGAGGTGGAGGAGGTGGAGGATACTTGAAAAGGCTGTTTGGTTTGTGGTGTCCAGCTTTTCAGCGCTGGCTTGATTTAGCGGCAGCAGGAAGTTGATGAAGCTGATGTGAGGCTGAGGAAGACGAGGGCCCGGTGCGATGACGAAGGCAGTCACCAGTTTGAACTTCAGCTTCAATTCTGTGACCTCTGACCTCTGACCTCAGGTGTTCTGTGGACAGTACAGACGTCTCCAGAACAAAGCGCAGCATCGTTCACCTGTGTCTGGAGCTGACCTCCACCGTCCAGAAGGTACGTGCTGCTCATCTTCATCATCTTCATCATCCTCATCATCAGTGAAGTCCTGGTCCAGACCCAAACTGATCCACAGATGTTAGAGACAGACTCAGGGACCACAGACTCAGGGACCACAGACTCAGAGACCACAGACTCAGGGACCACAGACTCAGGGACCACAGACTCAGGGACCATAGACTCAGGGACCACAGACTCAGGGACCACAGACTCAGGGACCACAGACTCAGGGACCACAGACTCAGAGACCACAGACTCAGGGACCACAGACTCAGAGACCACAGACTCAGGGACCACAGACTCAGGGACCACAGACTCAGGGACCATAGACTCAGGGACCACAGACTCAGGGACCACAGACTCAGGGACCACAGACTCAGAGACCACAGACTCAGGGACCACAGACTCAGAGACCACAGACTCAGGGACCACAGACTCAGGGACCACAGACTCAGAGACCACAGACTCAGGGACCACAGACTCAGGGACCACAGACTCAGGGACCACAGACTCAGGGACCACAGACTCAGGGACCACAGACACAGAGACCACAGACTCAGAGACCACAGACTCAGAGACCACAGACTCAGAGACCACATTTTAACAGCAGCTGCGGAAATAGAAACTGAAACTAGAGCTTCGCGTGGCTTCGTTTGGACGAACGAAGGAGTAGAATTATCCTCTGTGCAGCGCTCGAAGCACAAGTAGCTAGTTAGTGTACCCGCCGCCATTGTTGTTTACGTTTGTTCTCGGCTACTGCGCATGTCCAAATTTACGTGTGGGGAGCAGCGGGGAGGTGGGGGTCAGAGCAGGCAAAGAATTCACACCTTTTCCCTCTCGCGGGTGTGAAACAGCCCTCGCTGAGCAGCGTATCTGAGCTGTCCCACTCTGCAGGCTGGATCTGAACACTTACTTTTTCACCCCCCTGGATCACAGTCTCCGTATGAAGCAACGACTGCTACAGTGTCTTTGTAAAAAACAGGGACTCAGACCTGTTTCTGATTTTTCCAGAGGTTTCTTTTATCTTCTTTACAAACACAGAGTTCTTTTAACTGATGTTCTTTTGGAGAAACAGCTCGACTCCAGCTCAGAGCGACTGATATTCCTCCTCGAAACTCTGGTAAAACGACACACGCCACAGGATGTAGACCTGACATCATCATCATCATCATCATCATCATCATCATCATCATCATCATCATCAGGGTTCAGCAGTTCTTTGAAGACAGGGCTGATGTGGTCTCTTTGTGAGAGTCGTAAACAGAAGTCCCAGCCAACACCGTACTGTACTAGAGTTGGTCCTGGTGTCAGTCCTGGTCTCAATCCTGGGCCTGGTGTCCGTCCTGGTCCTGGTCTTACATTTGTATATTTTTCAGGACTGCACACTTTTCCAGATGGAGGAGAAGATCCTGGAGGTGGTGAGTTCAAAGCTTGCTTCCTGTTTGTGCATGTCCACTTCCTGTCTTTGTGTCACACACACACACACACACACACACACATACACTCCACTCTCTCCACTTCCTGTCTGATGTCTCACTTCCTGTTTTCCACAAAGCATGTCTTCCTGTGCACCACAGCTTTAAAGCTCAGGTACGTGACTTTGAGAGCATCAGAACTCTGTAATAAACCCATGTTACAGACCCCAGCTTTAAACATGTGTTATTAATGAGACTAAAGTTACAGACCCCAGCTTTAAACATGTGTTATTAATGAGACTAAAGTTACAGACCCCAGCTTTAAACATGTGTTATTTATGAGACTGAAGTTACAGACCCCAGCTTTAAACATGTGTTATTAATGAGACTAAAGTTACAGACCCCAGCTTTAAACATGTGTTATTTATGAGACTGAAGTTACAGACCCCAGCTTTAAACATGTGTTATTAATGAGACTGAAGTTACAGACCCCAGCGTTGCTTAATGTGTTGCAGTCTCAGTCTCTGGTTGCTGTGTGTGAAACAGTGACTCGGCTCAGTCCAGAGCCCTGCAGCCTGGAGGACGTGACAGTCTGTGGCATCCAACCAGGACAAGGACTGGTGAGACCAAGACCAAGTACTGTCAGACAGAGAGAGATCAGAAAGAGAGACCAGAGAGAGAGAGACCAGAAAAAGAGACCAGAGAGAGACCAGAGATACTGTAGAGACCAGAAACAGAGACCAGAGAGAGAGAGACATATTTCTTATATATAATATATATTTGTTTCAGGGCATTTACATTCAGTCAACGTTGAGTGGTTCACATGTCGTCACTGGAACCACACAGAACGTGAGTACTGCTTTAAAAAGCTGAGGTTCGTAACTTTTCAGTCCATAAATAACACATGGTTTGTCTCAGTCTCCGGCTCAGAGGACTCAGAGGATCCACGCAGGGGACCACCTTCTGAAGGTGGACGGTCAGACTGTGGTGAGAGCTGTCACCAGGAGCTACTGCCTCTGTAGAACTGGTCTCTGGTATCTCTCTCTCTCTCTCTGGTCTCTGGTCTCTCTCTGGTCCCTCTCTGGTCTCTCTCTGGTCTCTCTAGTCTCTGTAGAGCTGTCATCAGGAGCTGCTCTTTCTCTGATTGGTCAGGTGGGCTGGCAGCTGAAGAGTCTCATTGAGTGTCTGCGTTCTGATTCGTCGTCAGTCGTTCTGACGCTGAAGAAGAAGAGAATGCAGGAAAACACGGAGCAGCAACGAGACTGGAGACCCACACTGGTCAAAGTGAGTACTGCACCTAAAGCAGGTCTGGGGCAGGTCTGGGGCAGGTCTGGAGCAGGTCTAAAGCAGGTCTAAAGCAGGTCTAAAGCTGGTCTAAAGTAGGTCTAAAGCAGGACTAAAGCAGGTCTAAAGCAGGACTAAAGCAGGTCTAAAGCAGGTCTAAAGTAGGTCTAAAGCAGGACTAAAGCAGGTCTAAAGCAGGACTAAAGCAGGTCTTAAACAGGTCAACTGTGCCCATATGGCCTGCAGCAGTATTACAGTTTGCCTTTCCTCTTAGACACATCAGCCCAGTGCCCCAAAACCGGAGTCCAGACCGGAGTCCAGACCGGAGTCCAGACCGGAGTCCAGACCGGAGTCCAGACCGGAGTCCAGACCGGAGTCCAGACCGGAGTCCAGACCGGAGTCCAGACCGGAGTCCAGACCGGACCGAGGGACCATCTTGAGCCCCTCTGCTGCCCCCTACAGTCCACTGTGAGAACTAAACACATCTTTTCCACAGACTTTTGCTAAAATCGTCTCCTGATGAAGCTGATGTTGATATTTTTCACTTTTCTTGTTTCCATAGTGATGGTTCCTTCTGTGGGACGTCAGTGCGGCTGCGGCAGCGATCCTCCTCCAGAAGTGAGTCTTTATAGATATATTTATATTTATGTTCTGCTCTTCTGAAGCATTTACAGCTGATTACATACTGTATGTTGTTATACTGCCACTGTCTTTATGTGTATTGAACTGATGTGACTGTTTCCCATGAGCCTTTGTAACTTTCACGTTTGTATAAATTCATCATTTTTAATATAATTTTATTTTCAGGCAAAATGCGTCCAGTGTCTCTGCCGCTAGAGCTGTCCTCCAGGATCAACCTGCGGAAAGGTCAGCTCTAAGTTAGCTCTATGTTAGCTCTACAGACACTAGCTCCTGATGTCTGTGTGCAGGTCCTCAGCGCTGTGTGAGCAACGAGCGTGTGTCGGCCATCCTGGAAGAAGGCTGTGTGCAGTACCGTGCCCGGCCTGCAGGGCGCGGCGTCGACCACATCAGAGGAAGCACCTGTTTCATCAGCCCAGAGGAGACCAGGGGAGAGACCAGGGGAGAGACCAGGGGAGAGACCAGGGGAGGGACCAGGGGAGAGACCAGGGGAGAGACCAGGGGAGAGACCAGGGGAGAGACCAGGGGAGGGACCAGAGGAGAGACCAGGGGAGAGACCAGGGGAGAGACCAGGGGAGACACCAGGGGAAACACCAGGCCTGAGATCAAAACTGAGACCAGGACTGAAACCAGACCAGCGACCAGGACTAAACCCGGTTCTGTGATCGGGGGCTGGCTCTCTCGCCTCAGGCTCCTCAGTCATTGAGACCTGATCTTGGAACTCTGGATTCACCAACAACAGATCAGGATGTGGACCCAGGACTGAGGCTGTAGTTAAAGATGGCGCCCCCAAAGATAACAGTATTTAGCTCATTCTTTCTACCATCAGTTTGAGATCCATTTGACACCTTCAGTCCTCATCTCAGGGGTCGGTCCTCTCATATTCACACTTAAAATAACTTGGAGCTCTGCTGAAAACTGACCAAAGACAAAGAATGCATCTGAACTCCATTTTTGTGGCATCGGAAAGTGTTAAATTTCACTTGACCAAGATTCCAACTATTTAGAATCTGTGGACAATGGAGTTTTAGACTGTATACAGATGGACAATGCTAACCCGCTAGCTCAATGAAGCCAAATACGGAAGTGCTCATGGTGAAGTTTGGCTCCTCTGACTGTTGAATTCCATGTAAAAGTGAACTCAGTAATGTTTGTGTGACATCACCATTTTGGACTTAAATCCGTGATTTCTCTGTGATCCTGCTCTTTATGTGTGATTGTGTAAATCCAGATATGACCATAAGGACTGACCAACCAGAGACCTTCATTCAGGGAGAAACTCCAGCTTGCCTTAGCAACCATCTTAGCAACATGTCTGCTCCTGTAACGCCATTGGAACAAAAGGCCATAAGGAAACCGGCTCCAGTGTCAGGAAGAGCAGTTTCTGTAAATTCTTCAGATTGTTCCTCGAGCTGTTCAGGTCCCATGTATATTAGACCAGGATCAGAACAGTTTGCTCTCGGGAGTGATAGTCTGATATATAAACAGATGCATTATGGGTCCACAATAGTAACAGGTTTAGTTGAGTTGCAGCTCACACCAGGGTGCTGTCCATACGGTCCAGTGTGGCGTATGAAATACCCACAGCAGGTCTCTGGCCCTAAGATCAGGGTTCTACCTGAATGGGGCACAGCCGGATCAGTTTTAGAAATGAGCCCAACCAGCACCGGTATCAAGGCCCTGTGCATAAAGTTCAGTTTTAAGGTTTTGTTTAAAAGGAACCTAAACATTTGACTGAGTTTTGATTACATTGTTTCATCCACGTGAACTGTAGGCCTCTCGTCGCTGTGTGAGCTTGTATGTTAATTTTTCCAAGAGGAAACCTGGCCTTTGGTTGGGGTAACTTTACATGTGAGGAGGGTCTTTTCTCATTGAGCCTTTGTTCCTCCATTCCTATATGATTAAAATGTTTCTGAAACCTTTCTGCTGCTTGGCCTGGGTCAGAATTGCTCTGGTTGAGGCTGTGCATTGTCCTCAGAAAGTTTTTCCTTGGAAAGAACACCAAGTATAAATGAATGTCTGAACTTATGCGTGTGATTTGTCCAGGTTCCACTAGTTTAGGATCACCATTCACAGATTTATACATTTAATATTCAATATGGTTACATCCACACAATCTGTATAAAGTTTCACAGAATGTAAATGACCAAAACAGGCGGTTTTTGAACAGTACATTTATTGTCTCATTTACAGCTGGAACTCTGGGAACTCGAACACCACGTCTTTCCCCGTGAGCTTCTTGTAGACGCCAGAGAACGTCTCCACCTGAAACACATTCAAGATTAGACTCTTAACACGAGCTTTATTGCCTCTATAAAGAAGGGGTACGCAACTTTAGTCTCCAACGAGTCATTTGGACCAGTGTTTTTCAACAGCTGTACGCGGTACACTAGTGTGCCGTATGATAATGTCTGGTGTGCCGTGAGAAATTCTAAAAATAACTGCATTCACTTTTGTATGTTTTTTTGACAGTTATTGCCACTTTATTCCCAAATTCTTGGTAACTCACTGTATTGACATTAAACCAAGCTTAATGTCAAGGCCTGGATTTAAGCACTTTGATAAGAATGTAGTCTATATTTACTTTAATATAAAGTCATTCAGAGTTTACATTTTCTCCTGGTGGTGTGCTGCAAGATTTTTTTTCAAAGAAAAAAAAGTGTGCCTTGGCTCAAAAAAGATTGAAAAAACCCCCCTGATTTGGACAGTAAGTCTTAACACATCGTTGACCCACAGGGGTCTTTGGGCAGAGTCCTCTGATCTAAAGATGTGACATCACAAATACATAGAGTTCTGTTGGTCTGAGGGTTAAATCCCAGCTAAGTTACAGACCCCCAGCTTGAAGGCACGTTCAGACCAAAAGCTTCAAAAAGCTTTGTCATTTTGATGCTTGAAGCTTGACGCGCCTGACGCCGGTGAGAGGAGCTTCTCTGTTGCCTGTAGTCAGACAACAGTGGATTTTCCAGAGAGCAGCGAGCCTTTATTTGTTATACAAAGCAAAATAACGTTGTCGTGGAGTTTCTACAAAACATGTTCTGGGTTAACCACAGACTTGAGAGGCTGCAGTGTTTTCAGAGTTTCACCCTTTACTCCAGGAGCGGCGGACGGAGGAGTTTAGCTTTCAGCGGTACTTCCACATGTCACTCGCACAGTCCGAGTTCCCTCTCCCCACCTGGAGCTGCCTCGCTCTGTGCCAGACTTATCGTCAGCTTGTTCTTATATTAAATAAATTACGTGTACTACACAGCATGTGTACAATGATTTTGTTACTTACTTAACGTTACTACTCATACAAATATTACTAATGACAATAAAACAGCAGCAGCTACATTCTCTCCATGCTCCTCGTCTCCTGATTGGTTGAAGCCCGCGTCAAAGCTTCAAAAGCTCAGCTTCGGCGTCAAAGGGATTGTTTTGATACGCAAGCGTTACTCGCGACTTTTGAAGCGCGCCAAGTGACGCCGGGGCTCTCTGTTTCACCTGACGCGCTTCATTCACTTTCAATGCAAACCTGACGCTTTTGAAGTCGAAGTAAAGTCCGGTCTGAACGCGCCTTTAAAGTTAGAAACTTATTAGAAGTGATTGCAGCTTTAGTCAAATCTCAAAACGTGAATGTGTCCTGCATGGTCGTTCTGCCCAGTCACAGCCCAAAGGACTCTGGGAGATGTAGGAATATGCAGGCTGGGTCCTCAGAGGGACCGGCTTCATGTTTGACGGCGTGGAACGGGACTGTACGTCTTAGCTCAGAGCTACGCACCCATCTGCCACTAGGGGGCCTGAACTGGAGGCTCACCCACGTCACATCTGCCACTACGGCCTGAGGCTCTAACATCTGCCACTAGGGGGAGACAGTAATTACTTTGTGTTCCACATTGTTCTGCTGAGCCTTGTCCAGATGAACTTTGATGAGGCGGCTGCTGTCCAGCTTCACTCTGATCCTCTTCCCCACGATCTCTGACGGAAACACCAGGTCCTCCAAGATGGCATCGTGCACCGCGGTCAAGGTGCGGCTGAGGGAGAGAGGAGAGGTCAGTGGGGCTGAGGTCAGGGTGTGACCAGGAGTCTCCAACCTTTACCCATGAGAGCTATTGTTTTAAGTGGGTTTAAATTGTTAATACAAGAGATGATTTTATAAGTATCCAACTGTAACCAGAGTGCTGTTTGTCTTCAACATAACATTTCTAAATCCTTTGAGGATTAAGGCACCTCTGCCATAAACATTTAAAGAGAATGTGAGGCCACACCATGGATCATAAGTGGATAGAGTATTACTAGCTAATAGCTGAAGGACCCATGGGCAACACCCAGAAAAATGTCCATAGAACTCAATGTAAACAAAAACAGCTGGACCTCAGCAGACAGAACCTACAGCTTTTACAAAGGAGGATTTTAGTGTCCCTCGTCATCCTGAACTTTTTCTTGTTAAATTCCTCAGTTTTCTTTTAAAGGAAAACAGCCTGAATAAGAGTCAAGTTAACCTGGTCGTACCACACCATAGTACAAATTACATTTCATACTAAGGTCTGGAGGCGCTCCATTGAGCTCCGATTACAGATAGGAGGGGTTCACTCCTTTTGCAGATTGAAACGATTGGAGCTTAGTTTACCGTGACATATTTAGTGCGCCCGAGTGAGTCGTTAGCATTTAGCCTAGCCATCTTTCCTGCTGACGGAGCCCGTTAGCAGTTACATTTGCTAAACATTCCTCTTGCTCCGGCTTAAATTCCTTGATAGAACCAGACCATATTACTATCGCATTTTTTGCCATTGCCAAACTACAACCTTCCCGTTCGGCGCAAACTCTTGACGTCACCCACAACTAACTACAACACCTGCCTCCCACGCTCGCTGATTTGTTGGTCGAAATTCAACAGATTGTAATCGCCAACATGGGGATCAACCCCAGACGGTACATGCAGGGAAATGATGATTGAGCGGAGTGTACGGATGGCTAAGGCCAGGCTAGAGTCAAGTGAACAAGCATCAAAATTCAGCTCAGAAAAAAATGTTTACATTTTGTGATCACTGGCCAACGGATGATTTCAGAATCTTCAGATTTACTTCTGGGCTGAAAGCTGGACAGATATCTACAGCCACAAATTGAAATCAAGACAGTATTTAAAAAGGCACAATGTGTCCTGCATGGTCATTCTACCCAGTCACAGCCCAAAGGACTCTGGGAGATGTAGGAATATGCAGGCTGGGTCCTCAGAGGGACCGGCTTCATGTCTGACGGCGTGGAACGGGACTGTACGTCTTAGCTCAGAGCTACGCACCCATCTGCCACTAGGGGGCCTGAACTGGAGGCTCACCCACGTCACATCTGCCACTATGGCCTGAGCAAACCCTAGTGATCCAAGATGGCACCCTACAATTCAGTGGCTTGTGCTCAGTAGCACATGGGACAGCCATGAGGGCCGGAAGATTAGTGGACCTCTCCCATATTTGGGCATCCTCTGGTCCTCCTGGTTTTGCGCAGTGGACGAGCTCCCATGATGCTTTGCGTCAAAAACGGGGCTCTGCTGCGCTCTGACCAATCAGCGGGTGGTGATCAGAGCACAGTTGGAGCAGGAAAAAAACGAGCAGTTTGTTGCATTTAACAAGAAAAGTTCAGGACGACAAGGGACACTTAATTCACAACAAAATCCAATCTTTATGAAAGCTGTTGGGTTTGTCAGCTGAGGTAGAGCTATTTTAGTGAACATTGAGTTCTAAGGGATATTTTACTGGACAGTCCACGTGTATTTAGTCTGCAGTACCACAGGCGCCCCCTGTGCCCATAGGTGGGACAGCCATTACCTAGTAATACCCTATCCAGATATAGATCCATGGGCCTGAGGCTTTCAACATCTGCCACTAGGGCTCGAAGCTCAAAAGTAACTCATAACAATCCAGAGTGCATTCACTTGGTAAATAAGGATCATCGTCTTTCCGTTTGGAGTAAGTGAACAGTGGGGGTGGGGCCGACTCAGATGGACATCCTCTTAGTGGAGACTGAGGATTCCAAGGTCTGTACTCCTGCTGTTGGAATGAAAACCTGCAGACTCCTGTACCATTTCCTCAGGTGTGACCCTGGAGATCTGAGGAGATGGGTGGACTCTGCTGCGCTCCCGTTTAGTTGGTATGAAAACCAACAGCCGCACGGCCCTTGGTACCGGTCTGTGAAAGATCAGAGCAGTGGAATCCTGAGGATCTGAAGCTGAAGACTTACCTCCTGGGGCGCTTCTGCTTGTTCTTTATGCGGCTTTTCCTTGTGGGTTTAGGCAAAATTCTTCTCTGAAAAAACAAAAACATTTACTAAGTTTCAGGGCTTTAGTTTTAGTCTGGACAGAGTTAAACATCAGAGAATGTGTCCTGCATGGTCGTTCTGCCCAGTCATGGCCCAAAGGACTCTGGGAGATGTAGGAATATGCAGGCTGGGTCCTCAGAGGGACCGGCTTCATGTCTGACGGTGTGGAAGGGGACTGTACGTCTTAGCTCATAGCTACGCACCCATCTGCCACTAGGGGGCCTGAACTGGAGGCTCACCCACGTCACATCTGCCACTAGGGCCTGACCTGCAACAGGTCCTCAAACCACAAGTCTAACTATCTGGAGCCACATGAGGTGAAGTCAGAACTCATTAAGGGTCTTGTTCATCACATGGCGCAAACAGATCTGTACTCATGCAGAGAATCCAGACTAAAAGTTTTTTTATATTTATCAGGAGCTATATTCAAACATCTCATTCTTTAGAATGAGAAGGTAAAGGTTTGTATAGAAACATACAAATGAGAAAACCAAGAAAAACACGTTGTGGAAAGTTTTATAGTTCATTGAGCACATCCATAATAGAACCCTTTGCTGCGGTATCAGGTGCTTCTGCCTCTGATCAGTGAAGGCTGTTTAGACTCCCTGAATTTAAGAAGACTGAAAATGTTGTAGACCACCAGATAAGCAGCGTAAGGGTTACGTTTATAACTACGGTGCTTTGAATCAGGCCCCTCCCCCTCAGCCAGAGGCCCCTCTCCCTCACCTGAGCAATGAAGACCACGTGTTTGCCGCTGAACTTCTTCTCCAGCTCTCTGACCAAACGAACCTGGATCTTCTGAAACGACTTGAGCTGCGGGACCGGGACGAAGATGATGATGACCTTTCTGCTGCTGCCCACTTCGATCTCCTGTAGGAGGAAGAGCATTAAGGAAGTTCCAGCTCTACAGCGCCCTCTGTGGCAAATATACAGCAGAGAGAATGTGTCCTGCATGGTCATTCTGCCCAGTCACAGCCCAAAGGACTCTGGGAGATGTAGGAATATGCAGGCTGGGTCCTCAGAGGGACCAGCTTCATGTTTGACGTCGTGGAACGGGACTGTACGTCTTAGCTCAGAGCTACGCACCCATCTGCCACTAGGGGGCCTGAACTGGAGGCTCACCCACGTCACATCTGCCACTAGGGGCCTCACATCTGTTCTAAACACGTTTGAAAAAAATTGGAGCCAGACCTTTGCTGCAGTGATGTTCAGCTCCCTCAGCTGAGCCTTGAGGTCAGAGTTCATCTCCAGCTCCAGCAGAGCCTGAAACACAAAACATCAGCTTTAACAACTGCAGACAACACATCTTTAAACTGAGGGTCCTAACTTTAATCTGACATGCTTGAACAGAATAAGACACAACACACAGTCTCTGAGTGAAGGTGGTTTTCTTTGATCTACACATGTGACAGAAACTGTTCTCTGTAAGCTTGCACAGTGCCGTCGGAGTCTCAGTGCACAGAATATAACTGGCCTCAGATTCACAGATTTATTTACAGTTCATAAGTCTGACAGGATCTGGAACAGCAGCAGTTTAAACAGCGTGTGGACCATTGAGGCTGGGTTTGAACCAGAACTAACCACACACCATGATCGAGAACTCTTTGCTGTGGCGTTAGTGCTGATATTTTCTTTACTGTCAAGTGCATGGTCTGGACAGTAGGCCTCAGTTCAGCACTAATGGGGCGCTCAGACCGGATCAGGCGTTGCCCCGACTTTCAATGCAAAGTCAATGGTGATGTCCGCTCGAGCGTGGAACTGAATATGCGTCGCGACACGCACGGACTGTGTGGTGGCGGCAAATTGACACAGGCAAGAGATACTTTCTGCCGGCCGCACGTGCAGCAGCCAAACAGAGCTGCAAAGTGGTCACTAGAAGTCGCGCGGTAGACTGAAAACTCGTAAACAGCCAAAACACGAGCTAAACAATGGGAGACAGTGCTTGTGAACATATGCCTCCATTCTGACTGACTGTAAACAGGTCTGAAGGCCTCTGGACAGAGACGCTGCATTCTTGGACATGTTATACCGTCTGTCATGGAGAGAATTTCTAACCTATACCGTACATAAGATGTTGTAGCTCTTGTTTAACCGTTTGCACATTTTCTTTCCATTAGACCCCTAGTGAATATTTCTCCTCACATTTACACTATATCCTTTAACCATGATGCATTCTGCTGTGGGTTCTTCCACCTGATCTTGAGTAGAGTTACTTGAATATTATCGTTTGGCACAACAGCTACAAACGTTCACAGCGCTGACCATTATGGTCTCAATGAGGATAAACATCAGAGAATGTGTCCTGCATGGTCGTTCTGCCCAGTCACAGTCCAAAGGACTCTGGGAGATGTAGGAATATGCAGGCTGGGTCCTCAGAGGGACCGGCTTCATGTTTGACGGCGTGGAACGGGACTGTACGTCTTAGCTCAGAGCTACGCACCCATCTGCCACTAGGGGGCCTGAACTGGAGGCTCACCCACGTCACATCTGCCACTAGGGCCTGAGGTTCTAACATCTCATCCAGGACTTAAGACAAAATGTGACCGTTACAGCTGCACATTACATTTAACTTGAACATAGTTTTTTAACACATCACAGGGAACAGCTCTGTGTGGAACAAGCTCCACAGGTTGAGCTTCGCTTCAATTTTGTGGTGGAGTTGTATCACTTGATGTTGATTTGTTAATTTTCCATTATCCAATTACTTCCTTGGCTGCAGACAACTTCCATTCAAATAAAGTGTAAACCATGACATGTGACGCTTACCTGAGAAATCCCAGACTCAAACTCGTCCGGCTTCTCGCCATTGGGCTTCACTATCTTGGCGCTTGTACTGAACATGGCCGTTGTCTCTGTGGAACAGAACCAAACATTAGTACAATGTCCTCCGTGCGATCTAGGGCTGCAATATTTAAAACAGATAAAATTAACACTGGTCCTGGGTTTGTATCCATCTCCACTAAAGTGGGAGGTTGCATGTTCTTGTGTCTGCTCTAGTTAGTGAACCTCTGGACAGGCACAACATGACTAAAGCGCTTTGGGACTTGTCTGAAGGCACTATATACTAATACTTTCAATTAGGGCTGAACCTCCAAATAAAAAACTTTGTACAAAATGATTAGTTAAACCTTATGTACACACGTTTGGCACTAGATTACACGTGAAAAAACGCTGAAATTTGGTCTGATCCGTTAAATTTTCAATGTTACCAGAATACATCCCAAAACTACGGATGTCCAGACTTCAGTAAGTACAATCTATTTAAAATACCCAACTTTAGCATTCACTTTAGGCTGAATCCAGCAGTAGTAAAGCTTTGACAGGGTAAGACTAAGCAACAGCACGTATCACTTTAACGTAGTTTTGCATCATGAGCAGCTTCTGTGTTAAGTGTAAACTCTAAAATCCACCTCACTTAAAAAAACCTTGTATCAGACACAGTTGCAGAACACAGACTGTAGCACGGCTATAGCAACATGCTACAGCCGTGCAACTCGCCGGTGTTCTTACCCATATTCCCAGTTTACGAACCTAAAATCAGGCTTTAAACGCGAAAAAAACTCACATAGAGGCCAAACATCGAGATAGAGCCCGCGTTAGCTGGACACATGTGCGGCCTGTAGACAGGGCTTCTCGGCTAACACTCCCCACTCAGGTCTGCGGCTACTACGGCTTATATTACACATTTGAAAAGCCATCGGAGTAATATAATGACTTTATCTGACGCATCACACGTACATCTCACGTTCCGACGCTGAAATCCAGTATTTTACTTGTTTTAAAGTGAAGTTTGAAGCAGAAATGTGAATCCAGTGCTAGAAAGCAGCGACTCACCTCAGTCTACGACGGCCAAGGAAGAGACCGGAACATCGCGAGAGTTGGGTTAATCAGAGCGCGGAGGGATGGGAGATCTCGCGAGAGGTGAGAGACAGCGGCATGGAGGAAAGCTGCATTCGTGTCTCACAGAAAAGTAGGAAAGAAAGATACTCAACCAAAAGTAAAACTAGTAAATTTGAGTCTGAATTATGTTTGAATGATATGTTTGACTTAAATACTTAACTATGATGTGTGCTGTATCATGTCTGACGGGGCCCTTCTGTATGGAGTTTGCATGTTCTCCCTGTGTCTGCGTCGGGTTCCTTTGGAATTTTTTTTAATATTTTTTTTTAAATAATAAAAATAATAATGCATTGGCCCAAGGTTCAATCTGGTTTTTGTACAATCCAAAACAAAAAAGAAAATGCAGCAACTGCAGTGATGTGGTCACTGTGTCGGACTGTTCTGGTGAAAAGGGAGCAGTGTCTGCAGTCAGAGCTCTAAATTCTGTCGCTCATGACCAAAACTACCAAAAGGAGATTGAGGAGCTTAAGTCACACAGGAGGAGCTCAGAGTAGAGCTGCTGCTCCTTCACATGCCTCCTGGACATGTCCCACCGGGAGGAGACCAGGGGAAGACCCAGGACACAGAGGGACTGGCTGTGTCTCTCAGCAGGCCTCGGAGCCCCTCAGGATTCCCCCAGATGAGATGGAGGAAGTGCGCTCAGACTGCTGCCTCTGTGACCCGCAACAGATAAAGCGGAAGGAATATGGATGATAAATCCATAATGTTGTATCTATTATACATATAGTGTTTTTGACAATAAAAAACACTTTGTTTAGATAATAATAAATGTGGATTATACCTTTGTCTTTTTCCACACATATCAACCTTAGGAACACGAAAAACAAATGTACATAAAACAATATAATATTTCACTGTCCGCGAACGCATCATTTAAACCACGAAGCCAACTCACGAATTTGCAGAATATCCACCGTCTCTGTTTCTCTTTGTGCATATTCTTCTAATTTCTTCTGTTTTTGCGTCAGATTCTTTTGCGGAATTATCAATATATCTGATTTACAAGTTCAGAACTGCGCTAAAGTCAAACATATTCAGTGTTTGAGGCTAAATCTGTGGAATGTTTTAGCGACTAGCGTAACATTAGCGCACTTCCGCGAATTCTAAGATCCATATCCGTTCAGATTATCATAGGATTAACCTATGAAGTGATCCGAATTGTTCCTAAGGCGTGTGAGTATCTGCAGGTATGTTGTCGTTTAGCTTCCAGGAGCCGTTTTTGCGTTAAACCGGGTTATGTTCAGACTGAGCGGCTTTTTCAGCGCAGTTCGGAACACTGTTTGGAGCAGCGCACGCGTCATGGCCAAAGGAAAGTTTTACTACGCGGTGAGGAAAGGATTCAAGCCTGGCGTCTACAAAACATGGTACATCTGCTCACGAAGTCAACATTGACACTGGCATGGTTTTAATAAGCCTTGAAAATAAAGTATTATCATTAGCGTTCCAAACCCCGTCCACAGAAGTGTACATTTAACCTAAGTGTTGTTTTCAGCTAAAGCTCCAGTGAAGCTTTATGTCTCTTAACAGCTAATAGTGCGTCATCCTAATGCATCACCATCTCATTTGAAATTCACACTATATTGTATTAATGCACTAATTTCTAATCATTATTTTCATGTTCTTGTCTTTTATATCATTGTGATTAAAATGCATTGATTGAACATGTTCTCGCAAGTTTATTTGTATAGCACAGTTCACACAGAAGGCAACTCAAAGTGTTAAAACAAACCAATCCTTCAGTTGTTGCAGCTTTTTATCTGGATTTGAACATTGTCAGAGAAGAACCCTATCTCACATTTTCAGGAAGACTTTTGTATTTTAGCAGCATGAATCTAACTCTGGGACGAGCAGGAGACCAGTCCCTGTGGGCCCAGACGATTGTGTTGTTTTAATGTTTCGTTTCAGGGACGACTGTAAATCGCAGGTGGAGAAGTTTCCTGCTGCGGTCTTTAAAAAGTTCCCCACAGAGAAAGATGCCTGGGCCTTTGTGCGAGGAGAGAACCCTGTGGTCTGTCCCCCAAAGCCACAGACTGGTGAGTCGGCACAGACTATAGTTTAACATCTTAGCACACATCTATCTGTGCCAAATGTGATATGTACATTCCTCCAGTGTGAGATCAATAAAGTCTAACTTATAACAGCTGCCACTGAGAGGATTTATCTTATTGTGGTTTTTTTTAGAACACATCACCCCTGTCTTAAACCAGGGACCTCTGTGCTCCGTCTTGTTTCAGTCCCAGACCTGGAGCCCCCCCCTATTCTGCCCAGACGTGGCCCTGAGCCCCTGCAGTACATCCCCCTGGGCCCAAAGAGGTGCCACAGCCCAGAGGAGGAGCACGAGACGAGGAGCAAACGAACAAAGATGGAGCAGAACGAGACCAAGCTAACCGCAGCGGCTAGCAGCTCCAGCAGCTCTGACGGCTTCACCTACATGGGTGAGTGATTGTGACTTAATTACTCATGGATCTATAATATCTGGATAGGGCAGGGGTGGCCAACCCGATGCGGCTCTTTGGCTGGTTCAGTGCGGCTCTCGGGCTTTCACACGACAAGCGTCAAAAACGCCTCGGTGGTGGCACTGCCATTCATTCTCTATGTAGTTCTGACCCATAGTAAAGGCCAACTTTACTCCACTAGCCGGGCCGCCAAAACAATCTGACGTCGGCGAACGTCAATTCTGATTGGTCAGATGCGCTGTCAATCACTCTGCAGCTGCTGCCTCAGCTGTTGCAAATATCATAACAAACAACACGTTGCCTCGACCCATGACGTCCGTACGGAAAACAGTTCCTTGGTCGCTGGATGAGGGCAACACCTTCCTCAGTTTGAGGAGAGGACACCAGCGTGAACTCGATGGTTCCACCAGAAACCAGAAGGTGTTTGTGGAGCCAGCGCTAAGGACGGAGCAGAATGATTCCCACGAACATGACAATGCAGAGAAAAGTAAAAAAGCTGACAACTGTGAAATGAAAGATCACAGCAGCAGAAGTAGAGGCAGAACCGAAAAGTCTGGAGGTGATTTGACCAAATGGATTAAATTTACGGACATCGGCTAACACCGGCTAACATGCTAAATTCAGCTAGCACCAGCTACACCAGGAGATAAGCCAACTCTGCCTGGTGAGTGTCTGTCTTCAATCAAATGCGAAAGTATCTGGTCTTACACTGAACATGTGTCTGTGGTTCTAAATCAGCTAAAGTGGTGTTGGTGTTATGTGTCAAATCTATATATTTTACTAAACGCAGTCAGAGTGAATCATGGTTTGATAAAGACAGTTGTGTTTCTGCTGAATACTGGTTTGAAACCTGCTTTTTTCATTTTGGAATCATAATTGATGTTCGCTGACGTGATATTGTTCTGGTATCGACTCGCCCAGTTAGAACCAGGGCCAAACCATTAATAAAAATTACCGGGGAGAGGCTAAAGCGAGCGGTGGAAGCGCCCGCAAACCGGGAAGAGTCGAGTCCAGCCCTTTAGTACTGTACGAGTCAATTTCTGTCATTATCATGTTGATGACATTTACAATGTAAGGCATGGGGTGATGTTTATGTAGTGCATATTTGTATGATGTGGCTCTTTGCTGTAACACAGTAAAAAAAATGGCTCTTAGTCTGTGACTGGTTGGCCACCCCTGGGATAGGGTATTACTAGCTTGGAGCTGAAGGACCCATGTGCTTGTGGGATTCTCGCGGTACTGCAGACTAAATGATACCAAATTCACAAAGGCTACACAGACATTTTCCCCATAGAACTCAATGTAAACTAAAACAGTTCGACCTCAGCTGACAGGGAACCTACAGCTTTCACAAAGGTCAGATTTTGTGGGGATTTTAAGATAAGATAAGATGTGCTTTATTTATCTCACAGAGGAGAAATTTACAATTTTTTAGTGTCCCTTGTCATCCTGAACTTTTTTTCTTCTTAAATCCTTCGGTTTTCTTTAAATCCACACTTTACTGCCACAAACTCTGCTCGTTTCCTTCCCGCTCTAACTCCTGCTCTAGACCAGCTCTGATTCAGAGCGAGGCCTAGCCCCTCTGTGCACGTGCATGAGAGCCACACACACACACGTATTTGGCCGCTACGCATCATGGAAGCTCGTCCACTGCGCAGAACCGCGAGGTCAAGACGATGCCCAAATATGGGCAAGTTCCCCACTAATATTTCCGTGCCGGCACATGCGGCACTGATCACAAGCCATTCATTTGAATACGGCCCCATCTTGGCACACCGGGGTTTGATCACAGTGTGACATCACTGTAGTTTTAGCCTTAATGCAGAAGAAGCTGATTTAAACATAACATTGTATGGCGTAACTGGGGCAGACGTGTTGCTAAGCCAATCCTCTGAACCAGGAACACTGTCTAAATGTTTTCATCATGTCTAAGTGTAGTTCCTCGCTCTTCCACCAGGGGACAGCGTGGTGGTCTACACTGACGGCTGCTGCACGGCCAATGGGAAGGCTTCAGCTCGTGCCGGAATCGGGGTCTACTGGGGACCACATCACCCTCTGTGAGTGAGACCAGCGAGGGAGGGGGGACCGACGAGTCACTAAATTCATGTGTTCTCAGGAATGTGGCGGAGCGACTGGAAGGACGACAGACCAATCAGAGAGCAGAGATCCAGGTACCACAGACCAATCACAGTTCAGTTCATGTTTTAAGTTGACTACAGAAGTGGAAGACTCGGTCCCAGAGGGCCATGGGACTCTGGGACGAGACCAGAATGAGCCAAAATGCCTGTAGTCTTCCACTCCTGTGGCTTTAGAGCGTACACAAACTTCCACTTCTGTGGCCAACTGACATCTGAAAATGAACTGACCACCATTTCAGAGGTAGGGCTTGGTGTAAACACTCTGGGACAGAGGGCCGTGGGACATGTGTGTAATTCCTGTGTTGTCCACCAGGCGGCCTGCAGAGCTCTGGAACTGGCCAAAGTCAACAACATAAAAAAACTGGTGCTTTACACAGACAGCAAGTTCACCATCAACGGTATGACCTGGACCTGGACCAGACTCGGGCCTGGATCTGGCCCGGACCTGGATCTGGCCCGGACTCTGACCTGGATCTGGACCTGGCCCAGACTCTGACCCGGATCTGGACCTGGCCCAGACTCTGACCCGGATCTGGACCTGGCCCAGACTCTGACCCGGATCTGGACCTGGCCCAGACTCTGACCCGGATCTGGACCTGGCCCAGACTCTGACCTGGATCTGGACTAGACTCAGAGCCGTTCCTGATGTGATCCAGGAGTGACCAGTTGGGTGAAGAGCTGGCGGCTGAACGGCTGGAGACTCAAATCTGGAGGACAAATCATCAACAAAGAAGATTTCATCAAACTGGACCAACTCAACTCAGAGCTACATGTCACATGGGTGAGAGCCAATCAGAGAGCAGGTCACATGAGTGAGGGCCAATCAGAGAGCAGGTCATGCTGGACAAATGCTTCAAAAGCCCTGTGAGTCATTATTTGACTCTTTGGGCTGAACTAAAGATATGACACTGACATAACTACATGAAACTAGCAACAGAAGCAACTGTTTTAGAGCCAGAAGCAGAGACATGGGTTCAACACAGAGTTCTGTTGGTCTGAAAGTTACAGATCCCAGCTTTAAAGTTGTTTAGCCACGCCCACTTAATGTTTATCATTAGATTAGAGTGAGAGCAGGAAGTGAAAAGTACTATGTATTATGTATAGGGTCAGCACTAGATCATATACGGAATCGGGACGGAAGCGAAAGTAAATAGAACAAACTACCTATTCATGCCTAAACTTAACCAGCCATTCCCATTAAATAACCCCAACCCAGCCTTAACCCTTAACTTAACCATCTTACCCAGACACCTAAAACTTAACCAGTCACCATATAAGGACTTATTAGTCTAAAACTAATTCGAAAGTAGGATTGTTACTTCCGGTTTCGTCCCGATTCCGTGTATGATCTAGTGCCAACCTTATGTATAGTTGGGACCAGAGTAGACAAAAACTGGACTGAAACTCCATCATTTGTCTGGTCTAAGTGTCATGGCCTCTGTTTCTTGCAGCTGCACATCCCTGGACACGCTGGTTACCACGGCAACGAGGAGGCGGACCGTCTGTCGCGAGAGGGCGCGGCCAAACGCGCGGCCGCAGAGCTCTGACAGCACTTTATTCTGTTTGTTTGTGTTTTCATTAAAGTTATGTTTGAGCCGTTTGCGACACTGTCATTGTTGTTATCTGTGAAGATTTTAATAAAACCTTAAACCCAACCTTCCTTTGCCTTTAACCTGCCAGATTATATAAATATATAATGTGTATACAGATCTCCGGTTGGAACACAGGTAAAGATAGAAAGAGAAGCTCAGAGTAGAGTCGCTCCAAGTGTCTTAAGAGCCAGGAGGAATACCTCCTGGGGAAGTGTTCTGGGTGTAGAGTGGAGGAGCTGATGTCGGTCTCTTCTCCCACATGTTGCTGAGTGTCACGTGGCCTTGAACAGGTTCTAAAACACCACTGTGGCCCGAGCCCACTACTGTGTGATGACAGTTCCATAAGGGTCATAATGTGACGCTAACGGAATAATATAAACATTATTGTCACGTGGGAACACGTAGTTCCCGCGCGGGCGGCAGACGCTGCACAGACGCGGACAAAGGCGGCAGTGCGCATCAGGGGGATGTGAGGGAATGCATCGTGCGCGCTCCCGCCTGTGTGCGTCCGCGCTCCCGTCTCCATCAGCATCTCTCAACAACGAAACAAACTGACCGCGCGTCTACCGCGTCTCTGCCGCGTGTGCCGCGTCTCTGCTGCGACTTCCTCCTCCGCGCGCGCACGGGACCGGCTTTGGCGCAGTCCGGTTCGGTCCGCGTGCGCCTCTGCGACAGTGCATGAGTGCGCGTGCGTGAGAGCGCGTGTCCGTGCCTCTGTCTGGATCTGAAACATCCTCTGGTGCGACATGAACCCGGACTAAACCCGGACCAGAGGAGGACTACCCCGGGACTGGATCAGGACTGGGTCTGGACCTGTGCAAGACCAGAGTCCAGACTGAGATCACAGCAGCAGCAGCGCCACATCAGTGAGTCCAGTTTGTGTTTGTGTCTCTGTCTGGTACAGGGCTGTTCACCCCATACCGTCCTCATTAGTCCTGGTTCAGTTCTGCTTTAGTCCTGGTCCTGGTTTATCCCTAGTTTTGTCCTGGTTTATAACTAGTTTAGACATTGTTTAATCCTGGTCCTGGTTCAGACCTTGTTAAGTCCTGGTTTAATTCTAGTTTAGACCTAGTTTAGTCCTGGTTCAGTCCTGGTTCACTTCAGTGACCTTAAAAACCCTGAATTTAAATTGTTCAAACTGCCCCAGACTTTGGAGTCAAAAAAGTGGACCACCACAACCAGGATTTGCCAGGACTAAAGCAGGACTAAAGGAGGACTAAAGCAGGACTAAAGGAGGACTAAAGCAGGACTAAAGGAGGACTAAAGGAGGACTAAAGCAGGACTAAAGGAGGACTAAAGGAGGACTAAAGCAGGACTAAAGGAGGACTAAAGCAGGACTAAAGCAAGTCTAAAGCAGGACTAAAGGAGGACTAAAGGAGGACTAAAGAGGGACTAAAGAAGGATTAAAGCAGGACTAAAGCAGGTCTAAAGAAGGACTAAAGCAGGTCTTAAGCAGAATTAAAGCAGGACCAAAGAAGGATTAAAGCGGGACTAAAGCAGGACTGAACCAGGACCAGGACTACTGGCATTATACCACAGTACAAGCATCATTAAAAAATGTATTGGAAGTAAAATGTTTCCTCGAAATGGGACACAAGCCGAGGTCTGTAACTACAGAACTCTACTAAACCCATGTCTGTAGTTCTGGCTCTAAAACAGTTGCCACAGCTCTCTGTCGGGTCAGAGTTTGTAAACAGCCATTTCCTGTTTTTTGTCCTGCTTTAGACCTGTTTTAGTCCTGCTTTGGTCCTGCTTTAGACCTGTTTTAGTCCTACTTTAGTCCTGCTTTAGACCTGTTTTAGTCCTACTTTAGTCCTGCTTTAGACCTGATTTAATCCTGGTTTAGTTCTGGTTCGGACTTGTTTTGGTTTAGTGTTTTAGTCCTGGTTCTGGCCTGGTTTAGACCTGGTTTAGTCCTGGGTTACTCCTGGTCTGGTTTGATGGATGGTCTATAGAACACATGTATGGTTTCCATGGAGACTGCAGGTCTGAGCGTGCTCAGTCGAGGCCTGAGATGAACCCAGACACAGCGTGATCTGGTTTTAATGAGACCAGGTCTGAACCAGTTTCGGTCCCAGCTCAGAACTAGGTCTGAACCAGGTCTAAACCAGGTCTGAACCAGGACTGGACCAGGTCTGAACCAGGACTGAACCAGGACAGAACCAGGACAGAACCAGGACAGAACCAGGTCTGAACCAGGTCTGAACCAGGTCTGAACCAGGTCTGAACCCGAACTTAGTCAGGTCTGAACCAGGACTGAATCAGGTCTGAACCAGGACTGAACCAGGACTGGACCAGGTCTGAACCAGGACTGAACCAGGACAGAACCAGGACAGAACCAGGTCTGAACCAGGTCCGAACCAGGTCTGAACCCGAACTTAGTCAGGTCTGAACCAGGACTGAACCAGGACTGAACCAGGTCTGAACCAGGGCATGAGTACCATTTTCACACTGTAAATGTTTGTGTCCAGATGGAGGTGACGTCGTCGGACAAACGCCACAGAACCAGGTCCAAAGGAGTCAGAGGTGAGACCAGCTCCAGTCCTCAGTCCGAGTCCCAAACCTGTGGCTGTGAAGTGGGCGGAGCTTAGGTTTAGGTTATTACAGAATCAAATTTCCATTGAAACCCCAGACGATATTAGGAGTGGACTGAGCCAGTGTGACATCACCACAGAAGAAGATGATTTTAACATAAGTTGGAGCCAGTTTCCTTATATGGGCATTTGTTCTGACGGCGTTAGCTTCGCACTGTACCAGGGGCAGACGTATTGCTGAGGCAAACCGGTCAATCCAACTGTGATTGGTCAGTCCTTTTATGGTCATATTTGGTTTTATAAAGACAATATCACATATAAAAAGCAGGATCACAGAGAGCGATAAACCACACAATAAGTCACACAAACGTTACTGAGCTGGAAGAGTTTAATTTTCCATGGAAGTCAATAGGAGCCAGAGAGGAGCCAAACTTCACCATGAGCACTTCTCTACTGGGCTTTATTGAGTTAGCGGGTTAGCATAGTTCATCTGTAAACATTCTGTGATGATACATTACAGATCCTGTTGTCATTCCTCCTGAAGACGTTTTTTAAGACAATACTATTTTTCTAAACGTTACTTCCTGAAACCCTAAGCTCCGCCTACTTCATGGCTTCGTACTGTTTCTGATCAGTGTCTTTTATGAATGTGTTCATGCAGCTGCAGTGGAGGCCCTCACACAGGAGCTGTTCAGGTGAGCTAATGCTATGCTAATGTTATGCTAACGTTGTTTGAATGGAAACGATGCTAAGCTAACATCAACAACTTTATTAGAAGCACACATGCTCCTGTTGTGTTCAGCTCTGCAGCGCCCCCCTGAGGTCTGTGTCTGTCCTTCCAAATCGCTCTGAGCTCTGCCCCTTTAATCACTGTAAACGTGGAACATAGAAAGCCCTGCAGGCTCCGCTCGGACCACAGAGATGGTGTAAAAGAATGATGGTGTTTCTGTCCTCAGCTGTCCCACGGCGGGATGTGACGGCAGCGGTCATGTGAGCGGGAAATACGCAAGACACCGAAGGTAGGAGGCTTTAGTCCTGTTTTAATTCTGCTGTAGACCTGCTTTTTTCCTGCTTTAGACCAGGTTTAGTTCTGATTTAGTACTACTGTAGACCTGCTGTAGACCTGCTTTTTTCCTGCTTTAGACCTGCTTTAGACCAGGTTTAGTCTGGCTTTAGATCTGCTTTAGTCCTGATTTAGTCCTGCTTTAGACCTACTTTAGACCAGTGTTAGACCATGTTTAGTCCTGATTTAGTCCTGCTTTAGACCTGCTTTAGTCCTGATTTAGTCCTGCTTGAGACCTGTTTGAGACCTGCTTAAGACCTGCTTTATACCAGCTTTAGTCCTACTTTAGACGAGGTTTAGACCTGCTTTAGACGAGGTTTAGACCTGCTTTAGACCAGGTTTAATCTTGCTTTGGTCTGCTTTATTCCTGATTTAGTCCTGCTTTAGACCTGCTTTAGACCATGTTTAGTCCTGCTTTAGTCCTGATTTAGTCCTGCTTTAGTCCTGATTTAGTCCTGCTTTAGTCCTGCTTCAGACCTGCTTTAATCCTGATTTAGTCCTGCTTGAGACCTGCATGAGACCTGCTTTATACCAGCTTTACTCCTACTTTAGACCAGGTTTAGTCCTGCTTTAGACCCACTTTAGTCCTGCTTTATTCCTGCTTTAGTCCTGGTTCAGTCCTGGTCTTTGTCTGGGTGCTGTGGAGGTTGCTGTAGAGCTGGATGGGAGGCTGTCACCATGGCGACGCCGCTGCAGCCTGTCTCCCGTGGTAACGACAATGTCTCCACGGCGACGCTGCCGGTTTAATTAACAGTTTTATTTTTAGTCCAGATACTTTTTCTCATTGACAAAAATAATGTGAATGTGTCCTTAGTGTAATTAAAGCTGAAGTCTGTAACTTTAGTCTGATTAATAACACAAGTTTAAACAGAAAGAGTTTTAAAGTAAAATGTGAACAAAACATACACAACCTACTGTCTTCATCTTTTGTGTCAGAAAGAGCTCCGTTAGTTACTATCTGACTCTTTGGGCCGAGAGCTGATGGCTGAAGGAGAGCCAGGCAAGTTTATTTGTATAGCACAATTCATACACAAGGCAAACCAAAGTGCTGAACATAACAAGATTAAGATCATAAATAAGATAGATAGATAGGTAGATACTTTATTGATTCTCCGTAGGAGAAATTCAGACTCATCCAGGTCTGTTGTACAGTCTGATAACAGACCTGTATGAGCTGAAGGAACAAAGGATCTCTTGAAACATTCCGTTCGGCAGCGCGGTGATAGGAGCCTGTTGCTACCATTACTCCTCTGAGCGGCCATAGTGTCATGCAGAGTAATGCATGACACACATGGTACATTTTGTCATTATACACATTATACATTACACATTATGCAAATAATCACAGTGCTCTGCAGCTAAAAATAACTGTTTTCAACCTGTATTTAAACTTTGTCTGAGAAGAGGTCTGTCTCACATTTTCAGGAAAATGTTAGCTGCATGAATCTGAATTGCAGCCTCTCCATGTTACGTTCTGACTCTGGGCAGGGCACTAGCACGAGTACGGTCCCTGTGCTCCTCAGAGTCCGAGTTGGACTCACATGTCACTTAAGTACATGTTAGAGAGGGTGGTCCTCACTTTGATCTAAAGATGTGATATAGGCCAGAAATACGTTTAACTAGTGTCAGAAGCAACTGTTGTAGAGCCTGGAACTTGAGACTTGGGTTTAATACAGAGTTTTATTGTGCTCTGAAAGTTACGTACCCCAGCTTTAAGGCTTAGCAGTCTCCATAGCAACAGCTGCTTTTCTGAACTCGTTGATCTGACAGGAACATGCAACAAAATGATAAGGGGCCTGTGAGCAAAGTGACCACAGCACAGGGACGATGTGCTCCATGGAGCCTTGGTCCAGAACACAGTGGCGATCATCCCTCCTTTATACATTAAAAACTCATTCATTTCACCGGGCGGACATTAGGTCTGCTTATATGAACATGAGACAATATTAGCATTTTAGGACTGGATTTACTGAGTGTGACAGATGCAGAAGCGGCTGATTTGAACATAATCTAGCTTTTCCTTCCTTATATGAACCTTTTTTCAACTGTGGCTTTGCATTGTTACAGGGGCAGATGTCTTGTTAATATGGTTGCTAAGGCAAGCTTGAGCTCCCTGGAGAATGAAGGCATCTGATTGGTCAATCCTTTTATGGCTCATATCTGGACTTACATGTGTATGTAAGTCAAGAGGAGCCAGAGTAAGATGGAGCCAAACTTTCTCCATGAGCCCTTCCCTATTGGGCTTCATTGAACTAGCGGGTTAGAATTGTCCATCTGTAAACAGTCTATGTCTCAAACAGCAGAAAGACATCTGTCATGTTAATGTTTGTGTGTGTGTGTGTGTGTGTCTAGCATGTGGGTACAGTGTATATATGTGCGTGTGTGTGTGTGCGTAGTGTGTGCGCATACAGTGTGTATATGTGTGTGTGTAGTGTGTGCTGCGGAACAGTGTGTCCTCAGTTGCTCCTCTCACTATAGACGCTGCAGTGCATCATGGGAGCTGAATTTGAATGAGCAGTAGACTGAAACCTCCTCACAGCAGCAGCGCGAGACTGAGTGTGTGTGTGTGAGATTGTGTGTTTGTGTCTGTGTGTGTATGTGTTTGTGTATATGAAAGTGAGTGTATATTTTTTTAAATGTATAAATATGTTTCTTATAGTGCTATCCTGGTCATTTTTTTGACGATTTAGTGCAAATTAGATACAATCTTCTGTGGCTTAGGTCCAAGTGTGTAGCTCTACAATCATCTTAGTGTGTAAACAAGGAATGAGACTTTCTGGTGCGTAAACTGCCTGTTTTGTGTGTGTGACAAGTGAGCTGTCAATCCCAGCCTTTTTTTTTAGAAAAAATGTTCAAATGTTCATGTGGGCGGAGTAAGGGCACAGGTGTTTAGTACTCCTTTAACTTTTTAACTGCAGTGTAGTTTTTCTGAGGAAGTCATTACATGTATGTATTAAACTTGAGTAACCAAGCTGCAGTTAGTCATGAAAGTAATGGTGTAAATTTGAAAGCTTTGTTTTTATTGTTAGCCTTAGCATCAGCAATAGCATTAGCATAAGTGTTAGCATTAGCGATAACAATGGGCTATATGCAGAGGGAGGCCTGACGTCATTTCCTGTTAACAAATCACAGCCCGTTCACTTCCTGCCTATGCTATCCTATGGCTTATAGGTGGTTTTTAGTGTTGTTTTTTGTAATTAGATTGATACATTGAGCTGTGAGTGTCACTGTGCTTTCTCTCTGAGGTAGAGCTTTGACTGTGGCCACTCAGAGAGATTAGTTAACTTTATAAAAACACAATGACAGTACAATCAAAGAGCACTGCTGTGTCCCAAAAATGCCCAGTGTCCTCACAGTTTAATTCCTGTTTGAGGATTATTTAGGAAACTCGTGTAAACCACTGCTGGACTCCGGTGAAACTCAAGCTGTTTCCCGCGAACAGGAAGTGAAGTGGGGTAGTAGCTAAAACACGGAAGTGGTGCGTGCATAGAGCCCATTCTCTATGGAGCGTTCCCGCTGGAATTTGAGCCCTGAGCAGCAAAGAAACAGAGCTCCAGACTCCAAAGACATGAAGACTATTAACCATTGGGGGACCAGTCTAGTTTAGCCGCTGTGGACTTCAGAAGGCACTTCAATGAATGACGCTAGTGCTGGCTAACGCATGTGCAATTGCGTTTTTTCACATTTTCCTGCTCCGCGGCTATTTTGAAAAAGGTCCATAGAAAGCAAAAGTGGTGGAGATAGGCGTGATTAAGTCCGTTAATATTTACAGTCTATGATATTAACACATCTACAGCTGCTCAAGTCAGTGCTGGTCATGTTTTGTTTTAGAACTGTGTTAGATCCAGTGTTTCACTTAAGAGTAGCATTAATATCAACAATAGCTGCTAATAGCAATAGCATTATTGTTAACTTATTTGGCCATTTCCAACAATTGTAGATTTCAGCACACAGTTGCTTTGTGTTGCCTCCTCCATCTACACCTGCGGACTGCCCTGCCCGACCCGCCTGGGAGTGCTTCAGTCCTGCACCGGACCTGTCCACGTTCAGCGGCCACTGGTCCACGTTCTGTAGCTAGCTTAGGTCCTGGATCATTAGCCTGTCCGTCCGGAGGAGCGGATCCCTTTCTCAAATGGGTCTCCCTCCCTGTGGGTTTCCCTAGTTCTCCCCAAGGTTTCTCACTTTTTCCCACTGGGTTTTTTAAGAGTTGTTCCTTGTCGATGCAGGAGGGTCTTGTTGGACAGTTAGTGTCCAACAGAAAGGATTGGTGATGATCAGGACACTTTAGCATTCTACAACATGTATGGACATTTTCTTCTGTGTGTGCTTTATATTCTTCATGTGTTTTAACTGTTGATTCTCTGATCTGTGTTGGTGATTTCAATGGTTTTGTTAAGTCTCTGAGATGACTTCTGTTGTGACCTAGGGCCATACAAGAATAAATGGTATTGTATTGTATTGTGTTGAAAGTAAAGGCCATTGTTTTTAATGCAGGTCAGCTTCATTATTGTAGAAATGATATAGCAAGGTCAAGTCACCCATGTGCACTGTGTCTATGAAGTCCACAGGAAACAGTGAGAGTAAAACAATTACAACAGGCCAATGACGTCTATTATTATGACTTTTATGTCACTTTACGGTTTAACAAACATGTTTATTTTAGCTGGGGCCTTACCTTCTAACATTTGGTTATTTGTAAGTAAGGATTATGAGGTAACGGTTCACTCTAATAATTATTGACTCTAAAACATCACTACAGGACTTTAGAGGCAGCTGTGAAGAGTTCTGCAGTTTCTGCCGTGGAGAAAAGAGTGTCAACACAATTGTGGATAAAATAATTTCAAACAGCATTTCTGTCATTTAAGATGTTTGTTTTTGTCGTTTTAAGTAATAGTTTAGCAGCATAGAAGAAATGTGTGATTGAACCATAGACTGTATATATTAACGGACAGAGTCACGCCTATCTCCGCCGTTCTAACTAATGGGCCAAAAATAATGCTCTACTGGAGCTATCCAAAATGGCCGCGAGTGGTCCCGCCCACAAGAAAATTGTGAAAAAACCAGTGGGGGCGGGTCCCAACTCAAAAGTGGCCAAAATGACGTGCGCTGATATGTAAGACTATTGGCACCTTAATTCAGTTGTCTATTCATTTGTCAAATGGCTATGCATTATGTTATTTTAGTATTTATTTTGTATTTGCATACAAATACAAAATTTGTTTTGCCCACAGAATGCCAACACAAATGGCGCCGGGTCGGCAAATCCCCGTATGTAGTGACGTCATGTAGGAACTATGTATATAAAGACATTGTATCAACACTTTACATATTGAATTGCCATTAGAACTTTTGGAATAGAACATTAAATGTCAAAATTGGATATAACATTACACTTTGACAAATAAAAATACAAAATAAATACTAAAATAACATAATGCATAGCCATTTGACAAATGAATAGACAATTGAATTAAGGTGCCAATAGTCTTACATACGCTGACATGCTGCAATACCACCCCGGGCTGACGGGGGTGGACCCAGAAGAAGAATTAGCCAATGCTAACATATAGCATTAACCTGGCAAGAGCCAGATTGATGATTGGGTAGAACTCTAATGCGTCCTCCACAATATCAATCTGGGACTTCTGCAGGAGAATCCTTTCAGGGAAAGGAGGGATAAGCAGCAGAATACTTCAAGCTGATTGGACGAAGTGACGCTGTGTGCCCGCCTACCAAGGTTTGACTTAAACCAATCCCGGTAACATCTTTGCCGTCCAGAAATGCACAAAGCGCCTCTCGCTGTTCATCTTTCAAAAAAGAAATGGGAGATTCTGCTAAAACTGACTTGATAGCCTCAGCTACGCGTCTGTAAACCCGCAGACTCGCGCGTGATTGGCTTGAACACCTAGATGTTCTACTCGAAAAGGGTTCGCGGGAGCGGGGCAAGATGTATTCTCGAGTGTTTGTGAACTCACAAATACCGCGAGAATTCAGCTTGCAGGCAAGGTTAATATAGCATTGGCAGACCTCTTTACAGGATGGACCAAAAGTTGGCTCTTGGCCCAAAGCTCCGTTCCACATGTGTGTCAATGCTGAGGGGGGTGGATTTTTATGGTCCACTCTAGTTTACTCGCTGTGAATATTTGAAGTCTCTCGTTCAAATGAATGGAGCTTTGCCGGCTGACGCATGCGCAGATGCGTTTTTTCACAAATTTCTTGTGGGCGGACCACTCGCGGCCATTTTGGATAGCTCCAGTAGAGCACATTTTCTGGCCCGTTAGTTAGAACGGCGGAGAAAGGCGTGACTCTGTCCGTTAATATATACAGTCTATGGAAAAAACGCATCTGCGCATGCGTCAGCCGGCGCAAGCTCCATTCATTTGAACGAGAAAAAAAATTCACTCCCCTCAGTATTGACACACATGTAGAACGGAGCTTTGGGTCAAGAGCCAACTTTTGGACCATCCTGTAAAGACTTTTCTTGCTATATGTTAGCATTGGCTAATTCTTCTTCTGGGTCCACCCCCATTGGCCTGGGGTGGTATTGCAAGTATGTCAGCGCACGTCATTTTGGCCACTTTTGAGCTGGGACCCGCCCGCACTGGATTGAACGCTTTTCTCAGACTGAGACAGTTGTCATTGCTGTAGGGTATTCACTTGAAGTTTAATGTAACGCATTGATTGTTGTTAGAATAATACAGTATATGTTGCAATCGTATGTAAACGGTGACTGTTTATCAGTCTATAATTATTTCAATACAGTTGCAATGTTTTTACTATTTTGTGTGACTCTTTACTACAATGGCAAGATTCAATTTTAATTGAGCGTCCGGTTAAAATTAACTTTATAAGCATGTCGTTTTTTGATTACTCCCATGTTAGATGCACTGGATTGTATTTTCTTGTCTGAAATGTGCTTTATGAATAATTTACCTGTGTGGCAGTGTTTACGGATGTCCTTTGGCCAAAAAGAGGAAAGCTCTGGACAAGCAGCCGCTAGAGCCCGCCCCCAAGAGGAGCCATTACATCACTTCCTGTCCTGACGAAGAGGAGGAGGAGCAATATGGCGGCTTTGAACAGGAGGAGGCGGAAGAGCAGAGGGAGGAGTTCTCTGAGGAGGAGGTGAAAGAGGAGGAACCCAGGACAGGTGAACACTCTCATGTACATAACTTTCAGACCACAACTAGATAGACAATAGAACTTTATAATTAAAACCCATGTCTCTAGTTCTGGCTCTAAAACAGTTGCTTCTGTCTCTTCATGTATTCATGTATTTGTGATATCATATCTTTAGATCAAAGAGAGGACCACCCTCACTCAGCCAATCAGCTCTCAGTCCAAAGAGGCAGATAGTGAGTGTGTTAACAAAGCATACGAATATGGAGTACTCTGAAATTGATGGGATTATCAAACCACAGAGAGAGCAGAAAGAGACCAGAGAGAAACCAGAGAGAGACTCAGGACCAGAGAGAAACCAGAGAGAGACTCAGGACCAGAGAGATAAAAGAAAGAGACTACAGAAAATCTGACAAAATTGTCCAGTACTTTCTTCCTTTTTACAACGTCTTTGCTGAAGAATACCAGCCTTGCAGCATGGAGCTACCACCCCCAAATTTGACACTGGTTTAGGGTGATGAGCAGTTAGTTTTTTAAGCCAAAAAGTTACATTTTAGTTTCTTCTGACTACGGCACCTTCTTCCAACGTGGAGCTTGAAATTTCTTATTTACATTTTTATTATTTCCAGTTGGAATCCTGTACCGACCAAGTCCACTAGTGAACGCCGAGGACCTCACCGAACCCGGACTCCACCCAGGTTTGAGCCCCGGGGCCAGTCCCAGTCTTAGTCCAGGTCTGAACCAACTGAAACGCTCGCGTGGAGACTACGAGGACTACGACCAGCTGGTGGCCAAGTCCCTTCTGAACCTGGGCAAGATGGCCGACTCCATGTCTGAATCCTCCCACAGCGATGAAGAGGAGGAGGAAGAGCAGAGGAGAAGGCCAGGAGGAGAGAGTGAAGAAGAGGAGGACGGGAGAAGGAGGCCTGGAGGAGAGAGTGAGGAAGAGGAGGTGGAGGAGGAGGAGAGGAGGAGGCCTGGAGGAGAGAGTGAGGAAGAGGAGGAGAGACCAGGCCTGAGCGTCGACTTGAACAGTGATGTCGTCCGAGAAACGGTGAGGGTAGTTCCTGCTGACATCAGTTTAGCTCCTGATGATAGCTCTACAAATAATGCGCTATGATAAGATAAGATATTCTTTATTCTTTTTTATGGTCTGTAAAAATGTGCTATATACAGTAAATAAAGTACTTACTTTACTTAATTACTACAGACACTAGCTCCTGATGACAGCCGTACACAGACACTAGCTCCTGATGACAGCCCTACACAGACACTAGCTCCTGATGACAGCCCTACACAGACACTAGCTCCTGATGACAGCCCTACACAGACACTAGCTCCTGATGACAGCCCTACACAGACACTAGCTCCAAATGACAGCCCTACACAGACACTAGCTCCTGATGACAGCCCTACACAGACACTAGCTCCTGATGACAGCCCTACACAGACACTAGCTCCTAATGACAGCCCTACACAGACACTAGCTCCTGATGACAGCCCTACACAGACACTAGCTCCTGATGACAGCCTTACAGACACTAGCTCCTGATGACAGCCTTACAGACACTAGCTCCTGATGACAGCCCTACAGACACTAGCTCCTGATGACAGCCCTACACAGGCACTAGCTCCGGATGACAGCCTTACAGACACTAGCTCTTGATGACAGCCCTACAGACACTAGCTCCTGATGACAGCTCTACACAGACACTAGCTCCTGATGACAGCCTTAATACAGACACTAGCTCCTGATGACAGCCCTACAGACACTAGCTCCTGATGACAGCCCTACACAGACACTAGCTCCTGATGACAGCCTTACAGACACTAGCTCCTGATGACAGCCCTACAGACACTAGCTCCTGATGACAGCCCTACACAGACACTAGCTCCTGATGACAGCCCTACTAGCTCCTGATGACAGCCCTACAGACACTAGCTCCTGATGACAGCTCTACAGACACTAGCTCCTGATGACAGCTCTACAGACACTAGCTCCTGATGACAGCTCTACAGAAACTAGCTCCTGATGACAGCTCTACAGAAACTAGCTCCTGATGACAGCCCTACACAGACACTAGCTCCTGATGACAGCCCTACTAGCTCCTGATGACAGCCCTACAGACACTAGCTCCTGATGACAGCTCTACAGACACTAGCTCCTGATGACAGCTCTACAGACACTAGCTCCTGATGACAGCTCTACAGAAACTAGCTCCTGATGACAGCTCTACAGACACTAGCTCCTGATGACAGCTCTACAGAAACTAGCTCCTGATGACAGCTCCATGTTTTGACCCTTGGTTGCTCCGTAGGTCGACTCCCTGAAGCTGCTTGCTCAGGGGCATGGGGCGATCATGGCGGATGAGGGTTACCCAGAATGCAGTGTGGTGGAGGAGGGGAAGTCTGAGGAGAGTCTGAGGAACCAGGTCTTCAGTCTGAGCGAGTCTCCGCTGCATCTGCACAACAGCCACAGGTCTGTATCACAGTCTGTATCAGTCTGTATCACAGTCTGTATCACAGTCTGTATCACAGTCTGTATCAGTCTGTATCAGTCTGTATCACAATCTGTATCACAGTTTTATCAGTCTGTATCACAGTCTGTATCAGTATGTATCAGTCTGTATCACAGTCTGTATCACAGTCTGTATCACAGTCTGTATCAGTCTGTATCACAGTCTGTATCACAGTCTGTATCAGTCTGTATCAAAGTCTGTATCACAGTCTGTATCAGTCTGTATCACAGTCCGTATCACAGTCTGTATCAGTCTGTATCACAGTCCGTATCACAGTCTGTATTAGTCTGTATCACAGTCTGTATCAGTCTGTATCACAGTCTGTATCAGTCTGTATAAGTCTGTACCACAGTCTGTATCAGTCTGTACCACAGTCTGTATCACAGTCTGTATCAGTCTGTATCACAGTCTGTATCACAGTTTTATCAGTCTGTATCACAGTCTGTATCACAGTCTGTATATCAGTCTGTATCACAGTCTGTATCAGTCTGTATCAGTCTGTATCACAGTCTGTATCAGTCTGTATCACAGTTTTATCAGTCTGTATCACAGTCTGTATCACAGTCTTTATCACAGTCTGTATCAGTCTGTATCAGTCTGTATCACAGTCTGTATCACAGTCTGTATCACAGTCTGTATCACAGTCTGTATCAGTCTGTATCACAGTCTCTTTTCAGACTAAGTCCATGTGATTCTCTGATTCTTTGACTCCTGTAGTTACGAGGAGGCTGCAGACTCAGCGGCTGACGGCTCGTACTGTGTCATGGCGCCCCTGCTGGACGACCAGGGCAGTGCGAGTGGCTACAGCCCTGAACCTGACGAGGACACCACGTCTGTGGCCTCAGAGCGATCGGACGACACCTACGATATGAGCAAAGGGAACCTGAGTCTGCTGGAGAAGGCTATCGCTCTGGAGACGCAGAGAGAGAGGGGGGAGAGGGGGGGGAGGGGAGAGAGAGGGGAGAGGAGGAGGCACGAGAGACACGAGAGACATGAGAGACATGAGAGGCACGAGAGACACGACCGCCACGCCAGCATGCGGAGGAGCTACTACGGCAGAGGTACTGAACAAGGACTTTAAAACACATCACAGAGAGCTCTAAAGCCGTGTCTCAGGCAGAGCTCTAAAGCTGTTACAAGTTTTAAGGCAGTAGAATTTCAGTGAGGACAGTTTTACAGAAAGTTGTATTGTTTTTGGTGTTTTCAGAGTTTTCTCGTGGAGAGAAGAAGGAAAGCAAGTGTCCAACCCCCGGCTGTGACGGGACAGGTCATGTGACCGGACTATACCCACATCACCGCAGTCTGTCCGGGTGTCCCCACAAGGACCGGGTCCCTCCAGAGAGTGAGTGTGTGTGTGTGTGTGTGTATGTATGTATGTGTGTGTGTGTCAGTCTATGTTTGTGTGTCTGTGAGTCTGTATCTGTGTGTGTATGTATGTACGTATGCATGTGAGTGAGTGAGTGTGTGTCTGGGTTGTAATCCGTTGTTTCTGCAGCGATGAGTCCTGATGACCCGGTGTAAACACAAAAGATGTGTTCAGCTGATAGATAGACCAGGGGTGCCCCTATCCCTCTCTCAGTCCATGTGTCAGTCCCTCTGTCCCTTTCCAGTCTCTCTGTCAGTCCCTGTGTCAGTCCCTCTGTTCCTCTGTCCCTGTGTCAGTCCCTCTGTCCCTGTGTCAGTCTCTCTGTCAGTCCCTGTGTCAGTCCCTCTGTCCCTGTGTCAGTCTCTCTGTCAGTCCCTGTGTCAGTCCCTCTGTTCCTCTGTCCCTGTGTCAGTCCCTCTGTCCCTGTGCCAGTCTCTCTGTCAGTCCCTGTGTCAGTCCCTCTGTTCCTCTGTCCCTGTGTCAGTCCCTCTGTTCCTCTGTCCCTGTGTCAGTCCCTCTGTCCCTGTGTCAGTCCCTCTGTCCCTCTGTCCCTGTGTCAGTCCCTCTGTCCCTGTGTCAGTCCCTCTGTCCCTGTGTCAGTCCCTCTGTTCCTCTGTCCCTGTGTCAGTCCCTCTGTTCCTCTGTCCCTGTGTCAGTCCCTCTGTCCCTCTGTCCCTGTGTCAGTCCCTCTGTTCCTCTGTCCCTGTGTCAGTCCCTCTGTCCCTGTGTCAGTCCCTCTATTCCTCTGTCCCTGTGTCAGTCCCTCTGTCCCTGTGTCAGTCCCTCTGTTCCTCTGTCCCTGCGTCAGTCCCTCTGTTCCTCTGCCCTGTGTCAGTTCCTGGTCCATGTGGTTACTGAGTATGCTCAGTAACCTATCCCTAACCCTAACCCTAACCCTTACCTCTTTTCTTTCCTTCACTGCTGCTGGATTTTCCCTTTGTCTGCTTCCTTGTCTCCTAACTCCTCCGTCCTTTCCTCCTAACTCCTAATCCCCTCCCCAGTCCTTGCGATGTACGAGAACGTCCTCAAATGTCCCACTCCGGGCTGCTCCGGGCGCGGACACGTAAACAGCAACAGGAACTCTCATCGAAGGTGAGGTTTTCAGATTCATACACAGTAACAGCAGGGAGCACCCTCTCAGAACACTCAGTGCTGAGGGATAAGTGAATTATGCATGTTTGTTGTTCTTGCTGAACACTGTTCCATCACAGACTTAGGTTTTGTTAAGTCCTCTGAGATGTAATCTATTCTCTGAGAGAATACATTTAATTGAAATTGAATTGAACCTGCAGTTGTGTTTTGAGCCACTCTGTCTCTTCAGTTCTCTGATGTCCTCTTGTCCTCAGTCTTTCTGGATGTCCCATCGCTGCCGCAGAGAAGATGGCCAAAGTCCATGAGAAAAGTCTGACCACAGACAGCAAGGGGCAGGCGTCCGACCGGGTGCTCAGGTATGCTAAGCTAACACCTGAGTTAACACCTGAGTTAACACTTGAGTTAACACCTGAGCTAACACCCAAGCTAACACCAGAGCTGACACCAGAGCTAGCTAACATTAGAGCTATCATCAGAGCTAACAGAGCTAACATCAGAACCAACATCAGGCTCTGGCTAACAGGGCAGGGCCATCCTATGTATGTCTCAAAGCCTAAATAGTCATTTTCTAAAAATGGTCGGAACAGGTCTGACCCAGGTCTAACTCTGCCCTTTGCTCCCCAGACCCATGTGTTTTGTGAAGCAGCTGGAGATCCCTCAGTACGGCATCAAGACCAATGTTCCCACAACGACGCCACGGTCAAATCTCGCCAAAGAGCTGGAGAAGTACTCCAAGACGAGTTACGACTACAACTACGACCCGAGCGGTAGGCGGGGCCCAAACCGGGGCCCCCAGGAGCCCTCGCCCCGGCACTATGAAGGTAACTGAACTCTAGCCAAATCTCTATGAAGGTAACTGAACCATAACCACAGTATTGTGAAGGTAACTGATTCGTAACCACAGGACTCTGGAAGTAACTGGGCCATAACCATACGACTATGAAAGTAACTGAACCGTAACCACGACTATGAAAGTGACTGAACCATAACCACAGCATAACGAAGGTAACTGGACCGTAACCATAGTACTATGAAAGTAACTGAACCACAAGCACAGCACTGTGAAGGTAACTGAACCATAAACACAACGCTATGAAGGCAGCTACGCCAAAAGAAAGCTTCCAGTGCATCTGTGAAACATTATTTATCCTTGCATGTGCCACTGCCCCCTTCTCCTCCTCTCTCCTTCTGTGTATAACATGTTTCTCCTCCTCCTCTCTCCTTCTGTGTATAACATGTTTCTCCTCCTCCTTCTCTTCTTCTGTGTATAACATGCTTCTCCTCCTGTCTCAGTGCGTCGCCTGTGCCGCTCTTCCCCCTCCTCCTCGTATGCTCCTTCCTCCTCCTCCTCGGCCTCCTCCACCTGCAGCCGCAGCAGTTTTGACTTCAGCCAAGACCTGGAGGCGCACATGGCTGCAACTGCCATTTTGAACCTGTCCACGCGCTGCCGAGCCGAGCACGCCAGGGTCACACAGGTACGGTATGTGGTCTTACGAGATCGCCACACAGGTACCTCTGTATTGGTCCTGATCTTCTCCAGAGGCAGAGGTCCTGGTCCTCTCCAGGAGTAGAGGTCCTGGTCCTGGTTGACAGACGGCTGGTGCAGCGTCTGCAGTGATGCTGTCGCTGTATCACACTGTTGTGATGAAGAGGGAGCAGGGTCTGCATTCAGAGCTCTGGACTTACCGCTCACTCATAGACTTCTCTCTCTCTCAGAGCCCAGTGCTGGACCCTGAGGACTCGGTGTCTCTGGATGTCGGTGGGTCATTGGGGGGGTCTGTGGGGGGACTCCGAGGGTCCTCTGATGGTCCCTCAGACCCTACTGACACAGACCCGGTCCTGACCCCCCTCCAGCCCATGTCCCCCCAGCGCCAGGCCCTTCACCAGCGTTGCTACAGTCTGGACTCAGGAGCCTGGGACCTGCCTCTGGACTACACCACCATCAAGACCGACAAGGAGGTGAGACCAAGTTCAGACCTGGTTTTGACCAGGTTAATGACGGAGTTCATTGTGTCGATGTAACTCTGGGTCTCGTGTGTTCCAGAGCGAGGAGTTGGACCCATTTGGAGACCTGATGGAGGACTCGCGTTTCTCCGGTGAAATCCTCCCTGGATCCAAACACCGCTTCAGCTCCAAAGAACCCAAGCAGGAACTGCTCAGGTCAGAACTGGGTCCAAACTAGGTCTAAACCAGGTTCGAACCAGGTCAGGACCATGTCCAAAACAGGACTGGATAATGCAACATCAATATGATTAACAGACGAGAACATTGGACTTTTCCCAATTCTGTCCTGGTCCAGTCCCAGCCCAGACCTGGTCCAGGCCTAATCCTGGTCTAATCTCCGTCTCTCTGTTACAGTCTGTCCAGTTGTCCAATTGGAGACAAAGTCCAGAGGAGTCTTCTGTCGTCCAGTTCTCAGGAGCTCAGGTGAGTCTCCCCTAAGTCCTAAACCCTAAACCCTGAACCCAAAGGGGTGTCCAGACTGTGGCCCGGCGACCAAATATTTTCTTTCTACAACCCTGCTGATTTAGAACCAGATCTCTCAGAACCTGTGAAGCACTATGAGTTGCACGTTATATGAACTGGTTTCTCTCTGGTCTCTCTCTCTGGTCTCTCTTTGGTCTCTCTCTGGTCTCTCTCTGGTCTCTCTCTGGTCTCTCTTTGGTCTCTCTTTGGTCCCTCTCTGGTCTCTCTTTGGTCCCTCTCTGGTCTCTCTCTCTGGTCTCTCTCTGGTCTCTCTCTGGTCTCTCTCTGGTCTCTGGTCTCTCTCTGGTCTTGCAGATGTCCCACTCCCGGATGCGACGGCTCTGGACACATCACGGGGAACTACGCCTCCCACCGCAGGTACAACACAATGCTTCAAATAAGCATTAAAAGCAAAGTAGAGCAGGTTACCAAGAACACACACACACACACAACAATGAATTATTTTCTATTCAAATGGACAAGTATACAGAGGGCAAATACTTTGTTAGTTTGTGCATGATTATTGTATGCATAAAAAATATTCTCATAATTTGTGTGCATTGTGTGTGTGTTTGGGTGTGTCTGTATGGGTTGTGTGTGTCTTTGTGTGTGCGTGAAGTCTGTCAGGCTGTCCTCGAGCCAAAAAGAGCGGAATCAAAATCTTCCACAAAGAGGACAAGGACGACCAGGAGCCAATCAAGTAAGAGTTTAGTTTGAACCAATAAACTGTGAGTGTGACATCACCATAGTGTTAGCTTTAATAATGAAGAAGCTAGCTGGAATTTCCTTAAATGGGCATTTCATCCGTGGTGCTAGCTTTGCGCTGTAACAGTAGCAGACGTGTTGCTAAGACCGTTGCTAAGGCAAACAGGAATGAAGGCTTCTGATTGATCAATCCTTATATGGCTCCTGTATATCTCCTGTCTTCTATTTGAAGACAATATCACAATACTGGGTCATGTGACACAGGGTCATGTGACAGCTGTGTGGGTTGCAGGTGCCCTGTCCCCGGCTGTGATGGACAGGGTCATGTGACTGGGAAGTATGCAAGTCACCGCTCGGCTTCAGGCTGCCCCCTGGCGGCCAAACGACAGAAGGACAGTCTGATGAACGGAGCACAGTTCAGCTGGAAGAGCGGGAAGACGGACGGCATGAGCTGCCCCACACCAGGCTGCGACGGGTCAGGACATGTGAGCGGGAGCTTCCTCACCCACCGGAGGTACTGCTGCTGCTACTGCTACTGCTACTGTTACTGCTGCTGCTACTGCTGCTGTTGCTACTTCTGCTATTACTGCTACTACTGCTACTGCTACAGCTACTGCTACTGCTGCTGTTACTGCTGCTGCTACTTCTGTTGTTGCTACTTCTGCTGTTACTGCTACTGCTGCTACTGCTACTGCTGCTGTTACTGCTACTGCTACCGCTGCTGTTACTGCTGCTGCTACTGCTGCTGTTACTGCTGCTGCTGCTACTGCTGCTACTATAACTACTTTTACCACTTTAGAATTTTCCGCGGATATGCGGAAAATGTCTTTTTAGTGAAATGTATAAATCCATTGAGGCATTTTTCAAGGGGAGGACAAACAGGTCGGGCCAACTGCATCTTTTGGCAACGTTCAGTTATTGACAGCCGAGATAATAGATATTGTCATTGCTTTATTCAATGTTTATGCTAACGCCAACTTACCATGGTTTCCGGCAACGTTTGACGGGTTTTTATCACAGCTTTATTTCAGACTTGTAGCCATGGATCTATCATAGCCCAAATCAAGACACACTAAAAACTAACTTTGTTAGCAAAGTTACTTTGCCAATATGACAAAGGTTTTGGACCGCAAACAAGACGATAGAGCTGGGGAAATGGATAAATCAACGTGCCTCTTGGCAGAACATATTCAGAAAGTGGACACATGAGGAAAGGTTCTGTGATCTGATATGATCATTGTGCAAACGGGGCAGAGCCATTTAAGCACACCAAAACAAAACAAAAAGCACAAAATTACATTTTACTTAAATAATCAACGGCGCTTCAGCACTTTAGGCTTCGCTATTGCATATCTCTCGGAAGCAGCCCTTCCCGCCCTGAGAAAATCGAACGATCAACCGCTCCAATCACCTTAACGTCCTGGTGTAGGCCTGTCCCCTATATAAGGGCACAGCTCTCCCCCTTTCTCTCTCAGCTGGCCTAAGAGAAGCTTTGAGCCGTGTTAGGATGTCTTTAAGCAAGATTACTCCCTCGCCTGAGATCTTGTCACCCTCCAGTGTCAAGTTGCGGATCTGCAACTCGTGTCCGACGGCACTCTCGGGCACGAGTCGCAGATCCGCCACGAATCTTGTGTGTTCTGCCTGGATTGGCGTCATACTGCGGAGAACAGCTACACTCGTGTGGCCTCACTCTCCCCGGGGGAAAACGCGATGGACGTAGCGGCTTACTAAATGCCACCTTGAGTGATGCCCAGGCTGCTCATGGTGCGCCTCCCTCTACCTACGCTGCTGCTTCGCCTGGTTCTTCGAACGCTCCTGTGGCTGTGGTCAGGATGCGAATGACGATGCCGGCCCAGCCCGCCTCGCCTCCGTTAGACTATCTGCAGTTCCTCATGCCGGCAGAGTCGACGTGCCGTTGTCGCTCCCAGGCTAGAGCCACTGCTCCACTATGCCAGATGGATAGGCCTCTGCTTGTCCCTCCCCAATTGGGAGGACATGATGGAGTTTTGGCCTAACCCGGCTTTCCAGCCCAAGGTCCTCGCGTCATCTTTCAGATTCAGGGTAATCAGGGTGAGACTGTTTTTCTCTCCCCCGCATACTTTGGCGAAGGAAGATTGACAGCATAATCTCTGCCTGGTGTTGGAATATTAGAGGCCTCCTGCACCAGTTAAACTAAAATCAGTTTAGTATTGTTTCTGTTGCTAAATTAATACTTAAACAACTTAAACGTCAGAATGATTAGGTCTAGAAAGGACTTGTTTGTGTAAATTTCAAAGAGCAGTTAGGTCAAGGTTATTATTTCTGAATAGTAGCAGTTCTGTATGAAAAGTGAGAAAAACTAGAGTTGTTTATCAAGCAGGTGCAGGTTTTGGCAGCTGGCCAGAAGAAGTCATAGAGTCCACGAATCTGTGATGTCAGTGACCTTGGATGTACAGTATAAAAGATGTACAGAAGGAGGCACGGGGGCTTCTTCTGACCAGGAGGGTGAAAGACGTCCCCGGGCCACTTCTTATCTTCAACGCGAAGCGAGACCTGTGTTCGCAGACCGTTACTCTTGTAATGTTGTTTGCAAATCTTCAATATAACATCTGAAATCAGGTTTGGTGTCTGTCATTTCTATTACTGTTTTAACATTGGTATTGTCTCTTGTTGAACTAAAAGAACCTACAGGATGAAACGGGCTGTGGTGTTGCGGCCTCTCTGCAGCATCCAGAGCAGGGGAACTCTGACAGATTTACTGCACTGGTCAGGGCTGTGAGATGCTATTTGGACCGCACGTCAGGTCTCAGGCGGTTGGATCAGTTGTTTGTGGGGTTTGGCACCGGGAATCAGGGTGCCGCTCTGTCCCCACAGCACTTGGCCCACTGGCTTTGCCTCGCTATCCATTTGGCTTACGAGGCTCAGGGCTAGTCGTCTCCGGCCCAGTTGAGGAGTCACTCCACTCGCGGGGTTGCTGCTTCTGCAGCACTGTTACGCGGCACTTCAGTGGAGGAGATCTGCAGGGCGGCGCCCTGGTCCTCCTCCTCGATCTTTGTGGAGTTTTACCTAATGGATGTCACCTCTGACATGTTGCTCATTCAGTTTTGAGTGCAGGGCGGCCCTAGTTCCTCCTTCCGGTCTGCAGGAGGGGATTGTGTGGAGAGGTGTTTGGTGCTCTTAGGAGATGCGGCCTTGACCCTTCTGCAGTGTAGTTTTTTTACTTTCCTGGGGATTAGGCGCTCTTGGGAGAGACTACACGATGCACTGTAGTCTCTGCTTGTCCCTATCAGTGGCTCCAGCGAACCACACAGTGATGGAGGAGGTGAGGATGGATTTGATGATGGCCGTGTAGAACTGCACCAACATTTGTGCAGGCAGCTTGGCTTTTCTGAGCAGCTGCAGGAAGTATATCCTTTGCTTGGCCTTTTTGATGAGGGAGCTGATGGTCAGCTCCCACTTGAGATCCTGGGTTATGGTGGTGCCCAGGAAGCGAATGACTGGGGGGCGTTCAGCCTAGGTTGTTACCACTGCACCTCCTGTAGGTGGACAAAGGATACAAGCTCCATTGCTTCGACCAGTGTTGGAGGCTTACATGTGGAAAATTCATTCTGTCTTCTTATGTTTACGGCTTTTTAAGTTCTTCTAATAAGACAATTAAAGCAAAAAAAAGCTAGTACTGCTTAAATACCTGACATGTTTCAGCGGTACACTTCCGCCTTCATCAGAGGTGACACGTGATGGTGTGACGCGTCTCTTATCAGCTGTTGTTGCCGGAAGCGGTCAGTCTGACAGATCTCACAGATCCATCCAAAAGATGAATACGAGAGGCGATCAAAATCAGGAAGCGGGGAACACGGACCATCAACAGAGACGAGGGGGCCTTCACCTTGGGTCACACTTGGGATTCACTTCTCCAGAGACCACAGCGCGGCGGGGACGTGGTCAGTCTGATGGATCTGTGAGATCTGTCAGACTGACTACTTCCGGCAACAACAGCTGATAAGAGACGCGTCACACCATCACGTGTCACCTCTGATGAAGGCGGAAGTGTACCGCCGAAACATGTCAGGTATTTAACCACTTAGCAACAACCGGCGCGCCGGCGGCCGTTTTTATGTTTTTAAATGTTCTGCTGGCAATAGCAGATGTATTTTGAACACCAAACCCCAAAAGCTGTATATCATTTTAAAGCTTATTTTCTTATCTACATTTATATACAAGACAAGACTTTGCATTCAAAAGATATAACACATAATGTGGGCACACAATAAATCAATTCCGAAATAGTTTTTTACCTTTGGGCTTGTGCTGTACAAATAAATCAGCTCTCCTCCCAGCTTGCAATACATCATTCTCTCTGGAACAGTCCAAAGGAAAATTATATCCACTTGTATTTCCCAAAGTAAAATCCATTCTGCAGAAATAATCCAAAAATCTGCATTTATCTTTAGCGAAAAAAACGAAAAAAAAGAGCACAGATGTTACTCTTTCACTTGTAACGGATTTTTAGCTTTGTTTTTCACCCGAACATCTGGTATCTACGTGTTCCTTAGCTCCTTATCTTTCAAATGAGACTACTCCCGAAAAGCTAGACCAATTTTTGGGTCTGCAATAGGTCCCGCAAGTACCGCTAGTGCTGCTGTTTGCGCATTGGTGACTGATCTTTTGTGGGGTCCCAACTTGTTTACGTTTACTTCCGGGATTTACGATTGACATGTCCTTGTAGCCAATGAGGAAAGCTTTCGAACAAGGGGTGGGACAATGGTGTCCTGTCTTATGTTGGGCCTGGACAATCGTGCGTACTGGAAGATAAAAGACGCTCTCGAATCTGCAATGAATTTACACTTTGACATTTAAAAAAGAAAAACACACATAGATTAGTAACTTATAAGTACCAATAATAAAAAATATTGTTTTTATGATGATTAAATGTAAGTAAAGATATTTGGCACAATTTGGCACACTTGTGCCAAATTGTGCCAAATGTGCACTACTTGATGAAAAGGAGAAACTGCATAAAAACTATAAAACTTAGAAGTCTGAAACTTTAGACAGTTGTTGTCAACAACACAATGAACAGAGGGTTTGAATATTGTGAACTTACAATGAAGTATGCCTTTTTTAGGGCCTTTAGAAATTGAAAATGTTAGGCGAGGCTAAAAAATTGGGTTTTTTTCCCTAACTTCAAAGGATGCAGAGGAAAATAGGAATGACAAACATTATTTTAGTGTTTTTTTACATAAACTAGAAGGCTCTAGCTTTAAAATGATGCATCACACAAGCATGTGAGATGTAAGATGTGTTTTTAAATAAGCAAAGACATTTGGGTATGCCCAACCATTGTGCACGAGCCAAAATGAGGCGGATGTTAAGCAGTACTAGCTTTTTTGCTTTAATTGTCTTATTAGAAGAACTTATACGACCCCCCGCGATAAGAGGTTACATGGACGACCTTACTGTGATGACCACAACCCATGTGGAGGCGAGGTGGGTACTAACTTTTCTCGACCGCATGGCTACGTGGGAAGTTCAAGCCAAAGAAATCTAGGTGCATGGTGATCAGGAAAGGTAAATCAACAAACAGAGTCACGCTGCATGTGCAAGGGGAAGTGATTCGATAAAGGAAAATCCAATTAAGTGCCTGGGTAAGTGGTTTGATGATTCACTTTCCGACAGGAACGTCAGTAGTACAGAGAAGCAGACAGAGGAATGGTTGAGAAGGATCAAGAATTCAAGGCTCCCGGGGAAGTTCAAAGAACGGCTTAACCAACGCGGATTGCTGCCAAGACTTATGTGGCTGTTAATGGTGTAAGAAGTTCCCATGACAAGCGTTGAAGAAGTGGAGAGAAATATCTATAAGACCTCAGAAGATCACTTTCAGTAGGCCTTTATATAAGATCACGGCAGCTCCAACTTTCTTTGTCATCCATGGTATAGGAATTTAAGGTAGCAAAGAGCACATACAGAGACTCCCAGGATGAACAAGTCAGGCATTCTACCAAGATCAGGACGCCAGTGGGCAGCTGACTTATCTGTTGCACAAGCCATTGGAGTGACAGGGAGGAAGAGAAAGACAACAATTCACAGGATGGGGGAGGCAGCAGAGAGAGCCCCTTTCTGGTTATGAAGCAGGAGAGAGGAGCTTAGCTGGAAGACAGGGGGAGCTGATGGGCAGTGACTTGGCCACCACTGCTGACCCACCAATGTTGAGAGTGTTGTGGTTCAGGGTTGAAACATCCAATGATCCCAGCTCCCCCTGGCCAAGGCTACATGAAGGAGAAGCATCTTCGGATGTAATTGTAGTCGTTTAAAGATACTTCACTCTGTGAAGAGGGACGAGACAGGGGAGGGAGAGTTCCCTTGAGGTGGACTTGTGGGGTCCACCAGAGGTTGGGTCAGTGATAAGGGGGGTGTGGAGGCAGGCATGGGACTGTACTGAATGGGTGATGTGAGAAAGCAATTTCCGAAGGGGTTGATATGGAGTCCGTTCCTCCCATCGGTTTAGAGTGGGTAGAGGACACTATGTATTTTAGCCAAACCTGTAGCTGCCCTTAGCAGAGGGAGAACAAGAAAGGACGCTTTCTGATGGAATTGGAAGCAACCAAATTCAAGGCTCACAAGCGCCCCCTACCCTGAGGCTCGCCTCACTTGGTGACATTACAAGCCATGTTTGAGCGCAATAAAGACCCGTTTGTGTTTTAAAAAACACAATTTATGACACATCCTCTCAACGGTCGACATGTTTATTGTAAAGTAAATATGTTTGAACTTTGTAAACCGCGATAAACAGAGACTGCACGGGCTTCTCCTACTGTGAGCTGTGGCTTTTAAGTCTTTCAAGAGAGGCTCGCTGCGAGGCGAGCTCTGTCAAATATGACAAAAATCTGCGATTTCAAAGCAAAAATAAATGCAATAAGCCAAAGTTACATTGAAATAATACAAAAGCACAAATTACTTGATATATGATTATTGTTTCCATTTTATTCTTTTATCTTTCCATGATTGTAGGTTAGGTCACTGCTACTACTGACACACACGTACCACTGCTGAGAGTACTACTGACGCACACGTACCACTGCTGAGAGTACTACTGACACACACGTACCACTGCTGAGAGTACTACTGACGCACACGTACCACTGCTGAGAATACTACCGACGCAGACGTACCCTCTGCTGAGAATACTACTGCTGAAAGTACTACATAAGTACTAAGGAACAACTGATTCATCTGTAATGGGTCAGGAGTTCACAGATTTTTTTATATTCCACACATCAATCATTGATGACTGTAAAAACCACAAAGACTATGCTAATATACATTTTGTGTGTGTGTGTGTGTGTTAGTTTGTCTGGATGTCCTCGCGCCTCCTCATCCATGAAGAAGTCCAGACTCGGAGGACTGGACCTGCTGACACTGAAGCAGAGAGCGGCAAAAGGTCTGACCCTATTCATTAGCACACATACACACACACACATACACACATACACACACACCCACACCCACATACACACACACACATACACACACTCACACAGACTCATACACACACACAGACTCATACACACACAGACTCACACTCACACAGACTCATACACACACACAGACTCATACACACACACACACACACACACAGACTCATACACACACAGACTCATACACACACAGACTCACACACACACACAGACTCACACAGACTCACACACACACAGACTCATACACTCACATAGACTCATACACACACATAGACTCATACACACACACAGACTCATACACACACACAGACTCACTCTCACGTTTCTCTCAATTGTGTCTTAGGGATTGAGAATGATGAGGAGATCAAACAACTGGACGAAGAAATCAAAGACCTGAGCGACTCGAATAACCGAGTGGAGTCGGACATGATCAAACTCAGAACACAGGTACAAACAGGACACACACACACTTTCTCACTAGCAGTAGCATTAGCAGTACCATTAGTTGTAGCAGTAGCAAAGTGAGAGGTTTTGTTGCCTGTAAAACACGTAAAGTCCTGTAAACTCAGATCACCACGATGGAGTCCAGTCTGAAGTCTCTGGAGGACGAGAACAAAGTGATTGAACAACAGAACGACTCTCTGCTGCATGAACTGGCAACACTGAGCCAGACGCTGATCTCCAGCCTGGCAACCATCCAGCTGCCCCACATGGTGAGGACACACTCATATAAACTGTTGTATATACTGTTGGACTGTTATCTGTTCTGTTATACTGATAACATGTGTGGATAGACCCAACACGGTGAGAGGATATAATAATAGGGACGTACACATTGAACATGTTTGATGTTCAAAACAGACAGGTACCCTAGGTCCTCTCCCCCCCCTCTTCTCTCCCCTCATCTCTCCTCTCTCACCTCCTCTCCCCTCCCCCCTACCATCCCCTCTTCTTCCCTCATCACTCCTCTCCTCTCACCTTCACTCTCCTCTCCTTTCCCCCTCCCTTCTCCACTCCTTTCCCCTCCCCTCCCCTCTCCCTCCCCTCCCCTCTCCCTCCAACAGACCTCATAATGCTACGGATGTGTGTTTTTTCCTCAGGAGCCGATGAATGAGCAGAACTTTGATGCGTACGTGAACACACTGACCGACATGTACACGCACCACGACGAGTTCAGCACCACTCCGGAGAACAAGGCTCTGCTGGAGAGCATCCGGCAAGCAGTGCAAGGCATCCATGTGTAGCGCCCCCATGCCATGCTGGTCTCTCTCTGATCTCTCTCTGGTCTCTCTCTCTGGTCTCTCTCTCTGGTCTCTCTATCTGATCTCTCTCTCTGATCTATCTCTCTTAAAAACATTAATGCTGGATAAAGAAGACAACAGTGTTTAAAGGAGACTATGATGTTTTCCACACAGACATATTCCCACTAATGTTCTTACTTCTGGGCCTTGAAGCTCCGCCCACTTCCAATCTCTATTCTCCTCCAGCACGTATTAACGGTGAGGTGTATTCCAAGGCGCGGGACTCTTTTAAAAACGTTTATGATAAAAAAACTAAATATAGAAGATATTACAGGGTCACATGGTCAGAAACATGTCTGACCATCATATACTTATGATGCAGAGACCAGCTGTGGAGGACACAAGCTCAGTCTCCTCCTCAGATCAGTCTGTACAAACTGCAGAGTCTGACTCTGTAGAGACTGTAGAGTCTGTGACTCTATGACACGGTTGTTTCCTGTTTGGTGACAGCTGCGGAGCACACGGCGGCCATCTTTGCTCCAGATATTTGAGCAGGAAAAATGCAAAATATATCGACTGAAATCCTTGTGAATCACAGCTGAGAAACTAATGACTCAAATTATATCACTGGGGAAAGCACTTGTAGAGCACATACCTCGGCCATGAGGTGCGGAACCAAAACTTAAAATCCACAATAATAATTCTCCCTTAAATGTTTTTATATTGTGATCCAAACAAGCCAAACACATTATATATGAATTAGCTCGTTATCAGTATTCATAATTCTAGTATTTACCTATCGATCCCAGAGTCTCACACAGAGCATATACACACCTTCACCAGAATTCAACTGTTACAATTATCAAAAAATAAGTTTTCTGTGCTGGAGCTTTGAACCGATGCCCTGAAGGCCTCCTTACAAAGTCAGCAATCAGTGGACATTGGGGCTCGTGATCCCACAGAGTGTAGGTCCCTCAGACTGACCCCAGTGAAGAACATCCTGCAATTGGCCCTTAACTCTCAGCCTTTGAACCTGCAACGGATGAAAAAGTCATCTCTGCAGCTCTGGTCTCTGGTCCTGGTTCCACAACACTCTCCACTCTCTCCTCAAAGACACTGACCTCAGATGACGCTGTCTCCTCCGCAGTCCTGTCCTCTGCTGTAGCGCCCCCTTTGGGACACACTCCAGACTGCGTCACAGTCAAGCAGACTCACTTCTACGTCTCAAATATCTCAAACCAAAACAATGATAAAATGTGTATATTGAATGAAAATTTCCGTGTTGTTAGCATGGAGCTAGCTGACGCGTCTGGTGAAAAACACATAGTAAACTTTTGTATGGATTTGTGTTCTCGCTTTAAGACACTTTGTAAATGTTCATAATGTGACGTGTGTACATCTGTATATCTGTAACTTAACTATCGTACCAATCATTTGTATCTATTTAAGAGAAAACACTGAGAGGCAATCACGTAAGAGTTTTATAACGCTTTAAAGTCTAACTCTTAAAGACGGACTCTAAATTGATGTGTTCTATGTGCCAATCCTTTTGTATTTATTTTGAGAAAAGACCAATGGAAAAAGGAGACAATCCGCCATTTTGAGTCGTGCTGTGCGTTAGCGTTAGCAATATTAGCATGTTTGTTTATTCGCTTTGGGGAATATGCAATTTCTTAAAAACATGAGTGAAACGGGAGGTTTTTACACATTTTTGTACAAATGTTTTTTCCTACAGTCACGAGTTTTGCACACACGCTCCGTTCTGGTGCTGGTTACGTCTGTGGAGAGATTATTGTTTTGTTCTGTTGTTTTTTCGGAGGAATTCTCTGGACTTACAGGGTCAAAGGCAGGGCGGGTCTGAAGAGGCACCGCGGGACTTCCAGCCAGTTCAAGAACTAATGCAACTGAATGCTAGAAGTTAGCTGGTAGCTGTTAGCCGCTTCTAATAAAGAGTGTAAATGAAGCTAGCACAACCTAGGGATTTAGCATTGCTAGCTTATCTACACTCTTATTAGAAGAAGCCTCTAGGGCAGGCCTTAAACATTGGACGTAATTATATTTTTACATTTAATTTATGAATTGTTAGCCGCTAGCTGGTAGCTTAGTGTTACAGAGAGTTTTGAATGTCTCACGCTGCCTCTCGATCAGCGAGGACTCTCTGGAAGCCGCCTGCGAGCCTCAAATGCCGACATTCTAAACTTTTACAACAGAAAACAAAAGAAATGCACTTTACACACGTCAATCTGAAACTGTGAAAATCAAAATCCAGACGAATCCTGTAAGAATCAGGAAGACTCCACGTGACCTCATCTTCAGCATGTTTAGAACTGTTTTTTCATCTAATTTATGTATTACTTTTATGCAAAAACAAACCTATTTTTATACTTTCTTTATTCCACTGTGCTGTCGTTCCGGGGACTTTCCCTCAAGTGGTTTTATCTTTATTTATGCCATATTTTTGTACGTGTTTGATGACAGCTGCTGGTCTGAATATGATGAATAAAGCACAATATCTGCCATGTTAACACTATACTACTACTACTACTACTACTGCTGCTGCTGCAACTACTACTGTTACGACTGCTACTGCTACTACTAATGCTACTGCTACTACTACTGCTACCGCTAACACGACTGCTACAACTTCTACTACAGCTACTACTAACTACTGCGACTACTACTTTTACTACTATTACTACCACTGCATTTGCAGTACTTTTGGCAGTATTCTCGGAGGCATGTTGTGGGTTTTGGTCTGAAATCATCTGTGAACTTTGTATATTTTTATCACTCTGCTGTCAATAAACTGCTCTTCAGACCTCCACATGTGTCTAGTCCTGCTTCAGTCCTTTAGACCTGCTTCAGTCCTGGTTTCTAGAAGCTTGCAGACACTCTGGGGGTGAGGTTGAGTGTCTTAAAACACATACAAAGTATATTTATTCAGGAATTTATTTCAATGCTATTACGAATATAGTACAGTTTGATTTATTCTTGCTGGTTTTTACATAGACATATAAATTATTCTTTATATGCCTATGGGTTTTTACCATAGACTGTATAGCTATATTAATCTTTTTACCTTACCAAGATGGCGGCCTTAATGACGCAAATGTAGCCGCATCCATATTCATAAAAAAACACCTCCTTCCTCTCCCACCCTAGTCTTGTTAAAAAAAAAAAGATCAGCTCCTAATTCAGTCATAGATATACAATACACGTGTTTGACTTTATAAAAGCTAGATATATTAACACAAAGTTAAGATAAGGTTGTAGGTTTCTTTGTACTGATTTCGAATGCGGCCGTTACCTTTTCTCGTCGCTGCTTCCTGGTGAAAACCGCGCCTCTTCCGGGTCCGTGAGTCTCTCGTGGCTCGTGCATGGATCTACAATAATAACGTGTGGACCGCGTAAACAACCCGTCACGTGGATTAACACCGGTTTGAGGTCGTGTCTGCGGAGTTTACCGGCGTCTCCGCGGTCTGCTCCCATGCTAGCTGTTAGCATGGCGAAGTGCGTGGTATCGTGTTGTCCTAATGTCCAGGACCAGGACCAGAAGAGGTTCTTCAGGATCCCCCAGGACCCAGCCCGGATAAAGGTACCCGTACACACCCGCATCATACCCTGTTTATAATATACTGTATTGTTTTTACACACTGTTCTGAGCTTTACGTCAACATTAAAGCTGGGGTACGTAACTTTCAGCTTTCAGACCACAACAATGAAACACGTGAGGTGGCTGAGAGACTGGTCCTTTCTTTTTCACTGTTTAAATGTGACCAAAATAAATGCACATGAAAACTAGTGTTATGCAAGCTGAGACCAGGAACTAGTGACATGGGTTTAAATTATTATAGTAATTAGATAATTGCTCTCTCTTTCTGTTCTCTCTGGTTTGACACCCTAACCCTGCTTTATACACATGTTTAATGAACTAGAATTTGATGTGGTTTTCATTTGAACATGTGTAAATTAAAAGAACGATCCTTTGGAATCTTTGACTGTTGTATGAGGAGCGACTCCATGATGCTGTGCCTCCTCCCCAGGTCTGGTTAGCAGCGCTGCGGGAGCCCCACACTCAGCAATGGACGGAGGAGCATATGATCTGTGAGGAGCACTTCCTGCCGGAGGACCTCTCCCCCAGCGGAGTGAGTCCAGATGCCATCCCCATCATGCCCCCCTGCCTGGAGGAAGAGATGGGCATGGGGGAGTGGGCTGAGGAGGAGCAAGAGGAGGACTGGGGGGCAGGGGAAGCTGAGGAGCAGGAGGAGGACTGGGGGACAGGGGAGGCTGAGGAGCAGGAGCAGGGCTGGGATGCTGGAGAAACAGAGGAGGAGGCGATGGAGGAGGTAGAGGATGAAGCAGCCCATGTGGAGATCCAGGAGGAGGAGGTGACCATGACGGAAGACACACACACGGTGAGAATCTTGCATGTGAGCCAATAGGAGAGGGAATTGGAGCCAAATTTCACCACGAGAACTTCCCTATTGGGCTTCATTGAGCTTGTGGGAACACATTGACCAACTGTAAACAGGCTGTAGTCTCAATGGAAACTCATTCATACTGGTTTTTAACTGCATCTATATATTTCAGTTTCTAACACATTTTTCATACATGATACTAGGGATGCACCGATACCACTTTTTTCAAAACCGATACGAGTACCTTAAAGTGATAGTTTGTCAGAGAGAGAGACAGACAGGTACTTGATTTGAAAAAAAAACGACGCAAGCTCCTCCCCCTTCCTTTCTGATTGGTCCACGCCTACGTTTCCGTAACACATTTAAATGTTAATCAGAGAACACATACATGTACATTATTAATACACATGCACGGAGGTTTTCAGAATTATTTGTTAACGTTTTAATGAACGTTTTAATCGCGGCAAACCCGGAAGTAGCTATTATTATGAATTGCACATTATAGGACACATCTGCAGAGGATCTGATTATGGATATAGGTTCAGTATATAAATGATTATGGATATAGGTTCAGTATATACATGAGTACCTCAGCGCGGATGTTCAGAATTCTTTGTTCAGTTTTCATGTAGTTCCAGAGCCTGATAGAGGCTTGATTCAGAGGCTCCGCAAAAACAAAAAAGTGAGCATGAGCAGCTACGAGCATGAGCAGCTACGAGCATCAGCGCCGATGATTGACAGCCCTTGGCATCACTTGATTGTTAACGTGGACGGCATCGTGGATTCTGAGCTATAGCTAAGAGAAGGGAAGGCGGGACTTACCCGTAATATTACAATTAATAAAATGACTTATTTTATATCAACATTTTTGAGGTCAATTTAATACAATTCTTAAAATGTGTAATTTATTTAGAGACTATCACTTTAACTTGAATACTTGCTGATACTGAATATCAATACAAAATATGAATTATTTTATTTCTCATTTCAACAATAAGAACATGCTTGAAAAATTTAACTTTTTGGCAATTGTTTTAACGTCAACAATAAGAGCCACTGTCATATAAGAGCAGGCATGTCAAAGTCAAATACATCAGAGGGCCAAAAAAAAATGTTTGCTACGCGCCGAGGGCCGGACTGGTTCAATGTTTCTCAACATCCAGAGGCAGTGCCGGTGACACCTGTTGGCTCGATAAAATATGCTCTAAAGCCAATCCTCATACTGTACATATTAGATGTAATAGACATCTGAGAACATGAAAATAGTAAAAAAATGAAAAAGCTCAAACTTGGTGAAATGTAAAAGAGCAGTCTGGGCGTTTTTTGATTAAATCTGAAGAATGAATTATACTTTGGGAAATACAAGTGGATATTCTTCTTCAATGAACAGTTACGGAGAGAAAGCGACTAAGCAAGGATGGGGAAAGTCTAATTTGTTGGAGCAGCAGAAGACGAAAGGTAAAAAACAAATACAGACCGATTTATTTTGTGCCCATATTATGCGTTATATCTTTTTAATGCAAAGTCTGATATCGTTTACACTTCCATATAAATATAGCTGAGAAAATAAGCTTTAAAATGATATATAGCTTGTGGCTTATGAAGTTCAAAATACATCTGCTATTGCCAGCAGATGTATTTTTTTCCTCGTTTGCTCCCGCCGGCGGGGGCTAGCGAGCTTAAGGGGTCAATACATTGCCTCAATGGCAGGAAATGTCCCGGGGGCCATAGATAATTCATTCGCGGGCCGGATTTGGCCCGCGGGCCTTGACTTTGACACATGTGTATAAGAGGATCTTTGTTTACACTGCGCATGCGCCACCTGCTGGGTGGCAAGAAGACAGAGTGGCACATACTGAAGCATGGATGAGTACTTTTAAAAGATATATAAGCTCTTTAACGCGAGGAGATCAGGGGAGATATAGACAAGCTAAAAAATAAGTAAATGAGACAGAACTGAATAAATCCAACGTCCATATGAGACCTGGGATGACGAGAAGAAACATTGGTCAGACTCACCTCTGTCTTGGCACCGATGACTGGGAGACATTTATTCTGTCTTCATAGAAAAGCCGGGACCCTTCACACGAGAAGGGTCCGTGGTGAAAAACCATTTCTCGCGGTAAAGTGTTCCGCACCTTAAAAGCGGGTTGTCCCTTTATGCTGTTACTTACGGCAAACGTGGAACAGGAAGCCGTGGGGATGAGCAACCAAAATGCAATGTTTAAAATTCATCATCACCAAGTGCGCAGTGAAAGTAGCAAAACTTAAAATGTTTTATGAATGTTTATCCCCCCGGCTTCTCTTTCTACATTTCCTGTAGGTAACAGCATAAAAGGGCAACCCGCTTTTATGGTGCAGACCACTTTACCGCGGCCGTTCTTTGCTGTTCTTTTCCGAAGGAATTAGAAAAACGTTATCTGGCCCCAGTGGGACGTACAACCGACCACCCAACAAGAATGGACCATTTGATTTAGTAAAACCTCTCTCTAAACGTCTAAAACTAGCTAACTCTCTAGCATCCAGGTAGCACGGAAAAACTGTAAACAACGACGTCGCTCCAAGATCTATTAATATAAAATATATATATATATATATATATATATATATATTGAATATATAATCGGTGCATCCCTAAAAAAAACACCTATTTTTGTGCACTTTACTTTTCAAAAAGCCAATATTTGCATAGCTTACATTTGCATGTTTTTTTGTTTAGGTCCATGGCCATGTTTGTGAACAAAGGGATGGAAAATATATATATATTTTCTTTTTATCCGATTTATTAAAATAATCGTTAGCTGCAGCCCTATTCCATTCATACAAATGCCATATTGTAGTAAAGATGCTATACTTCATGTGGTGAGTTTTCATATGTTTGTTCAAGTTGCTGGTGTTTGTTTTGGACCCACCTCATGACAGTTTTGATTTACACAGTGTACAGTCCGCTTTACTCTTGTCCCTCGTTTACTTTTAAAACCGCCATAAGCGGTGTGAGCGGCAAGCGCTGCCGACTTTCTTAGATCACAGCTGTCTGCTGTCAAGACGCTAATGTGAATTAAAAATGTGGGTATCGGTTGCGCTGCGTCGGGTGCATCCCTACATAATAATACTAATAACCATGATACATTAACCTCTTACCACTCACCGTTTTTGTCATAACACATTTATTTTGGTTTTCCAAACCCACAGTCTGTTTATCGAGCTTATTTCCTCATCTACATTTCTCTAAAAGTGCAGCAATATGAGACTTTAGGCCACAGGTTTGCAAAGACTAAAATCATTTCCCCCAAAGCCTCTGTCTGCTTGTGTTTGTGGTTAAGTGTTGTTTTTCTAAATGATTGACATATCAAAGGGTGGGACATGTCACACAGCATCTTTATTGCACTATTCTGTGACTTTTTCTTTACATAAATCAAACAGAAATCGAAACAAGAGGCCGTAAAGAGGCTCACACCGGAGGAAGCTTGTGTTTTGACTCTTGATTCGTCGTCAGAAGACAGTGAATTTGACGCAAATGAAGAAGAAATGTTTGAAGATGGAATGGATCCTTTGTTAGATCGGTGAGTGGAACACATGACAACAAGGTTTTTGCCTTGAATACAAAAATATATTGGTTTATGAAATTATTACTGCAATAAATGATGACCATCACCATCAAACAAGTATACTTAAATAAATGTAGAACTACTTTAAAATCAGTGTGTATCTCAGAGTGTGGAGTTACTCACTGATGAAATGTTCAAGCCTGATACAATAAAAAAGAGTGTATAAAAAAATAAATAAAAGGAGGAAAGAGGCTGATGCCCTCAGCACTGAGCAGCGGAAGGAGAGGTGTTTGGTCAGGGAGTGTTTGACTTAAACTTCAGTATAATGTGATCTGTGGAGTTACCCAGGGGGGGTGGTGTTAGTCCTGTGTCTGGGTGAGGAGGGTTTGGATTAATACAAACGTCTTGCTTCCTCCAACTCCCTTTACAATCCCTGTACGTTCTTTTCATGTTTTTGTTTTATATTATTTTACTGTAGTGTTTGTATTGGAGTTAAAAGACAACACAAACAGGATACAAACTTTAAGTAAATACATTATATGTGTAAGATTCTCAGTCGTACAGGGATTATTCAAACAGAGGACTGTTGCTCCCCATCATCTGTTCTTCAGTCAGAGGTGTTCCCCACGTTTCATTCTTCATCCAAAGAACTTTATCAAAGGGAATGAAAGCTCAGCGCGAGTTGGAGATTATAACTTGTGGGATATATTACAACAGAAAGTAGTAGAAAAATATAAAGCTCCGTTTTGTTTTTCTCAGCCTTTTCTCAGACACAATATCCCCATAGAACCCCTGGAAAAGTGAATGAACAAAATAAAAAGTGAATTGAGATTTTTACAGGTTTTCACATAAATCTTATGTTCAGCTAAATCTTCTTCTGTGAAAGGACTCGAAAGTTAATTCTACTCACAATTAGCCCCAACCCCAGGAGACAAACCAGAGATCATAGTTACCAGATAATTTGGGTCATCTTTAGAGTTTGATAATTAACATTAAATAGCTCATCAGAGGGCACAACTTCAAGGCCTCTGCTTCACAAAAAGTCAGTTAAATAATCACTGTGGAATCTTGAATTGGTATAAAGTTTGAAATATCAGTATTTTAAAAACATTGAAATTCATTGTTGTTTTTGTCCTCAGACTGGGTCGAAGGGACCAGATTATCCGATAGACACCGTGGATGGATCCCAGAATCACATTTGGACCACATCAGCATTCCTGAAATCCGTGAACGCAACCTTTCCGACGCCCTTAAACTCACCACGGCAACAGCACAGGTCTAAAGCCTGCGAATAACCTGTGAACGTTTGCTTGACTGTTTGAAATAACCACGAGGAGACTTTTTATTTGCCAAATCAACGTCTATAGAACCATGTTATAATGGTTCGTCCTAAACTTACAGCATTGATTCATTTGTGTTTGAGTAATCCTGTTTTTCCCCTTCCAGAACTGTATACTTCCTTTATGACTCTTTGAAAAACTTTGGATTCAGGGCCATGCTATTTGTGAAAACATCAGAGCTCTTGTGAAACTGTTTGAAATTGAAGTTCTGCATACCATCCATTGAACAACCACAAATAAGCTTCAAATGTCTCTGCAGAGAAATGCGTCACATGAATGTCTCTCAATGGTTTGACTTTGTGAAATGAACTTGCCCTGGAGCAAATACTGAGCTGTCAAGACTTGCAGGTCTAGATCAAATATTTTTATTGAACAAATGTATTTTAGTACTGTTTTAATGCAGGATAATTCCAATTGAGTTATAGATCATTTTAAATCAGCCCAGTGCATAGACTGTATATAGATTATTTACAATCTGTGGTTCTGTGAATTGCATGTCTGAGAATAAAGAGAACACGCAAACTGTTTCTTCCATGTTGTACAGACTCACTGATAATTTCAGTAAATTAAAGATTTACGAAACACTGACTGTGTTAAGAGCATTAAGTGGTGGTGGCAATCTTTTATCAATACTGTAGCCACAGCTTCCCTAGGGCTCACTGATGGAGATGAGACCTGCTGGTGTGACCGCCTCATCATCATTCACACTATTCATACCATCCATCCATCCATCCATCCATTTTCTACCCTTTAATCCATTTCTGGGTCAGGGGGGTGGCAATCAGAGATGCCACCCAAGTCTCATAGCACCAGCCCCTCACTGATCCTCTGCAGGTGGTGAGTCCACAGGAGGACGGCTGCTCTCTGAGTGTGAGCATAGCCTTGATCTTTCAGTGGGGGCTTTGGGCAAAGTGGGGTTAAGTGTCTTGCCCAAGGACATAACGACAGCAATTGAACCCACGACCTTCTGGGCTTAAGGCCAATGCTCTACCAACTGAGCTACTGTCGCCCTCTACTATTCATACCATGATGGCCGAAAGCGGAGTGACCGGATACATATTTATTATATATGTTTTATGGAAGGAAAAAAAACTTGCAGGCTGCCCACAAGCATCAATTGTATTTTACTTTAGCTTCAAAACATTCATGTTTTTGGCCTCTTTCATTTTTTGATCAGCTTTTTCGGGGACAGAAAAGTTATTTAAAACTGTTTTGCTGAACGGATCAGCTCCCAGAGTCACTAGCACTTGTGAATGTTGTCTCATTACTTCACAAAAAAAGTAGTACTTTGACAAGACTCTTTCTGACAGGGATCCCAAATGTATTCTTTGTGAGGAAAAATATTACCCAGCTTTCAGAAGACATGATGGTACATACTGTGCACAGCAGATTAGCACAAGCACAAAACAGAAAGACACGCTTTTTTCCACGTAGCTCGATGCAAACATGGGCGTGGCCAGGCTGGTTCGTTACACTTTTAAAGCTCTCCCATTGGCTCAGAACGCGTCAATTACCAGAATCTAGGGCGAGGTCAGAATTAGACTGACACAAAAGAGGGCCAATAGCTGTGCGCCACAACGTGTTGGCTGGTCTTTATTGGCGTAAACATCACGGCTAGGGGCGGGCTCTCGTCTGTGATTGGCCACAGCTGAGAAAGAGGCGGGTTGTCAGTGTTTGTTGTTGTTTTCGTGGTGCCAAAGAAGTGGGCCAGTCGACATCTTTATGCTCTGTGGTCCTGCTCAACGATGGACAGCTTTTAATCCAGGATACACCGTATTTACTACAGCTGTGTGTGACAATTCTACACGTGGGACCAAACCTTGCAGTGATATCGACTTTTGTATCATTTCTCGTCTGCAAAAGGTGAGATATAGCGTGCAAAATGTAGGGGATGTGCGCTTTCCTGTCTGAGCGCAGACTCCAGGCTTTTGTGCAAAGACCGTAGATCTCTCAGCTTGGGGAATGTTTATATGTGTGTAGATACCATTCTGTTTAATACACTTGAAACAGGATTGGCCTTTTTATGAACAACTAACACAAATGTAACGATATTATCAGTGCACCATCAGTGTAGCTGCAGTGACGTGGCTTATTTTGGGGCCTTCTTTAAACGAAAATGAAGAACACAAAACAATGCCCTCAGTTTTTAATTATTAGGGGCAATAATACTATTATTTGTAATTTGTAACAACCCTTGAAGGTGTTTGTCTGAGGGTAAATGGTCGCCAAGAATGTGTGAAAGACCAATTTGTTGGATGTTAGTGAGATTTGAATCACATTTAAAGGTAAATGTGTTTATTAATAATAATAATAATAATAATAACAATAATGATAATACGTTATATATTCTTATAAGTAGTGTTATTATGCGTTTTATCAGTCGTGTTGTTAGAGGCGTGGTTAGGCCTCTGCTGCTGTGAGGCTCCTCTGCAACGTTCTGGACTGGACGGAATAAACATTTTATAAAGTTCACGGTATAGAAACGCTTTTAATGTGGGGGACTGGCACAATACAACGTGCACATGGATGAATGTTGTGCTTAATGCCATAGTGTGGACTAATCCAGGCTATAACATGTTTATTTCAAATCCATGGCCCACAAGATCAAGTCAAATCCAAGACTGCTTTGAGTTTTCGTGGCCTTTATTCAAAGTCAGGTGCTGTATTTGCATTTGATGAGTTTTGTAAATGATAAAAAAAGTAGTTGCTTACATTTATTTTTGACAAAGATAGTTGTATTAAATATCTTTGCAATAAAGTTATATTTTATAGATGTATAATGGTCCACTACCTTCTGCAACCTTCTTGGTGGGGGGGTCCTCTTTAACTTTGGTCCATCTAAATATTTCTGTTTTGCATGGAATGTACCACCTTATGGCATTAAATACTCTATCTGCACTGGAGATAAGCAAGTGGCTTCACAGGGCTAAATAAAAAATAAAAGAAATCAAATTTTAGCAGAAAAATCCGTATTTTAATAATACATAAGGTCGATAGAATGCTGGGGTACATTCCAATCAAAGCATTAACATCTCCCACCATAAAGGTTGCGCAATGCACCTTTAAACAGTCTTTATCTGACGTGTGAAAACGTGAGTACACAAAAGATAAGCTCCCAACTTCAATAAAATAACACACACCAGGCCACCTCTGGTCATACTTCTTGAGTGATTCTATCTGTGCCAGATGTGATATTTCTCTTTATCTTATCTTATCTGAAGTACAGATTATGGGTGAGCAGCACTCCTTTCTTCTAAAGACATTATTGAACATAATTATGAGCAAAGGAAAATCCTACTGTTAGAAAACATTCATTGACAGTTCTGCAGCAGAAAATTATCCTTATTTCTAATTGTTTACATCAAGTGTTTGTGCTTTGTTCATAGAAACTGTGTGGACAGTGGAGATGAGTGGGAACCACCGGCTTTGGTCACACCTGTACCTGCCCCCGCTGAGGACGCTCCCACAGCACTGCGGAGGGGGAGAAGGAGGAGCAGAGAAGCTAAACGTGTTCCTCTGCCTCATGGAAGTTCAGAACGCTGGAATAATGTTGACGAACTGGACATTGTTCCCAGACAGTTTCCATTCAGACCCGCAAGAGAACCTGGACCTCAGCCCAGGAGCATGCTGGGACATGGTACGGTCATGGATTTTTTCAGGCTGTTCTTCACAGACACAGTTGTAGCTTCACTGCTAGAGAACATGAACGCGTTTGGATCCCACCAAAATGAAAACTGGGTCGCAGTTACCATGACAGACTTTTATTCCTTTTTGGCGGTGGTCATTTATACGGGAATTGTCAAACTTCCTGAAATGGCTTTTTATTGGAGGCAGCACAGTTCCTACGACCTGCCGTTTCCTTCAGCTGCGATGTCCAGGAACACATTCATGCGCATGTGCCGCTCTCTGCACCTGTGTTCGATGGAGGACGATGCTCGAAACCAGGCACTGAGAGGAACTCCACACTACGACCGTTTAGCTAAAGTCAGACCTCTGTATGAACTGATGGTCACCGCCTGCAGAGATAACTATCACCCCAACATCAACATCTCCATCGGTGAAAGAATGGTGGCCTCAAAAGCCAGAATTGCACTAAAGCAGTACGTTAAAAACAAGCCGACCAAGTGGGGATATAAACTGTTTGTACTCGCTGACTCGGACACTGGCTACACATGGAACTGTTTTATGTACGAGGGAAAAGCTTCGCTGTCTGGGAAAGGACTGAGTTATGATTCTGTGATGTCTCTGTTGAACATGGATGGTCTGGGCTCGGGGTACCACCTCTATGTGGACGACTTTTACACAAGCCCCCATCTATTCAGAGACCTGTTCGCACGACATATCGGGGCGTGTGGCGCTATTAAAACCAATCGGATTGGATTTCCCAGAACCAGCAGCAATAATCTGAGCAGAGTCGATCCTCGAGGCAGCGTCCGCTGGATCCGAGAGAATGAGCTGCTGTTTGTGAAGCGGAAGGGCACGCGAGAGCAGGTGTTCTGTTCCACTCTGCACACCATGTTCAGTGGAGACGCTGCACAAAGACCGAGGTCTCTGCTGTACGTGCCCCTCCCAGCTGCAATCAAGGACTACCGCAGTCACATGGGGGGCGTGGACCTGTCGGACGCTCTCATTGGCTATTTCACTGTGCTGCACAGAACCAGTAAGTGGTACCGCACACTGTTTTTCCACTTCCTGGACATCGCGATAGTGAACGCCTCCGTCCTGTACAACGCAACCCACGCCGACAGGAAACTGAGCCAGTTACAGTTTCGAGAAGAACTCATTTCTCAGTTGTATCAGTACGAAAGTCCTTCGACCGCAGCAAAGAGAGCACAGACTCAGAGCTCCGCCTCCGCACACATCCCACTGTTCTTCAACCAAGGGAAAGACATCGACAGAGCCACGGCCGCCACGGTCGGCAGACGACGCTGTAAACTGTGCCACAAGAGGACGCCACTGGGATGTGAGTTGTGCGCCGTCCCTCTGTGCCTCATTCCCACCAGGAACTGTTACCAGCAGTGGCACCAGAGCCGAGGACTGCTCTGACCTTTATGGTCTTTGTAAATAGTTTTATTCATGGTTGGAAGGGTTTTGTCCACTTTGCACTGAATGTTTTGAAGTTCTTAATGTATGTATTTATATAAAACGTTTCTTTATAAAAACAAATCTTTGTTCTTCTCTCTGCATTAACACTGAAGAAATCATACAAGAAGTTTTTCATGGTGTTTGAGGAATTAAAATTTCAGTAAAACAGCATCAGAAATAAAAAACCTGAAACTGCAGACACATAAACACAACACAGGGTTTGAGCATTGTGAATATTTTAAAAGAGGCTTAAAAGTGTTTTCTTCCAAACTTGAAATTTGAATGAAATATATTCTTCTAATGTAGATCCACATAAACTTGAAGGCTCTAGCTTTAGAATGATGTATCACACAAGCAGGTTTTTTCATCTCAAAGACTTTGGGTCCACCCTATGTGCACAAGACCAAATTAGACTCGATTCATCCGTTTCTCTGGTGTTGCCCTCAGTCACAGGAGACGGCACCCCCTGGAGACCCACCTTCAGAGGGAGACCCAGTGATGGACCCAGACGAGTCCACAGAGAGGGACCCAGACGAGTCCACAGAGAGGGACCCAGACGAGTCCACAGAGAGGGACCCAGACAAGTCCACAGAGAGGACTTCAGAAGAAGCTTCAGGAGCAGCTGCAGACGCCCAGAGGTGTGTGTGTTTGTGTTTGTGTCTGGGTGTGTGTTTGCGCATTCTGTCTTTTTACTCCTGTTTAATCCTTTGTCCTCAGCTCTCCTCTGCCTCAGCGCCTTCTCTCTCCATCCTGGGAGCAGAACAAGGACACAGAACTTGGTAACACACTCTCACAGAGAAGACATACACACAAAGCCACGTTTCCATCGCAGGAACATAATTTTGCAGGAACCTCCCCCACAGGAACTCCTGCGGTGGAAACGCAGAGGAGACACACATACCCTCCTCAACTCTCTCTCCTCCTCAGAGCTGGACCTCCTCACCCCACAGTTCCTGGAGCTCCTCTTGAACTCTGACGGCTGTGTGGACATCCTCCGTGCCTCCTCCATCCTCCGCACCCAGAGCAGACGGCTGTACGACATCACTGCTGTGCTCCGGAGTCTGCAGCTGGTGAAGAGAGAGGCCACCAGGGTGCGCTGGACGTGAGTCACACCGAGGGAGGCACAGTGACAGGCCACTAGAGGGCGCAGTGACACAGAGAGGCCACTAGAGGGAGCGCAGTGACACAGAGAGGCCACTAGAGGGCGCAGTGACACAGAGAGGCTACTAGAGGGAGCGCAGTGACATCTCTCTCTGGTCTCGCACTCTCTGGTCTCTCTGGTCTCGCACTCTGGTCTCGCGCTCTCTGGTCTCGCGCTCTCTGGTCTCGCGCTCTCTGGTCTCGCGCTCTCTGGTCTCGCGCTCTCTGGTCTCGCTCTCTGGTCTCGCTCTCTGGTCTCTCTCGCTGGTCTCGCTCTCTGGTCTCTCTTGCTGGTCTCGCTCTCTGTTTTTGCTCTCTGGTCTCTCAGACGTGAGTTCAAGTGGTTAGAAAAGTGTATAAAGTGAGTGTAAGGGATCTTACAGCCTTAAACCATGTGATTAACCTCTCCTTTTGTCTCCTCTCCACCTGGTCTCCTCTCCACCTGGTCCCAGTGGCTTGTGTCCCATCTCCAGCTTCTTGTGGCCGCGGCACAAGCTGCAGAGAGAGTCAGAGAAACTGAAGCTGGTGGAGGAGACTCTGGACGGACTCATCAAGACCTGTGCCCAGCAGCTCTTCACCATGACGGACGACGCCAGCAACGCTCAATATCCTTCTGTCGTCTGTGTCTCCTCATGTCTGTGTCCTTCTGCACCTCCTCCTGCGCTTCCTTAACCCCTTCACCTCAGCCTACGTGACTCTTGCTGACGTCCAGCAGCTGCCTGTGTTTCAGAACCAGACCGTTATCGTGGTGCGAGCTCCAGAGGAAACTAAACTGGAAGTACCATCACCGACTAAAGTGAGAAACCAGGAGAGTGGAAGAGTGGAAGAGTGGAAGAGTGGAAGAGTGGAAGAGTGGAAGAGTGGAAGAGTGGAAGTGTGGAAGTGAGAGAGAGAGAGACCAGAGAGAGAGAGGCAGACCACCTGGATCTAGTACCTGGTCTGATGTCTTGTTTTTGTTCTAGGACCAGATTCAGGTCCAGCTGAAGTCCGGCTCTGGTCCCATCTCTGTTTTCATGTGTGACGTTTGGCCTCAAGAAGCAACGAGCAGCAAGTTTGAGCTGATCCAGAAGAGCCGCATTCAGACCAGTCAGCTGGTCTGAACTGGGTCTGAACCGGGTCCGAAGATTGGCACTTTGGAGCGAGACACAGACTCTGTCTTCGGAGGAGACCAAACGAGACCTTTGAGGACTCTTTAAAAGCCGAGGTTCTCCCGCTGGCCTCAAGGGGGCGCTGCTAACCTCACATGGTCCTAAGAACTTGTTACATTTGTGGACTGTGACCAGAGTTTGGATCAAGTTTAATTTAAGCCTTAAATCGTGTTTTCTGTAAAAACAAAATAAACATTTATCTTTTTTTGTGAAGATATTGACTTCATGTTTTGAACTGTTGCTCATAGATCACTTTGTCTGCCCCAGGGCAGCTGTGGCTGTTCACTGTGAAGTCTTTATTGCTCAGGTGAAAAACATGTCTGTATCCTCTCCACTAGAGGGTGCTCTGGCACCAACAGCTCTGATTAAACGGGACAGCTGCTTGCACTACCACTGTCCACCACCAGTAGCTCTGTCCCTTTAGATCAGTGGTTCTCAAACTTTTTACAGTTTCAACAGTAAGACTTAAATGATTCAATTAAAATGTTCAATTCATTACAAACTGCAAAGCCTTGACTCACTGAATGATATTCTGGAGTGGGATCTTTGCCCAAATTATAAAAAAAAAAAAAGATTCTTTGGCGTACCACTAGAGGAAGCCCTTATGGTACGTGCACCATTCTTTGAGCATCACTGCTTTAGATCATGGGTGTCAAGGCCCGGGATGAGATCAGATAAGTGTTAGAACATACTGGATTATTCATTTCATGTTCAGGACATGTTTTCTCTTTAAAGGAAGTTTGTTTTTTGCCTGAAAATATGGATTATTAATTTAATAATTAACATACGGCCCACCGTGTTACGCCTTGGTTCAATAGATTATGCACAATAATTTATGTTTTAAAAACCATGGAACCAGTCCGGGCCTCGACTTGTAGCTAATGTTTTTTTAGCCTCTGATGTATTTGACTTTGACATCCCTGTTTTAGAATGACATCAGACACATTCTCAGGTTTAATACATTTTTATACAAAACATAAAAGTAAAGGTTTGTCCAGATGAGGCTGTGATTGGTCAGAAGAGGGGGTTCAGGGCGTCGTACAGTCGGTGAACAGCGACTTCCACTGTCTCTCGCAGAGTTTCATCTTCTTCACAAACGACCGCCTGGAAACAAGTTTAATGGAGTAAGAGACGACCGGACCAACAAATGCATTCTGCTTGGACTAAAGTTACAAACCCCTGCTTTAAACAGAGGGGGTGGGGACAGGTGATGGGTGAGAACTGACCTTTGTCTGTGGGTCGACTGCAGCTGTGGCCTGTTCCATCGTCACTTTCAGTTTTCCCTCCGAGAACGACACGCACTCCTCACCGAACATATCACTGCAACATCAGAGCGCTTTAGAGCCGACTCGGACTAGACCAGAGCCGACTCGGACTAGACACAAAAATGTTTCTCACTTCAGCATCAGCGTCAGTCGCTCCGGGAACACGTCGTCCGGGTCGGCCTCAGCGCGGGGCTCCAGGTCTGAGACCAGACACAGGTTAGCTCTAAATACACAGACAGGGTGGGCTCTAATGAGACCGAGACTCACACTTCTGGGCGTTAGGATGAGACTGCACCTCGAGGATCACTGTGGTCACCGCGTCTGCAAACATGTCATTCAGAGGGTTCGCCGTCCACTGCAACAGAGGTCAGAGGTCATAGACAGCCTTGGTCCTGGGTCTAGAGCCTCGGCCCTGGGTCTAGAGCCTCGGTCCTGGGTCTAGAGCCTCAGCCGTTACCTGCAGCAGCACCATCCCCGCCTCGTGCACCAGAGTGATGGCCTTAAAGACTCGGACTGTGATCTTCTCTGTTCCTTCCACCTGCTCCAGGTCTCCTACGGAACACACCGTTAAAGCTCAGGGACGTAACTTTACTTTAATAAATAACACATGTTTAAAGCTGGGGTCTGTAACTTTAGCACACCGTCCTGTCTTCATCTTTTGTGTAAGAAAGAGCCCTGTGAGTCACTATCTGCCTCTTTGGGATGAGCTGAATGAAACTAGAGACATGGGTTTAATACTGAGCTCTGTTGGTCTGAAAGTTAGTGCTTTCACACCGGCACCATTTAGTCCACTTAAAACGGACTGGAGACCGGAACACCTGCAAGTGCGGTTCGTTTGAGCAGGTGTGAAAGTGGACCAGTTACATTTGGTCCAGACTAAAGAACCGCACAGAGTTTCAGGCGCTTCCAAACCAACAGGTGCTTCCCAACCAACAGGTGTGAAAGCACCCTTACAGACCCCAGCTTTAAAGTTATAGACCCCAGCTTTCTTTCAGGGGCAGAGTCTCAGTACTGACCTGCCAGATGTCGCAGTTGGCTCACCAGGACTGAGATGGGTCCAGTGAACGGGATCGCCTGAGTCTGCGTCACAGTGCCCATGTTCAGGTCTGTGTAGTCTGAGAGAAAGACCAGGGTTAGACCTGCTTTAGTCCTGTTTTAGTCCTGTTTTAGTCCTGTTTTAGTCCTGTTTTAGTCCTGTTTTAGACCTGTTTTAGTCCTGTTTTAGTCCTGTTTTAGTCCTGTTTTAGTCCTGTTTTAGTCCTGTTTTAGTCCTGTTTTAGTCCTGTTTTAGTCCTGTTTTAGTCCTGTTTTAGTCCTGTTTTAGACCTGTTTTAGATCTGTTTTAGACCTGTTTTAGACCTGTTTTAGACCTATTTTAGACCTGTTTTAGTCCTGTTTTAGTCCTGTTTTAGACCTGTTTTAGACCTGTTTTAGACCTGTTTTAGTCCTGTTTTAGACCTGTTTTAGACCTGTTTTAGACCTGTTTTAGTCCGGTACTCACTGGACAGGTCGGAGGAGGACAGGATGTGGTAGTTGAAGTTCCGTTTGACCAGGATCCCAGATACTCTCTGACCCTGCACACACTTCCTGTCGGCCAGAGAGCCCATCACCTGCAAAGGATCATGGGAGTCAGATCCACGGCTCTCAAACAGGGTCCTCGGTCTGGCGTCTACCCCCTGGTGTCTCCCCTGCTCCTCCCCCCGCTCTCCCCCCTGCTCTCCACCTTGGCCAGTTTCTCTCCCCTGAAGTTGAGGGTGACGGCCTCAGTGTTCCTCGGGTTGTGGACCTCGATGTGAACCTCGTCGTTGTCTTCGTATTCACGGATCAGAGCAGCTTTCAGACGAGCCATCTCATTCTGCTCCCCATGGACCAGGATCTGAGGAGGAGAGGGGAGGTGAGGAGAGGAAGAAGAGAGAGGAGGAGAGGAGCAGAGGAGGGGATGGGGGGTGAGGAGGTGACAGAGGAGGTACCACATGAGGAGGCTTCAGGGCCCTGATGAACTCGCTGGTCTGCTGATAGTCCGTGTGAGCAGAGAAGGAGATGTAGTCCACAGACATCTTCAGAGGAAGCTTCTGTCCAGACATTGTACTGATCTCCTCTGGCTCTGTCATGATGTGCTGAGGAGGAGAGAGGAGGAGGTTACTGAGGAGGAGAGGAGGAGATAACTGAGGAGGAGGAGAGAGGAGGAGGTTACTGAGGAGGAGGAGAGGAGGAGATAACTGAGGAGGAGGAGAGAGGAGGAGACGAGGAGATAACTGAAGAGGAGGAGAGAGGAGGAGGTTACTGAGGAGGAGAGGAGGAGATAACTGAGGAGGAGGAGAGAGGAGGAGGTTACTGAGGAGGAGAGGAGGAGATAACTGAGGAGGAGAGGAGGAGATAACTGAGGAGGAGGAGAGAGGAGGAGGTTACTGAGGAGGAGATAACTGAGGAGGAGATAACCGAGGAGGATGTTACTGAGGCGACGGAAAAGGAGAGAGAAGGTGAGGAGGAGGTGGAATGAAAGCAGATAGAAACTTTGTTTAATGTTGTGACAATATTGCGGTGTGTGTGTGTACTGATGTGTATTTTATGGTGTGTTGTTTTGCTAACACGTGTGTTTTCCTGCTGGGAGACAATGGATGTAGATTAGCCTGATGCTAACTCTGCAACATCAAATTAAAGCATTTATGTTGTCATGGATACAGTGTCTCCATGATTACAGTGTCTCCATGGTTACAGTTTCTCCATGGCTACTGTGTGTTGCCCTGGGTACAGTGTCTCCATGGTTACAGTTTTTCCATGGTTACAGTGTGTTGCCCTGGGCAGTGTTTCCGCCAGGAATTTTTGTGAGGGGGGGACCGCGAGGGGGAGGGGGAATGTCGAGGTCCGATGCCCCATAAAAAAATGTCACGTACGTTTATTGTAATGATTTTTGTTAATACTTTTCACGAGGAGTTAGTGGACATGTGTGCCTTTAATATGAGCGGCCTTTGTGGGAATGGTTATATTCAAAGAATTAGAGTAAAATGAGTTTGTAAAACACCTGCGGAGCCGTAGTTCTGAGCGGAGCTAGAGCAGAGCCAGAGGTCTTCAGAAGTATTTCTGATACTGGCTCACTCAGATTCAGCGGAGGAAGACACGCAGGTGTCCAGTGAAGCAGACACACATTGTTAGTGACAGGAGTCCGCGCCATAATAGTCCCCAGTCAGCCACAGTTTACGTACTCCGTGGGGCCACCGCGGTAAAGAGGTCCGGCTTTTCGGAGTCAGCGGTAAAGCGGTCCGCACATTAAAAGCGGATGGCCGCTTTATGCTGTTAGTGTTACTTAAGGTAACATTGGAAAGAGAAGCCGCGGGGATGAACCGCCACAACCACAATGCACTTTTTAACATCTTGTGCGGACTTCTTTACCACTGACAGACCAACTCGACAGAACACCTGTCCTCTTTACCGCGGTGTGTGACCGCAGTGGAAACATTCTGCGAATGCCAGGCAGGGGACGTGGTGTAGGGGACAGGGGGGGTCATAACACCGGGGATGTGGTTGAATGTAGCGGGGATAAACAACCGCGGGGAACGCGGGAGACGCGGGAACAAACACACCGCTAATCTGCCTTTACGGACGGCGATGATGAAGGCAGTTCTTGAGAAGAGAATCCATAAAAGTGGATCAGAAATGTTGAAAAGGCTGTTGTCAGATCGTCTACACAATAAACAAGTTCTGAGCCCATTCATTTAATCGCTCTGTTTCTAAACGATGAATTATGGAGCGTCATTTCCACTGAGACAAACTGTATGCCACTAGGTCTTTTGAAAGGGTAATATTGAAACCAAAGTGCAGATTTCATGACTGGTAAACTATAAGCAGTGCCAACTTGATCATTGAAGGTCTAATACATAATACAAGTTCATATGGCCGCTAACCAGTGCTAAAATATTCTATATAAATTGGATCTGTGAATTTATTTCTATCCCAAATTGTGTTTCATACTAAAGATAGTTCACATTGAATGTTGACAGTATTCCCTGAATTCAAAACACACTCTCAAACTACAGGTTTTTGAAATCTTTATACAATAATTTACATTTTCCAAAATGGCCACTTTGATGACGTCACAATATGCAAGTTAGATGACGAATCAACATCCATCCCGAAGTTTGGTTCATACTGAAGATATTTCTGATTTACAATATGCCTTAATCTCAAACCACTTCAAAGTTATAGCCTTTTGAAATCTTGAAATCAAAATTGTAAATTTTCTTGAAAAAAATGGGCTTAGTGCTGTGTGAAAATCACTCTTTAATAGCCTGGGTTCCGCACCGTGCTCCTCTTGCTCATCGTTTCAACATGTCCAGAAATTCAACTTTTTAGCACTAACCATGTTGTGGGTTTAGTCCATGGTTTTGTTAAAGGACAACTCACCCTCAAATCCACTTTTTTTTGCTGATAAACGGTATAAATGAGTGTCCAATAGTGTTGTCTACATATCCTGGTCATAATCTTGTCACTTTGGTGCAAATTAGTTGAAAGTTAAACTTTCTGCCTAAACCCGTCTGTGAGGCGCCATCTGCTGGCGACCTGTATTACTACATTTGAATTTTGAATCTGGCGCCAACACTGGCGCAGCAGCAAGACCTGACGTCTGAAGCAAGACCTGACGTCTGCAAGTTGGACCTGACGTCAGCAGCCCCCCGCCCAGAGCAATGTAAACGGCCCAGTCTCGTTCACGCCCCCTTTAGTCCTCCAGGCCACGCCCATTTAGAGGAAGATTTGAACAGGAAATGTGAGTGACGTAAGCTCCGAGGAGCGGGGGTGAGAACCACTTTAAGGAGAAAATTAGCATACAGCACTTACAGTCACACTGCAATCAGACATGGATTCACATTTGTCAGTCTGAATGCTGTGATGCAGGAAACATGCCACGGAGATTGCCCCCTAGCCAATCAGGACGCAGAACACAATACGCTGGTTCTTCCTTAGCCAATCAGGATGAACACACCAAGTTCATATACAGTGAAAATAATTCTGAAAATAAATCCGCAAGACCGCAAAAAGTGAACTGCTATTCATCTGAGGAGATTCCGATTCAGAATAGAAAGTAACACCTGTACGGAAGTTTCTATTTTGGTGTTTGTACTTTGTAATTTTTTTACATCCTACATGTAATACATCATAGATTAGATAGTATTCCAGATCAGGTGTATGTTTTTGCACTTTTTGATGTGAGATAAATGCATGTCTAAAAAAATTGAGGGGGGGATATCCCCCCCTAGGGCCATGGCTAGGGGGGGGACTGATCCCCCCCATTCCCCCCTCTGGAGGAAACCCTGCTGGGTACAGTGTCTCCATGGTTACAATGTGTTTCCCTGGTTACAGCGTCTCCGTGGTAACAGTGTGTTGCCGTGGGTGCAGCGTGTGGCCGTGGGTGCAGTGTGTGGCCGTAGATACAGTGTGTTGCTATGGTTACCTTGGCCAGCGTCCCCTCCACACAGTACCCTGCGATGACCACTCCGTTCCTCTTGTCGGTGCACCAGCTCTCGAACAGCTCTCTGGACAAACCACTCTGCATCATCCCAGGGGACGCCATCACCACAGAGGGGCCAATGTCGTCAAAGTGGTCCATGCTCTAGGGTCAGGGGTCAGAGGTCAGAGAGCTGTAACATTAGACTAAAAAATAACATGTTTAAAGCTGTGATCTCGAACTTCACCTTCAGGTTGCTGATGTGCTTGAACACAAAGGGGTTGTTGATGTTGATGGCTTTGCGGATCTTGTCGTTCATGGCGTTGATGTAGGTCTGGTACACGGCCATGCACTTTCGAGCCAGAGACGAGGCGTAGTATATGGGGATGTCATGGAGCTCAGGGTGGTTCTGCCAGTACTCATCTGTACCAGAGACAAGAGTGAGACCAGTGAGACCAGTGAGAGACCAGAGAGGTGAAGGTTTAGACCTGGTCCTGGTTTGGTCAAGGTTGGGTCCTGGTTTGGTCCTGGTTTGGTCCTGGTTTGGTCCTGGTTTGGTCCTGGTTTGGTCCTGGTTTGGTCCTGGTTTGGTCCTGGTTTGGTCCTGGTTTGGTCCTGGTATGGTCCTGGTATGGTCCTGGTTCTGACCCAGAATAAGCAGCAGTTCTTGTGCTCGTCCCAGAGCGAACACTGGGATGAGGCAGCGTCCTTCTCGGTTCACGATGTCGTGGACCGTGTTACAAAAACGAGCCTCGCGCTCCTCACGTTTCTCATGGATGTGAGTCCCGTACGTGGACTCCTGCAACACACCACAGGTTAGCTTTGTTAGCTACACATTAGCTCTATGTTAGCTACACATTAGCTCTATGTTAGCTACACGTTTGCTCTATGTTAGCTCTAAACAGCTTCACTCACGGTGATGAGGATGTCTGGCTTCACACTGGGGATCTCTGCTGCCATCAGGTGTCTGTCTTCTTGGCGAGAAAAGTCTCCAGTGTAAAGAATCTGCAAACAACAATATGTGAAGGAACAGACACTCTCCCTCTGGTCTCTCTCTGGTCTCTCTCTGGTCTCTCTCTGGTCTCTCTCTGGTCTCTCTCTGGTCTCTCTCTGGTCTCTCTCTGGTCTCTCTCTGGTCTCTCTCTGGTCTCTCTCTGGTCTCTCTCTGGTCTCTCTCTGGTCTCTCTCTGGTCTCTCTCTGGTCTCTCTCTGGTCTCTCTCTGGTCTCTCTCTGGTCTCTCTCTGGTCTCTCTCTGGTCTCTCTCTGGTCTCTCTCTGGTCTCTCTCTGGTCTCTCTCTGGTCTCTCTCTGGTCTCTCTCTGGTCTCTCTCTGGTCTCTCTCTTTCTCCCTCTGGTCTCTCTCTGGTCTCTCTCTTTCTCCCTCTGGTCTCTCTCTGGTCTCTCTCTGGTCTCTCTCTGGTCTCTCTCTGGTCTCTCTCTGGTCTCTCTCTGGTCTCTCTCTGGTCTCTCTCTGGTCTCTCTCTGGTCTCTCTCTGGTCTCTCTCTGGTCTCTCTCTGGTCTCTCTCTGGTCTCTCTCGCTCGCTCTGGTCTCTCTCTTTCTCTTGCTCGCTCTGGTCTCTCTCTCCCTCTGGTCTCTCTTTCTGGTTCCTCTGGGCTCACCTTGACTCCTGCGATCTCGATCATGAACATGGCAGCCCCCAACACGTGTCCCGCATGGTAACACCAGAACTTGATCCCTGCGACTTCTTTGACCTCGTGGAAGTTGATGGTTTCGATCTTCTCCATAGAATCCTCCAGGTCCGTCTCTGTGTACAGCATGTCGTCTGCCGAGATGTTACTGCGGAGAGGAGGCACCAGGCGTGAGTCCGGGTCGGTACCTGACATTAGTCCAGTCCGGGTCGGTACCTGACATTAGTCCAGTCCGGGTCGGTACCTGACATTAGTCCAGTCCGGGTCGGTACCTGACATTAGTCCAGTCCGGGTCGGTACCTGACTTTGACGTAGTCGGACAGCAGCCAGCGGTAAATGGCTTTGGACGCATGTGTCATGAAGGTCCGTCCTTTGAAGCTCGTCTTCTGCAGGAACCAGGGGAGAGCTCCACAATGGTCCAGGTGGAAACTGAAGAGAGACCAGGTAAGACCAGGTGAGACCAGAGACCAGGATAGACCAGAGTGAGAGCAGAGGGACAAGAGACCAGGGAGGGACCAGAGTGAGAACAGAGAGAGCAGAGAGAGACCAGAGAGAGAGTAGAGAGAGACCAGAGAGAGAGCAGAGAGAGACCAGAGAGAGAGAGCAGAGTGAGACCAGAGAGAGAGCAGAGAGAGACCAGAGAGAGAGTAGAGTGAGACCAGAGAGAGAGCAGAGAGACCAGAGAGAGAGTAGAGTGAGACCAGAGAGAGAGCAGAGAGAGACCAGAGAAAGACCAGAGAGAGAGACCAGAGAGAGAGTAGAGAGAGAGCAGAGAGAGACTAGAGAGAGAGTAGAGTGAGACCAGAGAGAGAGTAGAGGGACAAGAGACCAGGGAGGGACCAGAGTGAGAACAGAGAGAGCAGAGAGAGACCAGAGATAGACCAGAGAGAGAGCAGAGAGAGACCAGAGAGAGAATAGAGTGAGACCAGAGAGAGAGAAACCAGCAAGAGAAAGACCAGAGATCAGGGAGAGACCAGAGTGAAACCAGAGGGAGATCAGAGAGAGAGCAGAGACCAGGTAAAGAAAAGAGGGAGACAGGAGACTAAAGAGAGAGACCATAAACCAGGGAGAGACCAGAGCAGAGAGAGACCAGAGATAGAGTGTCCTCACTGGCTGATGAGCAGCAGGTCCACCTCTGCTGGGTCGATCAGGTCGATGTATGGCAGAGCATCCATACCCTCCAGACCCGGGTGGATCCCACAGTCCAACTGAGGAAACATCAATGAGTTTAAAACAGCAGAACACACCTCCTCATCTCTGAGTACATACACTGGCTGCTTCCACTGTTAGCATAAGCACTCAAATACTATGCTAAAGTCCGATATGTTATACATGCTTCTTTATAATGCTAAAGATGGAGACCTTATTTTAGTCTGGAGTTGTTGTTAATTTGTCTTGTGCTGTAAACCCTTCCCAGAAGTACCAATAAACATTTGTACCATGATCTTTCGTCCTTTGAACTCTAGGATGATGCAGGAGCGGCCCACCTCCTGCCCCGCGCCCCTGAAACACAAACACTGGGTCACCTTCTGTAGGACCAGGGGAGAGCGGAACCAGTGGACCAGGTGGGAACTGAGACCAGCATTAGACCACAGAGAGATATCAGAGAGAGACCAGGGTTAGACCTTGGACCATAGACCAGAGAGAGAGAGAGACCAGGGTTAGACCTTGGACCATAGACCAGAGAGAGACCAGAGAGAGAGAGAGAGAGAGACCAGGGTTAGACCTTGGACCATAGACCAGAGAAAGACCAGAGACCAGAGAGAGAGAGAGAGAGACCAGGGTTAGACCTTGGACCATAGACCAGAGAGAGAGAGAGAGAGAGAGAGACCAGGGTTAGACCTTGGACCATAGACCAGAGAAAGACCAGAGAGAGAGAGAGAGACCAGGGTTAGACCTTGGAGCATAGACCAGAGAGAGACCAGAGACCAGAGAGAGAGAGAGAGACCAGGGTTAGACCTTGGACCATAGACCAGAGAGAGAGACCAGAGACCAGGGTTAGACCAGAGAGAGACAAACATCACTGAAAAACTGGATACGTGATGATTTTTAAAACTTGCAGATACTGACAGGAAGAGGTTAAAATGGGCTACAGTGGCATGTTATACATCATTTATTCCATTCAAAAACAATGAACCAATTCCTCATCCTGTATTTTAATGAAACTAAACAATATGAATAACAGTTTGATAATAAACCGTTTTTGGCAGAACTATGGCCAACTCCTAAGTCATTATGTCTCATTCATAGCATCATGTCAACACACAATGCTCCAGGACGAGACCTGGTTTAGACCCTGTTTGGACCCGGGTTTGGACTCACAGAGGCCGGATCAGCAGCTGGTCGCTCTCCTCCGCTGGTACGACTACCTCCGGTTTTCTTTTTGCAGCCATGTTTCAGTTTATTGACAAAAAATGCAGAAGCAGAAATGTTTTAGTTTTTAGCTTGTTAGCATAGTGAGCATCTTTTAGCTACGCATGAAGCTCCACCGCTGTAACATTGGTACTGGTCCGTGAGGAACAAGCGAAAGCACTCTGTTAGTTCCGCTAATTTTATTATTCTATTTTTAAGGAGACATCAAACAAATATATAATCAGTGTTTTATTTGTGTATCTGGAAATGTCACGGAATATATTTAAGCTACATTAATCTGTAAGCGTATGAAGTACTGTAGTGAGGATGTTTCACCACTTGTTGGCATCCGGTCACGTGCTGCACTGGTTGGCACATTGAAAACTTATAATAGATCCATGGTTGAAAACATGGATCTATTATGTGGCCCTGGACGAACACTGGTCCGCCGGGAAAAAACCCAAGAAGAAGAACACTGGTTAAAACAATGGTTGCGTCGTGCTGTGTTGTTGGGTGTACCGTGTTCCTAAAAGGCCTGAATCTAGAAGAAAGCTTTGGATTTCAGCAATTGGCCGCATAAACGTCAGTGGACAACAATGGGAGCCATCGGAACACGACCGCGTCTGCTACCGACACTTTATCACTGGTATACATAGTTCCCACATGACGTCACTACATACGGGGATTTGCCGACCCGGCGCCATTTGTGTTGGCATGCTGTGGGCAAAACAATAGAAGAAGAAGCTGAAACGTGTTAATGTCGTGAAAAAGTTGAAAATGGTCGTCTCCTGCTGGGTCAATGGATGTTCAAATCGTGCCGGAGGTTCCGTTAAACTTGGATTTTACAGTATACCCATCATTAGACTTCATGAATGTGAGAAGACTAAGCTTTTGTCAGAACAACGACGGAGGTTATGGCTTGCGAAGATAAACAGGCAAGAAACTCCCTCAAAACACGCAAGAATATGCTCGGAGCACTTTGTGTCAGGTGCGTATCGTATCTTATAATGTGTTGACAGACGTAATTCACTCAGTACTAACTTGTGTATGCTGATATCTGGTAACTTGAGAGTTTCATTATTTAGCGTTAGATTACTTTATTATGAGGAGGATCGGTGTCGCGTCCGAGGCTCTCGAGGGCAACGTAAATGTATTAAATAGATAATAATAGTTCTATGGTGGGCTAAAACAATGTTCACAAACAGCATTGCTTCTGTAAAAAGATCTGTGTCATAAAATAAACTGCTCTTTACGCCTGGAAAAATCAGTTGCCCACCATTCACCAAAACATACGGTCAAAAACGCGGAAATAAACAATAACAGCAATCCAGAGTGTCCGTGTGGCATTAGCATTAATTAAATTAATTGTTAATATAATTGAAATAATTAAATGGAGCTCCAACTGGTATTGAATCTAAAGTTTTTGAGAAATGTTTGCATTGCTTGTTAATTTTTGCTGCATAATTTGATCAAATATGTAAAACATGTCCGTAGCACGTTAAACTGTGGTGCCATTGTATTCATATACAATTATTTGCTCAAAAGTTGCCCTTTTTTTCCAATTTGCGTTTGAATATCTACATTTATTCTCATTCTTCTGTTTAATGGAATTTTTTTTTTAAATCTTTAGAAATAAACTTTGGGGCACTAAAAGTATAACCTTTGCTACCTGTAGAAACCCTGAAGATCTACACTCAATTATCGCATCAACAATATGATTAGGTTGCTGTACTGTAGATTTAACATAGTATTAGGACATGATTTCTTTTGTGCATTCTAACAAATGTACTCATTTGATTAATGTAGGCAAACCATCAGACCTATTTGACCAAAACAATCCAGACTGGGCACCTTCCCTCAAGTTGGCCGGATGTTTGACTCCAAGGAAATCGGAAAGCAACTTGAAAAAAGCCACAGGCAGCACAAACAGGTAAACAGCACACTGAATTTTGAATCACTTTCGGCAATCATATCCAATTATGTCTACTTTTATTAATTCACCACAAACTATTTGTAAAATGTCTTGAGTAACACGTTTGTCTTATTAGGTATATAGATTTAAATCTACTTAAGTTATATATGTTTCTATAATTTTTGTCATTTCCAGATTTATACGGGCAAAAAAGAGGAAGGCATCTAAAGCAAAACATGCTGCTGCAAGTCCGCTTTTGGAGCTGCATGCTACCACCGTAAGCGATATTGAAGTGGAAAATGTCGCCGATGTTGCTGCAGGACCCAACTGTTCTTTTCGCAAACTTGGGAAAATGGATCCACCAACATGTAAACCAAAACGCGCAGATCATCTTAAAACATTTACACCTGATGCTCAAGGTGAATTTCAACGTTTGTTGTCTGAAAACATATCGCTCAAACTACAATTAAAAACATTCAGGATGACACAGGAAGCACTAGCTGATAGATAAGACTTGGTAACATACTACACTGGATTGCCTTCATTTGATGCCTTAAAGATGATTTACGATGACATTGAGCTGGACTCAATGTCATCGTAAATCATCGTAAATTTCCATTGATTACACTTGAGCAAACGTCACCAACCCAACCCTCGGCAAATTGATTGTACGCCTCCAGCGATTTCCATGCTCGGAATTGCTCACATGTGTAAAAGCTCCTAGCCAATACCAGATAATGGTACACATGATAATACTGTATCTGAGGCAAAGCTGCATAATCAGCGTTCAGTGCTTCCTTCGTTAGCGTATACAAATCCACACAATTAATGACTGAAATTTTCGCATCGTACCTCTCTATCTTGTGTTAATAGTCTCTTTATAATCTCTGTCACTTTGTCTCTTCATGATTTTCGTAACATTTTAAAAACAGGATTAAACATTCGAAATTTGCGAGTGAAACTCATTAAACTTTTTAAACACAGCAGCGTGCCATCAAAGATGGCGTCTCCGAGGAGGTCATGTGACATTCATTGGTCTGTGGGAACTATGTATAGTGTGTTTTGTGGTAATATTTACAAATAGTTTAGCAAATATACCTCTATAATGCCTTAATTGATAAATAACCTGTCTAAATACCTCTGAACACTCTGTATAAATTAACTTTGAGTGCAGCTTGTGTGATCCATAGAAGAATAAAAAACAGCATGTTGCAGACCGTGTGATTATGTTATAAAGTTTAAACCTTATAGTTATATTTATTGACTTATGAATAAATTTGCTTCCAGGTGCAAAAAGTGATAATGAGTCTTCACCTGATTATGTACCCTCTGTCAATATGCGATACAAGTTCAAACATAATGCAAAACTGAAGGCAAGATGGCTGAGAGTAGATAAGCAGGAGACTGAGAGAGAGCAGATTGAGGACGCCTCATCTCTCTGCGAATCCACTTCTGCAGAACCAGAATGGCCACGTGTATTTACATTAATCTCATTGAAATATAGCTCAATGTTTATTTAATATATATTCATTTATTCAGGTCCGTCAGATGCCTCTCAGCATGACAGAATAAAAACTGAACTCAGACTGGAGAGCCCTGAGAGTGCTCATCTCTTCGAGGAGAACGTGACCCAGAGCGACCACTGGCTTCAACTTCATACTGGACTTCCATCTCTGGATATGTTTTCATTTCTTCTGTCATATGTAAACGGCGTCCTGCCAACAAGCACAGTCATGTCATGTAAGAGTATTCTTCTGTGCGTATTGGTGAAGTTAAGGCTGAACTTAAAATACCAGGATTTAGCTCAGTGTTTCAGGGTGTCTCTCACTACAGTTTCAGATATTTTAAATCTATATCTCCCCATATTAGCCCAAAAACTCTGCTTTCTAATTCAGTGGCCAGAGAAAGACGACCTGATCCGCCACATGCCCTCTGTGTTTAAAGCATTGTATCCAAAGTGCTGCGGTATCATTGACTGTTTTAAAGTGTATATTCAGCGACCTGAGCACCTTCCAGACAGGGCACAGACCAACTATAACCATAACACCATCAAGTTTTTAGTGTCCATTACACCAACTGGTGCAATATCCTTTGTGTCAAAAGTATTTAGTGGTAGGACGTCTGACGGAGTGATGACACGTTTGAGTGGGTTCCTTGACAAGCTGCAGTCTGGAGACCAGGTGATGTCAAACCAAAGCTTCCTGATCACGGAGGAGTTGGCCAATCACGGAGCGACTCTCATCATTCCTGCCTTTTCACCAGAACCGCTCAGCAGCAGCGACGTGGATCAGATCCGTGTACGGATTCAAGTGGAGAAAGCGATAGAGAGGTTAAAAAGCTTCCGCATATTAAGTACTAGTATGAGTTTGCACATGGTTCCACACGCTGACAGCATCGTGACACTTTGTTCTGCACTTAGTAATCTCCAACCAACGTTAGTGGCCTGACGTCTTAAGTAAAGTTACAATGTGTGTAGGCACTAGACTGTTGAAATAGTTTCATTTATGGAATTTAGCTTTGTCACTGTATGTTTATGAGAGCCATCAAACCATCAATACAAAGTAATTACAAAAACATGTGTATACAACACACCCATGGTTTCTGGTTCTCTGCTGGTGTTACAGCTGTCTTTAATACCATGTGTGGACCATGAATCTGATCAAATGTTCATTTATGTATTTTGGTATAGTGTATACAAGCAGAGCTGGATTAAATATTATTCATGTTTATTTCTTGATATTCATTATTTATGCATCATTACATCATAATTAAATCTATTTAATTATCCTTATCTTATCCATTGGGAGTGTCATTGTCGGCAGTTGTACCAGTAAATAACCAATGTGTCAGTAAACTGTAAACACCAAATCAGTTTTATCTTATGCTATGTATCTATATATAGAGTAGAAATTAAACTAAGGTGTAAAAGTGTTAAAGCAACGCCACCCAGGGGAAATAAAGAGTATTACATAATAATCAGAACAAGGCAACCGGTTTCATTTCATTTACATTAGTTTATTTTGTGATGGTAGAAAGCATTTTTCATTTCACAGCTTCATTCACAATTGTAGATATTAAACAAAGTTCACATTAAAGAGCGCTATTGTTATTGAAATAGAAGTTCAGTCTTGTAACCTTATCCCTGACAGACGAGGCCCATAGACAGCTCGACCTCAGCTGACAGAGAACCTGACAGAACCAACAGCTTTCATAAAGGTCGGATTTTGTAGGGATTTGAAACTAATGTGCCACCACTTTTAGCTTTTATGGGGATTTTTCAAAATGGCCCCTCCTGCAGGAAAATGTGAAAAAACGCATTTGCACATGCTTTATACAGCACTAGTATTACTCATTTAATGATTGCTTAATGTGAAGTACACAGCAGCTAAACTAGACTGGTCCAAAAAATATACTCCCCTCAGCATTGACACACATCTGGATCGTAGCTTTGGGCCAAGATCAACTTTTGGACCATCCTGTAGAGACGTTTTCGAGCGGTAAGAAGACGCCATACAAAAGGATTGGATAATTCTCTTTCTGGGTACACCCCCACAGGTCATCAACTTAGTGCCATTTGAAAGCACGGCACTAAGTCGGTGAAGTTTATAAACGTAGTAGCACAATTGTGGAAGCATAAATTGTGATTCTGGATGTTAAATAGGAGCTAGTGACAAGGCGGCCAAACAGAAGGGCTCGGAAGAGTGTGTGGCACAGAGGAGCAGATGAATGGGAGTGTAAGGTGAGCGCGCACCAGCTCAGGTCTCCAAAGACCTCTTACCCCCAGACACGTGCCTAGTTTTCGCATCTCAAAATACCTCAGCCCTGGATCAATTACACCTACATTTTAAAATATAGAAATATTAACTCAAGTTGGAACCAATTTACAACTTTTCTTTGGTCAAAATAAATGATATTAATAATCATGCAGTAACTATGGCCTCTAGGCTTCTGCAGATGTGAACTCTTTATGAACTCTTTAAACAGAGAAAAGGTACAGGTGATATGGATAACCTGTATGACTTTGTTTCTGCTAACTACGGCAGACTGCTGCTGTGAGACATTTTCTATTTGCCAACCAATCTGTGGCCACGCCCACATCGTGAGGCTGGCAAACATTGATTACTGAGTCTAAATAAAAAAGTCAAATGGCTTTGTTTACGACTGCCTTCTACTTATTATCTCATATTCTAAAACATGAAATACCAACGCCTTTATTCTCAAGTTAGAGTTTTGTGAACCCTCTGTAAACCTGTGAGTAAAAAACCAGGACTGGAGAGAACCTGTAACCATGGAAACCAGATCCTACTGAGATGCAGAAGATGAGAGCACAGGGATCAGCTGAGAGACTGGATCTGACTGTTGAAGCAGAACAGTTTATTCACTATGTCCTCCCTCACAGATGCCCCTCCCTCACAGATGCCCCTCCCTCATAGTGGCCCCTCCCTCACAGTGGCCCCTCCCTCACAGATGCCCCGGTAGAGCGAACATTGGCAGCAGGTTACGGTTGTAGCTCAGGTACCGGACCACAGCAGAGCGGATCTCGGTCCTGGTCTCTGGGTCCAGGTCCTCTGAAGGTCTCTGCTCCTGTCCATGTGTCTCAGCGGCAGAGTGGTTAGCCAGGGCCCGCAGCTCCAGTTGGAAATCAGTGAACCGATCATGGAAGATTGCCAAGCACCAGCTCTGCCTGAAGAAGCTGTGGGACATAACAACCTCAGTCCTGGGTCTACAGCCTCAGTCCTGGATCTACAGCCTCAGTCCTGGATCTACAGCCTCAGTCCTGGATCTACAGCCTCAGTCCTGGATCTACAGCCTCAGTCCTGGATCTACAGCCTCAGTCCTGGATCTACAGCCTCAGTCCTGGATCTACAGCCTCAGTCCTGGGTCTACAACCTCAGTCCTGGGTCTACAGCCTCAGTCCTGGATCTACAGCCTCAGTCCTGGATCTACAGCCTCAATCTCTAACCTGTACAGGTCGGACACCTGTCCTCGGCTGAGATTTCCCAGCAGGCTTTGCTGTTGTCCGTACAGACAGAGCAGGTTGTGGAGGGGGAGGGGTTTGTGTGCCACACAGGTGATGGTCTCCACTCGCTCACAGTCGTCCAGCTGCAGACGGAAATATGACCCTGAGGCGGGATCCCCAGTGACCAGAACCTTGTCCTTCAGCTGGAACCACACACAGATCCTCACACGTTTTCATCGTTGGTGCTTTTGTGAAAACATTAATTGTCAAATAAAGATGTTTTCTTTGCCCAAATTAAACTCCTCTTCTGAACCTGATCATAAGTCTCCATCCCCCAGGTCTCAATAGATATTACCCTTAAACATCTATGACAGCTTGGAATCTTCTGTGGAAGTTGTGGATGAAGTTTATCCACTCTGGTCTCTCTCTGGTCTCTCTTTCTGGTCTCTGGTTTCTTTCTGGTCTTTCTCTCTGGTCTCTCTCTATGGTCTCTCTTTCTGGTCTCTCTTTCTGGTCTCTGGTTTCTCCCTGGTCTCTCTCTAGTCAATCCCTCTGGTCTCTCTCTAGGCCCTCTCCCAGGTCTCTCTCAAGTCTCGCTCTCTGGTCTCTCCCTGGTCTCTCTCTTGTCTCTATCTCTGCTCTCTCTCTGGTCTCTCTCCCTGGTCTCTCTGTAGTGTATCTCTCTGGTCTCTCTTTGGTCACTCACATATGGTACAGAGTTGAGTTCAGAGGGAGAGGGTTTGGTGACATGGAGGAAGTGCAGCGCTCCAGGCAGAACTCCACCTGCAACAAACATCAAACACATGAAACACAGGTGACCTCTAACCTCTGGTACCTGTGACCTTTCGTACCTGTGACCTTTGGCCTGTTGTACAGTGGCAGCAGGTCACTCTCTTCTCGTGGTTTTGACGTCGGGTCGAAAAACAGCAGAATCTGACGAGCAAAATCCTGTCCGATCTGAAAAGAGACAACACATGGTCCACTTTACATACAGAGTCCGTTCTGGTGTCTCTAGTCTCTGGAGTCTCTCTTGTCTCTGGAGTCTCTCTGGTCTCTGGTGTCTCTGGTCTCTGGTGTCTCTTGTCTCTGGAGTCTCTCTGGTCTCTGGTGTCTCTGGTCTCTGGTGTCTCTTGTCTCTGGAGTCTCTCTGGTCTCTGGTGTCTCTCTGGTCTCTGGTGTCTCTCTGGTCTCTGGTGTCTCTTGTCTCTGGAGTCTCTCTGATCTCTGGAGTCTCTCTGGTGTCTCTGGTGTCTCTCTGGTCTCTGGTGTCTTTCTGGTTTCTCTGGTATCTCTGGTATCTCTGTGGTATCTCTGTGGTCTCTTGAGTCTCTCTGGTCTCTGGTGTCTCTCTGGTCTCTGGTCTCACCTGTGTAGAGCAGTATCTCTGGTGTCTCTCTGGTCTCTGGTCTCACCTGTGTAGAGCAGTATCTCTGGTGTCTCTCTGGTCTCTGGTCTCACCTGTGTAGAGCAGTATCTCTGGTGTCTCTCTGGTCTCTGGTCTCACCTGTGTAGAGCAGTATCTCTGGTGGCTCCACTCCTCACTGTAGTACTTCCTGCTGTACTTGGTCATAGTTCCAGCCGCACAGATCCAGGGGTCAGACGTGCGGAAGCAGCTGTCCACTACCAGACGTCCATCAAAGACCAGGAAGGAGTTCAGGAGAGCACGCAGCATCCGACGGTCCAGACCAGGTGAGCAGAGGCAGACCAGGGCCTGAGGAGAGACCAGGACCAGGAGCCAGAAACGTGAGTGCACAAAGGGTTTCAAGGATTTTACTCTTACATGTAAGTGAATGGAGCCTCACTTGAATCTGGTCTGGTCTGGTCTCTGGTCTGATCTCTCTCTGGGCTTGTTCTTTTTTCTCTTGTCTCTCTGGTCTCTCTGGTCTCTGGTCTCTCTTGTCTCTCTGGTCTCTCTGGTCTCTCTGGTCTCTCTTGTCTGTTGTCCCTCTGGTTTCTTGTCTCTCTGGTCTGTCTTGTCTCTCTGGTCTCTCTGGTCTCTCTGGTCCCTCTTGTCCCTCTGGTCTCTGGTCTCTCTGGTCCCTCTGGTTCCTCTGGTCTCTCTGGTCTCTCTGGTCTCTCTGGTCTCTCTGGTCTCTGGTCTCTGGTCTGAACACTGACCCCACAGCAGATCTCTATAGTTTCTCCTCTGCAGCTGAAGGTCACTCCTGTCACCCGGTTCTCCTGGGTCCTGATGGTCTGGAGCTCACAGTTCTGGTAGACCTGGATGTGAACTGTCTCCATAATGCCGATCACGGCCTGGTCCACAGCGGGGTCCAGGAGCCAGGGGCCGGACTCAGACGGGACCAGGACCAGGTGGATCTGAGGACCAGGGAGTCCCAGAGAGAGCAGAGCCTGGACCGTGGTACAGGCATCTATGTTGTGTCCAAAGACCACCATGTGACCTGAGCACAAATGTCACGCTGCCAGTCCAATCCTGTCCAATTGTGATTTTGTGTGCTGTGTTTGTGTTAAAATCCTTTATTATTTTTGAGAAAAACTCAAGGGGCGGGATGGACAGGACTAATTGATTGCCCTCCCCACTTTGACATTTGGACAAGCCAGACAGCTGACTACTTTTAAGCCGGGAGAGGGGAAGTGCGAGGGGAGAGACACCAGGAGACAGAAGTGTGAAGGGACCAAGACGCATCATGCTGGAGCCAGAGACGCGACCCCGGAGGAGCCGTCAGAGCTCACGATACAACCGGAGTTAGAGACCGAAGACGCACAGAGCTGGAGTTAGAGACCGGAGAAGCACAGAGCTGGAGTGAGAGACCGGAGACGCACAGAGCTGGAGTGAGAGACCGGAGACGCACAGAGCTGGAGTGAGAGACCGGAGACGCACAGAGCTGGAGTGAGAGACCGGAGACGCACAGAGCTAGGGTGAGAGACCGGAGACGCACAGAGCTGGAGTGAGAGACCGGAGACTCACAGGGCTGGAGTGAGAGACCGGAGACTCACAGAGCTGGAGTGAGAGACCGGAGACGCACAGAGCTGGAGTGAGAGACCGGAGACTCACAGAGCTGGAGTGAGAGACCGGAGACTCACTGAGCTGGAGTGAGAGACCGGAGACTCACTGAGCTGGAGTGAGAGACCGGAGACTCACTGAGCTGGAGTGAGAGACCGGAGACTCACAGAGCTGGAGTGAGGGACCGGAGACGCACAGAGCTGGAGTGAGGGATATTTGAGTAACACACATTGGTCGTACCTTGGTTTTCTCTTTGATCCAGATCTGCTCTCCGGTCTAGACCCTGCGTTGGTTTCTGATCCGGATCCTGGTCTGGTCTATCGTCCAGTGTCGGGGCTGGGTCCTGGTCTATGTCCCGGTCTGCTCCCTGCTCTGGGTCCTGATACTGGTCTCTTTTTATATCTTTCTCCTCTGGTCTCTGCTCTGTCCTCTGGTCTGGTCCCTGGTCTTGATCCTGGTCTGGCCTCTGCTCTGGTTCCTGGTCTTGATCCTGGTCTGGCCTCTGGTCTGGTCCCTGGTCTTGATCCTGGTCTGGCCTCTGCTCTGGCCTCTGCTCTGGTCCCTGGTCTTGATCCTGATCTGGCCTCTGCTCTGGTTCCTGGTCTTGATCCTGATCTGGCCTCTGCTCTGGTCCCTGGTCTTGATCCTGGCCTGGCCTCTGCTCTGGTCCCTCGTCTTGATCCTGGTCTGGCCTCTGGTCTGGTCCCTGGTCTTGATCCTGGTCTGGCCTCTGCTCTGGCCTCTGCTCTGGTCCCTGGTCTTGATCCTGGTCTGGCCTCTGCTCTGGTCCCTGGTCTTCATCCTGGTCTGGCCTCTGCTCTGGTCCCTGGTCTTCATCCTGGTCTGGCCTCTTCTCTGGTCCCTGGTCTCGATCTGATCTAAGCTGATCTTGGACCCAGTGTTGGACCTCCTCTCGGTCTTCAGGGTCCTCCAGAGTCCACAGGTTCAGTGGGACTGGCTCTGATCCAATCTCTGAGGGAACCTGCAATTATTGAGAGTGAGGGAGTTACAGTAATTCTGTTCAGAATATATTATGTTATGTGGATCTGAGACAACAGATTGAAAGGTGGGCGTGTTGTTTAGACCTGACCTGATACTGCAGCCCAGAGCAGAGCAGCAGCAGGTCGTACCGCAGCCAGTCACCAGAGGGCGCCGCCGTAGAGGACTTCCTGTCAGAGCACACCTGCACATGCTTGCACTTCCTGTCGATGGCCACCACGCTCCCACGGATTGTCTTTAGAGAGGAGAGGGGGAACAGCGTCCCCTGGCTGTGGCTGAGGGCATGGCTGTAACACACACGGCTTAGAAGGTTCTCATAAGATCAAAGTTTAAAGAAGCAAAAATAGCTAGTCCTGCTAATCGCCACATGTTCAGGAACAGTGATGGTGTGACGTGTCTCTAAGCAGCTGTTGTTACTGGATGTGGTACTCACCGCGCCCCTCAGACTGACCACGCCCCCCACCACCCTCAGGAGAAGTGAGTCCCAAGTGTGAGCCAAGGTGCAGGCCCCCTCGTCTCTGTTGATGGTCCATGTGCCACTTACTGTGTTCAATGGCCTGTGTCTCCATCTATTCATTTATGTTCTTCTGTTCCTCCTACGTTTGCATTGTCCCAGTCCATTATGTGTTTTTCTATTTTGCAGATCAGAGACACGTGTTTCCTCTGACTAAGAAGATTACTGTCCAAACATGCGATGATTCCCTACACTTATGTCTATTTAAAAGAATCTTTTAAACCTCTTAAACATAAGGAGACATAAATTTACTTTATACATTTGTACCACATGGCCATCAGCCTCTGAGGACAGAGGCAGCAGCGCCCCCTGTCTGTGGCTGAGGACATGACTGCACCTGTATGTGTGTGTTATAGTATGTGTGCAAACATGTTAAAGGAAAAAAAAAATCAGTCCTAGTGCATTACTGACTTATTGTACTGTCTGACAGCGGTGGGGATGAAGGCCCTGTGTTTGAGCTCCTTATTGCACTGACTCTTCCACTGAAGGAGCTCCTCAGCTCCTCTACAGTCCTGTGCAGTGGGAGGTGACTTTGACTAGCACCCTCCTGTTCCTCACCTCCTCCACATATGTATATATTGTAAGTATGTATGTATGAATGTATGTATGTATGTATGTATATGTACAATATGTACAGTATGTACAGGGTCCTGTAGACTGTGGACTTCTCACCTGGTTGACAAGAAGTGCAGGTACTCGTCGTCTCCATGGTAACCATACGTTGACACCAGGGTCAGGTTGTTGAAGCGAAGGTGAGGGCTACAGATCAAATAAAAGCAAAATTCTCTCTCTGGTCTCTCTGTTCTCTGGTCTCTGGTCTGTGGTCCTGGTCCAGTCCTGGTACCTGCAGCAGAGAGTCTGGATCAGACTCAGTCCAGTCTCTGAGGCGCCACACACAGTGATCCTGGCGTTGACCACAACCTTCTGCTCCAGAGTGAGCTTCCTGCTGACGAGGAACAGAGAGAAGGGAGTCTGCCCCCCACCCTAATGTTACGTACCCCAGTTTTAAAATTACATACCCCAGCTTTAAGTCACAATTTCATTCTGAAACATGAAATACCAGAATGAACATTTTGGAGCTCACCTGAGGATCTGTGATCAGATTGGACGGAGCATTCTGGCCCAGCTCCTCCAGGGGGAAGTCTATCTGAGGCCGAGGTCGGACAGGTACGGCACAGTCCAAGAGGAGGTCCAGGTCCACACAGCAGCTCTGTGGAGCAAGGACCAGAGCTGACTCATAGTACAGGCAGGTGCTGGTGCTCAGTCTTACCATGTGCACGTCTCTGGGATAGACTCGATAGTACAGGCAAGTCCTGGTGCTCAGCCTCAGCACCTCCCTGAAGACCAGCTGTCTGCAGTGGCGTTGGCTCCAGTGCAGAACAAAATGGCGGAGGGCGGCGTGTTGATGGTACGAGTGCAGACTGAAGTAGATGAAGTCCTCCAGACTGTAGTGAGCACGGAGGAACTCCACCTCCTGAGACACAGCATTGACAGCCCTGGAAGGCATTTTCCTACTCTCTGAGCTGACAGCTGACTGTTTCACTGACCTGTTCGTCCCTGATGACCACCACTCCCAACACTTGAGGCCCCACCTGCACCACGAAGCTCTGCACACCCACGCAGTCCTGCAGAGGGAAAGGTAAAGTAAAGGTAGAGGTAGATTCAGATTCAGATTTATTTTATTTGCCATTTGCAGTAAAACCACATAGGAATACATTCGCCAGTCCCCAGTGTGCACAAGACAAGTACATAAATAAAAACAAGGATAGATGTACAGACATAAAACTAACTAAAAAAGTGCAGGAAACAATTGACGCTGTGAAATCGATCAACTAAAACAGTTTCAATACAAGTGAAGATCATTAAAGTGCTTTGTTTAAACTGATGACAACTTGTGGAGAGAAGCTGTTGGCAAAACAAGATCTCAACAAACAATATCTTCTGCCAGACAGAAGATTCATTTTGACTCAGTTAAAAAGCTAAAAAAACGCACTCAAACATTGTATCCCTCAAACCGAGAGACCGGAGGAAACTTGCGGAGACACCTGGAGAACATGCAAACTCCACTCAGAAAGGCCTTGTTCCAACAGGACTTTCTTGCAAGAGTGCTAACCACTCAGCCACCGTGCAGAAACCAGAAATGGATAAGGAGCGCACATACACCACCAACAACTGGACCAGTTCCAGTTTTCGGTGGTGTATGTGCGCTCCGAGAGTTTAACCCACTCTTCCCTCACCTGTTTTCTCCAGTTCAGAACAGAAGCCATTCATTCATCTGAAACATCACTCAACCTGTTTTCTCACCTGGTCTGTCTCAGTCTGGTAGAACTGGTCCAGGTCCTGCAGCAGAACATCCCCATGGTCCAGACGTCGGACCAGGTCCACGAGCAGCGGCCTGTCTGAGGGAAGGGCCCGCCGCACCACCACGGGCCTGAAGAGGGCAGCACAGGGACTACAGCCTCAGTCCTGGATCTACAGCCTCAGTCCAGGATCTACAGCCTCAGTCCTGGGTCTACAGCCTCAGTCCAGGATCTACAGCCTCAGTCCTGGGTCTACAGCCTCAGTCCTGGATCTACAGCCTCAGTCCTAGATCTACAGCATCAGTCCTGGGTCTACAGCCTCAGTCTTGGGTCTTCTCTGACCTGAGTGCAATGCGGTGCAGCACATAGAGCTCGTGGAGTGGACCAGCTGGGTCTCTGGGACTGATTCTGCTGAAATTGTGGACCAGGGGCAGCTCAGGGGCCATCGTCGGCACAGTGACCAGACAGAGGTCGCGGTCCTGAGAAACAGTGGTCAGAAGGTTAAAGCTGAGGTATGTAACTTTAGTCTCATATAAAAACATGTAAGACTGGCATGTGCCTGTATGGCGACCTCGTTCCCCTCTTAGAGCCAGAACTGGAGACATGGGTTTCATACAGAGTTACATTGGTCTGAAAGTTACAGGCCCCAGCTTTTACTCACAGGGAACAGTTTGAAGAGATACGGCAGGAAGTCCACAGACCTGAGCACAGACAGATGTCATTTAAGAAACCTAACAGACGCACACACACACACACACACCTGGACTCATAATCCTTGTGGATGGTGAAGAACTGAACACTGAAGGCTTTGTGAGAGTGAGACAGCGGCTCCGTCTGAGAACAACACATATGATCAGATTCAGATTCCTTTATTTGCTATTTGCAGTAAGATCACATCAGAAAAAAGAGAGACCAGAGACAGATCAGAGAGAGAGACCTGGGAGAGACCAGAGTGAGAGGACCAGAAAACACTTTGCTTTCATCCATCCATTTTCTTCCCCTTGATCCCATTTCTGGGTCGGGGGGTGGCAGTCAGAGCTGCACCCAAGTCACAGAGCACCAGCGTCTCACTGATACTCCTGCAGGGGGTGAGTCCACATGAGGATGGCTGCTCTGTCAGAGACGACACAGCCTTGATTACATCTGTTTCTGTTGTGTGTTTAGGTCACGAGGCTAGTTAGAGGCCCAGTTCTCCAGAGTTCTCTGTCCAGTTTTGCAGATATCAAGCAACCGGATCAGCTCTACATGAAAGTGTCTCCGTACCTGTGCAGCCCCTGGCTCCTCTCTGCTCTCTGGTTTGTCAGTCTGCAGTCTCCCCTCTTCTGATTGGTCCGAGTGCAGTTTCCCCTCCTCGGATTGGCCGCCATGCTCTGGGAACGCACCCTCACACTGGCTCAGGTTGTACAGTCGCAGCAGGTTCTTCACGTTGATTGTTGTTGTGACGCTGATGAAGCCCACAGCTGCTCCGTTAATCTGAAATAAGACGACATCACACACGAATCACAGGAGGGAGAATAAATAGTTACAGCGTAACGAGTCTGCATTTGTGTGAGTGAAGCTCTGAACAGAGGTCTCTCTGGTCTCTCTGGTCTCTCTCTGGTCTCTCTCTGGTCTCTCGCTGGTCTCTCGCTGGTCTCTCTGGTCTCTCTCTGGTCTCTCTCTGGTCTCTCTCTGGCCTCTCTCTGGCCTCTCTCTGGCCTCTCTCTGGTCTCTCTCTGGTCTCTCTCTGGCCTCTCTCTGGTCTCTCTCTGGCCTCTCTCTGGCCTCTCTCTGGTCTCTCTCTCTGGTCTCTCTCGGGTCTCTCTCTGGTCTCTCTCTGGTCTCTCTCTGGCCTCTCTCTGGCCTCTCTCTGGTCTCTCTCTCTGGTCTCTCTCGGGTCTCTCTCTGGTCTCTCTCTGGTCTCTCTCTGGTCTCTCTCTGGCCTCTCTCTGGTCTCTCTCTCTGGTCTCTCTCGGGTCTCTCTCTGGTCTCTCTCTGGTCTCTCTCGGGTCTCTCTCTGGTCTCTCTCTCTGGTCTCTCTCTGGTCTCTCTCTGGTCTCTCTCTCTGGTCTCTCTCGGATCTCTCTCTGGTCTCTCTCTGGTCTCTCTCGGATCTCTCTCTGGTCTCTCTCTCTGGTCTCTCTCGGATCTCTCTCTGGTCTCTCTCTGGTCTCTCTCGGATCTCTCTCTGGTCTCTCTCTGGTCTCTCTCTGGTCTCTTACCTCACAGACAGCAGAGTGATTCTGCTCACTCTGTTTCTCCATCAGTTCCGTTAAGAAGAATGGTTTTTTCATGATGGTTTGGAGTGTGGTTTGCTCTGAGAAGATCTGCATCACGTCATCATGGTCCTCCACCCTGCACCAGCATACACAGATACCATCAATACACAGGTCAGGTACCATCAACACACACAGCTCAGATAATAATAATAATGCATTGGTTTTGGACTCTCAAAGACGCTTCACATCATTATTTATTCTCTCCAAACACAGTGGTGATAAACTATTACTTTGGCCACAGCTGCCCTGGGGCACACTGACAGAAGCGAGGCAACCAGTATGTGTCATCGACCCTCCACCTGGATGAGAACAGGACAGGACAGCACCCCCACCTGGCTGGTCTGATGCTGAGCTGGGGCCAGTGCTGTTCTCTGCTGCACACTTGAGCAACACACTTCAGGTCTGAGTCCGACTGCAGCGGCTCAAAGATCTGCTCCAGGACCTGATCTGCAAGAACATTCATCTGTGGGACAGCAGGAGGCCAGTGTGTGTGTCTGTGTCTTTGTCTTTGTGTGTGTGTGTGTGTGTGTGTGTGTGTGTGATACCGAGCTTGTGGAGGTGAGGGCTCAGCAGTAGGATGAACTTTAGCTCTGGAACAGCTCTGTACACGGCCCTGAAGACACACACACACACACACACACACATAGACGCATACAAACACACATTGTTTATAGTGGTGAAGGCTGTGAGTTGTTTTGTGACTATTGTGTGACTGTTGTACCTGATGATCTCCAGAGAAGCCTCCGCTGCAAACGAGGCGTCAGACACAAACAGGTGCAGGAACAGAGAGTTCATCGGCTGCAGAGGACAGTTTATTTATATAGCACCGGTCATACACAAGGGAGCAAGAACAGTAGTCCCAGCAGGAGGCCAGTCCCTGTGCTCCTCAGAGTCCCAGCAGGAGGCCAGTCCCTGTGCTCCTCAGAGTCTCAGCAGGAAGCCAGTCCCTGTGCTCCTCAGAGTCCCATCAGGAGGCCAGTCCCTGTGGTCCTCAGATTTGGTTCATATGGCACTAACATGTCACAGATGTACTTTAGTGCGAGGCCGTGGAGAGACAAACAGAGACCTGAGACCAGGACTAATGTGAGAGCATCTGCCTCTGTTTTACTGCTCGTTTGGAGAGACCAGTGAGCAGGCAGGAGGCACACACATACACACTCATGCACACACATACACACTCATGCACACACACACACACTCATGCACACACACACACAAACACACAGACACACACATACACAGCGTTTAGCAGCTGTGAGAGAGTCCATCAGTGTTTGAGAACAGAAAGCTCTGGCAGAAGGTTGTGAGTGACCCCCTGATGACAGTGTGGATCAAACTAAACACAACCTCAGGTCTGTGTTGCCCACAGAAGTACCAGTACAGTATTATACCAGTTCAGACCGTGTATCTGCTGGTGCCACTGATGCACTGGACAAGCTCCTCCCACTCCCTCTGGTCCACCAGCCCCTCTATGGGATGGTCCAGGAAGGAGGCGTGAGCCAAGACCAGGTCCAAGTCCGACACCAGAGACACACACAGGTTAGCCTTCTCCCTTAGGAACACATGGTACAGTATATGAGACCAGAGAACAGAGAAAGCAGAGAGAAACCTGAGGGATAGAAACCTAAGAGAGAGACCAGAGAGAGAGAGAGAGAGACCAGAGAGAGAGACCATGAGACCAGAGTGAGAGAGAGAGAGAGAGAGACTAGAGAGAGAGACCAGAGAGAGAGACCGGAGAGAGACCAGAGAGAGACCAGAAAGAGGAGAGTGTCCTCACAGCAGATGGAGGACGTTGACTCTTCCAAACACAGGACAGTGGTTCTTCTGCAGCAGGGCAGTGATCTGTTCTGCGTCTGACGATTCACTTCTACGAACAGAGAAACCACGGAGAGACATCTGCAACACACACACATACACACACACACACACACTTAGAGAGAGAGACCAGAGAGAGACCAGAGAGATAAGATAAGACAAGATAGACTTTATTGATCTCACACTGGAGATTTTTTGGCATAGACAGGATCACTCTGATTGTGCAAAGTGTGCAAACATGTTATAGACAAATATATAGTCTGTTCTGTTATTATGTACAATAAAATGTGGCAATAGCAGTGCAGTTTTTTTCAGTCCTAGGGCATGACTTAATGTGACCAGAGAGACCAGAGAGAGAGACCAGAGAAAGACCAGAGAGAGACCACAGAGAGACCAAAAAGAGACCACAGAGAGACCAGAAAGAGACCAGAGAGAGACCAGAGAGAGACCAGAAAGAGACCAGAGAGAGACCAGAGAGAGACCAGAAAGAGACCACAGAGAGACCAGAGAGAGAGACCAGAGAAAGACCAGAAAGACCAGAGAGAGACCAGAGAGAGACCAGAGAGAGACCAGAGAGAGACCACAGAGAGACCAGAGAGAGACCAGAGAGAGACCAGAGAGAGACCAGAGAGAGACCAGAGAGAGACCAGAGAGAGACCAGAGAGAGACCAGAGAGAGACCAGAGACCAGACAAGAGACCAGAGACAAGAGAGACAGAGAGAGACCAGAGAGAGACCAGAGAGAGAGAGAGAGGAGACCAGAGACCAGAGAGAGACCAGAGAGAGACCACAGAGAGACCACAGAGAGACCAGAGAGAGACCAAGAGAGAGAGAGACCAGAGAGAGACCAGAGAGAGACCAGAGAGAGACCAGAGAGAGACCAGAGAGAGACCAGAGAGAGACCAGAGAGAGACCAGAGAGAGACCAGAGAGAGACCAGAGAGAGACCAGAGAGAGACCAGAGAGAGACCAGAGAGAGACCAGAGAGAGACCAGAGAGAGACCAGAGAGAGACCAGAGAGAAAGCAAGTTACCTCTGGGTCACAGATAGTGAGTTAACGTTAGCTAAACCTATATTATTGTATATTTATGAACACATAAATATACTTCTCAATAGTTGTATAAATACACTGCTCTCACCTTTACCCGTGAGAAAGACGTTAATTCGGTTTAATTGACGGTTTTTCGCAAAAGTCGATTTGACGGTACTTTCTGTCCCTGTCACCATGGAGACCGCACGCGGGCCGCACTTCGGGTTGCCAAGTATATCAGCAGTATATGTTTATTAATATATACCGTCCATGGTTTATTGTCTATGATCAAATTAAACCAGTGTAGAGCTGGTGGAAACGAGGTGAACGACTATTGTGCTTATGCTGACTGTGCTAATATCCTGTTTATAACAAAAAACTAAAACTAAAACAAATAATCAAAGTAACTGCCTCGTTAAGCGAGCATCATTTTGATTTCCTTTTTTATCAGACTGATATAACAACAAAACATGCAACAACATTCATACAGCATATTGATGTGTAAGATCTTCTTAGACCAGCGTCAAATCCTAACCCTCTCTCTCTGGTCTCTCTCTCTCTCTCTCTCTCTCTCTCTCTATCTCTCTCTGGTCTCTCTCTGGCCGGAGCGCGTGTTGCCTCCTGCAGACCTGGCACCCTCTCTGTGAAAGTGTCATGGCGGCCTCTTTCTGAGCGCTAACGTTTCGTCTCCAGATTCTCGCTTATTTCTCAGTTTTTCTCCAGTTATTACTCATTTTCGGACCGTGAGACTCCGATACCGGCAGCATGGCGTCCACTGCGGCTGGGAAGCAGCGCATCCCCAAAGTGGCGAAGGTAAAAACACAATAAGAGTAAAGTTTAACACGAGCTAATGTGGCTATTGCTAACAACATGTAGCTACATTGCATTGCGGTGACACGTGTTTGTGTTTAAATCCTGGATTCTGCTTTACGGAACATATCAGTGATAAGCACACGAGCTTGAATATGGCCACTGACATTATAACTAATAGTTAGTCTATGATCTTCACATGTTCAGTTCTGCTGTTAAAGGACATGGCGGTGAAGCTTCAATACACGTTATGATTAGGCTTTACGAATGATGAGACCTTCTTACGTCGGCATTTCATGTTTGAGAAAGTGAAATTATATCTTTAGTAGAAAATAAGTGGTGAAAAAAGTACGACATGTAAATAATGCCATCGGGCTGTAGCTCCCTGTGCTCCCACCAGAGGGAGCAGCGAACTCAGACAGTGATTGTGTAGAACGTCTTTTCCTCAGATAAATGACCAAAACTAATGCATGTGCAGTACTTATATTTTTCAATCCAGGGGCTAAATTGTGTGTGCACAGGGAAATAATGCATAAATCTGTTTGCTCCAATGTTAGTACATTTTGCACACACACAAACCTGGGGTAATCATAGCCCTTAACACATTTCCGCTGGTCCCCAGAGAACGTGAGTTTGAGACCCCTACAGGTTCCTCTCACACACTTCTTCTGCAGTCGCTGCTTGTGCTGGTGGTGTTATGGATGAATCCTGCCTTCTTCAGGTGAATGAGTGAACTGTTGTGTTGTTGCAGGTGAAGAACAAGGCTCCTGCAGAGGTGCAGATCACAGCGGAGCAGCTGCTGCGAGAGGCTAAAGAGCGAGAGCTCGAGCTGCTGCCTCCTCCTCCCAAACAGAAGATCACAGACAAGGAGGAGCTCAACGACTACAAGCTCAAGAAGAGGAAGGTGAGGGACTAGGACTGTAACTTCTACAGCTGAGGAAGAGGAAGGTTAGGAACAAACCCTGTCCTGTGGGCCAGATGTGGCCCTCTGGGTGTTTCTTTCAGACCCCTGACCCCTCCTCAGTTTATATAGATGGAGTATGAAGACTATAACAGATATGTATAATATTTAATAATATATCAAATTAAAATTGAAGCTTTAGAAAAACATTGGAAATTTGGTCTGGCCCCCGACAGGAGGTGGTTATTCTCATGTGGCCCTCAGGTAGGAAAGATTGCCCTTATGATTCTCTAGTGTCTCTCTGGTCTTTTTCTCTGGTCTTTCTCTCTGGTCTCTGACTTTGTGTTTGGGTCAGGGATTTGAAGACAACATCCGTAAGAATCGCACAGTGATCAGTAACTGGATCAAATACGCACAATGGGAGGAGAGTCTGCAGGAGGTGCAGAGGTGAGACACTACAACTGTGTGTTTGTGTCTTTGTGTGTCTGTGTGTTGTGACTAAAGCCTCTCTGCCTGTGGGCCTGTAGGGCACGCTCTATTTACGAGCGTGCACTGGACGTGGACCACCGGAATATTGCGTTGTGGTTGAAGTACGCAGAGCTAGAGATGAAGAGTCGACAGGTGAACCACGCCAGGAACATCTGGGACCGAGCTGTGACCATCCTGCCCCGAGTCAACCAGTTCTGGTACCACACACACACACACACCTCCTTGCATGTACATGCAGTAGTAGTATTTGTGTACTTGGAGGTACAAGTACGTGTACATTAGCGGTGGGAACCTAAAGGTACCTCACAATACGATAACGATTATATCACGATAACGATTATCGATGTATTGGTCAGCGATATACCTTATGCCAATATATGGCATACATAAAATAGAAAAATGTTAAGTGAAAAAATACACTTTATTTTATGAGAAATGGAATGGAGATGTGTAATGTAGCCATGTTTAAGTATTGATACAAATTTTTTTCAAAATCGATACTTGGCAAATGCATATTGATAATCGATCGCGGGAGAAAGTATCGCAATATATTGAAAAATCGATATATTGTCACACTCCTAGTGTACATGGAGTAAATACAGCAGTATGTGTGCATTTCAGGTACAAGTACACGTACATGGAGGAGATGCTGGGGAACGTGGCGGGCTGCCGGCAGGTGTTCGAGCGCTGGATGCATTGGGAGCCGGAGGAGCAGGCCTGGCACTCCTACATCAACTTTGAACTGAGGTACAAGGAGGTGGACCAGGCACGCACCATCTACGAACGATATATCCTTTACACCAGAAAACACCACAACCATGTGTGCTAGACCACCAGAGACACCACAACCATGTGTGCTAGACCACCAGAAACACCACAACCATGTGTGCAATATCACCAGAAACACCACAACCATGGGGGCTAGACGAGGACTAGAGAGAGGGAGAGAGGTCGGACCTCTCTGGTCTAAGGGACCAGAGAGGTCTGACAGAGGGAGGGAGAAATCGCAGCAGAACTCATGCCTATATGTGAATGTGGGTCTCCTGGTTCTCCTTGACTCCCTCACTCGTCATGGTGCACCCGGAGGTGAAGAACTGGGTGAAGTTTGCCAGGTTTGAGGAGCGTCACGGTTACATCGCCCACAGCAGGAGAGTCTACGAGAGAGCAGTGGAGTTCTATGGAGAGGACTATGTGGACGAGAACCTGTACGTGGCCTTCGCACGCTTCGAGGAGATGCAGAAGGAGGTGAGGAGGAGGAGGGGGGAAGAGAGGAGGATGTGAGGGGAGGAGAGGGCTGTGGAGGTCTCATCAGTAGCTGTCATGAGGATCCGCAGCTGTGTTTCTCTCTCCACAGTTCAAGCCTGTGACCTGAGGCTGTGTTTCTCTCTCCACAGTTGGAGCCTGTGACCTGAGGCTGTGTTTCTCTCTCCACAGTTGGAGCCTGTGACCTGAGGCTGTGTTTCTCTCTCCACAGTTGGAGCCTGTGACCTGAGGCTGTGTTTCTCTCTCCACAGTTGGAGCCTGTGACCTGAGGCTGTGTTTCTCTCTCCACAGTTCGAGCGTGTCAGGGTAATCTACAAATACGCTCTGGATCGGATCCCGAAGAGCCAAGCGCAGCAGCTGTTCAAGAGCTACACTGTGTTTGAGAAGAGGTTTGGAGACAGGAGGGGCATCGAGGAGGTGATCGTAAACAAGAGGAGGTTCCAGTACGAGGAGGAGGTCAAGGTGAGGAGGAGGAGGAGGAGGGGACAGAGAAAGGAGGAGGTGATTGTCAACAAAAGGAAGTTCCAGTACGAGGAGGAGGGAGGAGGGAACAGAGAGAGAGGAGGAGGTGATTGTCAACAAGAGGCGGTTCCAGTACAAGGCAGAGGTCAAGATGAGGAGGAGAGAGGAGTAGGGGGCAGAGAGAGAGGAGGAGGGGACGGAGAGAGAGGAAGAGATCAAGATGAGGAGGAGAGAGGAGTAGGGGGCAGAGAGAGAGGAGTAGGGGGCAGAGAGAGAGGAGTAGGGGGCAGAGAGAGAGGAGTAGGGGGCAGAGAGAGAGGAGTAGGGGGCAGAGAGAGAGGAGTAGGGGGCAGAGAGAGAGGAGTAGGGGACGGAGAGAGAGGAAGAGATCACGATGAGGAGGAGAGAGCCTTAGGGGGCAGAGAGAGAGAGGAGATATCAAGGTGAGGAGGAGGTGATCATCAACAAGAGGAGGCCTGTGTGAGTTAGCTCTAAATTCCCATGATGCTTTGCAGGCGAACCCGCACAACTACGATGCGTGGTTCGATTACCTGCGGCTCCTGGAGAGCGATGCGGATCCGGATGCGGTGCGCGACGTGTACGAGCGCGCTATCGCTAATGTTCCCCCGATCCCCGAGAAGAGGCACTGGAGGAGATACGTTTATCTGTGGATCAACTATGCTCTGTATGAGGAACTAGAGACTAAGGTGAGGCTAATACTACTGTACGATTAGCTAGAGACAAAAGTGAGGCTAATGCTACTGTACGATTAGCTAGAGACAAAAGTGAGGCTAATGCTACTGTACGATTAGCTAGAGACAAAGGTGAGGCTAATGCTACTGTACGATTAGCTAGAGACCAAGGTGAGGCTACTGCTAAGGTAAGGGTGAGGACTAACGCTAATGCTACTACTACATTGGGAAGGTGTCCACATGAGTCTGGTCTGCAGGGGGCATTGGGGCCATAACTGATGTTTTGCTTGTTCTCCTCGTGCAGGACGCAGAGCGGACGCGGCAGGTTTACCAGGCCTGCCTCGACCTCATGCCCCACAAGAAGGTGATCACTGTAACACACACACACGCTAACACTCTCACACTCACACACAGCTCTTCAAACGCATGTGTTATCCATATCTGACGCTCTAACACGCTTTAGAATGTCCTAGAGTGTCCTGACGGGCCCTGGAGTGTGGTTCTGTTCTAAAGGTGATTGTTTGGCTAGGGCAGCACGGTGGCTGAGTGGATAGCACTCTCGCCTCTCAGCAAGAAGGTCCTGGGTTCGAATCCCGGTCGGACCAGGGCCTTTCTGAGTGGAGTTTGCATGTTCTCCCTGTGTTTGCGTAGGTTTCCTCCGGGTACTCCGGTTTCCCCTACCGCTAAAAATATGTAAAATAGTTCTGGCATGCGCCTCGTGTACTGGCGACCCCGCTCCCATCTCTGTGTGGAGTGAGAGACAAGTGCCCAAAAAAATAACAATTGTAAACCTCTTTGAGACTCAGATCTGCAGTGAAAAGGCGGTATATAAATAATTACTTACTTCTGTCTCCAGTTCACGTTTGCAAAGATGTGGCTGCTCTTCGCTCAGTTTGAGATCAGACAGAGAAACCTGCAGGCGGCTCGCAAGATCATGGTGAGAGACCTGTGTGTATGTATGTGTGTGTGTGTGTGTGTGTGTGTGTGTGTGTGTGTATGTGTATGTATGTCGTGTGTGTCTTATTTGTGTTTGGGTGTGTCTGAGGGTGTGTATATATATATAGGGCACAGCGATTGGGAAGTGTCCTAAGAACAAGCTGCTGAAAGGTTACATCGAGCTGGAGCTGCAGCTCAGAGAGTTCGATCGCTGCAGAAAACTCTATGAGAAATACTTAGAGTTCACTCCTGAAAACGTCACCACGTGGATCAAGTTCTCTGAGCTGGAGTCTATCCTGGGGGACACCGAGAGGGCCAGGGCCATCTACGAGCTGGCTATAGGGCAGCCGCGGCTAGACATGCCAGAGGTACTACTGCTGCTGCTACTGATACTACTAAAACTACTGGTACTGCTGCTACTATTACTGCTTCTGTGTTTCAGGTTTTATGGAAGTCATACATTGACTTTGAGATCGAGCAGGAAGAGTTTGAAAACACCAGAAACCTGTACAAGAGACTTTTGCAGAGAACGCAACATGTGAAGGTAAAGGGGAGCTTTAGACCTGCTTTTAGACCTGCTTTTAGACCTGCTTTTAGACCTGCTTTTAGACCGGTATAAACGATTCTGGGTGGTTCCAGGTCTGGCTGAGCTTCTCTAAGTTCGAGCTGTCTGTGGACTCCTCTGAGCGCGTGCAGAGGAGCCGGCAAGTGTTTGAGGACGCGAACCGCAGCTTGAGAAATTGTGAGGAGAAGGAGGAGCGGCTGATGCTGCTGGAGGCCTGGAGGGACTTTGAGGAGCAGTTTGGATCTGAGCAGAACCAGGAGAGAGTCCACAAACTGCTGCCAGAGAAGGTGAAGAAGAGGAGGAAGGTCACAGCCGAGGACGGGGTGAGTGTGGGGGAAAGCCGCTTGACGCCGTTTGCAGCTTTAGTCTCTGTGTCGGGGGTTGTTTGGATTAAACCTGGTTCTCTGCAGTCGGAGGCGGGCTGGGAGGAATACTACGACTACATTTTCCCAGAAGACTCTGCCAACCAACCAAACCTCAAACTGCTCGCCATGGCCAAGATGTGGAAGAAGCAACAAGTGGTGGTGGAGGAGGAGGACCAGGAGGAGGACCAGGAGGAGGAGGAGCGAGAGGAGGAGCAGGCAGGAGAGGGGAGCAGGGCTGACAGCTCCAGTTCTGAGGGAGAGAAGTCTGTGGAACCAGAGGAGCAAGATGAGGAGACAGGAGTTAGGAGAGAGGAGGCAGGGGTGAGTAGAGAGGAGTCAGGGGTTAGTAGAGATGAGGCAGGGGTGAGTAGAGAGGAGGCAGGGGTGAGTAGAGAGGAGGCAGGAGTGAGTAGAGAGGAGGCAGGGGTTAGGAGAGAGGAGGCAGGACAGGAGCAGCAATTTGACGACCGGGACGACTCCGGCTCCAGCAGCAGTGATGAGGACTGAGACTATGGACTAAATGATAAATATTTGTACTGTTTTTTTTTTTTTTTTTTATATATAAAATTATGTTTAAATCCAGAGTTCCTGACATCTGTGACTGTGTTTAAAGCCCTAACCCTAACTTAGATCAATTATTATCATGTTTTTAATCTGATATATTCCAGTTCTATTGGCTTAAATCTGTGATCCTGCTGTTTACATTTGATCTCTTCCTATTCGGATATGGTCTTTGTAAATCCAGAAATGAGCCATATAAGGACTGATCACTGTTTAATTGACCAGTTTGCCTTAGCAACCGTCTTAGCAACACGTCTGTCCCTGTTAAGGCGCTATGGTAATCCTGCGGAACAAATGCCCATAAAAGGAAACTGTCTCCAGCTTGTGTTCAAATTGGCCTTTTCTGCCTTAAGACTAAGGCTGTGGTGATGTCACACGCTGTCACTCCTATTTTACGCTCTCTGTGGTTTCAGCGGATGTAAGTTCCAGTTCATCATCAAAGAGTATATTTAGCCAATTTCAGTTGATTAAGAGATTCTTTATTCGTCCCACAGTGGGGAAATTTCAGCGTTGCATCACAAATATAGAACAGTAGGAAAGAGGAGCACACGGCACAAGTTAAGTGAACAATAGCTATACTAATTATAATAAAACAAAAAGTGTAAAGGTTTTACATTTGGCATAAAAAAAATGTATATTATGAATAATGTGGGTCCCAGTATTGACCTCTGAGGAACCCCACGAGTCCGTACAGCTGTACAATGTCCCTCTTTGCCAGCCCTGACATTAGTGCCAAGAGTTGCTCCTAGTGGCCAAATTCCAAGAATATTTTTAGAATCTTGACGTTCTCTTAGAATTTCCCCTAAAAGTGAAGAGTAGATCCTAGTTAAGAAAACTATTCCTAAAGAATCCTAGCTCCTAACAGCTCCTAAGGTGAGATCTTTTAAGAGTAGAGAGGAGGAGGTTAGCGACTTAGAGTTCCCTAAGGGGGCAAAATAGTGGCCAGAAGAGGCAGGAGAGATATTATACAAACACTGGATGACAGTGAATTAGTGAAATGCTACAGATTGGATGGTGCAGAAATTCGCAGGATTTATTTAAAAGTCAACCATGTGACCAGCTTCTTATAGGCTCGTCCATTTTACCCTTGTCACACCAAAGTGAGTAGAAATGGTAAAAGTTGAAAGAGAAAAAATGACCAGCATGGCATGAATCCAGCTCAAAAAGGATTGGGAAAAAGTTGAAATTAAAATCCCACCCTTATTATTCTAAATTAACTTAAATGATGTGGCTGCTACAGCGTAGCTTAGTCTGTGGTATACTTACACTGTAAAAAACATGCATATTATTGTGTATGTTTATATTGTTTCCTTATTACCTTATACGTCTTTCAGTAACACAGCCTTTACTAATCATAACATCATCACCATACATCCATATATTATTCATATTTATAATTTTCTATCATTTATATTGTATAAGAATTTTAATAGGATGATTATGTAAGTATAACTTACTATTCACAGCATTTTTTTACATTCACATGTCTTTCATGCAGAATATTTACAATGAGTCTTCCATGATGAAGTTTGTCCATGAGAGGGTCCTTATTCTGCCCATTATCACCAAAAGTATGTTTTCTCCAACTTTTAGGATCAACCAATCACAGTGTCTGAAATTATGACGGGGTCGGGGTTGGCCACGCCTCCTCACTAAGATAGGAGCTTTCTTCATTCCTTGCTCAGAGTTCTCTGAGAATGTTCTGGAATAACTTTTAAAATAAGACTCCTAGCTAGGAGTTTTTAGGTTAAGTTAGGAGCTCTCTGAGAGGACTTTCAGAATCTTTAGGCATGCGCCCCTGATCTTTAGACCTGATACAGTCCTGGTTCAGAACAGTGGGAGAGGGCAACACTTAAGTTCATTGTCAGCTGGAATCAGATCAAACCTTTTTTTCACTGTTTGAACTGAGGAAAAGACACTTGTGTTTTTCATGTTTTATTGAGTTCTGCAGATCAGTCAGGTGTCCATGTGAAAAATGAGGTTCCCAGTATTGACCCCTGAGGAACCCCACATGTCCTCTGGGCGTGTGTGTGGTTGTTGTGTAGTGTCATTCGATGTCCTCTGGTCGGACAGGATGTGGCAGTGGGACAATGGACTTCTTGTCTGTGTCTCTGGACAGAGCTTTCCTCATGTCTGAAACAAACAGGACGAGTCTCAGTGTAAACACAATAATCCTAATCCAGACACATCAATCATATTCTTTGCAGATTATCAGACATATATCATGTACGACACATAGACAGACAGACACACACACACACACACACACACATACCATATGCGTCCTCGTCTGGTTCCCCGTTGCTCGCAGAGTAGTACTCGATGACAGTGCGGTACACGCTGTAGCCCAGACGCTTGTACATGTTTACTGCCACCTGATTGGACACTCGTACAAACAAGTCCACGAAGAACCCGCCTTTTCTGCAACAGGAAGTGCATCATCACAGTCTGTACACAGACGGACAGTGCGAACCCGCTAGCTCAATGAAGCTTAATAGGGAAGTACTCATGGTGAAGTTGGGCTCCTCTCTCTGGCTTCTATTGACTTCCATGTAAAAGTTAAACTCCTCAATCTCAGTAACCATTTTGGGCTTATATCTGGATTATTGCCCTCCGTGATCGTGCTGTTTTTATGTTATATTGTCTTTGTAAATCCAGATATGACCATATAAGGCTGACCTATATGACCTATAGACTGACCTATCAGAGGCCTTCATTCATGTGGGAACTCCAGCTTGTCTGAGCAACACGTCTGCTCCTTGAACAGATGCCCATATAACTGGTTCCAGCTTATGTTCAAATCAGCTTCTTCAGCATTAAGTCTAAGTCTAAGGGTAAGGCTGATGATCACCAGTGCATATCACTGTGGTGATATGCAGTTTATGCTACCGACAGAGGGAGCAGCATCTGCAGTCAGAGCACCCGGTAACTCCCCATGTTGCCACCAGAGGATGTGATTGCAAAGAGCGTAATTTTACATGAGAAAATCAACAAAACGTATTAAATGATGGGCAATATGAGTGTGATGTCATAGTGATATCACAGTGAATGATGTCATAAGCTGCGTTTCCATTGAGCATCAAATTTCGAAATTTGAATTTGCGCATCATAAAATGTCTAATGGAAACGCGCAAATTTCGAATAAACCACAGTTTTTCGATAAAAAGTTTATGCGCTTAAAATAGGTGGTTTTTTGGACGTATCGAAATTAAGTTTTTCGCAAAACGGCAATGGAAACACTTATTTCGATATAGCGGAGGAAGCCGAGCTGCTTTATTCAGTGAGTTTTGGCTGCGCTTCGTGTGGAGACTTGGGAGATACGTGGGAGAGGCATGGGGGAGAGACGGGGAGGAGACGGGGGAGGGGGAGACGGGGGACAGGGGGGAGACGGGGAAGAGACGGGGGAGGCGGGGGAGAGACGGGGGAGAGACGGGGGAGAGTCTGGCGACCCGCTATGGTCTGTGGTCGCGCGGTCCGCGCTCGTACATGACCACGGCGTTTGCGGAGCTGTCAAAGCAGCCACAGTTTCTCCCGGGGTCAGAGAGGATGAGAGCCGCAGCAGAAGTCAAGACATTAATATATCTCACGTAAATCAAAGTGTTGTTTACTTCTGTTGCCATGTTGACGTACTAGAAACTAGTGAATAAACGCGCAAAAATAGTGTATACTTATTCGAATATGTCTTAATGGAAACGGCCGCTTTTGCGAATTACAGGTTTTTCGAATTTTGAAATGTATCGAAAAAGTTTTTGCGCATTATTCAATGGAAACGCAGCTACTGTCAATTCAATATCAAACATGCATAGTAGATACAGCATAAAGAGAAAACACATTTTTCTTAACGTTATTATTCATGTTTCATAACAGTGATGTGATAGTGATGTCAGTGGTACAATGACAGGTACAGCATGGATGATTCTAAACACAGCCATAGGTCTCACCTCTCAGAGATCTCCTCTAACATGTCCATGAGCTGCGCCGCTAACCCCAACCTCCGGAACTCTGGAGCCACCGAGAGCGCAGTCACATGACCGTGCCACTCCTCCCTCGCCACTGAGCCCTCCGCCTTCCCCATTACTGAGAATAGAGAGTAAAGCTCAGGGACCTACCTTTAGTCTCATAAATAACACAAGGTTAAAGCTGGGGTCTGTAACTTTAGTCTAATAAATAACACATGTTTAAAGCTTTAAGACAGACTCACTATAGCCCATGAGTTCTCCTCCTGGTGCCTCTGCGACGATGAAGTACTCCGGCCAGTGAGCCAAGTACTGGAGGTAGAAGGGGATCCCATACTGAAACCAGGTCAAGGACTGAACCATCAGGTCTCCTTCTGTGTGTTTTTGGGCCACTTAACATTCTCTGATTATCATTATTATTAGAAATCCTTTTATTGTCTTCAGTTTTATCTTGGCTTGTACACAATTCAAAACAGCTTCAAGTTTGTTCATTATACAAATTCTAAAACAAGTGCATTTCTAAGGAATACAATTATCAAATCTATAAAAAACACATTTTAGTGGGTTTGAGGTCCCATTGATGACATGGTAAATTACAAAATATGTTTGATCAGTTTTGATGGAGAAATGGCTCTGGTTTCAAAGAAAACCCCACATTTAAAACACCAGCGCTGACTGCACTGCAAAAGACATAAAGGATACAGTCTCTGTCAGAGGATCCAGGTTACTGTGAGAAAAGCACATATAAGTTCATAACAGTTAAAACAGTATTATCAGACAGATGGAAACAAAACACGAACGGGAGATTGCATTAACCTTTTACTTTACTTCTAAACAGACCAATACACTAATCTCATGTGACTGTCCTCGTATCAAAAACACAGAAACAGGAATATTTTTTGTTTTGTGGTGTTAGCTTTGTGATGCTAGCATTAGCTCCGGAACTTTTTAGTTTTTTTGTGGAACTTTCAAGTTTCTAATCACAGTTTATAAAATGTGTAGAACACTGCAGCGAGGCGGAACTCACATGTTGTTGAATTTAAACAGATCATCGCAAGTGAACGGTCTTAACGTGGTCATGTTGTTAGCTTAGCCTGTTAGCCTCCTCCTCTGATGGAGAGCGGCTGCGTCCGAATTCAGCCTCCTTCCTTGTGTATTCTAATTGACTTTTTCATACGGAGCAGGTCCAGATTTAGTCAAGTGAAATGTAACGTTTAAATATGTTTTCGGTCAAATATACTGCCAAATGGTCTACAAAATAGTAGTAATCTTTATTAATAATCTTTTTTTATATACCGCCTTTTCAATGCAGATCTGAGTCTCAAAGCGGTTTACAATTTTTAATTATGGGCACTTGTCCTCTCACTCCACACAGAGATGGGAGCGGGGTCGCCAGTACAGGAGGCGCATGCCAGAACTATTGGACATATTTTTAGTGGTAGGGGAAACCGGAGTACCCGGAGGAAACCTACGCAGACACGGGGAGAACATGCAAACTCCACTCAGAAAGGCCCTGGTCCGACCAGGATTCGAACCCAGGACCTTCTTGCTGAGAGGCGAGAGTGCTATCCACTCAGCCACCGTGCCGCCCAAAATACATATGGAGATTTACGGAATCTGGTGATTCGGATGCAGATCTCTGGAACGACTGTTTTTTTAAATATTAGATTTTAAAGCCCGGGTATGTAACTTCATAAACATGTTTGAACAGAAAGTCAAAAGACATTGTACAAATCAAACACAACATGCCGTCTTCGTCTCATTAGATAACACATTATCATTTGAGTCAGGAAGGACCGTTATTTTAATAGATCCATGGGAAGAACCAGTGGGTGCGGGTCCCTATGTCTATGGGAAGAACACTCATCATCAAACTTTTATTACAGACTCATGGTCCAGGATAAGACAAATATAACATAAAAAGCCTCACTCCTCAGAGTAATAGGCTGTACCAGTGTCTCCACAGATCTGACTGGTACCGTGTGGCACTGAATTGGACATTTGTCAGGCTTATGACATAACATTCTGGCTTTCATTGAGCCGACAAATAAAACTGTACCTCAGACAGAAATGTCCTGATTCCAGCTGACACAAAGTACTTGCACTTTCCCATCGTGGCCTTTTCAATAAAATCCTCAAGCAGTCATTGTATGCCACATTGAGTTTGGGGATGGTTGCTTTTTTGTATTTAGTCCATAAATGTGCCGTGTAATATAATACAGTCTATGGTATAATGACGTACAGTATGCTTTAAAAAGTGTCTTTTTCACCTGCGCTGTACTGGCACCAAACCTGCGCACGAGCATGTTCGTCTGAGCGTACATCATACAACATTGCCTGAGAATGTCCTCATCATCAGACAAGTTCTCACAAATAAAAAAGCATTTATATTTGGAACATACAATTAGTTCAACACCACACAATCTAATAATAAATTAAATTGAGGAAAGTTTACATTTACATCATCTTTAGTTCTACATAACATTTTCATTCTTTTGCTTGCATTATACCTTACATGAAAATCTACACCATACTTAGAGCAGACATTGAGAAGGTCCTGTAGACCTGCACTACTTGGGCTGAATACAGCAAGGTCATCCGCATACATCAGATGATTCACTTGGATTAGCCCAATCAAACAGTCTGTTTATTCTCATTTAGCTCTATGGACAGAGCTAAATGAGAATAAAACAGGAGACAGAATTCCTCCCTGCCGGACACCATTACTGACAGAGAATGGACCCGACATGGATCTACCCCATCTCACCTGCATTACCTGATGGGCAAACCAGTATGCTAAAACTCTCCCAATATAACGAGGCACCCTCTCTTGTTCAGCTTTGAGAATAATTTCCAGTGATTTACCCATGCATCTAAAGCATTTGGCTTTAGATGCATCGATAAAACACAGAAAAACAGATGAATTTTTACTTTTCCATCCATTCATCCATTTTCTTCCCCTTAATCCATTTCTGGGTCGGGGGGTGGCCAGAGATGCCACCCAGTTCACAGAGCACCAGCCCCTCACTGATCCTCCTGCAGGTGGTGAGTCCACAGGAGCTGAGATCTTTCAGTGGGAGCTTCAGGCAAAGTGGGGTTAAGTGTCTTGCCTAAGGACACAACGACAGCAGTCATCAGTGGGAGTAATGAAGTAGGTCTTACTTTTTACTTTTTTCACAACTCTCCTCTCCACAGATGTGACGTGTAACGTCAAATCTATTCATATGGAAAGTTCAATGCAGCACACTTCAAAGACGCTCACTATATTACACATCTGTGTAACACATACATGTAACGCATTTGTCATCACTGTGGTTTAGTTTTAGTTCGTTTTGGCTGCGGTTCAGAATCACAGGGATGTTCATCGTCATCATCATCATCATCATCATCATCATCGTCGTCATCATCTTCTTCATCCTCGTCTCCTCTGCACAGCTCTGAAAAACACAACACAATCACTTTGATCTTTCAGTCAAACTAAAGAGAAACCAGAGAGAGTTAGTACATTCGGCAGCGCAGTGATATAAGCCTGCTGCTACGATTACTCTGGGCGCCCCCCTTTGAGTTGAAGTTAAATATTAGTTATTTTGTGAAACGAGAAGAATCCAAGAGCAGAATACGTTAGATTTTAACTTAACTATTGAATTTCAAACATTCACCTGTTGCGCATGCGCTTTGACTTTGCTCCTGCTGCACGAGTTCTGTGAGTAAACATGAGACGCATTTGGAGAGCTCGCGGAGCGCTGAGACCAGAGCTGGGATGCCCGGGTTCTGGAGGGCCCCAGTCCCGGTCTCGATTCCAGTCCTGGTCTGTGTCTGTACGGTTCGCTTCTCTCCGTCTCTGAGCTTCAGCTCAGCACGCAGCACCACCGCCATGTTGGCTAATCTGGTCACGTGACTCATCAAACATATATCATTTAAATATATTTAATTATATATAAATCAGAGCAGTTTTCGGCAGATGCTTATATCTTCTGAAGAATAATATGTTTTTTAAAATACCAGAACAGAATAAAACCATACATTATTAAAGCGTTTACGATTTCCTGTACTGAAGGAAGTAAACAGGAAGTTGACATTAGCTAACACCACGGCTAATTGTGGATCCGTGTGTTTCAGTTGTTTTGTGGTGCGCGGGTTTCTCCACCGCGTCACGGAGCTGAGTCGAACCGGGACCGACACACTGACCCGGAGCACCCGCGGGAGTCCCGCTGACAGCCGTTGTTTGATCCACAGAGTTCCAGCCGCGGGATCTACATTAGAGAGACGGTAACGGTGATAACGGTTATAAGCAGATAATTATAATAATAATAATGATAGTAATAATAAGGCAGGTCCAGAGAAGCACTAAAGGGGGACTAAAGGAGGACTAAAGGAGGACTAAAACAGGTCTAAAGGAGGACTAATGTAGTTAGGTCTTATGCAGAACTTAAAAAGGACATTTGTAGCTAATTAGAGAGTGTATTGTAGACCGTTATCAGAATTGGGACATGTGTAAGAACCTCTTGGGATGGTCTTATCTTGGGTCGGTCAGGTTGTAGTCTGTGGTCTGGTCTTAGGTCAGGTCTTGGTCCTGGTCCTGGTCTTACCTCGGTCTTCACAGATGGAGGAGGAGGAGGCAGTGGTTTCCCTTGTGGATGTCCTGCAGGAAGATGAAGAGCTGGAAGAAGAGGCCAGTGCAGTGTTAGCAGCAAGTGACGCTGACCACTGTTCATACAGCCAGGTATCTGACCTCTGACCCCTGCTCCTACAGCCAGGTATCTGACCTCTGACCCCTGCTCCTACAGCCAGGTATCTGACCTCTGACCCCTGCTCCTACAGCCAGGCATCTGACCTCTGACTCCTGCTCCTACAGCCACGTACCTGACCTCTGACCCCTGCTCCTACAGCCAGGTACCTGACCTCTGGCCCCTGCTCCTACAGCCAGGCATCTGACCTCTGACTCCTGCTCCTACAGCCACGTACCTGACCTCTGACCCCTGCTCCTACAGCCAGGTACCTGACCTCTGACCCCTGCTCCTACAGCCAGGTACCTGACCTCTGGCCCCTGCTCCTACAGCCAGCTACCTGACCTCTAACCCCTGCTCCTACAGCTAAGTATCTGACCTCTGACCCTACAGCCAGGTACTTGACCTCTGACCCTACAGCCAGTAGCTGACCTATGATCCCTGTGTGGTTGCCAGGGTTACGTGAAGCGCCAGGCCCTGTATGCGTGTGGGACATGCTGTCCTTCAGGGGGCGCTGCAGCAGGAGTGTGTTTGGCCTGTTCTTACAAATGTCACGAAGGACACCAGTTGTACGAGCTCTACACCAAGAGGTGAGACACCAGCTGTACACCAGGTGAGACAGCAGCTGTGCATTATGTGAGACACCAGCTGTACACCAGGTGAGACACCTCTGCTCCATATACACATTATGTTAAAAAAAAATATTTTTCAGGAACTTTCGCTGCGACTGTGGAAACTCCAAGTTTAAGGACTTTTCCTGCAAACTGAACCCTGTGAGTACTAATGCTAATGCTAATACTAATGCTAATACTATTGTTAATACTAATGCTGATGCTAATACTGATGCTAATACTACTGGTAATACTAATGCTAATACTATTGTTAATACTAATGCTGATGCTAATACTGATGCTAATACTACTGGTAATACTAATGCTAATGCTAATACTACTGGTAAAACTTATACTACTGCTAATGCTAAAACTACTGCTACGACTACTACTACTGGTACTGCTCTGCACTGCATTTCCCATCATCCTCTGTTTCAGGACAAACAGGAAGTGAACTCTGCCAACAAATACAGCCACAACTTCTATGGACTTTACTGCACCTGCAGCCGACCGTATCCAGACCCAGAGGACCAGGTGAGAGGGGGACCACGTGAGAGGGGCACCTGGTGAGAGGGACACCTGGTGAGAGGGACACCTGGTGAGAGGGGCACCAGGTGAGAGGGGCACCAGGTGAGAGGGGCACCAGGTGAGAGGAGCACCAGGTGAGAGGGGCACCAGGTGAGAGGGGCACCAGGTGAGAGGGACACCTGGTGAGAGGGACACCTGGTGAGAGGGACACCTGGTGAGAGGGACACCTGGTGAGAGGGGCACCAGGTGAGAGGGGCACCAGGTGAGAGGGGCACCAGGTGAGACCTGGTGGGGCACCAGGTGAGCGCGGCACCAGGTGAGCGGGGCACCAGGTGAGAGTGGGACCAGAGACCTGTTTTGATCGCTGTCCCTGTTGCAGGTTGAAGACCAGATGATCCAGTGTGTACTGTGTGAAGACTGGCTTCATGGACGGGTGAGTTTAGACTGGCGTGTAAAGACTGGCGTGTGGAGACTGGCGTGTGGGGACTGGCGTGTGGGGACTGGCGTGTGGAGACTGGCGTGTGGGGACTGGCGTGTGGAGACTGGGTGTGGAGACTGGCGTGTGGGGACTGGCGTGTGGGGACTGGCGTGTGGAGACTGGCGTGTGGGGACTGGCGTGTGGAGACTGGCGTGTGGAGACTGGCGTGTGGGGACTGCCGTGTGGGGACTGGCGTGTGGAGACTAGCGTGTGGAGACTGGCGTGTAGAGACTGGCGTGTAGAGACTGGCGTGTAGAGACTGGCGTGTGGGGACTGGCGTGTGGAGACTGGCGTGTGGAGACTGGCGTGTGGAGACTGGCGTGTGGAGACTGGCGTGTGGAGACTGGCGTGTGGAGACTGGCGTGTGGGGACTGGCGTGTGGGGACTGGCGTGTGGGGACTGGCGTGTGGGACTGGCGTGTGGAGACTGGCGTGTGAGACTGGCGTGTGGAGACTGGCGTGTGAGACTGGCGTGTGGAGACTGGCGTGTGGGGACTGGCGTGTGGAGACTGGCGTGTGGAGACTGGCGTGTGGAGACTGGCATGTGGAGACTGGCGTGTGGAGACTGGCGTGTGGAGACTGGCGTGTGGAGACTGGCGTGTGGAGACGTGTACAGATGCAGTTCTGTCTTTTAGCACTTGGGGGCACCGGTCCCAGAGTCTGTGGAGATCCACGAGATGATCTGTGAGTCCTGCATGAATCAGAACCTGTTCCTCTGGACCTACGCCAACCACTACGCAGGCAAGTCCTGTCCTGTCCTAGTCCTGTCCTGGTCCAGTCCTGGTTTCATTGTACTCTCTTGTCTTTACTTTCAGAATATGAAATTAAATCTGATCCGGATCAGACAGAGGATCCAGAGGAGGTGAGTTTGAATATTTGGTATTTATTTGAATGGAACAGTGTGTAATCCACAAAACTGTTAAATAATTTTGGAAATCACAACTATTATTAGTATTATTAGAGCTTCATGGATGTGGGGGCGGGGCATGTGTCTCAGGTCGGGGGTTCACACTTTCTGTTTCCTGTTTTTTTTTCAGGACTCTGAGGACACTGAGCCTAGAGGCAAACGAGCTCGCTGTGACGGGGCGGAGCTGAAAGAGGAGGAGCCCAAAGGGGCGGAGCTTAAACAGGAGGAGGCCAAAGGGGTAGAGCTTAAACAGGAGAAGCCAAAAGGAGCAGAGCTTAAACAGGAAGTGTCTGAAGGGGCGGGGCTTAAACAGGAGGATCCTAAAGGGCCGTGTCGACTGAAGAAGCTGCAGGTGATTGGACAGAGCAGGCGCCAATCAGGAGCCACATTCTGGCCCTCGGGCTGGAGGTCCCGCCTCTGCACATGCTCAGACTGTCAGGTAACGATGACCACACACTGATTCATGAACACATGAATCCTGACTCTATTCATGCGTTCACAGAAGCTGCTGTCGGAGGCGGGAGCTCTCTTCCTATTGGACGAAGGAGACACGGTTCTGGCCTATGAGACGAAGGGGAGGAGTCTAGAACGGACCAATCAGAGCACAGACCCTCTAATGTCGGCACTAGACCGACTGAACCGAGTCCAACAGCTGGAACTGATCCATGGTAAGTCCTGGTCTTGGACCTGGTCCTACCACCTGCTGGTGAAAGCCAGATCCCTCACACCTCTTGAAGCTCAGCAAGGCAAGGCCTAGTTAGTACTGTGATGGGAGGCCTCTGGAAACACCAGATTCAGGTTCAACAACATTAAAAGTACAGAAATTAAACAAATAAAACAGTAAACAATTGTCACTGTGAAATCGATCGACTAAAACAGTTTCAAGCCCAATTATATCACCAGGTGATACAGTTGGGCAGCTGTGGCTGTAAAGCGCCAAACTGTGGCAATTGAGTCTGGTGTGAGTTTGAATGGTTGGCGGTGGTGGGAGGGGCCAATAGCACAGACTGGTTTCCTCGCTTCTGTCAATGTCCCCCAGGGCAGCTGTGGCCACAGTGGTAGTTTGGAGTGAATGAATAATTCTGTGAGGAGACTTTAGCGTCCAGAAAAGCGCTGTATTAAACTGATGCATTATTATTATTATTATTTTAGGATACAACGACCTGAAGACAGAGCTGAAGGATTTCCTCCAGACCTTCGCCTCCGAGGGAAAGGTTAGTGACATCACCTTGACGCACCTGGTCCATGTGACATCACCTGACACACCTGGTCCCTGCTGCAGGTCGTGACCCCTGACGACATCAGACAATTCTTCGAGCAACAACAGAACCGCAAACGACGACGAGCAAATGTTCAGATTTGAAACTCCTCAAGACGCCCTCACCTGGTCCAACTCTGACCCCTGACCCCACCCCCAAACCCCTGACCTCAAGCCAACCGTCTGTGACAAGTGAAATGTGATTGTTCTTTTTTAATAAAACAGTAAAGTTTTTGTCCCAGTGTGGAGTCAGTATGTTTTTGTGTGTGGAGTTCTGTTAGTATTAGATAGCAATATGGCCTACGTGCAGGACTCTACAAGGACTCTGATTATTTTGACTATGATGTGACTGTCTCTGTGTGAAACGTACGTCTTTCCATGTGTGACGTGACAATGACTATATAAACTGCACTGAGTGGATAGCTCTCTCGCCTCTCAGCAAGAAGGTCCTGGGTTCGAATCCCGGATGGACCAGGGCCTTTCTGAGTGGAGTTTGCGTGTTCTCCCCGTGTCTGCGTAGGTTTCCTCCGGGTGCTCCGGTTTCCCCTACCACTAAAAATATGTACAATAGGTCTGACATGTGCCTCCTGTACTGGCACCCCCACTCCCAAAAATAACAATTGTAAACCGCTTTGAGACTCCGATGTGCAGTGAAATGGCGGTATATAAATAAAGATTACTACTACTACTGACTCCATTCTGTCTGAGAGAAGGAAACAGAGTAAACCACTGGAACTTGAGAGAAACTTAAATAAACGTCCAGAGTTTGGCGCACCACGATTCGTCCCTGTCTGCTTCATCCCTGACAGATTTGGTGGAGGATGCACGGCTCAGTGTGTGCCATTCTCAGGATTGTTTTGAGGGAGTTTCCCTTGTTTTCTTTTTCTCGGCGTGAGAGAGCTGAGCGTATCGGGGGCCTGGGAGCGGTCCAGCAGGCTGGAGAGGCGACCGGCTCCGGGACTTTTTCTTTTTTGTGTCCTGTTTTTTGGACTGACTAAGCGTTTAAAATTGTTTTCCCATGTCCACATTCCGGGAATTTCTGACTTGTGATTGGTCTCTGCCGATGGAAACTAGTTCCCGGTACTAGTGAGCGCTGGTTCATGATCTAGAGACCCGGTTGGACGTGGAAAAGCTGATATTTGGACTTCTGACGGTGCCTGGCGCCCTGTTCGACAAAAGGTAAGAGCGGACACCTGTTTATTCAAAGTCTGCTAATTGAGTGAACTAAATTATGGTCTGTTTTGAGGTCCACCAAATGTCATATATCTATAGATCAGATTAGAATAAAAACAGGTTCGCTACCTGATAAGTGTTGGCCACAAGTGAAGGATCCATAAGTGTAAAGGCCATAAAGTGAAGGATCCTTAGTGAAACCATGGTGTAAACATAAAAGCAAAATGACTATAAGGTTGTGTTCCAGGACCAAGGGCACACACTGTACAGGGGCCACTGGACTGCGGGAGTGGACACTGAGAGCTCAGACCACAGGAGCCCAGCAACGCCCAACCAGGCACAGGTCACAGATCAAAGAGCAAAGGAAAATGCCACCTCCTTGCCCCTCCCCACGCCACTCCAGAACTGAGTGGGTGTGAGAGAGAGCGGGGTAGAGAGAGGTGTCTGGAGACGTGATGGTGGAGCATCAGGGAGAGACCTGGAGGAGAGTTGAGAGTGTGTCCAGTTGGTTTACATCACCACAGTGTGACCTTTGACACCTACAGGTGGTTCGAGGAGTCTGGAGACACAACCCCAAAATTCACACCACACACACACACACACACACACACACACACACACACACACACACACACACATTAACATTTACATATAGATACATGAAAAAGCAGAACATGAGAAAAAAGCATTTTAAAAGTTTACTCCAATGTAAACCAATATTTTTAATTGTCTATCACTTGAGTCTTTATTTGAAACAGTATTTTTTGAGACTAGAAATGTTCATTTGAATTCTATATTGTCATGGACTTAATTGACGTCTGTCCTGACACTTTTTATGTTTTGATTTTGTACTGTGTGAAGTAATTACATTGATTAGGATTAGATCTGATAAAAACACAAATTAGAGAAGTAAACTGAATCATTGCGCTTGCTTTTGTCTGAGGGACATTAGCAACAGCATGAATAGAAATTGTCTTTAAAGTAGAATCAAAATGACTTAACCATAGAAATCAACTACTGCATAACAAGCTGTGTACAGGAACTGTGACACTGCACCATTGACCAGAAGTGCATCGCAAAGAGCAACCCAAGTGACCTGAGTACATCTGGAGAGACCAAAACCATGGCTTGGACCCTGAAGAAGATGACAAAGTCTGGGATCGCGTCTTAAATTCAGACAGAAGACATGTTTTATTGTCGATGGTAGAGACAGCACGAACAACACGAACACAGAATGCAAGTGTATTATACAGAGCGGAGGCATGGAGACCTCCAATCAGCAGCTGCCACAGTGCCATGTAGCTTGGCCTTCAGATAGACAAAACAAGGGAAAAGTACTGGCTTCTGCACATTGATGAATGATGAGTTTAACTTTAACAAAAGTTGCTTCAAAGTGTTATGAAATCTCACAACCCTACTGATGTCCAAGATGACATCTCTCGAAATATGACCTGACCTGATGACGACTGAGACTCACCCTCAGGGGACCTTGAGGACCTGAGGACCTGAGGATCTGAGAGAAAAAACTGGGGAGTGATGTTTATATTTCTAAAATCATACATTGATGAGTGCTAAATGAGAGATAATCATGATTCTTTTGTTTTTGTTGTCCCTAGCTTCTGGACATATGATCTATTGGACACAGACATTTGCAGAACAAGAACCAGCCAATGAAAACGTTTATTGCCGATGCTATTGCTACAACCAGAACCACAACTGTGACAAATGCAACACATGTAAAGTATTCAGACATCTGACAGACAAAAACTTTGACTTTTTAGTCTGGGAGACTGAGCAACTGTTAAAATGTTTTAAAATGATAAAGTATGAGTATTGCAGCGTTTTATTAGATGTTAAATAGTAGTAAAAAAGTAGAATTTTCCTTTGTTTATAAACACATTTCCACATAAGAGTTAAAATAGTACCATACAATGTTATCCTTTTGATAGAAGCTAAAATATTAGAATCAGAATCATGTTACAGCCATCAAAAGTGACAGAAGTCACAAATTAGAAATATGCCTTGGCTCAAGCTGCAACCGAGCTTTGGAGTCAAAAACTAGAGAAATAGAATTAAATAAATGCATCAACCATAGATGCTTTCAAAAATAGAGATTATTTGTAGCCAGTGCTAATATCAAACGGTAAAAGGAGCATTTCCTTCAAAATATGTTCACAAGCATTTACTTCAAAAGTAGATAGTTAGTTTTATTAGATACTTGCCAAATTAACTTGTGTTCAAACATCTGTGAATGTTGACAATACAAAAGTTCATGAGTGTAGCCTCGACTAATGTAGCTTAGATTAATGAGATAGATTGGAACCAAGAGAGATTCAAAAGCATTTTGATGTATAGCACAGACACCATTGTAGAATAACTGACCCCAAACCTGCTAAAACAGATTAGCTCTTGTAAGGATAATACTAATTTGATTAAAGATGTACATGTCACAAATGTGAGGTTCTTTGATCAGCTTGATAAAACCCACTGCTGAATGACGACACAGTCTTGATCGGATAAGATTTATTTACAGAGAATAAATAAGGTTAAAAAAAGCCGGGCCTTATGGATTAAAAATCTGTACTAAAAAATCTAAAACCCCAGAGCCTTCGTCTCCCGGATTGTACTGTCCCGGGCCAGCTGTCCTTCCGGTAGTGTGCGTCCGCTCTCCCACGCCTCTGATCCTGCAGTCCCCAGGCCGTTGCGCATCTGTGGCCTGTGTCCCGCTGTGGAGAGGACCGGGGATTACACGCTGTCCAACACTGTTTAAAGTGCTCAGATCGTAGTGTGAGGATTCGTATACGTCCCTTTACTTATCTCATTCCCAGCGTTGTATGCCGCCTTGGCTCCGCTGGTCCCGCTGCTTTGGCCCGCCGCTTAGCCTCTCCAGAAGAGGGAAAAAGGGGGGAGGGAAAAAGGAGGAGGAGGAGGGAGGAGGAGGAGGAGGGGGGGGGGGGGGGGTAGGGCATATTTGGCTCAATAAAAGCAAATATGCAAACATATTTGTAAATAGATTAGAATAGTCTTAAACTACAGTGATTAGTAAAAGTAAAGTACACAGTACACATTAAAAAGTGAAAATAATACAGTGAAATAAGTGAAGTGTAAACAATTATCATTAGAATAAAAGTAGAGTAAGAAAAGTGAAATTAGCTTCTAATTTGAGACTCAGTTCGTTTTTGTCTGTGTTTTGACTGAATCTGCGGAGTTCTACTGTGTCCAATAGTTTGTTTGTTTTTATTTTTGTTTGTTTTTGTTTTTTGTTTATTTATTTACTTTTTTATTTTTTTTCCAGGATAGAGGGTAAAATCCACTGATATTGATTTGATGATTATGAGTTTAATGCATATATTTTCTTTGTTTTTAAATATTTTTTTAAAGTTTTTTATTTAGATTATTTTTATTTTTTTCTCACTTTATTGATTGATCAAATTGAGTGATCACATGTGATTATGTGATCAAAGGGGTGAGTGTTAGTATTAGATAGCACTATGGCCATACGTGCAGGACTGTACAAGGTCTATTATTTTGACTATGATGTGACTGTCTCTGTGTGACACGTCTTTCCATGTGTGACGTGACAATGACTATATAAACTGTGTATTGCCTTTATTCTGTCTGAGAGAAAGAAACAAAGGAAACCACTGGAACTTGAGAGAAACTTAAATAAACTTCCAGAGTTTGGCGCACCACGATCCGTCTCTGTCTGCTTCATCCCTGACAGTTCTCTTGCTCTCTTTGTGTCTGTGTAGGTTTCCTCCAGGTGCTCCGTTTTCCCCTACCACCAAAGACAGGTACACTAAGTCTGAATGTAATGAGTGAATGGATGGTGACCTTTGGGTGACCTCGGTCTGTAAAATGCGCTATATAAATAAACCCGACTCACTGTGTGTGGTCTGAGTCTAAATACTGTGTTCCCATGTGTGTACATACCATAGACTGTATACACTCCACAGATCTGTTAGATACCAGAGGTGGCGCCACACAGTGGCGGAGGAACAGGAGCACCTCCAACACTATATTATATTATTATAAATATAAGATGAATATAAATGTATATTTGGTGAAAGAACAGTGAGCACATAATACAACCTCAGATATGTGCAGTAATTGGTTAATCTACACAGAGCCTCTCGCTGTGATGTCATGGGGTCATGTGACGGACAGGTGTCTCAGGTGAAGCCCCGCCCCCTTCTCTGGTTTCATCCACTGAGGGTTTCATTTTATTCCACTGTTCAAGAACAGAAGAAAGGACCAGGCTCAAGAGCACAATGGAAGGTTAGTCCTGCTTTAGTCCAACTTTAGTCCTGGGTTAGACCTGCTTTAGACCTGCTTTAGTCCAGCTTTAGTCCAGCTTTAGTCCTGGGTTAGACCTGCTTTAGACCTGCTTTAGTCCTGTTTGTTTTTCAGATTCAAACATTACAAAAGTGAAACAGAGATTCAGGCTCCGAAACAAAGACAAGAGACATGAGGCCAGGTCTAAACCAACTCCAGACCCGGCCCCTAGTCCAGACCCAGTCCAGTCGGCCCCTGGTCCAGACTCTCTCTGGTCTCCGGTCTCTGGGTCTGGCTTTAGTCCGTCGAGAGCGGCAGATGATGATGTCCGGACTGTGTGAACAGGACCAGGACCAGCTGCACTCAGACCTGGAGAAACTGTGGGTCCAGATCCAGATCCAAGTCCATGGGATCTTCAGACCAGACTTCAGACCAGGTACAAAGTGTGAGACCAGACCAGACCAGTGACAGGACCAGTTTCTCTTACACTTGACAAAATGTTTGTGTAGTGTTAGTCCTGGTCCAGACCTGTTTCAGACCTGGATTTGTTCTCCTCCAGACATGCTCCGCGAGGCTGTACACTGCATCTTGGACCAGGAGGATTTGGACCGATCCTGGTTGGACTACCCTGCAGAGCTGGTCCCAGTGTGGAGACCAAGTCGCACTTTACACCGACACAACAGACTCCTGGAGAGGCTGGTTCAGTCCAGACTTAGACCAGAGACACAGACTGAACCAAAGACCACGACTGAGACCGGACCAGAGACCGGATTGTCCTCGTGTGTCAAACAGGAGGTGAGACATCTAGAGAACTTAGTCCCAACAACAGCATGTTTTATCTCTCTCTCTGGTCTCTCTCTCTCTGGTCTCTCTCGGATCTCTCTCTTTCTCTGGTCTCTCTCTCTCTGATCTCTCTCTTTCTCTGGTCTCTCTCTCTGGTCTCTCTCTGGTCTCTCTCTCTCTGATCTCTCTCTTTCTCTGGTCTCTCTCTAGTCTCTCTCTGGTCTTTCTCTGGTTTCTCTCTCTGGTCTTTCTGGTTTCTCTCTGGTCTCTCTCGCTGGTCTCTCTGGTCTCCCTCTCTGGTTTCTCTCTCTGGCCTCTCTCGCTGGTCTCTCTCTGGTCCGACATAAGTCTTCTGCTTTCAGTTGCTGAGATTGGCCCGTCTCCTCCTCTCAGACCTGCTTTTCGTTTCGCGCACTCTGATTGGCTCCTACCCAGGTCACATGGACATTTTGAACCACTTCCTGAAGCTTTACCACAACAGTTTCAGACTCCGCCTCCATGAGCTCGCTGACGCCTCATTGGAGGGCGACCGTGCCTACCTGCTGCTTTGGACCAATCACAGCTACCGACAGTGAGTACGCTACAGTCTGACCTCAGACCAGCAAGGAACTGTGTGCCTCATCACCCGATTACCCTTCTCTGGTCTTTCTCTCTGGTCTCTCTCTCTCTGGTTTCTCTCCCTCCAGTCTATCTCTCTGGTCTCTCTTTCTCTGGTTTTTCTCTATCTGGTCTCCCTAGTCTATCTCTGGTCTCTCTTTCTCTGGTTTCTCACTCTCCGGTCCCTCTCTCTCTGGTCTCTCTCTGGTCTCTCTCTGGTCTTTCTCTGTACTGTAAGATCTGGTATTTGTGGTTAAGTGTGTGTCTGCCTGTGTGTGTGTGTGTGTGTGTGTTTGTCTGTGTGTGTATATCTTACTTTGTGTGTTGATTCCTTGTGTTCTTTCAGAGAAGTGCTTCTTCATCCTGAGCTCAGACACAGACTGGACTCAGATCTTGGTCCTTTACTGAGTCCTGTGGTTCTGACCAATCTGAGGGACCAGCACCAGGTCCAAGTTCGGGTACCAGATCAGAGATCAGATCAGCGATCAGATCAGCGATCAAAGCAGAGACCGGACGACCAGAGACCGGACGACCATAGACCGGACGACCGGACGACCAGAGACCGGACGACCAGAGACCGGACGACCAGAGACCGGACGACCGGGCGACCAGAGACCGGACGACCAGAGACCGGACGACCGGACGACCAGAGACCGGACGACCAAAGACCGGACGACCGGACGGCCAGAGACCGGACGACCAGAGACCGGACGACCGGACGACCAGAGACCGGACGACCAGAGACCGGACGACCAGAGACCGGACGACCGGAGACCGGACGACCAGAGACCGGACGACTAGAGACCGAACGACCAGAGACCGGACGACCAGAGACCGGACGACCAGAGACCGGACGACCAGAGACCGGACGACCAGAGACCGGACGACCAGAGACCGGACGACCAGAGACCGGAAGACCAGAGACCAGACCAGGTCTCAGGTTCCCCAGTTGATTTTATCTGTGTGTGTGTGTGTGTGTGTGTGTGTGTGTGTGTGTGTGTGTGTGTGTGTGTGTGTGTGTGTGTGTGTGTGTGTGTGTGTGTGTGTGTGTGTGTGTGTGTGTGTCTGTGTGTGTAGCAGCGTGTGGGTTACATCCTCCTCCAGGAGCAGAGGAGCTGGAGGTCAGAGAGGTCAGAGGTCATTGACGGCTTCTGCTTCAGTCCTCTGGCTCTGGAGGTGATCCAGGTACACACTATACGCACACACACACACACACACACACATAGTCTGTCTCTATAGAACACTTCCCCCTGAAAGAAAACAGCGCTGGCCTGAACATCTAGCTGAACTTGTTTATGCTTACAATGTGACTCCACACTCGTCAACTCGTTACTCTCCCCATTATATGCTGTTTGGAGTTCAACCCCATCTTCCAATTGACGCACTGCTCGGGCAGGAAGAGGAGAAGGAAGAAAGTAAACATACTGACTGGCTCAGAATCCACAAAGAGCGACTTCAGAATGCACATGACCGAGCAAGAGAGTTTGCAAAAAGAAAAGCAGCAGAAAGAATGGCCCGCCAGAATGCAAAAGTTTACTGTCCATCTGTTGAAATTGGGCAATGTGTGTATCTGCGTCATCGTCCAATTGGCAGAAATAAGATTCAGGATGCGTGGTCATCAAAAGTATATAAAGTAATTGATATACAAGGCACGACACACACAGTTGTTCCTGTGAATGGAGGTCCATTAAGGAGAGTGCATAGGTCCAACCTCCGTCTTTGTGTAGGCCCTGTACCACCTCCAAGGCAAGAGACTCGCTGAAACTGATATAGACTCCGAAACTGAAACCAGTGACATTGACCCTGAATACATGATGGTAGAAAGACTCAATAAGCCAGATACCTGCAGAGACCAAACTGGAAGTGAGCAACTGTTGGAGAGTAACATAAATAACATTCCCAAGGATGTTTTACCTTGCTCCGAGCTGGAGGAACGGCCAGTACCAGCTCCCCGACAGAGGGTAGATCTAGCCCAAAAGATCATGCCTAGGCCTTCTCCACGAAGGAGTACTAGAAAAACAGCTGGACAGAACAGGAATCCATTTAACTTACCTGTGAGTGCTTGTAATAACACAGTGTCTTTCACGCCAGATGTACTGTCTCAGTTGTTAGTTGGTATGGTTCTGTACACCTCAGAAACAAAGGTTGATTTTTAGAAAGTCACCGAGACGTTGACTTCAGGCAGGGGAGAATGTAGCCGGGTCAAATAATAATAGGACGAACGGCAGATACTGTCCCCGGTTTGGCCAGTAGAGGGTGCTGTTACAGCGCGTGTGGTTGGGAGGTGTCAGGTGCTGCACGTGAGACGTTACCCTGGCAACTCCTTCAGAGACGTTGGATGGTGCGCTGGCAAGTTGTGGCACCAAAAACGGTAAATAGAGATAACAAAAAAGGATTTAATGATAAAATTATCTTTTTGTATATCTACTGCATTATATCTGATGATTTCTGCTCTATATATCTGTAGATCTGGTGTTGGTAGAAGGCATACATACGTAACACTGTCAGACCTGCGTGTATAAAGCCGTTGGTCAACGTTTTGGCGTGAGTTGACAGATCACTATGTTAGTTACATGTTTAAGGTTTATTTTAAATGGTTATTCATGAAATGTACTCACTATTTGCTTTATGCAGAGGGGAGAAAGACCACTGTTATATTCTCAGTTGTTCTGGATTTGGTTTGAGCTGTGTTCCTACCAGACTGAAAGTGAGTGCAGATTGTTAACTGATATTTCCATTTCCATTCTATAAATGAACATTTTACATGTATTTATTTTGTTTATTATAGTGAGCCTACACCAGTTGTTTTGTAGTCCACTACTGTTGTCTTGTCTTGTCTTATTTTTGAGAATGAAGTGTTTATTTTAATTTTATGTGAATTGAGTAACGTTGTTAAATAGAAAGAAAAGAAAAAGCCAAAAATACCTGAATTAATGCTGTCTTTCTCTAGAGGCAGTCGGAAATTAAAGAACCACAAAATCTTTGGAGCTTGTCTTGGGTACATTATTTTCCTGATTCAAAATAGTACCAACCACTATCATCTGGTGACATATAAATATATGAAGGCAGATATATATTTATGAAGGCACAATGCCGAAACGTCACACTTCCAATAAATTATTTTTAATTTGCAAGAAAGACGGTGTGCGGGAATCTTTCTCTCACATTAGGCGATACAGGCCTCTCCTACGCACTGTAGATATTGATGTGCGAATCCTTTCTCCATTCTTCCCATGAACAAAGGTACGGTATCATCGGCATACAGGATGGCAGTGGAGACTGAGGTCATTCATATGGCCCCAAAATGGAGCCCTGCGGCGCTCCTGAGGTGTAGTCTTCCAGTGGAGGCAAGAACAGAGTAATCGGTGGGAAAGCAGCAGGCAGTCTCTGTCGAATACTCACTCCTGAACCCAAAGTGTCCAGTGAGCTGCTCCGCTACAACTTTTTCATAAATGTTTGAGATAGAAGGGAGGATACATACTGGCCAGTAGTTGCACATTTGCTGTTTATCTGTCGACTTAAACATTGGCGTGATTATTCCAAATTTAGCATTGGGGAAGTCACTGTCTCTCATTGACTGGTTTATGGATTTAGAGATGGACATTTTGGTGTGATCTTTTCGGAATACACAGTCTAATCCATAAAAATCTTTTGCTTTACTGTTGTTTAGTTACCTAGGATGTGATCTACCTTTTATCATTTACTGGCGTTGGATCATTCACATCAGGAATGTCCATGATGTAGGGAATGGAGAGTGATTGTGATTATTTATTCACTGAATTAATACAATATTTGTTCGAATTCATCATCAGGGCGGCACTTTCATTTTCAGAGACAAACACAGACAATAAAAGTGTTGGGACAAGTGCTAACTCCTCAGCCGCCCGATAGTTTGAATGATTCTATGACTCAATCAGTAAATCACCATGACAAGAGTCTTCTTTCCTGCCCCCACCCCTTCTGTTCAAAACCTCTGTTCTCAAACTGCCGTCAGCGAAACTTCAGCTTCACTTTGTTGTGGAGAATCTGGACTTTGATTCTAGAGAAGAACGCTGCGCACTGATTGGTGGAAGAAGAGGGGCGGTTCTCTTCCACGCTCCGTTTGATCTTTCGAACGGAGGTGGCTGATAGGTCGCTTTTCAGGAAGAGGATCTGAGACACGTGCGCTGCGCTGAAGTCCGGGCAGGTCTGGATCAGAGAGACCAGTTCCAGCTGGACCAGGTCTGGATCCTGGAGTCTGAGGATCTCAGAGACCTGGTCCAAGATCCGCTGAGTCCAAGCACAAGCCCCGCCCTAAAGACAGAGAAAATCACATGAGTGCCCTTCTGTCTACGTATGTATTAACCTAAAATAAAAGTAATATTTATTTACAGCTTAATTACACCTTATTTACAATTAAAGCTGTCGTCTGTAACTTCAGTGTCGTCCACAATATGCCTTTTTTACTCTATTGTGTCTGAAAGAGCCCTGTGGGTTGACTGTACCTGTGCGGTGAAGAACTGGTGCAGTTTGAGGGCGTGGTCCTTCATACATCTGGCCCCACCCCCTTCCAGACTCCTCCCCCTGGTCTTCAGCAGAGTCTTCACGTAGCGCAGCGCCATGTCCTGGTGAAGGCGCGTCACTACGACCTGCAGCAAAAGTATTAATACCCCAGGAACTTCCCACTGTTTTCTCACGCCCATAAACAACGTAACACAAGTGTGAAGCAAAAGGTAAATGATCCATCTGCCCATTCTTCTCTGCATAACAGCTCCAGCTGAAGCACATGAGAGCGTTTGGGCTGCCGGCCGTGTCTTGATGGATTTGTAGTGTTTAATAGATTCATAGACATTTGTTTAACTGTTTTAAACTACATCTACCTCCCTGACCCCTGACCTCTCAGTAGGTCTGAACCAGGTCTGAACCAGGTCTGAACCAGGTCTGAACCAGGTCTGAACCAGGTCTGAACCAGGTCTGAACCAGGTCTGAACCAGGTCTGAACCAGGTCTTACCTGGCGACAGCTTGCTTTCAGGTCTTGCAGTTGGTCCAGTTCGTGTTTGAGAAAATCCAGGACTGAGTCCAGATCGAAGGTTTGGGATCAGAGTCCAGACATCAGGCTCTGAGGAGAGAGGACTGTGTACTATTATATAGTCCTGCACATGCACTGCACATGCACTGCACATGCACTGCACATGCGCCGGAGCAAAGACCTGCTTCTCAGACTCTACAGCTGCCACAGTGAAGCTAAGACACATCTACACAGACTTCAAGTTTATCTGCTTTGTCCTTGTACATATTGTATATTAAGTTAACAGATGTTTAGTTGTCCTCACAATATTATTATTATTATGTTATGATTATTTTCAGATTGTTACTTTAATGTTATTTTTATTTTTTATTGTGAAATACTATAGAGTATCATGCAAGGTCCTATTGAACCTTTCACATTGGGGGTTTCCTTGAGGGTGTTGTGGTGTTGTGCGTGTCTTCTTCACACCATACAACCTGCACAATTCAGCAATCACGGCACTCTCAAATTGTCTGCCTTGGTCTGAGTGTAAGCGTTCAGGCACTCCATATTTCATGAACCATTCTTTCAGTATGACTTTTGCAGTTGTGTCTGCTTTTTGATTTCTTGTAGGGAATGCTTGACTGAACTTAGTGAATACATCCGTGAGTACAAGTACATTCTCAAATCCATCACTTGATCGTTCTAGTACAGTGTAATCCACAGCAACAACTTCGAGAGGTCGAGTAGCAAGGAATGGAGTTTGTGGAGCATGAACCTTGGGTTGTGGCAACTTTGTTAAAATGCACCTCTGACAGTTTTTAATCCATTTCTCTACATCCTCATGCATACCATTCCAAAAGCATCTTTGCCTCAGGAGTCCAATTGTCCGTTCTATTCCTTGATGTCCCATTTGATTGTGTATGGATGTGAGAACTTTTTCCTTGAGACAGGTGGGCAACAAAAGCTGTTTATATTTTCCATGGTTTACATCTTCAACCTCGCGATATAAGAGTCCATCTTTTTCTCTGAGCCGGGGCCATTGTTTTAGAAGGGACCGTACAGGCATTGGTAGGCTTCTTCTCTCATGCCAGGAGGGTTTTTGTTTCTTTGCCAAGAGCTGTTTCAAAACTTTAAGAGTTGGGTCTGAGAATTGGAATGCTTGGAGTTCAGTTTTGGTGTAACTGGGAAGAGTGGGGGTGTTACTTTGGACTGAAGAACAGTCATTGTCTGAGTCTAAAGCTCTTAACTGTCTCACTCTACAATGGTCTACCCCTGCAGCAGCTAATTCAAAACCTAACTCAGTGCCTACCCTCAGGCTGTCACAAACAGCCTCACAACCGTCAAACTCTGCATCTGAGGATGGATCTGACGCTGCTACAGCTGGCTGTCGAGAAAGGGCATCTGCTGCAGAATTACAACGACCAGGCCGATACCTGACCTCAAAATCAAATACAGCTAACTGTGCCACCCACCTTTGTTGGATAGCCCCTAACTTTGCTGTGGACAAATAACAGAGGGGATTGTTGTCAGTAAAAACAGTGAACTTTGAACCCAAGAGATAACTACGAAACTTATCGGTTACCGCCCATTTTAACGCAAGAAGTTCTAACTTCATGCTACTATAATTTTTGTCATTCTTCTCTGCTCCTCTAAGCCTGCGACTGGCATAAGCTATGACTTTTTTCTTTCCATTTGAACTTGATAAAGAACTGCGCCTAAACCAAGGTTACTTGCATCTGTCTCAAGAATGAATGGCAGCTGGAAGTCTGCATAACCTAAGATGGGTGCACAGGTTAACTTGTCTTTGAGCAGTTGAAATGACTCTGAACATGCTGGAGACCAGGCTGTCTGGAATAACTGTTTGGCCTTAAATGGGGTCTTCTCCTTAATACAGTTATTAACAACATCATGAAGAGGTCCTGCTACTTGTGAAAACCCTTCAATAAACCGCCTGTAATAACTACAGAAACCAAGAAAAGAGCGAAGTTCTTTTACAGAGTTAGGAGGGGGCCATGACTTTACAACGCTAACTTTCTCAGGATCAGTACCTACACCCTGAGCTGAAACCAGATGGCCTAAGAACTTAACATTTGACTGGAGAAATCTGCACTTTTCAACTTTCACTTTTAAACCTGTATTTTTCAGTCTCTGGAGAACAGTTTCCAGCCTTTCAAGGTGTTCTTCAAAAGTTTTTGAGAACACGAGCAGGTCGTCCAAGTACACGATAACAATCTGGAAGATGAGGTCGCTCATTGTTCCTTGCATTAAGCGCTGGAAAGTTGCAGGTGCATTACATAATCCAAATGGCATACGTAGATATTCATATAAGCCGAATGGAGTGGTGAAAGCAGTTTTGTGCCTGTCTTTTTCATGGACTGCAACTTGGTGGTAACCACTTGCAAGATCAATGCTTGAAAAGAACTCTGCACCACTCAATGCGTCCAGACTTTCATCAATACGGGGCAATGGAAATGCATCACGTCTGGTTTTCAAGTTTAGCTTTCTGTAGTCCACGCATAGTCTTAGACTACCATCAGATTTGCAGACCAAAACTATTGGGGACGCATAAGAACTTGAACTTTCTTTGATAACACCTTTTCTTAGCAGTTCTGAGATGTGGTCTCTCACCTCTTTATACTGATTTGGTGGGATCCTTCTGTAAGGCTGGTTAATGGGGACCTCATCCAATACAGGTATCTCATGTTGGACGTTGTCTGTGTAGCCAAAATCTTCATCCTGCATTGCAAAAACATCTGCATACTTGAATAACAGTGCCTTCAATTCTGCCTGTTGCTCACTTGTACCACCTAAATGTAACTGCTCAAATAGGTCTTGGATGTCTTTGTCTGGTTTGTCTGTGCCTATTTTACTAACTGTTACTTCCTCATGTGACGCTATCAGCGTCACATGAGGAAATGTGACGCACATTGTGACGTTCAATGTGAACGTTGAAATTGAACTTCAAAAGGGTCACCTGTCTCAATACACTTGCATGGTGATAAATACCCTAGCCTAGATTTTCCTGGGAGCCACACATCATCAGGTGAGAAATTGATTACTTGGACTGGAAACACCGGACTATTAGCTGAGACAACAGTGGGCATAACAATAACACCACCAGGTAAGGAAAGATTGCCTGGCTCCAAGACTAGAGAGGATGCGTTGTCAGAGTCTCTCTTCGGGCCTCTTACATAAACTGTGGACACTGAAAGTGCAGGCAGATGGCAGTTGTTTTTTGTTGTTATCCGAGCCATAGCTGCTTTTTCCACCAGTTCTGCCTCTTGTACTTTGTGAACGGCCTCTCTCCATTCCGAATCCAGTTCTCCTCCAAGCACCGTCTCAAACTCTGTTAGTATCAACTCTCTGCACCGTTTTGCTATGTTCATTCCAATAATGCCTGGAGGAGATAGATCAGGCTCAGATGTTTCTGTTTTGTCCTCTTTTATGATCAGAAATCCACATTCAGGAATTGTTATTCCCATTACTTGGATATCTAACTCAACATACCCCAGGTATGGAAGTGGCAATTTGTTTGCAGCAGTGATTCTCAACCATTTGGATGTACAGATGATGTCTTCATCTTCCCCATCGAGACGGTTCCTGAAAAAGTTCTCACTCAACGTGCTAACATTGCTTCCTGAATCTATGACGCACTGGAGGGGAACGCCACCTATCTCAATGTTTACCATGGGGCACTTTCCCACAGCATTTCTTAAAAAGCGCTTCTTGGTTAAAATTTTTGCGGAGCCCTCTGACTTTCCTCGCATTGCTTGGCTCATAGCAATCGAGGGATCTGGTTTCCCTGTACCGCAGATACATTTTGGCTTGAGTGTGTTTGAGCTTTGCGAGCCGGACACTGCCTAGCCATGTGTCCAACTCCCTCACATCTTAGACAGATTGGCTGGCCATCATCAGTATATTTGGGGGTTACTTTTGGCCTAGTGGTCATGTTCTGAACTGCTTTATTGGTCTTTAGCTCTCGTACCGCAGTGGTTAGCTCTCCAATAGCCTGACCTTGCTGGGCTATTATTTTTACTACTTCTTGCAGTGTTGAGGCCAAGTCATGTTCAACTTTGTGGTCAGACTTAACATTTAAAGGATATTCATTTAGAGTTTCTCCAACAAGGGGTCTGCTTCTTGCTATATTTGAAGCTCTGCTGTGATCCTCCAGGCTCCACATAAGGGCTTCTTCACGGACAGAGATCAGACTGGACTGTGGTCTCTCTCTGGTAAGTCTTCGAAGCTCACGACGGAGGGAAGAATCACGAACCCCTTCAATGAACTGGTCACGTATCGCAAGCTGTGGGTCACGACATTAGGAGAGGTTAAAAGGGCAGAATTCAACAATTGAGAGAGGGCATGGGAATAATTCCGCAAATCTTCTCCGTCAGCTTGTCTGCGTGCATAGAATGCATGTAACAACTGTGGTGTTGTACGCTTCTCTCTAAATGCTTCACGCAAGTACAAAAACAAATCTTGGGTTTCAACATTTTGTCCATATGTACGAAGCTTAATCTCATCTAATGCAGAACCTTTTAAATGTGAAAAGATAAAGTCTACTTGATCTCTGTCCCTTAGACCTCTCAGACTTATAGCCCGCTCAACTTCTTCAATAAACTCATCTACGGAGTGGGCATCTTTCCCTGGATCACCATTAAATGGCACAATTTGCTTCTCTCTTGGTACATATACAATAGACCTTGTTTGTGAATCACCCAAAGAACCTATACTTGAAATCATTGCATCATGTTTTTGAGTCAGTTCATTTAACTTTCTTTGTAACTCTAATAATTGGTTACCACTCTCTACAAGAGGTTCAGCCGAATCACCTCTGACATTACTAGGGCCAGGAAGATGCATCTCAGGTCTGCTCTCTTCGTCCATCATCTTCTAGTCCTCACGTCCTTCGTAAGCGTTGCAGTGAATCACTTGCAGTAGTATACTCAGGGTGAACCTCTTCACCACTACTGTTGTCTTGTAATAATGTCAAAACATATAAATATATCTCTTTAAAAGAGCCAATAATACCAGGAAATCCCACTTCTGACACCAAAAATGCTTGTCACCAGATGATAGTGGTTGGTACTATTTTGAATCAGGAAAATAATGTACCCAAGACAAGCTCCAAAGATTTTGTGGTTCTTTAATTTCCGACTGCCTCTAGAGAAAGACAGCATTAATTCAGGTATTTTTGGCTTTTTCTTTTCTTTCTATTTAACAACGTTACTCAATTCACATAAAATTAAAATAAACACTTCATTCTCAAAAATAAGACAAGACAAGACAACAGTAGTGGACTACAAAACAACTGGTGTAGGCTCACTATAATAAACAAAATAAATACATGTAAAATGTTCATTTATAGAATGGAAATGGAAATATCAGTTAACAATCTGCACTCACTTTCAGTCTGGTAGGAACACAGCTCAAACCAAATCCAGAACAACTGAGAATATAACAGTGGTCTTTCTCCCCTCTGCATAAAGCAAATAGTGAGTACATTTCATGAATAACCATTTAAAATAAACCTTAAACATGTAACTAACATAGTGATCTGTCAACTCACGCCAAAACGTTGACCAACGGCTTTATACACGCAGGTCTGACAGTGTTACGTATGTATGCCTTCTACCAACACCAGATCTACAGATATATAGAGCAGAAATCATCAGATATAATGCAGTAGATATACAAAAAGATAATTTTATCATTAAATCCTTTTTTGTTATCTCTATTTACCGTTTTTGGTGCCACAACTTGCCAGCGCACCATCCAACGTCTCTGAAGGCGTTGCCAGGGTAACGTCTCACGTGCAGCACCTGACACCTCCCAACCACACGCGCTGTAACAGCACCCTCTACTGGCCAAACCGGGGACAGTATCTGCCGTTCGTCCTATTATTATTTGACCCGGCTACATATATATCATAAGTATATCTGATATATCTGAACGTTGCAGATCTTTAATCTACTTACTTTACATTTGCATTGCTTATATACCCAAATAAGATTGTAATGCATGTTTTACAGTCCATCAGTAAATACACACCAACTACAGCAAGATGCTTCTGGTCCTTTATTGAAGACTGTTCACTATCTGTAAATCTAGTTCACTCACACTAGATTATCACTCCATCAAACCTGTATCTGTAGAGCACATTTAAAACAGCCTAGGCTTACCAAAGTGATGTACAGACAGTGACAAAAAAATAATTATATATATTTATATATATATATTATATTCTAAAGGCTCTCTTCTCTGGTATTGTTCAGGGGGCGGGACCAAAAGTGGAGGTAGTTGGGGACCACTGGTCTAAACTTTCATTTGGTCAACTTCAGAGAGGCACATGGTTCTGAATACTATGATTCTTTCACATTTCATGTCTTGGATGTCGAGCTGGTCCCAGGACCATATGTCGGTCCCAGGACCATATGTCGGTCCCAGGACCATATGTCGGTCCCAGGACCATATGTCGGTCCCAGGACTCCACATCTGCGATTTAACGTTTAATTCAGTGGTCCTTTTTAAAACCGGGTTCAAACAACTTTTTTTCCACATCCGACATAAATTAGCTGCTACTCCCGTCCCTGTAAAAATACAAACCATATTAATGTGTAGCAAAGTGCAGACTCTGACTTTTGATCTTTTTATTCTTTCTCTCGTTAACTTTCATAATTACAAAGTTTTTTTTAAAGTGATTTCACCAAAAACAGTAGCGTCATGTTACAGTGTTTAAACACGGGACACAACCCTGTTCCCATGGCAACGGCACAAATAAAACCGTAAAAGGATAAAAGCCTCTCAGCGCGCGGTAAGCTAACCGTCACTTACAGTATTTAAAATATTTGCACAGTCTCCAACAGCAGCGTCTGAAACATTCTAACAGCAACAAAAGTGACATTTTAAAAAGTGGCGATAATTTGATAAAGTTTTGATAAAGTAAAATATGTGATTTAAGAATCTTTAGTGTCGACTTCGCCCCAGTCCTCGACCATCTCCTGATACTAGTGTTATCAGCTGCTTATGTGAGCGGGATGTAGCCTTAGAGTTAGCTTTAGCCGTAGCATTAGCCGTAGCATTAGCCGTAGCATTGGCTGTAGCAGAGTCCACCGGGATAAGGTTCAGATCGAGACTTATGTTTCTTCAACTGATCCGGTCCAGACCTGGTTCAGGTGAAGTGGGTCAGGTTTAGGTCAAGGTCGAGTTCAGGGGAGGGGGGGCTGCTCGGGTTGGAACTTGTTGACGACAGCTTCACAGAATCCGAGTCCTGGAACCAGAAAGAACAAAGAACCTGTTGATCTGAGCAAAAAGTCACAGCTGTAGGAGGGGTCAGAGGTCAAACCCAGAGGGAGGGGTCAGCAGTCACACACAGAGGGAAGGGTCAGAGGTTAAGCACAGGGGAGGGGTCAGAGGTCACACACAGGGGTCAAAGGTCATACACAGAGGGAGAGATCAGGTCACACACAAAGGTCAGAGGTCAGACTACTCAGGCCCAGTCCAATCTACATCATGGACAGATTAGAACTCACCTCCAGATCAGGATCCAGCTCCAGCCGAGAGGAGACTCCGCCTCCCAGATCTGCACCAATCAGGAGACAGCACAGTGAGACAGACCAATCAGGTGAGGCTAGTGTGGGAGCAAGGTTAGAGGAGGAGTTAGGGGCGTGGCTTTACCTGAGGTCCTGTGCTGTTTGCTGCGTCTGGATGCAATGGACACTGGTCTGGAGCGAAGCATCGGCTCCTGCTCCTGAGGAGAAACACTCTGAAAGGACACAGGTCAACGGTCAGACCACAAGTCAGACCAGGGTAAGGTCAGAGGTCACTCACCAGCGGCAGGTCCTTCAGGATCTGCATCCCGTCTCCTGGTCCCATGTGTGAGATGTGGTTGAAGTTCATTGGTCCTGAGATCATCTTAGAGCGAAGGTCTGGGTCCCTGAGCATGTCCCTGCAACACATACTGTACTGTAGTACTGTAGTACTTTATACATGTACTAGTATTGTAGTACTTTATACATGTACAGTACTGTAGTACTTCAGTGGCAGCAAGTCCTAAGTATCTCTGAAACAGTTGTAGTTTTGTGATTTGCAATTGATATTTTTTGTGATTTTTTTCTGTCTGAGATGTTGCTGCAGTACAGTGTTCATGGTAAAAATCCACTGGAGGAATGATTGCTAACTTTAAAACAATTCTAACAAAGAACATTTTACGTTGAACTAGAGCAGAGAAAATGGTCCGAACCCAGCGGCTCCATCTCTGCTGCTGTGACCTGAGGGACTGTGGCATTTTATTACTATTGTTACTGCTTTTAGAATCATCTATTTATTTGTTTTGTTTGTGTTGATGCATGTGTTTCTGCTGCTACTGGACAAATGCATTTCTAATACGGGGATCAATAAAGTATCTATTTATCTAGTACTGTAGTCCTCTGTCAAGTCGTAGTAACAGTAGTAGCAGTAGTAGTAGTAGTAGTAGTAGTAGCAGTAGCAGTAGTAGTAGCAGTAGTAGCAGTAGCAGTAGTAGTAGCAGTAGTAGTAGTAGTAGCAGTAGTATTACCTCCTCTGCTGTTGACGTTCTTCTTCTGGAAGTTTAAACAGAAATTTTCTTTTGCTCCGCGTTCGAACCATGAGCTTCCTGCTACTCTCCGTTACCCCCGGCAACAACAGGTCTCCCTCTCCCCAGACACCTCCCTCTGTAAGACACACAGTGATGTTTGGAACAGTCCAGGACACATCACCCCCTCCCCAGACGCCTCCCTCACCTGTTTTCTGGAGGTAGATGAGTCTGTGAGGATCAGAGTTGATAAGATTCAAGGATCCATCAGTGTTTAAGGGACGCAGCTGCAAAAGACAAAACAAACTCGTCTCTGGTCCGGTCTCTGGTCCGGTCTCTGGTCCGGTCTCTGGTCCGGTCTCTGGTCCGGTCTCTGGTCCGGTCTCTGGTCCGGTCTCTGGTCCGGTCTCTGGTCCGGTCTCTGGTCCGGTCTCTGGTCCGGTCTCTGGTCCGGTCTCTGGTCCGGTCTCTGGTCCGGTCTCTGGTCCGGTCTCTGGTCCGGTCTCTGGTCCGGTCTCTGGTCCGGTCTCTGGTCCGGTCTCTGGTCCGGTCTCTGGTCCGGTCTCTGGTCCGGTACCTTTCTGACGGGAATGGTCTGAATCCAGTCTGACGTGTGCAGGTCGTAGATGTCGACTCCATACTCGCTGTAGACGGTGAGATGAGCCGAACTGGAGCCTGAGGCGAGAACAGGTCAGAGGTCAGCGGTCAGAGGTCAGCGGTGAACCCTGGGGTCAGCGGTCAGAGGTGAACCCTGGGGTCGTGGGGTCAGGTCATAGGTTAGGTGTTCGGGGTCACTCACAGAAGGCTGTAGGGGTGGCGGCCCACATCAACTCCCGGGCCCGTGACCTCTTGCCCTGGTGGGTCACATAGATCCCGGTGTGACTGAAGCAGAGCAGGATCTCGTCAGACTGGACCAACGCAGCGGCGTGCATCGCATCTAGGGGCGTCTGGGACAGGAAGACCATACTCGGGTCCTGAGGCCAGACCAGGGACACAGGACTGGACTCTCCCTGCAGGGCAAGCAGCGCAAAGCCCCCGGGAAAACCCACACAGACTCGGTCCAGGACCAGACCAAGCCACTGCACGTGACCGGGCGCCTGCACAGCCCACAGCAGGCGGTAGTACGGCTTCGACCGTGACAGCTCGAAGAACTGGACCTGAGGAGAGACCAGACTTAGACCAGGTTCTGGACCTGAGGAGAGACTGGTCTGAGACCAGGTTTTAGACCTGAGGAGAGACTGGTCTGAGACCAGGTTTTAGACCTGAGGAGAGACTGGTCTGAGACCAGGTTCTGGAGCTGAGGAGAGACTGGACCAAGACCATTGTGGAATCTGAGCTGCTTGTTTTGGATAAATAGTAATTACTCTGATGTTGGTTCTGACCCACATTCATAATAATCACTCTCTCACGTCTCTCACATTGATATTTATATTAAAGGCTTTGTTTTTTGTTTTGGAAAACTTCCAGGTTACAGATTGCAGTCTCTGGACCAGAGGAGCACAGCTTTAGACCCCGTTCAGACGCAGACCCAGACCTTCTGCTTGACGGCGGTGACGAGGCAGGACATCCCGGTGGGTCTGGAGCCCGTGGTGCCCGTGGTCATGGCCTGGCAGTTTTTGGTCTCCGTCAGTTTGATGTCGAATCCGGACTCAGAACCGTCGAGTTCGGACCAGGACTGGAGATGAACTTGTTTAGTCCGACCACAGACCAGGACCACCAGGTTCTCCTGAGGGACCAGTTCCACCTGGTGGACTCTCTTAGCGTCTGCAGCTCGAACAATCACTGAGGAGACAGGCGTATACTGAGACATGTATACAGAGACATGTATACAGAGACATGTATACAGAGACATGTATACAGAGACATGTATACAGAGACATGTATACAGAGACATGTATACAGAGACATGTATACAGAGACATGTATACAGAGACATGTATACAGAGACATACTGAGACAGTTTCAATCAAACAAAAGTGAACTCACCGTCTCGACTGAGCTCCACCACAAACAGAGCGTCCTCTGTGCCCAGGACCACACGCTCCTTATCTGCAACAGTTTATATCAGTCTGTGTCACAGTCTGTATCACAGTCTGTGTCACAGTGACATACGTAAGATGGCGGATGTCCCTAATGTTAAAGTCCTCAAAAACTCAGACGTTCTGACTCAATTGTGTTCATGAGCTTCTAGCTTGGTATTTTGATCAAAGATAACCTGTCGAATCCAAATAACCCGAATCCAAACAGAGAAGCTAACAGCAGAATTTCCTCAGAGCTCCAACATTCAGGACCGACAGCTCTCAACAGCTGGTGGACATAAGCAAGATGTTGAACATGAGCTGGTGGACATACATAAGATGGTCGACGTAAGCTGATGCACATACAAAATATGATGGACATACATGAGATGGTGGACATAGATAAGAGGGTGGACATGAGCTGGTGGACATACCCAAGATGGCAGCGGACAGCGTGCTCTTGATCATGGGCAGTGAGGGGTCGTACACCTCTAGGGGGCGCTGCACGGGGCGATGGATCATTTGGTTCTGCTTCAGCAGAACGTGGAGACTTTCCAGAACCTTCAACCACTTTCTCTGCTCCTGCTCCGAGTCCACCAAGACCAGGACCGAGACTGGGCCAAGACCGGACTCTGGAGACCCCACCTGGAGAGACCAGAGACAAGTCTTAACCAGAACTAAACCTGGACTAAACCTTCAACCTCTGCTCCGAGTCCATGAACAGAGACCAGACCAGATCTACCCCAGGTGTAGACCACGTGAAATCCAGGTCTAACCCAGGTCAACACCAGGTCTACACCAGGTCTACACCAGGTCTACACCAAGTCTACACCAGGTCTACACCAGGTCTACACCAGGACTCACCTGGACCTTGAAGATGCAGGGGACATCTTTGCGAGGCGCATGGATTACATCAGACTGAAGCACCGAGCAGACCGAGAAGAACTCATCCCTGAAACCAGAGACGATGATGTTGAATTCTAGCTCGAAGGTCAGCTCTAAGGTCAACTCTAAGGTCAGCTCTAAGGTCAGCTCTAAGGTCAGCTCTAAGGTCAGCTCTAAGCTCACCTCAGGTCGAGCACCATGGAGGCGGAGTTTCCTGGTTGAGTGGATTTTGCTTCTGGAACGTCGTAGAAAAACAGCCGTGCGTCCGACACCACAGCCCACACCCTCTGCCAGCCACGCTTCACCCCTGAGGGTTTAGGCACCTGAGACCAGAAACCAGGACCAGGTGAGGACTGGGAACTAGGACCAGGTGAGGACAAGAAGAGACCCCCCCTCCCCAACTCACCCGCACATAGCCCTTGTAGGCCGTCCCGATGCCTCTCTGGAGGTCGACGCCCACTGGTCGATGCTCCGTTGGGATTGGACAGATCTGAGGGGCGTTGTCTCGGCAGGTCACATGACACACAAATGAGCAGACTGAAAAAACAGGTTTCCATGGAAACTGTCACAATAAAGTGCTGAACATTCAGTACAGCGCCCCCTGTGGTCAGTGTTATAGTGTTGGTCTAAATGAGTTTAAATGGAACAGGGCTCTGAGCTCAAAGCATCTGCAGTACTTTGGTGAAATGTTTTTTTCAGATTTACTTTTCAGAGTCCAAACCCAGTCCAACCCTGGCCCATGCCCAGTCCATGCCCGGTCTTACCCTCGCAGCCGTAGCCCTGCCTGGTGAGGCCGATGACCAGAGCACTGCAGTGGGAGCAGTGAGGAGGAGAACTGAAGGTCTTCAGGCTGAGCTGGTGCGAGCGCGGCTTCAGGACAGATATATATAATATTAATATTATAGAGAGTACAACGCAATGTACGAGAAACAGCTCGTACCTGCAGGGGGGCGTGGTCTGGGACAGGGGGGGCAGGTCTTACAGGCGGTGATGTCACTTCCTGTTGCTCAGGTGACGCAGGTGAAGGGGGTGTGGTCTCTTTGGGCGAGGAGTCCAGGTCTGAAGGCTGGGACACAGATGCATCATCAAAATAAAACAGGACCAAGACCAGGACCTGAACCCAGGCCTCAGGACAAACACTCACTTTGAAGCTGAGGTCTGGTCCCACAGGAGAGGTGTTGAAATACTCAAATATGGAGTCCTGGAAGTCCAACTGTAGACCTGCACCAGAGACCAGGTTTAGCCCAGAGACCAGGTTTAGCCCAGAGACCAGGTTTAGACCAGAGAGAGACCAGGACTCACCTGAGGACCGGTTCTGGTCCAGCTCCTGCTGCAGACTCTGCAGTTGGTCCTGAGTTTGTTTATTGTTTTGCTCCAAATCTTTGACTTTACTGAAACAGAAGAAGAGACATGACCTCTGACCCTCAGTGACCTCTGACCCTCAGTGACCTCTGTCCCCTGTGACCTCTGACCTCTCCAGGCGGTTGCAGTGACCTTTGACCCTCCTCAGTTCTTCCAGTAGCACTTGTTTTGCTTTGATCTCTGAGTCCAGCGCAGACTGCAGCTCGAGTCGCATCGACATGTCCAGCTTCTGAGAGCGCCGCAGCTTCCACAGGGGGTCCTGCTGTACACATTATATATACTGTTATATATACGTCCACAGGGGGTCCTGCTGTACACATTATATATACTGTTATACTGTATATACGTCCACAGGGGGTCCTGCTGTACACATTATATCAGAATCAGAATCAGAATCATTTTTATTGCCACGTAAGTAACAGGAGGTCACAGACTTGGAAATTGCTTTGGCTCAGTGCAACAGTCAGAAAGAGATAATAAAAATAAGAATAAAAAACACTTCTAAAGAATAAATTTAAATTTAAAATAGAGTTACAGTTACTATTTACAATATACAAGTGCACATGGTGCACACAATGTAAGGTGACAGCAGTACAGTGAAGTAAAGTGACGTATGATGGGCAGTAAAGTGACTTTATAAAGGGCGGGGGGACAGGTTAAGAAGTGTTCAAGAGTCCAACAGCAGAGGGGAAGAAACTGTTCTTGTGGCGGGAGGTTCTAGTCCTGATGGACCGCAGTCTCCTGTCTGAGGGGAGTGGTTGGAATAGTCCATGTGCAGGGTGAGAGGGGTCGGCTGTGATACAACCAGCCCGGCCTCGAGCTCGGGCGACGTACAGGTCCTGCAGCGATGGAAGGCTGCGGCCGATCACTTCCTCTGCAGAGCGCACAATGCGCTGTAGTCTCTGTTTGTCCCTGACTGTGGCTCCAACGAACCACACGGTGATGGAGGAGGTGAGGATGGACTCGATGATGGCCGTGTAGAACTGCACCAACATCTGTGCAGGCAGCTTGGCTTTCCTGAGCTGCCGCAGGAAGTACATCCTCTGCTGGGCCTTCTTGATGAGGAGCTGATGGTCGGCTCCCACCTGAGGTCCTGGGTGATGGTGGTGCCCAGGAAACGGAAGGACTCCACAGAGGTGATGGGGAGTCCATCACGGAGGGTGGGGGCGGGGGGACAGTGCTCTTCCTGAAGTCCACAATAATCTCCACTGTCTTCTGGGCGTTCAGCTCCAGGTTGTTACCACTGCACCAGGACACCAGCCGGTCCACCTCCCTCCTGTAGGCAGACTCATCGTTGCTGGAGATGAGTCCAATGAGGGTGGTGTCGTCCGCGAACTTGATCAGCTTCACGGAGTCGTGGCTGGAGGTGCAGTGGTTGGTGTACAGGGAGAAGAGCAGGGGAGAAAGAACACAGCCCTGTGGGGCTCCTGTATTTATAATCCGAGAGTCCGAGACATTCTTCCCCAGACGCACTCGCTGCTTCCTGTCCGTCAGGAAGTCAGTGATCCACCTGCAGGTGGAATCGGGCACGTTGAGCTGGGAGAGCTTGTCCTGGAGCAGGGATGGCAGGATTGTGTTGAAGGCAGAGCTGAAGTCCACGAACAGGACCCTGGCGTAGGTCCCCGGGGAGTCCAGGTGCTGTAGGATGTGGTGGAGGGCCAGGTTAATGGCGTCGTCTACAGATCTGTTGGCTCTGTAGGCGAACTGCAGGGGGTCCAGGAGGGGGGAGGTGAAGGACTTGAGATGGGAGAGAACCAGGCGTTCAAATGACTTCATGACGACAGACGTAAGTGCTACAGGTCTGTAGTCGTTGAGTCCTGTGATCCTGGGCTTCTTCGGGACGGGGACAATGATGGAGGATTTGAAGCAGGCCGGGACATGGCAGGACTGCAGAGAGGTGTTGAAAATGTCAGTGAACACAGGAGTAAGCTCATTGGCGCAGTATCTCAGGCTGAGTTTACACGGAGACAATGTGGCAGTAAAACGGTATAGTTGGATGTCGGTTTCTACCAACCGTTCATACGGAGACTGTGTTCCAGGGGGGTGAAAACGTAAGTGTTCAGATCCAGCCAGCAGAGTGGGACAACTCAGAAACGCTGCACAGCAGGGAGCTCTTTCACACCCGCGAGAGGGGAAAAGGTGTGAAATCCCCCTCTGCTCTGACCCCCACCTCCGCGCTGCTCCCCGCACGTAAACTTGGACATGCGCAGTAGCGGAGAACAAACATCAACAAAAATGGCACCGCGCACACTAACTAGCTTCGTGGGCTTCCAGCGCTGCACAGAGGATAATTCTACTCCTTCGTTCGTCCAAACGAGACCACGCGAAGCTCTAGGTTCAGTTCCCATGTTCACAGCTGCTGTTAAAATGCAGAATGATGTTGGTACTTTCTGAGGGTCTGGTACAGGAAGTGAGTACACTGCCGAGTGGGGGGCTGGGCACGGGGCTGGGGGTCGTGTGAGTGTTGTAAAGTTTCTCTGCCCACTACTGGCCGGGCGCTAGAACTACATCGTTTTTCAACCTCATGTGAACGCTGAGAAATTTGCATTAGGAGCCAGGTCGTTTCTATATAATAGCCTGGAAACGTCTGCGCAGCGTCTCAGTATAAACAGGGCCTCAGAGTGGCCGGAGACACGTGGTCCGGGCCAGGAGCCTTGCGGGGGTGCAGCCTCAAGAAGAGTTGTTTAATCTCTTTAGCGGCTATTGTTAGGCTGGGGGCAGGGCTGATGGGTGGGTCGTTAGAGTAGTGGGGGGTGGGGGAGGGAGAGGTGTCAGGGGCAGCATCAAAGCGACTGAAAAATAAGTTCAGTTCTTCAGCTAGCTTGTGGTCGTCAGCACAGGGGGGGGGCTTTGGGCTTGTAGTTGGTGATCTCCCGTAGGCCCCTCCAGACAGAAGCAGTATCGTTGTTACCAAACTGCTCCTGTAGTCGTTCTCTATGCCGGGACTTGGCTGCTTTCAGTTCTTTCCTGAACTGATATTTAGCTGCTTTGTAGCCGCTGCGGTCCCCCTCCCTGAAAGCAGACTCCTTTGCTTTCCTGAGCTGCCGGAGTTTAGCAGTGAACCAGGGTTTGTCGTTGTTATAGATGACCCTGGTCCTTGTTGGAATGATGCTATCCTCACAGAAGTGAATGTATGACGTCACAGCAGTGGTTTCGCTAGAGATCATTTCAGCCCGTCATAATGAAGGACAGGGTCCAAAAAAATCCGTCATGAGCTATTTTTATCCGTCATTTTATTTTCACGTTTGAAATACCCTATAGGCTATTAATTAAACAATTGTATAAACAAAAACAGGCTTTATAACGTGCTTTATTAGCTGTTCGTTTACAAATGTACAATACATTTAATTTGTGAATATATAAAGTTGCATAAAAATCGCAAAACAATCGACAACTCGGCGTAACATTTAACCTCCATTAACATGTGGAACAAACACGTACAGGAGTTTGCCTGAATGCGGTTATTAAACCTTCTTTCGCGGCTTTGTGGACTTAAACTGAGCACTCGCCTGTTCATAATTGAATGTGTGCAGGGCTGGCGACACCGAGGCGATTTTCATTAGAGTTTGTGTTTTTGTCTCGGTCAGACGGCTTCGAAGTGCAGTTTTGATTTTATTTTGGAGACTGAAGCCGCGCTCAGCAGCGACACTTGACACAGGAATAACAAGCGCTACTTCTGCCAGAGTTTTGTAGTCTGGGAACATCTCCGCGTATGTGTTGATGAGAAGCTTACAGGAGTCCTTAAATGGCGGGTTACCTGAACCTGCAAGCACCCGTTTCACGGAGCGAAAGTCCCGTACCATCCTTTCCTTTTCAACGAGTGAGACCGCTGCGTTTGGGTGCGCGCCATAAAAGTCAGCAAGGCGCTCGACAGCATCCAAGCGTGACTCCTGGAGCGCGCTGTTCGTGTTTGGAAAACGAGAGGCGTTGAGGATAGTGTCGAGGTCAGAAATGTGGCTCACATCCCCAGAAGGGAATCTCTTTTTAATTGACTTCATAATCTCACCAATATCCTGCGCTTGTAAGGCGGAGAAGCCGTGTTCATCCACGTGAGTGAGCCGATGACCACAGAAGATGCCCTCTCGAAAGCCCTCAACAAACTTCTTCTCCACATCCCCGAGGCCTTTTTCGAAGTCATCCAGATTGGCGAGGGTCATGCTCACAATGGGCTGAATAGAGGATATATTTACGTCCTCTTTTTGAAACGTGAGATTCATTCGGTTTACAGTAGCCAAGACATCAGCAAGCAGGTGAGTTAACGCAGGGAATGGATGCTTCAGGAGTTGTTTGTGTAAACCTTTTGCAATCGGGCAACCATTCGCAGCTTCTTCTTCCAACTCCATGACCACACATGCCCAGTTGGCACGAATGCCTTTCACCGCTCTCTCCAGGGACAGCCAACGCGTAGCGCATGGTTGTTTTAAACTCAGCGCGTCAGCTTCATTCATTTCCAGTTGTAGTTGGTGAAGTCTATGTGTGCGTATAGGAGAGTTTTTGTAGTAAGTGTACACGTTGTTCAGAGTTGTCACATAGGCACTGACTTGACGCACGGCTTTGGATGCGTCACGGGCTGCCAGTGCTGTTCTGTGCGCACCACAGTGTATGTTCAGGAGATAAGGGCAGTCATCTTGGCGTAACTGTTGAGCAACTCCAGCTTTTCGACCCACCATCACATTCGCCCCATCACTTCCCAGTCCCACTACGCGATCCAGAGCCACACCACGACCCGATAGAACTTCTTTAATTTTGGCTGTGATGTACCCTGCGGTGCCAGAGGACATGGCATAATTTCCAAGGAAATTAGTTTCAGGCTCTCCCTTTAGTTGGTATGTTAGGTAGATTATCAGAATTTTGTCCACTGTGATATTTGTGGTTTCATCCAGTATTATGCCAACGAATCTGCTGTCAGCGATGCGATCATTAACAGTGTTGTTTATGGTCTGAGGTATCGCATCCTCCATTTCGTTCACACTTTGGTTGTGAGTGTACACGTGTGCAGCGTTTAAGTTTGGGCAGCCAGTGGACTGTAATAGTTCTATTATTTTTGGGTAAAGGTGGCTTGGTGTATTGGTGTTCGCCATGTGAAGTACAACTTTCAGTTGGGTTTTCAGAGCCTCGTTACAAGCTGCCTGTGACTGCGACACATGCTTCTCCATAGCTACACTTTGGGTCAAAATACGAGATGCTTCCTTATGGCTTAAGCTTTTCTTGTGGTCATTTAATGATGATTTTTGAAAAGTGGGACAACCACGGACGAAGCCGTTGCTCATTTTAGCTTCTTGGCAAATTTGACAATACATTTTTCCATCTTTCATGGTTAGCCATGTGAACTCTTGCTCCCACTGTGACCGATACTCCCTTCGGGTTTCCTTGGCGCCTCGGTCCGGTGGACGAGGGGGTGAAACCGATGGATGTTGAATGGTGTCTTCATTGTCCTCCTCAAATGAAGGGGGTCTTTTTTGTCCCCTGCTGTCATTATTTTGAGCTGAAGCAGATCGCTGAAAAACATCTTTTAGGCTCAACTGATTTGACATTTTTGCTCATGACTGCTAGCTGTCAAATATGACATGTGACAGCCTGTATCATATAAGCGGCGCTGGCGCAATCTAGTGGAGAGGACGGTCAACTACGACTCGCAATGTAAAATTATAACTTAATTTTCAATCCTTCAAAATGACTGACGGCCTTCTAAATTTTACGTCAGAAAAAAAAAAATCCGTCAATGACGGAGAATTTTCAGTTAATGTAACCTCTGCGTCAGTGTCCGTGTATTCATCCAAACTATCTGTGGCAGCTCTAAAAAGGTCCCAGTCTGTAGATTCCATGCATGCGCGCAGCTCTTCCACAGCTTCATCAGACCACACTTTGGAGCTCCTCACTGCAGGTTTCGAGAGCTTTAGTCTCTGTCTGTAAGCAGGAACCAGATGTATCATGGAGTGATCTGAGAAGCCGAGGGCTGCCTTGGGAACAGCGCGAAAAGCTCCGCGCACAGTGGTGTAACAGTGATCCAGAGTGTTCTCCTCTCTGGTCGGGCATTTGATAAACTGTCTGTATTTGGGTAATTCCTGGCTCAAGTTTCCCTTATTAAAATCCCCCAGGATAATAATCAGAGAGTCCGAGTATAAACGTTCCATACACAGTACTTGCTCTGCGAGTGCGCGCTGAGCCTCGCGCGCGTCCGCGCATGGCGGTATGTAAACAGAGGCAAGAATGAATTAAACAATACTGTACAATACAATACTATATATACTGTTATATATACGTCCACAGGGGGTCCTGCTGTACACATTATATATACGTCCACAGGGGGTCCTGCTGTACACATTATATATACTGTTATATATACGTCCACAGGGGGTCCTGCTGTACACATTATATATACTGTTATATATACGTCCACAGGGGGTCCTGCTGTACACATTATATATACTGTTATATATACTTCCACAGGGGGTCCTGCTGTACACATTATATATACTGTTATATATACGTCCACAGGGGGTCCTGCTGTACACATATATACTGTTATATATACGTCCACAGGGGGTCCTGCTGTACACATTATATATACTGTTATATATACGTCCACAGGGGGTCCTGCTGTACACATTATATACAGTGGCCCCCTTGAACCTTTCAACATTTCGCCACATTTCAGGCTTCATACTTAAAGATATAAAAATTATTTTTTTTGTCAAGAATCAACAACAAGTGGGACACAATCGTGAAGTGGAACGAAATTTATTGGATAATTTAAACTTTTTTAACAAATAAAAAAAAAGTGGGGCGTGCTATATTATTCGGCCCCCTTGCGCTAATACTTTGTAGCGCCACCTTTTGCTGCAATTACAGCTGCAAGTCCCTTGGGGCATGTCTCTATCAGTTTTGCACATCGAGAGACTGGAATTCTTTCCCATTCTTCCTTGCAAAACAGCTCGAGCTCAGTGAGGTTGGATGGAGAGCGTTTGTGAACAGCAGTCTTCAGCTCTTTCCACAGATTCTCGATTGGATTCAGGTCTGGACTTTGACTTGGCCATTCTAACACCTGGATACGTCTATTTGTGAACCATTCCATTGTAGATTTGGCTTTATGTTTTGGATCATTGTCCTGTTGGAAGATAAATCTCCGTCCCAGTCTCAGGTCTTTTGCAGACTCCAACAGGTTTTCTTCCAGAATGGTCCTGTATTTGGCTCCATCTCTGATCAGTCTTCTCCTTGTTTGAGATGAAAGTTTGGAGGGACGGCCGGGTCTTGGTAGTTTGCAGTGGTCTGATACTCCTTCCATTTCAATATAATTGCTTGCACAGTGCTCCTTGAGATGTTTAAAGCTTGGGAAATCTTTTTGTATCCAAATCCGGCTTTAAACTTCTCCACAACAGTATCTCGGACCTGCCTGGTGTGTTCCTTTGTCTTCATGGTTCTCTCTGTGCTTTAAACAGAACCCTGAGACTATCAAAGAGCAGGTGCATTTATACGGAGACTTGATTACACACAGGTGCATTCTATTTATCATCATCAGTCATTTAGGACAACATTGGATCATTCAAAGATCCTCACTGAACTTCTGGACTGAGTTTGCTGCACTGAATGTAAAGGGGCTGAATAATATTGCACGCCCCACTTTTCAGTTTTTTATTTGTTAAAAAAGTTTAAATTATCAAATCAATTTCGTTCCACTTCACGATTGTGTCCCACTTGATGTTGATTCATGACAAAAAAATAAAATGTTATATCTTTATGTTTGAAGCCTGAAATGTGGCGAAATGTTGAAAGGTTCAACATTTCGCAAGGCGAAATATATACTGTTATATATACTTCCACAGGGGGTCCTGCTGTACACATTATATATACACTTCAACTTTATATTAATAAATATTATATACACTATTATACTGTATATACTGAGTCATGTATGCGGACTTGTAGAACTCGTATTTGAGGTCTTGTTGCTGTCCCTCTTCAGAGTGTATTGTACTTGCCAGTTAAGCTGCGTAGGGAGTTTGATGGAGAGGTATGGTAACTTGAGCACAATCCTCTCCTCCTTCCTACTTTATCCATCTGCATTATTATGATGTTGACTGTTGTCTGTTCCATTGTCTGTTTCATGGTGCGACGATGTGCTACAGCCGTGTGGAGCGGATCCCTCTCTCAATGTGGATCTCCCCGAGCTTTCTCACTTTTCTCCCACTGGGTTCTAGAGTTTTTCCTCTGAGCAGGAGGGTCTGTTAGACTGTGCTCCCACCGCCGATGCACGGTGATGGAGGCATGGAGGTACGTTCACTAAGTCTCAACTGCATGAGTTTAGTCAATCTGAATCTGCCCTGCGTTGGGGAAAAACGCAGGGCAGAAGTGGGTACTTCCGTATCAGCGAACAAGTTAGCAGCACTTGTTTACAGTCACAGTAGAATGTCAACTCAAGGTGAAGACATACGTGTTCCCCATCCTCAGTCCTGGTTTAATCCTGGTTTAGCTCCTGTTTTGGTTGTTTGAGTGTTTTCTTGTTCCTGGTTTGGACCGGCACATGTCCCCGTGACCACTTTGCTGCTCTCTGATTGGTTGCTGCATGTGTGGAGCGAGAATGTTCATCTCCTGCTTTCGCTGCATGCATCTAGCCGCTGTACCCACTGCCTCTGCTGCACCGCAACAAGGCGTCTGCTGCGGGATAAACGTGCCGCGACGTAAATGCAATTCCTCGCATGGACAGACTTTGCATTGAAACTTGCCGCAATGCATGATCCGGTGGGAACACAGCTTTCGTGTCTAACAAGAAGGACTTTGGTGATGATCCAGGACACTCATGGACATTGGTCTCTCCCTACCAACACCATGTGTTCTATATGATCTGTGTCTTAACTGTTGATTCTCTGATCTGTGTTGGATTTCAAAGGTTTTCTTAAGTCCTCTGAGATGACTGCTGTTGTGATTTAGGGCTATACAAGAATAAATTGAATTGAATTGAATTGAATAGTACTTGTAGTACTAGTACTCACTGAGGTCTTGTTGCCGTCTCTCTTCAGAGTGTCCAGTTCCTCCGTCATCTTTGAGGCCAGAGCCTGAAGGTATCCACGAGCATCTTTCTCATCACTGACCCTGAGGACACACAACTGTTACACAACTGACCCTGAGGATACACAACTGTTACACACACCCCCCACAAGAGTCTTCAGGACAATGTATATAAGTATAGATGACATATACATATATATACAGTAAGTATAGATAACAGTATATTTATTCAGTGTAGATGACTCACCACTGGATGATCTCAGAGATCTGCGCCTCCCAGTGACTCACACTTTCCTTTTTGCACGTCGCCTCCTGAAGCTCCGCCTCCAACTCACGAGTCTGATCTGTGAGACGGTCCACGAGCGAGCACAGCTGCAAGACAAGAGTCAGGTCTGAGTCAGGTCTGAAGACAGACACAGGCAGAATATGCAAACACTGACCTTGTCCGACTCAGATGTCAGTTTGAGGTTCTCTTCTCGTAACTCTCGCTTTTCTTTCTCATGTTTCTCCTTCAGAGATGACAGCGCCTCCTCCTGGTCACTGTCGGGAAACACAGGGTCAGCCACAGGAAGTGATGTCACATATAGGCTGTTTTACTGTTGAGTGCTCTGGAAACAGTCTCTGAAACAGTTGTTTTGTGTTTTACACTTATTTTTCTGTAAACGTTACTGGAGAACAGAACACTGTAGATGGTTTTACACTGGCCCAGACCAGAGAAGATGGTCCCAACTAGGGCTGGGATAAACGATTATTTTTTAAACGATTAATCTAGCGATTATTTTTTCGATGCATCAATTAATCTAACAATTATTTTTTTCGCTTCGATTCGATTCTCGATTATCTCCCCATTAATTGACTAATATTGATGTATACATGTTGATTTAAATATTTTAATGAAAAAAACATGAATTCCAAAAAATATGTATTGCTTGCTCTTAAAATTAAAAAATAAGACATTCTTAGAGGTAGCATAAAACCTTAAAGCCTTGAAAACACAGCTTACTGAAAAAAGTGCATCTTATCATTCTTGAAACAAACATTTGATGCTTAGCATTCAATAAAAATATGAAAAAGTTCAGCCAAATACTTTACTTTTACTTTACTAAAGAAAACAGTAACCAATGTAAACTTGAAGGCTTTAAGCTAAACAAAGAGTGCTTTTCCAGCAAAAACAGTGGGAGCCATCAGCCTGTCATGGCGTCCTTCCTGAACCAACAGAGTTTAACATTTAAGTTGAAGACAAGTAGGCCTATATTACTGAAGTCCATTAATTAAAGTGCATCTCTTAAATTCTTCATTCATATAAAAATAACAGTCAAAACTCTGCCACTCACCTTTTTCTTAAACTCAAAATTCAAAAATAAAATTCAAGTAAGAGTGTACAAGAGAAAAACAATGCATTGTGTAGCAAATAAAAAGGTCAACCAGTCATCCTTTCTTTTAGAGTTACTGAAAGAATACAGTAGAAGTCATCTCAGAGGACTTAAAACAACATTTAAGTCACCAACACAGATCAGAGAATCAATCAACAGTTAAACACATTAAGGATATTGAACACATGTTGAAAAATGTCCATATACATGACAGTGAATAATACATGTAGGGGCTATTACGGGCGCCAATATTCCGTTTGATACAAAGAAAGACAGACTAGTTGTAAGCTGTAGAGTTGCCACAGGACGCGTCATCAGCCTGCGTCAGCAGCCGCGGACTGCTATGAAAACATTAGCTTTGTGGTTTCACAGGCGCAGTTGACTGCTTAAACTAAACTTTGCACGAAACTTTGACTCTTAAAACCCACATGTGACAAAACGGAACCATCAACATCTCGCCTCAAATTGCATTAAAAGTGACATTCGTGTCTGAATTCGTTCGTATTTTAACTTTTAACTCATTCACTGCCCATGACGACAAAACTCGTCATGTTGAATAGTTACGCTCACTGCCCATGACGAGTTTGACGAGTTTTTTGTGTTATTACACGGGAGGCTACAGTAATGTCTGGCGCACCTTGTGAATGACCCACAATACTGATATATAGTGCAAATGTACCTGTAATGATAAATCACCACCAGTAGGATGCAGTATTGCACCACAGGAGAGGTCATAAGTCAGTGGAGAGAAGGAGGAGTGTGGGGTGTTTGGAGAGCGTGCTGCTGTAGCAGAGCGAGCGATGATAGCGTAGCATTGAGACGGATCAGCGATCTAGTTTAGCGATAGTATAGCAAGAGTGATGGCGAAAAAGAATAGTTATAAGCAGTGTACACTGCTTCAGAGATTGACTCGCGGATCAGTGAGTGAGGTCGAGAGGGGAGAGAGCGGAGACCCCGGTGGAGGTCCGTCTCTGCAGCCACATTTGCGCGGAGCAAGAGCCCCGAGCAGAGACACACCTTCCGCCTCTCGCAGCGTATCAGCTGCTGTTGTTACTGATGCCTCGGATTCGTTCAGAGAACCTGATCATGATTTATCGGACACACTCACGAACACTCACACGCACTCACTCACTCACGCACACAGACACTCACTCGCACACTGACATTCACACACACAGACACTCACTCGCACACTGACATTCACTCACACAGACACTCACTCACACAGACACTCACTCACACAGACACTCACTCGCACACTGACATTCACTCACACAGACACTCACTCACACAGACACTCACTCACACAGACACTCACTCGCACACTGACATTCACACACACAGACACTCACTCACACAGACACTCACTCACACAGACACTCACTCGCACACTGACATTCACACACACAGACACTCACTCACACAGACACTCACTCACACAGACACTCACTCGCACACTGACATTCACACACACAGACACTCACTCACACAGACACTCACTCGCACACTGACATTCACACACACAGACACTCACTCGCACACTGACATTCACTCACACAGACACTCACACACACAGACACTCACTCGCACACTGACATTCACTCACACAGACACTCACTCGCACACTGACATTCACACACACAGACACTCACACACACAGACACTCACTCGCACACTGACATTCACACACACAGACACTCACACACACAGACACTCACTCGCACACTGACATTCACTCACACAGACACTCACTCGCACACTGACATTCACTCACACAGACACTCACTCGCACACTGACATTCACTCACACAGACACTCACTCGCACACTGACATTCACACACACAGACACTCACTCAAATTCACATGCTTCATTCTATTTTATACATCTATAGTTTTATTGATCTTTGTGTTGTTGTTTGACGTTTTGGTTGATGGTATAGAAGAAAGTTAAATTTTCTATCTGTGAATAAATTGCCAACAATTTGCCATCAAAAGTATTATTTCAGAGTCATGTTTTTATAATTTTTGTAATGGAACAAGTGTGAAGATGTTTTGAGTTGTCACTAAAGCAGCAAAAATGCATCTAAAGTCTCTTTTCTGCTTGATATGTTCCTGTTTACATACAGCTCCTTTTCTGTTTTCTTGCTCAGACCAGGTGTTATGGGTGAAAGTATGCTTTGTTCTATGGCGAATAGCTCAAGAACGGTAAGAGGTAGAAACAAACTGTTTTTTTTTTTCAGAGTAAAGCAGAGAGGTGAATCTTTAATTTGGTGCCCTTGGTGTTTACATCGTCTAAAAAATGAATATTCTGTGGCACTTCAAAGTTGGGTCAAATCACCTGAAATTGCTGGCAGAACGCACTTCTCAAATCTGAAAATGCCTGGCAGTCAGTGAGTTAAAGAAATTCACGGTCCACCATCTTGGTTTGCTTCGGCTGCCGTGAGACGCGCATACGCAGGTTTGCATTACATCATAAACAGCTGAGGCAGTGCATCTCTTCAAGACAGTGTATCTCAGCGTTACACCGGCTTGCACTTCTCTAACACGGCACTCGCATTGCTACCGCTCGCCGCCATCTTTGTTTTGTGTGTGACGCACCGACGCGCATATTATACGTCGGTGTATTTTTTGCGTCGACGTCACCGATTACGTCGACGCGTTGTCCCAGCCCTAGTCCCAACCAATCAGAAACCACTGCAGGTATGCTAATGTTTTTAAAAATGCTAATAAAGCATTTCAAACTTCACTCTGAACCGGAGCAGGGAACTTGCACACACCTGTCCTGATTGGCTCTCTCCAGCCGCTCCCTCAGGCTGCGCAGCTCCTGATTGGCCGACAATGTGGTGTTCTCCGATTGCTGGAGCTGGAAGCGCAGCTCTTTGATCTCTGCACAGTGGGCGGAGTCTCTCCGCTGCAGCTCGTCCTGATTGGTCAGAGCATGATCAAGCTCCGCCTTCAACCGCAGAAGCTCCGTAAGCTCCGCCCCCTGGATCTGAACACAAACAACAATAAAGCTATTTAACGATTTAAAAAGGTTCAGTTTGTTCAGTTCAAGTGTTCTTCATGGTTTTAGACCACGACCAGATACCACTTTTTTCAAAATCCAATACGAGTACTGCATTCATAAAACTAATACTACTGAAATATAAAATGTTTTGTTTCTCATTTCAACAATAAGAAAATGCTTTAACAATTAAACATTTTACAATTTTTCTAACAGTCAACAATAAGAGCCACCGTCATATTCCACCAGTGCTAGCAAAGGTGCTATACTCCGCTCAGTGGTGAGTTTTCAGATGTTTGATTAAGTTGCTGGTGTTTGTTTTGGACCCACATCGTGACAGTTTTGCTTTAAACAACAACTTTACTCTTGTCACTTGCCATACGGCCGACATCCTCTCCTAAACTGCTCGCTGCTTACTTTGGGTGATCACCATGGCAACACGTGCCACACAGCTATCTGCTGTCGTAACGCTAATGTAGATTAAAAATGTGGGCATCGGTCGGCGCCATCAGGTCCTATGGTATGAGTATGAATACAAGCCTATGGTATCAACTCAATATCAGTATCAGTATCTGTGCATTCAAGTGATTCAAACGTGTTTCTATGGTAACCTGACCTTGTACCTTAGACCTCTGTGCTGACCTCTGACCCTGTACCTTAGACCTCGTACCTCTGAACTTAGACCTCTGACCCTGTACCTTAGACCTCGTACCTCTGAACTTAGACCTCTGACCCTGTACCTTAGACCTTGTGTACCTCTGATCTCGTACCTTAGAGCTCTGCAGCTCACGGCTGAACTCCTCACTGTGTCGAAGCTTCTTCTCAGAGTCCAACAGCGCCTCCAGCTGGAACAGAGCGAAACAAATGTAAGAGGGAGAGAGGGGGGGGAGTAGAGAGAGGGGAGAGAGGGGGGAGAGTAGAGAGAGGGGAGAGAGGGGAGAGAGGGGGGGAGTAGAGAGAGGGGAGAGTAGAGAGAGGGGAAGGGGAGAGGAGAGAAGATTGTACATCTCACCTCCTGAATGCGGGCCTCGCTCCTCCGGTTCTCCTCGCTCGCTCTCTGAAGGAGCTGGATCTTCTGGGCCTGGTCCCGGTTGCGCTCCTCCTGGTCCTTGATCTGCTCCCCCTGGTCCCTGATGGTCCGGTTCAGTTTCTTCTCCATGGTCCTCTGCTGGTCCATGGTCTCGCTGAGGTCTGAGAACTCTGTAACTGCCTGTTTCCTCAGTCTGTGCGCTTCTCTCAGCTCCTTATGCTGAGAACGGAGGCGCTCAAGGGCCTCCTGCAGTTGCTGTGAGGAGCAGAGGAGACAGGTGGTGTGATGAGCAAGGAGAGGAGAGAGGAGGGAGGAGAGGAGAGGAGAGAGGAGAGGAGAGGAGGAGGGATGAGAGGAGGCAGGAGGTGTGAGGAGGGAGGAGAGGAGAGGAGAGGAGAGAGGAGGGATGAGAGGAGGCAGGAGGTGTGAGGAGGGGAGGAGAGGAGAGGAGAGGAGAGAGGAGGGATGAGAGGAGGCAGGAGGTGTGAGGAGGGAGGAGAGGAGAGGAGAGGAGAGGAGGGAGGAGAGGAGAGGAGAGAGGAGGGATGAGAGGAGGCAGGAGGTGTGAGGAGGGAGGAGAGGAGAGAGGAGAGAGGAGGTGTAAGGAGGGAGAAGAGGAGAAAGGAGGTGTGAGAAAGGAGGAGAGGAGGTGTGAGAAGGGGAGTTTGGAGAGGAGAGAGGAGGTGTGAGGAGAGAGGAGTGGAGAAGATGGAGGAGAGAGCAGATAGAAGAACAGAACCAGACAGGTGTAGGAGCATTAGCATAAACATTAGCACTAGCACCAGAACTAGCATACCTTGCTCGCCTCCTCTTTCTCCTGTTTCAGGCTTTTCACTTGTTTTTCCAGCGTCCTCAGTTTGGAGGCGGAGCTTTCGTCTTGACGCTGAGAGACCGCCTCCTCCAGTTGCTTCTCCAGCCGGTCAGAAGCTGCAACCGTTTAAATGGACCAATCAGAGAGTAGCAGGTTTAAACAGCCAATCAGAATGCAGCAGGTGTAAAACGACCAAATCAGTATACTGAGAGGGGGTCTGACCTGACAGCTTCTTCTTCAAACGCTCAATTTCTTCGTTGAGTTTTTTTATTTCTTTTTCTCGAGACAAAGTTCCAGCTCGAGTCTGAGGCTGTGAGAACTCTGCAAGAGAGACACCGGAGACAAGTGTTATTAACATGTGATTAACATGTTAATAACACGTTAACAACAACATTATGATGAACAATTCTCAAAAACGACCTCCCTCCAGATTCAAAGTTCAGAGCATCGACTCGACACAGTGGCGGAAAACGATGTAGTTCTAACGCCGGCCAGTAGGGGGGAGACGACCCCCACCAGTAAAACCACTTCTTCAACAACATCCTCCTCAGGCCAAAAACAGCAGCAGTGACAAACTACAGCTGTGTTTGGACCAAGGAGGATCCTGTGTATCTGTTGAAACACAGTGACCCGCCTCCATTTTCTCTACGTTTGTTCTACTGTCTCTGTTTTGTTCAACCGTGTGAACGAAAGGCCAATCACATCAACTCTGTCATTTTACTGTTGCACGTCTCCGTGGAAACAGGGCCCTAGCGTCCCGCTCTGACCTGACAGCTTGGCGTTCAGCTCCTGCTTCTCTCTCTCCAGTGTCTGAATCTTCTGCTGAAGTTCCGCTCCCTGGGACTGAAGCCCCTCCCCCTTCACAGCGGTGGAGCCACGCCCACTCAGGCCACGCCCACTTTCACAGGTGTAGGTGAAGCCCACGAATGGCAGCTGTTGTCCTGAGAAACTGTTGAGGGTCAGAGCAGCCGAGACCTCCTGCAGAGAAGGAGTCATGGACACACATTATACATACACATTATACATACACATAATACACACACATTATACACACACACACACACATATAATTAATTAATTGTATATATATATTTATTTTTTCAGGTTTGGTTCAGGTCTTACTGGGTTCTTCAGGGTCTCGTCGTCCACATCGAAGTTGGAGGTGTCGGTGGGGGAGGAGACCTCTGGGACATAGGGACCCGGTCTGGTCCGGATTTGGTCCCAGTCAATCCCAGTGAAGAAGGGGTGGTCCCTGAAGTCCTGGATCCCTCTGAGACCCAGTCTGGTCTCTCGGGGACAGAGCAGGGACTGGATCAGGTCCCGGGCAGAGTCCGACACATCCGAGATGTGGGCGGGGAACGTGAGCCGCTGTGGGAGAAGAGCAGATTTATTTCTATAGCACATAACACACAAGATGACACAGGTGTAATGAAGCTGGGGAACAGAACTTTAGTCTCATTGATAACACATATCTAAAATTAAAATCTTGATCATTTCCAATAGTTTGTCTTCTTCAGAACCAGGTACAGACCGGGTCTAGACCAGGTCCAGAGAGACCACTGCTCTGGTCCAGATTTAGACCAAACTGGGACACGCGTCGTGAGACCAGACCCAGAACTGAATCCGAGTCTGTTATGAAGCTGGTGTCTGAAGCTCACCCTCACCATCACCACCTACAGGAGCAAGAGGGAACTACCACCCCCAATGTAAGCCCTACCTCTGTCTGTGTATGCCTTCTTTCTATGGTCTCTCTCTCTCGCTCTGGTCTCTCTTTCTCTCTGGTCCTGGTGCTGGTACCTGATGGTTCATGATCTTGCCGTAGGTCTCCAGTAGACTCTCAGCGTAGAAGGGGGTCTCTCCATAGAGCATCTCGTAGATGCAGACGCCCAGAGACCACCAGTCACACTCTGGACCATAACGACCTCGACCCGCCTCCATGGCCTGCAGGATCTCTGGGGAGATGTAGTCTGGTGTTCCCACGGCAACAGAGGACTGGACCTGGACCAGAGAGAGGCCAGAGAGAGGCCAGAGAGAGGCCAGAGAGAGGCCAGAGAGAGGCCAGAGAGAGGCCAGAGAGAGGCCAGAGAGAGGCCAGAGAGAGACCAGAGAGAGACCAGAGAGAGGCCAGAGAGAGACCAGAGAGAGACCAGAGAGAGACCAGAGAGAGACCAGAGAGAGGCCAGAGAGAGGCCAGAGAGAGGCCAGAGAGAGGCCAGAGAGAGGCCAGAGAGAGGCCAGAGAGAGGCCAGAGAGAGACCAGAGAGAGACCAGAGAGAGACCAGAGAGAGGCCAGAGAGAGGCCAGAGAGAGGCCAGAGAGAGGCCAGAGAGAGGCCAGAGAGAGGCCAGAGAGAGGCCAGAGAGAGACCAGAGAGAGACCAGAGAGAGAGAGCAGACACATTATAATAGACTACCACAAGCATTGAACCAGGTCCAAAACAGGTCTCACCGTTCCGTCTTTGAGCATCCTCAGGCAGGATCCGAAATCGGCCAATCGGATGTGTCCGTTGACGTCCAGCAGCACGTTGTCAGGTTTGATGTCTCTGAAAGACACAGATTAACAGTGTGCTCATTCATGTCAATGGGAAAATCCTCTTAGAATCACCCATGACTTTCACTGTCAAGGCTCTTCATCTCTTCCATACACTGCTTACTGCATATTGTGTGCACCATGTGCATATTGTATATAGTAATTTGTAATTGTACTCATTTTGATTTTGATTTTTTCACCTTAAAAGTGAATGTTGTTTTAATGATGCCTTACTCTGTTCTTTACCTCTCTTTTTTGACTGTTGCACCGAGAGCCAAAGCAATTTCCTTGTCTGTGATTTCCTGTTACTTGGCAATAAAAATGATTCTCATTCTGATCTCTAGAGTCTGAGGAGAACCAGCTGAGGAGAAACCAGGAGAACCACTGCACCCAACTTCCAGAGGTGAAGACAGTGTGAGCTCCTGGTCCAAGTCCTGATCCTGATCTTGGTCCTGGTCTTACCTGTGGACGTAGCCTCTCTCGTGCACAGAGTTAATGGCGAGGACCATCTCAGCCACATAGAAGCGGCACATGTCTTCAGGAAGACGGTCCTCAAACTTAGACAGAAGGGTGAGGAGGTCTCCCCCCACATAGTAGTCCATCACCAGGTACTGAGGAGGGGGAGGAGGGGGAGGAGAGGAGGAGAGACACATTGTTACAGTTGGTCTTCGGTCGGAGGCTCCTAAGTCAGAGCATAAGTGGGAGTGTCACAAGGACCAGTGCTCTGCCCCCTTCTCCCTTTGCTGCTGCAGAATGTCATCCCAGTCCTGGGTCTACAGCCTCAGTCCTGGGTCTACAGTCTCAGTCCTGGGTCTACAGCCTCAGTCCTGGGTCTACAACCTCAGTCCTGGGTCTACAGCCTCAGTCCTGGGTCTACAGCCTCAGTCCTGGGTCTACAGCCTCAGTCCTGGGTCTACAGCCTCAGTCCTGGGTCTACAGCCTCAGTCCTGGACCTACAGCCTCAGTCCTGGGTCTACAGCCTCAGTCCTGGATCTACAGCCTCAGTCCTGGATCTACAGCCTCAGTCCTGGATCTACAGCCTCAGTCCTGGATCTACAGCCTCAGTCCTGGATCTACAGCCTCAGTCCTGGATCTACAGCCTCAGTCCTGGGTCTACAGCCTCAGTCCTGGTCTTCAGTCCTAGTACCAGGTAGTTGTCATCCTGGAAAGCGTAGTGCAGTGTTGTGATCCACTGAGAGTCTCCTCGCACCAGAACATCTCGCTCCTCTTTGAAACACGCCGTCTGGAAGAATCAGAATACTGTTAAAGTACCAATACTCGAGTACTAATACTGCAGAACACAAGTAGTAGTAGTAGTCGTAGTAGTAGAAGAGTAGTAGTAATAGTGGTAGCAGTAGTAGTAGCAGTAGTAGCAGTAGTTGTAGTAGTAGTCTCACCTCGGCTCTCTTTAACATTTCCCACTTGTTGAGGATTTTCATGGCAAAAACCTTTTCAGTGTTTTTTAACTTCACCACGGCAACCTGAGGGGCAGAGCTCAGAGTCATGTGGAGGGACAGGGGCAGAGCTCAGAGTCATGTGGAGGGACAGGGGCAGAGCGGTGAGAAGCGGCAGAGTTCAGAACCACACGGAGGGACAACACGATCAAGAGTCTGCACCAAATAAGCACATCCTATACACAAGCTAGGGTTTGAGGACTCAGAAGAGGAGGTGCAGAGGGAGGGGAGGAGCAAATGGGGGGGGAGGAGGAGGTCAGACTCACCTCCCCGAACGCTCCTCGGCCGATCACTTTGAGGATTTCGAAATCATCTCGATGCAAACGGAGCCTCTTCAGTCTGTCTGTGAAGGGAGCCACTGAGGAAACAAGAGAGGAGGTGAAAGTGAGAGGAGAGAGAAGTGAGGAGGAGGTGAAGTGGAGGTGAGCGTAGAAACAGGCGGTGAGGAGGACAAAGGAGGTGAAGAGTAGAGAGAGGTGAGGAGTGAGAGGAGGTGAAGAGTAGAGAGAGGTGAGGAGAGAGAGGAGGTGAAGAGTAGAGAGAGGTGAGGAGAGAGAGGAGGTGAAGAGTAGAGAGGTGAGGAGAGAGGAGGTGAAGAGTAGAGAGGTGAGGAGTGAGAGGAGGTGAAGAGTAGAGAGAGGTGAGGAGAGAGAGGAGGTGAAGAGTAGAGAGAGGTGAGGAGAGAGAGGAGGTGAAGAGTAGAGAGAGGTGAGGAGAGAGAGGAGGTGAAGAGTAGAGAGGTGAGGAGAGAGGAGGTGAAGAGTAGAGAGAGGTGAGGAGAGAGAGGAGGTGAAGAGTAGAGAGAGGTGAGGAGAGAGAGGAGGTGAAGAGTAGAGAGAGGTAAGGAGAGAGAGGAGGTGAAGAGTAGAGAGAGGTGAGGAGGACAAAGGAGGTGAAGAGTAGAGAGAGGTGAGGAGAGAGAGGAGGTGAAGAGTAGAGAGGTGAGGAGAGAGAGGAGGTGAAGAGTAGAGAGAGGTGAGGAGAGAGAGGAGGTGAAGAGTAGAGAGAGGTGAGGAGAGAGAGGAGGTGAAGAGTAGAGAGGTGAAGAGAAAGAGGAGGTGAAGAGTAGAGAGAGATTGACCTGTGGGTAATGGAGCAGCAGCTCTAGCTCGAGCTCTCACCTTGCTGCAGAAACTCCTGCACGTGGCGCTCCTTCCTAAGAGGAGTCGTGCTGCACTCACAGCAAAAGCAGAGAAGGAGGTCGAGGAGCGTCTCCACCCCGAGCACCTCCTCTGTGTTCTGGGCCCCGGGGTCACAGAGGTCACAGAGGAGGTCAGAGAGGAGGTGCAGCCGCTGCTCCGCCGACTCCTCCTGCTGCGACGACATGTTCACCTGAGACACACACATCACATTAGAGAGCGAGACCAGAGAGAGACCAGAGAGACCAGAGGAGACCAGAGAGACGGACCAGAGAAGAGTCCAGAGAGTAATCAGAGAGAGACCAGAGAGAGAGAGCATAGGGACTAGAGAGGGACCAGCGAGAGACCAGAGAGAGACCAGAGAGTAATCAGAGAGCTACCAGAGAGAGACCAGAGAGAGAGACCAGAGATGGATCAGAGAGAGACGCTCTGACGTCATCACACACATATAAACCGGGTACGCCCTGACGTCACACATATAAACTGTAATAGGATTACCTCAGAGCCGTAATGACCCTATTACAGCCTGAAGTCACGTGAGCAGAACTGTCCCGGGACAGAGGCTCCCCGGGGGTCTCTGTGCGCGTGCACAGGACCAGGTTTAGTCCAGGTCTGGTCTGGTTCCGGCTCTGATCTATGAGGCCGGCGCGCGCCCCATGGCTGTGCGCGTCCAGGACACACGCACAAGCACAGACAAGTGAGATGCGCGTGCGCGTGTCTTAGTCCGGGTTCAGGACCAGGTCTGGACCAGGTCTGGACCAGGTCTGGTTCTGTTCAGCTCCGGGCCCAGTGCCGCACTGACTGTTGGGAAATGGCGACCACGGGAGCGCGCGTCAAGCTGAACGCGTGCGCGCGCTTTTCCGTCACACGCTTTCACAATAAATGTGTGTGTGTGTGTATATTGTGTATGTCTTTGTCTGTATGTGCTTGTATGTGTGTGTCTATGAGTGTGTGTATCTATGTGAGTGTGTGTCTTTGTGTGTGTCTGTGAGTGTTTGTCCATGAGTGTGTGTCTGTGTGTGTGTGTCTATGAGTGTGTGTCCGTGTGTGTGTCTTTGTCTGTATGTGCTTGTATGTGTGTGTGTCTATGAGTGTGTGTATCTATGTGAGTGTGTGTCTTTGTGTGTGTCTATGAGTGTGCGTCTGTAAGTGTGTGTCTGTGAGTGTGTGTCTATGAGTGTGTGTCTGTGTGTGTCTATGAGTGTGTGTGTGTGTCTGTGAGTGTGTGTGTGTGTCTGTGTGTGTGTGTGACTGTGTGTGTGTGTCTGTGAGTGTGTGTGTGTGTGTCTATGCCACTCCACGTTCTTTATGTTTTATTGTGAAGGGGCGTGTCTACAGACCGGAAGCGAGTACTTGTTGCCGTGCGCGCACCTGACGACCCCGCCCCCTCCAATACAGGAGTGGAAGATGGCGTGACGTCACGTCTCCAGTGAGTGACAGCTGCAATTCTTCACATTCACACAAATATTACCCCTGACCCTGACTTACTCTGTTACACCATTACTCTAGTACATCAGTACTGTATTATAATATAAATATTATTATTACATTATTTCTATAGAATCAGAATCATCCATCCATCTTCTTCCCCTTAATCCATTTCTGGGTCGGGGGGTGGCAGTCAGAGCTGCACCCAGTCCACTTAGCACCAGCCCCTCACTGTTCCTCCTGCAGGTGCTGAGTCCACAGGAGCTGAGATCTTTCAGTGGGAGCTTCAGGCAAAGTAGGGTTAAGTGTCTTGCCCAAGGACACAACGACAGCAGACATCAGTGGGAGTCGTGAAGAAGGTCGAACCCAAGAATCAGAATCAGAATCCTTTTATTGCCATGTGAGTAACAGGAAGTCACAGACTCGGAAATGCTTTGGCTCTCGGTGCAAACAAGTTCAATCAAAGACGTGCATAAATAAAAATCTACATTCATTTCTACAGTTTACTATAAACAAGTGCACGAGGTGCACACCCTTCACAGTACATACTACAGTACATATACATATACATATACATATACATATACATATACATATACATATACATATTACATTACTATACTACATCATTACTCACTACAGTTCTCCAGCAGGAGCCGCCTCTGCTCCACTGTTAATGATTAAAGATCAAACTGAACTTTAATCTGAGAGAAAAGCAGACTTTACAAACAGGAGGAGGAGAAGGAGGAGGAGGAAAAGGTGGAGGTGGAGAAGGAGGAGGTGGAGAAGGAGGAGGAGGAGGAGAAGGAGGAGGAGGAGGAGGAGAAGAATGCACAGACCTTAGAGTTAGTTGTTAACATTCTGTAAAATCATCTTAAATGGAATTAAAATTGCGCTCATGTGTGTCTATGCACCAAATAGCTATGATCAAGACTTCTATGACTCTCTAAACTCTATTCTTCTTGATTTGACTGATTATCGCCTCCTTATTGGGGGGGATTTTAATGCAGTATTGAACCATAGCACTGATAGAACAGGAGCCAAAGAGAGTAACGACCAAAGACTAGCTTCTATTGCATTGCAAACTTTAATTCAGCAATATTGTCTAATTGATACATGGCATTTGATGAATCCATCAGCTCGAGAATTTTCTTTTTATTCCGCGCGTCACAAAACCTTCTCCTAGATTGATTATATATTTGTGTCAAAAAACCTTTTTGAAAGTATTTATGCTACAGATATGACGCCCTTTCCATTTTCAGATCATAGAGCCGTCTCTTGCTCCTTCAAAATTAAAGCAGTCCAGACCAGGGCCACACGATGGCGTTTTAATATAACTTTACTTCAGGACGAGGACTTTGTGAAACTATTAACTGAGGATATAACAGATTTTATTGCTATCAATGAACCGTCAGTGAATGACCCGAGAATCTGCTGGGAGGCTGTCAAGGGATGTATCAGAAACTGCTCAATTTCCTATGCTTCGAGATTAAATAGAACTAAAAAACAGAGAATAGCAACTCTCGAACAGGAAATTACTGTGATTGAGAGGGAAATGGTAGATGTGGTCACTCCTGAAAAAATTAATAAGCGCACAACACTTTTTAATGAGCTTAGTGATCTGCTGAGACAGAAGGCAGAATTTCAAATGCACAGAGCTCGACAGAACCACTACACAAACAGTGCAAAACCAAGCCGCTTACTTGCTCTAAAATTAAAAACAATGAGCAGTTAGCCAACATCTCAGCCATTACTACAGAAAATGGCACTGTGACTTCTGACCCTGCTGATATTAATAATGCTTTTAAATTATTTTATGAAAAACTATATAAGTCAGAGGTTACTCATAGCAACAAAAAATGCAATGATTTTCTAAAATCACTAAATCTTTCAAAACTGCCACAAGAGGCTGCAGATTCATTAGGAGCAGAAATCACTTTTGAGGACCTCACTAATGCGATTAAATCAATGAACACAGGTAGATCTCCAGGATTAGACGGAATCCCACCCAAATTGTATTGTGCCCTTTGGCCCCAGTTGGGACCGTTGCTCCTAAAAATGTTACATTTTTCGATTAATAATGGCTCTTTCACTGACAGCTCCAATATAGCAATTATTTCACTTCTACTCAAAAAAGGTAAACCTCGAACAGAATGCTCCTCCTATCGGCCCATCAGTCTCCTAAATACAGACTTAAAGGTGTTTGCAAAGGTTCTGGCGGCTAGACTAGAGAAATATATGCCAGACCTGGTCCATTATGACCAGACTGGTTTCATCAAGTCCCGACTCGCATCAGACAATGTCCGCAGATTACTGCATGTTATAGACAGCTCATCTAAAGCTCCAAACCAAAATGCGATTCTTTCGATTGATGCTGAAAAGGCATTCGATCGATTAGAATGGAGCTACTTATGGTCTGTGCTTAAGCATATTGGTTTTGATGAAAATTTCATCTTAATGATTAAAACTCTTTACGCCAACCCCAGTGCAGTGGTTATGACAGGCACTTCTTGCTCTCCTAGGTTTCCTGTGTCCCGCTGTTCACGCCAGGGCTGCCCACTGTCACCACTGTTATTTACTCTCTCTCTAGAACCGATAGCACAACTCATTAGACAGTCAGGTGAAACTGAGCCGATCAAGATTCAAAACAGCGTTCATCATATTTCATTATATGCCGATGACATTCTAATCTATACTAGCAATCCAGTAAAATCAATTCCATTTTTGCTTGACACTTTTGAGCAGTTTGGCAAAATAGCGGGCTACAAAGTAAACTGGACAAAATCTGCTTTGATGCCTCTGAGTCTTGTCACAAATGATATGTCTGTTCTGAATATTCCCATTGTTAAAACTATGAAATACCTTGGTATCCAAATTCATCCGAGAATGAGTACTATGATTAACGAAAATTATAATAATACCTTGATAACTCTAAAAGATGACCTTCAGAGATGGGGAAAACTTCCAATGTCCTTTCAAGCTCGCTTATCTGTTATAAAAATGAACATACTACCTCGTGTCAATTTTATTAGCTCCATGCTGCCCTTAGACCCACCAAAAGGATATTGGAAGAAGTTACATTCTCTTACTAATACATATTTATGGAACAATAAAAAGCCCAGAGTGAAAGCATCTACTCTTCAAAAACCTAAAGAATCCGGGGGTCTCAACCTCCCCAATTTTGAATGGTACTCTTGGTGCTTCACTCTGCGAGCCCTGGTCTCATGGCTTGGAACTGGGAATGCAGCATCGTGGAGCCCCATTGAAATGGAGCTAGTCAAACCATATAACTTGTCAAGTTTTATCTACTCCAACATTCCAATGAAAATGATAAAACAAGACCATGGTCCCATCATTACCCACCTGGTGACGACCTGGAACAGGGTGAACCGCTTCACTAAAAACAGTGATATATTTCACCTACAGTCACCAATTTTTAACAATCATCTACTCTTAATAGGCAAAAAAACAATATCTTTCCCCCAGTGGGAACACAAGGGAATCCATTCTTTGAAAGACATCACAGGGCCAGATGGACTAAGGGAATTTCAAGATCTTAGAACTTCTTACAATTTACCAAGCTCGTCATTCTTTTTTTATCTTCAGCTACGGACTGCTATGCAGGCTCAGGGGGTCCCATGGGGGTGCTACCTCCCAGACCACCCATTCCATTCTATCCTGGGCCAAGGGAAACTCAATGGTATTGTCTCCAAACTATATAAATGTATCTTAAAATCACAATGTAATCGTCTGCCAATTGAATCACTTTGGAAATCAGATTTAAATGACTATACCGTTTGGGACTGGTCTAAAATTTGGTCCAACTTATCACTATCATCGAGAAATCCAAATCACCAAATGATTCATTATAAATGTATTCACAGGTCCTACTTATTTCCAAGGCAATTACATAAGATGAAGCTAAAAGAGAACCCTTACTGTGATTACTGTGCAGACAATACCATTGGAACGTACCTTCATATGATCTGGGAATGTCCTGAAGTCCATCAGTTCTGGAACACAATCTCATCGTGCCTCTCTGACATCACAGGTCAGAATATTCCCCACACCCCGAGGCTTTTGATATTGAATGACACATCAGACCTGAATCTAACTGTTAATGAGCATCGAACACTGTTTGCTAGTCTCACCGCTGCAAAAAAAATTATAGTGTGCCGTTGGAAAACTAAACAGCCTCTGAGTGTGAGGGAATGGCTCTCCTCGTACAGAGAGATCGCTCAATTAGAACTGTCAGCAGCCCGGGTTCATAAGGCCAAAGCGGTAAATGTAATCTGCTGGTCTAATTTATTGACCAAACTTGTATAGACTATACACCAGTGTATTATACATAGATCTATGTAAAACCCATAACTATTGTTCTTTATTTTCATTTACCCTTTCTGTAAGGCTTTGTCTTTTTTTTTATTTTTATTTTTATTTTTTATTATTATTATTATTTAAGTTTATTTGAATAGGGACAAGTATGTCACATAAGCTCATGTTACATACTACAACATTTTAGCCAAAGCTAATTCTCAATGTCCGTCCCTAGTTGGGCCTTTACATAAAAATTAAACAATACATGGTTAAAACATAATTAAAACACATATCATAATACAGTACAACACAAACACAACAGAGCAGACGGTCAGTGGTCACATTTCTGACCTCTGATTAAAGAGTCTTTAAGTTCGTGTTTGAAAGGGACCCAGTTTGACTCTCCCTTCAGGTCAGTGGGTAAACAGTTCCAGGCTTTAGTGCCTTGTACGGAAAAAGCTGATTGTCCAAATGAAGTATTTCGTTTCGGGATCTGACAGTTCCCGTTCTGAGCTCCTCTAGTCCTTGAGCCCACAGCCCTGAGAGGAACTATACACTCACTCAAGACCTGTGGGGCTTGCTGGTTCAAACATTTGTGCATCAGCTTCAGCTGGGAAAATTTAATAAAGTTTTCAAAAGATAAAATGTTTAAATTCCTCAGACTGATACAATGATGTGACCTAATGGGCTTCCTATCTAGGATTTTAACCGCTCTGTTATAAATCATTTGTAGTGGCATGACTGTAGTGGCAGTGGCCTGTGACCATGAGCAGATGCAGTAACTTATATGCGAGAAGATCATGGCGTGCATGAAAGTGTGAGCAGCATGAAACGGTAGGTAGTCCCTGATCAGTCTGAATGTGTAAAGATTTGCTTTGGTCACTCGACAGATTTTTTTGATATGACTGTCAAATTTAAGTTGTGAGTCAAGTACAAGGCCCAGGTATTTGACCTCTGAAACCTGCTTGATCTTGAAACCATTTATCTGTAAATTTAGTTCTTCGGATATGGACTTTAATCTTGAGGCAAAGCAAACAGACATGGTTTTTTTAAGATTCAATGACAAACCTGCGTTTTGAAACCACACCGCCACAGTTTGCAGATGTTTTGCCAGTTCCTCAGAAACTGCATGCACACTTTTCCCTGGCACATAAACCACTGCATCGTCAGCGTACATCTGGAATCCTGCTGTAGGACAAGAGTCTGGCAAATCGTTAATGTACATAAGACTATGTAAACACTGCGGCTTCTGTGGATGTTCATAACGGAGGAAGTTCGCCATATTATGTGTCTGTAAATAATGAAATGTTATTGATGCCTGGAGAATGGGGTGGAGGGGGGGGGGGGGGGGGGGGGGGTTAGCGGGGCTGGGTGTGTGCATGTGTGTGTGTGTGTGTTTGTGTATTTATGTTGGGATGGGTGGACCCATGGGAGGGAGGGGACAAAAATGTACGTAAAATGTTCGCGCATTTGTTTTCTGTTCCGTGACCATTGTCATCTCTGTATGCAGCGCAACACAATAAATACTTGATCAAAAAAAAAAAATAAGAGTTAGTTGTTGATCTTTAATGTGCAACGTCCATTTTTAAAATGAACAAATTCAACAATAAATATGTTGCTCTTTTTAAAACAACATTTTGTAACAATAACATGTGATGACAGCCTCAGTCCTGGATCTACAGCCTCAGTCCTGGGTCTACAGCCTCAGTCCTGGGTCTACAGCCTCAGTCCTGGACCTACAGCCTCAGTCCTGGATCTACAGCCTCAGTCCTGGGTCTACAGCCTCAGTCCTGGATCTACAGCCTCAGTCCTGGGTCTACAGCCTCAGTCCTGGGTCTACAGCCTCAGTCCTGGGTCTACAGCCTCAGTCCTGGATCTACAGCCTCAGTCCTGGGTCTACAGCCTCAGTCCTGGATCTACAGCCTCAGTCCTGGGTCTACAGCCTCAGTCCTGGGTCTACAGTCTCAGTCCTGGGTCTAGGGTCTCTGGTTCTGGTAAACTCGCCGGCGTTCTGACACGGCCCAAACACAGATCTTTTCTCGACTTGTTGGAGACCGGATCTTGACCAGACCAATATCCTGGTCCTGGTCTCGGTTGGGGTCTTGGTCTGGCTCTGAGATTTCCTCTGGGACTGGTCCTGGTTTGGTCTGGGATTCTGCAGATCTCCTGTTGCTCTCCGTTTTTGTGATTTGTTTTGGTTCAAATTTATTTTTCACCAAGTCAAATGATCTTAGTCCTGGTCTCTGGTCCGGTCTCTGGCCCGGTCTCTGGTCCGGTCTCTGGTCCGGTTTCTGGTCTTGTCTCTGGTCTGATCTCTGGTCTGGTCTCTGGTCCGGTCTCTGGTCCGGTCTCTGGTCCGGTCTCTGGTCCGGTCTCTGGTCCGGTCTCTGGTCCGGTCTCTGGTCCGGTTTCTGGTCTTGTCTCTGGTCTGATCTCTGGTCTGGTCTCTGGTCCAGTCTCTGGTCCGATCTCTGGTCCGGTCTCTGGTCTGGTCTCTGGTCTGGTCTCTGGTTCGGTCTCTGGTCTGGTCTCTGGTCCGGTCTCTGGTCCGGTCTCTGGTCTTGTCTCTGGTCTGGTCTCTGGTTCATTCTCTGGTCTGGTCTCTGGTCCGGTCTCTGGTCTTGTCTCTGGTCTGGTCTCTGGTCCGGTCTCTGGTCTGGTCTCTGGTCCGGTTTCTGGTCCGGTCTCTGGTCTTGTCTCTGGTCTGGTCTCTGGTTCATTCTCTGGTCTGGTCTCTGGTCCAGTCTCTGGTCTTGTCTCTGGTCTGGTCTCTGGTCTGGTCTCTGGTCCGGTCTCTGGTCTTGTCTCTGGTCCGGTCTCTGGTCTGGTCTATGGTCTTTTCTCTGGTCTGGTCTCTGGTTCGTTCTCTGGTCTGGTCTCTGGACCCGTCTCTGGTCCGGTCTCTGGTCCGGTCCCTGGTCCGTTCTCAGTCCTGGTTGAACCACATTTAAAGAGGAGTCGTCGGATTCCGATCGTCTCATATTGAACTTCTCTTTGGCTCGCAGAAACCTGGACCTGGAGCTGAGGTCTCGAAGGTCTTTGGGCTCGGTCTGGTCCTTCTGGTCTTTGGTCTCAGGTGTATCCAGTTCTGAGTCTGACACAGATCTAGTCCTGGTCTTGGTCCTGGTCCTCTCTGAATTCTGTGCTGTTTTGAGCCTCTGCTTAATCTCCGTCAATCTACGCTTGAGGTTGAGATGTTCTGATGCTGGTTTGGTTTCATCCAGATCTTCTGGACTCCCCTGAGGAACTGGTCTCAGGTATGGTCTTGGGTCTGGTCTTGGGTCTGGTCCCCTCACTTCCTCAGGACCTTTGTTACTTCCAGTAATGACTCCCTTTTCTGTTGAATGTGTGTTTTTGAGTTTTGCTTCAAATCTCATTTTCACTTCATCCAGAGTTGGTCTGAGGTCTAGGCCTGGTCCTGGGCCAAAGTCTGCAGATGGTTTCTTGTAGTCTGCTGGAGGTCCTGCTGGAGGGCCTGGTGGAGGTCCTGGTGGAGGTCCAGGTGTTAGTCCTGGTGGAAGTCCTGGTGGAGGTCCTGCTGGAGGTCCTGCTGGAGGTCCTGGTGGAGGTCCAGGTGGTGGTCCTGGTGGAGGTCCTGGTGGAGGTCCTGCTGGAGGTCCTGGTGGAGGTCCTGCTGGAGGTCTCTGTTGGGGACCAGGTCTTACTGGGCTTTCTTCTTCTGAGGTTAGATCTTTCCCTTTTGGCTTCAGTTTTCCAACACATGGAGTTGTTCCAGGAGTTTGTGGTGGTGGCTCAGACCTCTCAGTCCTGGTCTCAGTCCTAGTCTCAGTCCTGGTCTCAGTCCTGGTCTCAGTCTTGGTCTCAGTCTTGGTCTCAGTCCTGGTCTCAGTCCTGGCCCCAGTCTCAGTCTTAATCTTGGTTTCTCTGACCATTAGACTGTTGCTTTTCTTGAGGATCATCTCCCTGGACTTTCTGGTTCTCCTCTGAGTCTCAATGTCTGCAGAACTCATGTTTGGACCTTCTGACCCTCCCCTGGTGAGGCCCGTTTGGTCGGTTTGGTCAATGGACTTGGGGAGGGCTGAGGCTGTCTGGGTGTGATTTGTGTTCTTTGTGTTTCTGAGGCAGAAGTTGGCGTACGTAAAGGTGGAGCTGGAGATGGGACGGCAGGAGGTGGTTTGATCTGAGGAGTCTTTCCGGTCGGAGTTGGTCCAGATGGTTCCTTCTGTTGGTGTTCTGATCGGACTGTTCATGATGGTCTTGGACCTGGTTGACCCTGGGCTTGCTGAGGTGGTTGGCGTTTGCTTCTCTGAGTTTGTGGATCTGGTGAATGCTGCGGTTGATTGATCTGGGTTTGGAGTGAGAGACTTTTTCTTGGTCGAGTCAGAGTGGTTCAGCTGAGTGTGTCGCGTAGGTTTGTGGTTCTCAGAGTGTGTGGAGCTGGAGAAAGCTGTGGTTGGATTGGTAGAATTTGGACCGGTTGCTTCTGTTGGCGTTTTGTTCGGATTGTTGACGATGGTCTTGAACCTGGAGAACCCTGGGCTCGCTGAGGTGGTCGACCGTTTGGCCTCAGCTTCACGACTGATCCTGTTTTCTCTGAATGTCTCTGAACGTTTCCTTTCAAACTTCAGAGTGGTCTCCAGAACGCTGGGCCCAGATCTGAAGTCCTCAGACCTGAAGTCCTCAGACCTGAAGTCCTCAGACCCGAAGTCCTCAGACTTGAAGCTTTCAGACCTGAAGTCCTCAGACCTGAAGTCCTCAGACCTGAAGTCCTCAGACCCGAAGTCCTCAAACATAAAGTCCTCAGACCTGCACTGAGCCCCTGATCCTGGATCGGACTCAGACTCTGGGTTCTCTAGAGCCTTCTGCTTTTGAAGATGTTTCATGGTCGGTTCCAGATGTTTCTTGATTGGTTCTGTCTCCGGTTCCACTGAGATCCTCTGAGATTCTTCATAGTCTTGGATATTGTCCTGAAGACAGGCTTCACTAGGAACACAACAAAGAGCTACAGAGTGTCCCAAGGCCTCTGGAGATCTGAAAGACAGAAGTCTGGGTTTACATCTGGTTCAGACCTGGTTCAGACCTGGTTCAGACCTGGTTCAGACCTGGTCCAGTCTTGGTTTAGACCTGGTCTAGTCCTGGTTTTGACCTAGTTCAGAGACTGACCTGTGTGTGGAGCTCCCCCGTTCTTTCTGATCGCTGTCCACAGAGTGAGTCCGGCCTAAGGACACAAGGAGATTAAATGTGATTCTCTCTGTTCTCTCTCTGGTCTCTCTCTGGTCTCTCTCTGGTCTCTCTCTCTCTGGTGTCTCTCTGCTCTCTCTCTTGTCTCTCTGGTCTCTCTCTGGTCTCTCTCTCTCTGGTCTCTCTCTGGTCTCTTTCTCTAGTCTCTCTCTGGTCTCTCTCTCTGGTCTCTTTCTGGTCTCTCTCTGGTCTCTTTCTCTAGTCTCTCTCTGGTCTCTCTCTGATCCCTCTCTCTGGTCTCTCTCTTGTCTCTCTCTCTCTGGTCTTTCTCTGGTCTCTCTCTGGTGTCTCTCTGGTGTCTCTCTGGTGTCTCTCTGCTCTCTCTCTTGTCTCTCTGGTCTCTCTCTGGTCTCTCTCTCTCTTGTCTCTCTCTCTCTGGTCTCTCCCTGGTCTCTCTCTCTGGTGTCTCTCTCTCTGGTGTCTCTCTCTCTGGTGTCTCTCTGCTCTCTCTCTTGTCTCTCTGGTCTCTCTCTGGTCTCTCTCTCTCTGGTGTCTCTCTGCTCTCTCTCTTGTCTCTCTGGTCTCTCTCTGGTCTCTCTCTGGTCTCTCTCTCTCTGGTCTCTCTCTTTGGTCACAGGTTGAAACAACACATTGACCTTTACCCCAAGGTCAAAAAACCACTCCGCTGCAGCCTCAGTCTCACCTGGACAGTCCTCCTCAGAGAGCCAGGTCTGGACTGGTTCGGTCCGGTCTGTGGGAGGGGTCTTTGGGATCCTCAGGCTGCGAGTTCGGATCCTGGTCCGGGTCCTGGACCTGGACCCTATCTTCATGCGCTGACTGTATCTCTGGACCAAGACCTGGACATTGGGCTGAGACTGGTCCTCTTCATCATCTGCCTCACAGCTGCACACAGTTCAGAGTGAAGACCAGACAGAGACCAGAGAAAGACCAGAGAGAGGCCAGAGAGACCCCAGAGAGAGACCAGAGAGAGACCAGAGAGAGAGACCAGAGAGAGCGACCAGAGAGAGACAAGAGAACCAGTGGGACCAGTGGTCCTGAACCAGGTAGAACAAGGACTTACCTATACGATGGCGATCTTGGTCGGGTTCTTCCTCTGGTCTTCACCTGGTTTTGTCGATCAAGTTCTTTCCAAATGTGGATCTTTTCAGACCAGGGCCTCAAGTCCTCAGACCAGGACTGGTCTAGGGCCGTGGTCTGGGACAAGTCCTGGTCCTGGACCGGGGTTTGGGACGAGTCCTGGACCTGCACCGGGGTCTGAGACAAGTCTTGGTCCTGGACCAGGGTCTGGGACGAGTCGTGGTCCTGGACCATGGTCTGGGATGAATCCTGGTCCTGGACCAGGGTAAGGGACGAGTCCAGGTTGTGAGGAGCCTCTGAGTTGATCTTGGAGACCGAGGTCTGGACCAGTCCTGGAGGGATGTGGTCCAGACTGTCCCTGCGGCTCACAATCCTGGACTCAGTCTGCACTTGGGTCTCGTAGAAAGTCCGGATCTTCTCCATCAGCAGTTGCTCTTTGACGGACAGGCTGGAGTCCCGCCTCCTGATTGGACTAGAGGCCAGGTCTGACCCAGAGACCAGGTGTGGACCAGAGACCAGGTGTGGACCAGGGACCAGGTCTGGAGCAGAAACTGGATCCTGATGATCTGGGCTATCCGGATCATGTCTGGATTTTGAACTTTCCCGGTCTGGAGTCCAGTCGAGTTCTGGTCCGGTCTCAGTCCGGTTCAGGACTGGTTCTGAGAGCAGGTCTTCCTCTGACTCTGTCTCGGAGTTCAGGATCTGACAGTCCCAGACTTGATCCAGGTCTAGACCAAGGCCTTGGTCTCGGTCTGTGGATGAAGGTTCCTCAAAGTCCTGAAGGAAAAAAGACACACCTGAAGAAGAGGAGACGCAGGGAGAACATGCAAACACTGACACAGGGAGAACATGCAAACACTGACACAGGGAGAACATGCAAACACTAACACAGGGAGAACATGCAAACACTGACACAGGGAGAACATGCAAACACTGACACAGGGAGAACATGCAAACACTGACACAGGGAGAACATGCAAACACTGACACAGGGAGAACATGCAAACACTAACACAGGGAGAACATGCAAACACTGACACAGGGAGAACATGCAAACATTGTGTTTCTCACCTGGAGCTCTGGTCCACACCTCTGGTCGAGGTCTTGGTCTGGTTCTGGGATCAGGGTCTCAAATGGTTCAGGTCTGGTCCTGATCTGTTCTCCTCCAGTCCTCACTGCAGAAACACAGACCAGGTCTGAAGCAGGTCTAAAGTGGGTCTAAAGTGGGACTAAAGCAGGTCTAAAGCAGGTCTAAAACAGGACTAAAGAAGGACTAAAACAGGTCTAAAGCAGGACTAAAGCAGGACTAAAACAGGACTTAAACAGGACTAAAGCAGGTATATTGTAGGTCTGCACCTTGGTGAAGAGACGTCTTGAGGACTTCTTCTGGACTTTCCTGGAGACGACCTGAAAGAGGAATAATTCAGCTCCAGTGGACTTAGACTCAAACCTAAACTAAATCTAGACTAAAACAACTCACAGAAAGGACTCTGCTCCAAGAACAAGTCTCTTCTCTGAAACACAAAAATCAATCTGAACCACATCTGGTCTCTGATTTCTCAGGTCTTTCTGGTCTCTGGTCTTTCTGGTCTCTCTGGTCTTGCTGTACTCGGGTCCCTCTGGTCTCTCTGGTCTCTCTGGTCACTGGTCTCTGGTCTCTCTGGTCTGGTCTCTGGTCTGGTCTCTGGTCTGGTCTCTGGTCTGGTCTCTGGTCTGGTCTCTGGTCTGGTCTCTGGTCTGGTCTCTGGTCTGGTCTCTAGTCTTACCTTGTGGGGGATGATCTTCTGGTGATGTTCTAAAATGATCTGTTTGATGTGTTTGGACCAGAGCTGTTTCTCCTCCAGACTGCGAGCCTGAGCACAGAGGCAGAGTGGGCGGGGCTTAGGCTGTGGGGCGGGGCTTGCTCTCACCTCTAGGGGTGGGGCTTATTCACCTGTAGGGGTGGGTTCTGAGATTGAAGGGCGGGGCTTAAGCGTTATGGGCGGGGACTGACCTGTTGGGGTGTGGCTAACTCACCTGCAGTGTGATTGGCTGTTTTGGGCGTCTGTAGTGAGTGACGCTGAAGCTCAGAGAGTCACGTGCGTTCTCGATCAGCATCAGCGTAGAGCACTGTAAACACATGACAATGCTAACCTGCTAGCTCCATGCTAACCTGCTAGCTCAATGCAGTTTGGCTCCTCTCACTGGCTCCTTTTTACTTCTATGTAAAAGTAAACTCCACAGTAACGCTTATGTGACATCACCATTCTGGGTTTAAATCTGTGGTTTCTCTGTGATCCTCCTGTTCATGTGTGATATTGTCTTTATAAATCCAGATTTTACCAAATAATTACTGACCAATCAGAGGCCTTCATTCAGGGGGAAACTACAGCTTCTCTTAGCAACGGTCTCTCTTACGGCACAAAAGCTCCAGCTGCTTTTGTATTAAAGCTAACATGTTGTGATGATTCATCGTCGATTCACCATGAATCGACGATGATTCAAGATGGCGGCGCCCTGTAAGACCGCTGTCTTTGCGATCTGCTAAAAGTAAAGTTTTCCAATAATTGTAAACGCAAGTGAGTTCAAACTAAATTGTATTAGGAGGCAATGCCACCAAAGAAAGCAACGCAGACGGAAAACGATATGGAGGAGATTCGTAAGGCACTGAACAGCATGTCGGCGGAGCTGGCTAAGGTAACACAACAGCTGGCCAAGCTTACGGAACTACACGAGGAAGTCAAACAACTAAGAGAGACTTTAATCTCAAGAGATAGAAGAATTGAGGAACTAGAGAAAAGGATCGATAACATTGAACAGTATACGCGAATGGAAGACGTTATCATTACAGGGATGAATGTGAAACCACGCTCTTACGCTAGAGCAGCAGCCGGAGGGAGAAACATCAGCGAAGATGCAGAGCCCGGGGACCTACAGTCGCTGGAGGGGCAAGTCCTGAACTTTCTGGCTGAAAAGGACATACATTTGGACGCAGGAAATATAGCAGCATGTCATACTCTCCCAAGGAGGGACGCGTCTAAGCCTGCCATTATTCTGCGGTTTGTTAACAGAAAAGTTAAAACAGATCTGCTAAAGCAAGGGAAGAAGCTGAAAGGATCTGCGGTATACCTTAATGAGCATCTCACTCATAAAACGGCCACAATTGCGCGTGAAGCACGCATCTTGAGGAAGAACAACAAAATCAAATCGACGTGGACCAGAAATTGCAAGGTCTTCATCCAACTGAATGGAGCCACTCCAGAACAAGCCAAGGTTTTACTGGTAAGAGAACTCAAAGATCTTGAACAGTTTAAGTAATGCTACAAAAAACAGACCCGACAGTGAAACTAAAACGGCTTGAAACTAGACAATATTTAAATTATGAATGAAATAAAAATTGTCTTTATTGATGGAGTCTGGGGCTTTATTCTGAGGAATATGGTATTTATTAAAGATCCTTGTGCCTTGTCCTGCTGGACTCTGTGGACCTACAAAGATAATACTTATGAATATACCTTGGAGTGGACTTGCACACTGGAAAGGTTACCTCCCAAAGGACTCTTATTGACAATCTTGGATTTTATCATTTTACCTCCTCGGAGATGGTGGACTGGAATTACTCTTTCGCAATCAGAAGGAGCCTTCACATTTTGGACATATTTGAACGCTGTGATTGTGGCGTATAAATGTGTTGTTGAATTTGGTATGGAGACTAGAGGACGACGGTGGTATTTAAATCTAACTGTCCCTATCAAAACCAATGATTACCTCAATTAATGAGGGGGAACCAGAATCCGAGTCCTCCAGTGATGTTGACCTCCATGAAGACCGAAATAAAGCTAGTGTTTTTTATAAAAAGTATGAAAATGTGTCTGTAAATTTACATGATTCTCTGGACTACAAGGTGAATGAATTTGATAGTGACATAGATCCTGATTGTAATTTCTATAAAGATTTAGTGACTGATTGTAAATACTACAGTGATGAACAATTTAAAGAGATTAATACAGGAGGAGCATTTACAATCATACATTTCAATAGTAGGAGCTTGTATAAAAACTATAACGGTATAAAAGAGTATTTGAGTCAGTTTGGCGGCACGGTGGCTGAGTGGATAGCACTATCGCCTCTCAGCAAGAAGGTCCTGGGTTCGAATCCCGGTTGGACCAGGGCCTTTCTGAGTGGAGTTTGCATGTTCTCCCCGTGTCTGCGTAGGTTTCCTCCGGGTACTCCGGTTTCCCCTACCACTAAAAATATGTCCAATAGGTCTGGCATGCGCCTCCTGTACTGGCCCCACTCCCAAAAATAACAATTGTAAACCGCTTTGAGACTCCGATGTGCAGTGAAAAGGCGGTATATAAATAAAGATTACTTACTACTACTACTACTTACTACTTTGCCAAATTTTCAATAATTGCGGTGTCGGAGACGTGGTTGGATACTGAAAAGGATAATGTAGAAATGGAGGGTTATGATTTATTCACACTAAACAGGAAAGGGAAAAAGGGTGGTGGTGTCGCATTGTATGTGCACAACAACCTGAAGAGTAAGCTCGACGACAGGAAAACTACCATAATTGACGGGGTTATGGAATGTATTACTGTCAAAATTGCTGTAAACAGCTCAAAAAATATACTCATTAGTTGTCTGTATAGAACACCGGGATCATGTGTAAACACTTTTAATAAGGAAGTTGGAAACCTCTTTGACAATGTAAACAAAGTTCACATTGTCTGTGGAGATTTCAATATAGACCTTCTTAATCCTCACAGAAACATACAAACATCAAATTTCACTACTACTATGTACAGCAATAACCTCCGCCCGCTAATCCTCAAACCCAGTCGAATAACAAGCAGCACAGCTACACTAATAGACAATATCTTTACAAATGAGATAAATAGTGAAATCACAGCCGGACTACTCATCAATGATATAAGTGATCACCTCCCTGTCTTTAGTGTCTTCCATCATTTTTTACACAAATCCCAAACAGCTAATACCTCTATACAGAAACTGATCCGTCATAGATCACCCGAAGCCATGGCCGCTTTCAAGGCAGATCTAAGTGTTCAAACTTGGGAAGAGGTCTATGCCTCTGAGGATCCTGATCGGGCCTATGATGCCTTTTCAGCTATTACAACCAAACTCTATGACAAATATTGTCCTTTAAAGCAAAAAAAGACCAAAAATAAAGTAGATAAGCCGTGGATCACTCGGGGCATATTAAATGCATGCAAAAAGAAAAACAATCTTTATAAATTATACCTAAAACATAGAAATAAAGTCGCAGAAGAAAAATATAAAACATACAAAAACAAATTAATTAATATAATCAGAGTGAATAAGGAAAATTATTATCACAAATTACTGGAACATCATCAAAGTAATATCAGTGGAATATGGAAAATACTAAATGGTCTAATTAAGAATGGGAAAAAAGAAAATGCACTTCCAAATTATTTTATAATTAATAATCATGAAAACACCTGTACAAGTGAAATTGCAGACGCCTTTAATGACTTTTTTACAAAGGTAGGACCTACATTGGCTGGTGGAATTCAAGTAAATAATAGTGGAAATTTAGTAGATAGTTTAGTTAAACAGAATTCCAACTCTTTATTTTTAAGAGGGGTAGAAGAATATGAAATAATTAGTATTGTTAACAACTTTAAAAACAAAAGGTCAACGGACTGTCTTAACTTGGACATGACGTTGGTCAAGGAAATCATAAATTACATCAGCACACCCTTTACATTCATCTGCAATCAATCTTTCCGTACAGGTATTTTTCCTAGAAAAATGAAAACAGCAAAAGTAATTCCCATTTATAAAAGTGGTGATAAACATCTATTCACAAATTACAGACCTATTTCACTCCTCTCACAGTTCTCAAAAATCTTAGAAAAACTATTTGTTAACAGACTGGACAATTTTATTGAAAAATATCACTTGTTAAGTGACAATCAGTTTGGCTTTCGAACTAACAGATCTGCCACGATGGCGGTCATGGCTCTTGCTGAAGACGTTACTACTGCAATTGATAACAACGAACATACTGTAGGTGTTTTTATAGACTTAAGTAAGGCTTTTGACACCATAGACCACTCACTTCTTCTTCAGAAGCTTCACAGATACGGTATCCGGGGAATTGCTCACAATTGGGTGGAAAGTTACTTAAGTAAAAGAGACCAGTATGTCCATATAAATAATGTCAACTCAAATAAACAGCTCATAACACACGGAGTTCCACAAGGTTCAATTTTGGGACCTAAATTATTTATTATGTATATCAATGATGTCTGTGAGATATTGGATAAAGATAAATGCCTATTGTATGCTGATGATACCAGCCTCTACTACTCTGGAAACAGTCTGCATGACATCATTGATATAGTTCAGCAAGAACTGACGATCCTAAAAGGATGGTTCGACCGTAACAAACTCTCCATGAACCTGACAAAAACAAAATATATAATATTTGGAAATAAAATAAATAACACTCAAATTAAACTGGAGATCAATGGCAAAGAAATAGAACAAGTAGATACAAACAAGTTCCTAGGAATTACTGTTGACGGAAAACTCAGCTGGAAGCAGCATTTATATAATCTTAAATTGAAATTGTCAAAAAATGTTGGAATTTTGGGTAAATTGAGACATGTTTTAAACCAAAAATCACGCCACCTGTTATACAACTCCCTTATTCTTCCCTATTTGAGTTACGGTGCTGAAATATGGGGAAACAATTATAGAACAAATATTGAACCAATTTTTCTACTTCAAAAGAAGGCCATACGAATTGTGTTTAAAACACACTACTACGCACCGACTAACCCTCTCTTTATCCAGTTAAGAACTTTAAAAATGTATGATATTGTTGATGTGAGTACACTGGCTGTGGTATACAGGGCTCAGCACAATAATCTTCCACCCAATATTCAAAATATGTTTGAACATAGAGATTGTAGTTACAATCTCAGAGGAACAGGGATTTTCAAAATAAATAAGGCAAGAACTAACAAAAAAAGCAGATGTGTCTCGGTCAGAGGAGTGAGACTATGGAACAACTTAGACGACGCAATCAAAAACTCCTACTCATTGAAGACGTTTAAAAATAATATTAAACATAATATTTTAAGTAATTACCAAGCCCAAGAATGATAGGTCTAGCAGCTCTCCTACATCTCTATGACAGCCTTTTGCTGTTTGCTTTTGTTGTTAAAATATTAAAATGTGTTTTCTCAAATTATTTATATTTTTCCATCCTATTGTTTCTTTTTATTATTAAAGTTCTCCTGATCTTGACTTTTAGTTTGGCTTCTATTTTAAAAGGGTTTTTTTTCCCCATACTTTGGAGACTTTACTTAATGAATTGGATTAGGCAAAAATAAGTTATACTTCAGCCTAATCCCTTCGGTCACAACTGCGTTTGTAAATCTATGTGAAAGCATGTACATTACTGACATAAGATTCATTGTTTTTGTAACCTTGTCCTCTTTTGATTGTCCTTTATGTCTAAATAATGATAATTTGTATGACCGAATAAACAAACAAACAAAAATCAAAAAATGTCACACTGTGGTGATGTCACACTTGGTCTATGGATCCGACTAGTTCCTCATGCAGAGAGCAAAGGTCAGCGACCAGGTGTTTTTTTTATTTGTTATTGGTTACAACATCCTACCACTGATGGTTTGGGCCGTTTAGCCTGTTCCCCACATGGTCCTTGTCCACATGGTCTTACCGTGATGTGCTCCTTGTACACATAGTACTCCCCCCTCCTCTTCGTCAGCAGGAGGACCTTGTGGAAGAGGAACAGGTTCCTGTGGCTCCTCACATGGTTCATCTTGAAGGTTCCCTCCAAAACCAGGTGACCAAACGTGGTCAGGTCTGGACCTTTGAAGTTCAGTAGAAGAGACTGGACCTCCTGAGACCAGAGAGAGACCAAAGAGAGACCTCTGAGACCAGAGAGAGACCTGAGAGTGACCTCTAAAACCAGAGACACACAAGAGAGACCAGAGAGAGACTACTGAGACAGAAGAGACCAGGGAGAGACCAGAGAGACCAGAGAGAGCCCAGAGAGAGCCCAGAGAGACCAGAGAGAGACCACTGAGACCGGAGAGAGACCAGAGAGAGACCTGAGAGTGACCTCTGAAACCAGAGACACACAAGAGAGACCAGAGAGAGACGACTGAGACAGAAGAGACCAGGGAGAGACCAGAGAGAGACCAGAAAGAGCCCAGAGAGAGCCCAGGGAGACCAGAGAGAGACCACTGAGACCGGAGAGAGACCAGAGAGACCAGTATTAGCAGTACTAGTGTGTGCACTTCACCTGGACTCGCACGCTGGATTCGTGGCGTCTCTTCATCTCGTTAATAAACCAGGCCACAGTCGTCATGGAGACAACGGCGGCATCCACCATGGCCCTGGTCCCGCCCCTGCGCTCCCCCTCGTCGTCCTGGTCCCAGTGCAGCTGCATCTGCCTCAGCAGGAGGTGGTACTTCAGGACCCTCTGCACTGGTTTGAGGAGGTATGACCCCAGAGGGAGAGGGGTCTGCAGGACCTTCTGACGCTGGTACAGATATGAGGACCAGGACGGTTCCTTCAAGACCTGAGCCAGGACCTGCACAGACCTGAGACCAGAGACCAGAGAGATCAGAGACCAGAGAAAAGGAAAAATAGACTTTACTGATCTCACAACGGAGAAATGTACAGAACTCAGGTGCAACATGTTGAAAAGTGTCTTTAGTGCAGATATAATTTGTACAATTAAATTAAAGTGACGTCTGTGACTTATTGTACAGTCTGACAATGGTGGGGATGAAGGCCCTGTGGTAGCGCTCCTTCTTGCGCTGAGGCCTCAGTTTTCCACCAGAGAGAGACCAGAGAGAGATCAGAGAGACCAGAGAGAGACTAGAGACCAGAGAGAGAGCAGGAGAGGCCAGAGACCAGAACGAGAAACCAAAGAGAGAAGTGAGAGAAGTGAAGGTTAAAGATCAGAGACAAGATCCGTAGACTATTCAGACTTTCTACTTATAATAGACATGATGGACTGGGTCTGGACTGGGTCTGGACTAGGTTCAGGTCTGGTACCTGGGGTAGTTGGTACAGTAATGAGTGTAGATCCTGAAGTCTTCACTCTGAAACAGAAAAACCCACAGTTAGTTACAGTCCGTATCACAATCTGTATATATTTCTAAAGAGCCCCTATAACTGACCAATCAGGAGCCTTAGTTACTTAATTACCAGGACAAGCTCTCCCAGCTCAACGTGCCCGATTCCACCTGCAGGTGGATCACTGACTTCCTGTCGGACAGGAAGCAGCGAGTGCGTCTGGGGAAGAATGTCTCGGACTCTCGGATTATAAATACAGGAGCCCCACAGGGCTGTGTTCTTTCTCCCCTGCTCTTCTCCCTGTACACCAACCACTGCACCTCCAGCCACGACTCCGTGAAGCTGATCAAGTTCGCGGACGACACCACCCTCATTGGACTCATCTCCAACAACGATGAGTCCGCCTACAGGAGGGAGGTGGACCGGCTGGTGTCCTGGTGCAGTGGTAACAACCTGGAGCTGAACGCCCAGAAGACAGTGGAGATGATTGTGGACTTCGGGAAGAGCACTGTCCCCCCGCCCCCACCCTCCGTGATGGACTCCCCCATCACCTCTGTGGAGTCCTTCCGTTTCCTGGGCACCACCATCACCCAGGACCTCAAGTGGGAGCCGACCATCAGCTCCCTCATCAAGAAGGCCCAGCAGAGGATGTACTTCCTGCGGCAGCAGGAAAGCCAAGCTGCCTGCACAGATGTTGGTGCAGTTCTACACGGCCATCATCGAATCCATCCTCACCTCCTCCATCACCGTGTGGTTCGCTGAGCCACAGTCAGGGACAAACAGAGACTACAGCGCATTGTGCGCTCTGCAGAGGAAGTGATCGGCCGCAGCCTTCCATCGCTGCAGGACCTGTACGTCGCCCGAGCTCGAGGCCGGGCTGGTCGTATCACAGCCGACCCCTCTCACCCTGCACATGGACTATTCCAACCACTCCCCTCAGGCAGGAGGCTGCGGTCCATCAGGACTAGAACCTCCCGCCACAAGAACAGTTTCTTCCCCTCTGCTGTTGGACTCTTGAACACTTCTTAACCTGTCCCCCCGCCCTTTATAAAGTCACTTTACTGCCCATCATACGTCACTTTACTTCACTGTACTGCTGTCACCTTACATTGTGTGCACCATGTGCACTTGTATATTGTAAATAGTAACTGTAACTCTATTTTAAATTAAAATTTATTCTTTAGAAGTGTTTTTTATTCTTATTTTTATTATCTCTTTTTGACTGTTGCACTGAGCCAAAGCAATTTCCAAGTCTGTGACCTCCCGTTACTTACGTTGGCAATAAAAAAAAAAAAAAAAAAATGATTCTGATTCTGAATACTGCAGGAACAACTCCTGATTGGCCGGTTGGTTGCCAGGTAGTTGCTATGAGTGTGGCGTTTACCTTCAGGACGAAGCAGCGACAAACTTCTACAGGATCAAGTCCACAGCTCTGAAGGTCCACAAGGAGACCACTGCAAGAGATCAGAGACTCTGAACCAGGTCTGAACCAGGTCCGAACCAGGTCCGAACCAGGTCCATCAATACTGGGATCATGATAGACTTTCGTCTCCAGTGGTTTTGGAATCAAACAAATGTGTTTGATTCCTGAAACAAACTATAGAATGTGGGTCAGGACCAGGACCAGGACCAGGACCAGGACCAGGACCATGACAAAGACCATTACCAGTACAAACACTAGGACCAGGACCAGGACCAGTCTGATTCGGTTATAGACCTGATCTTACTGACCTGTTGAAAGCGTAGATCTCCTCAATGTTACCAAACAGTGCCCCCACTTGCTCCGCCCGCACACTGAGCTCTGATTGGTCAATGAGATGTCCCAGGTAATCCTGCACCAATCACATTCAAGCTTCATAATGAGTTTGATAACAGAGCATGTCGACAGAAGTGGTGGGGATGTGGTCTTGGATAAAACATGTTTAAAACTGGGGTCTGTAACTTTAGTCTCATGTAGCAGAATGATAATAACATGTAGTTCGAACAGAAATAACAGAACATGCTGTTGATCCCTGGGAGTCACTATCTGCCTCTTTGGGCTGAGAGCTGATTGGCTGAGTGAGGGTGGTCCTCTGTGATCCAAAGATGTGACATCACAAACACATAAAACTAGTGACAGATGCAACTGTTTTAGTATTTAATACAGAGTTGTGTTGGTCTGAGAGTTACAGACCCCAGCTTTAAAGCACATATGTTACACGTCTGGGACTGACCTGAACCATCATCTTCAGATCTTCAACATAAACTCGCTCCGTCTCAAGGATCTCCAGGACCACCTGCTGCAGGTAGGACCGACCGGGACCTGGAGCCATGGTCCTGGTCTGAAAGTGGCCCCTGGGGGTCCCCTGAGCTGGGGGTCTGTAGTTTTGGCTTTCTCTTTCTGTTAAATGTGTAGTGTGTGAAAGTGTCTTAGCTTCAGTCGTCTCCTTAATCTGCTAATCCTCTGGGATTGACAAGTAAAACCAACGGGCGGGCCTAATACTGTGATCGACAGCTCTGGGGCGGGACTTAATCCAATTACAGTGCAGGTCAAAGTCCCGCCTCCTTTTGCTGTCTACACCAATCACAGTAGATCACAACGCTCCAGTCCTCTTCACGTGTGGAGCAGCTGGATGTTAGCAGGAACTGGAGCACGCTGCTGTAGAAGACGATCCAGAGTCTTCTGAACCTGGATCCCCCACTGGACCTGCTTTAGACCTGCTCTAGACCTGCTTTAGACCTGGCCCAGTCCAGCTCCTTTAGACCAGGGATGTTAAAGTCAAATACATCAGAGGCCAAAAAATACTAATTCGATTTAAGCTGAGGGCCGGGGTGATTCAATGTTTATAAAAACATTAAAATGATTGCATATAATCTATTGAACCAAGACCTAACACAGTTTTAATTAATGATGAAATTAATAATCGAATAATTTCGGTTTATTCGGGTTTACAGACAATAACAAACTTCCTATAAAGAGAAAACACATTAAATGAATAATCCAATATTTTCTTATGGCTCTGTGCGGCTGGTTCTAATGATAATCAAATATCATCCCAGGGGCCAAGATAATTCATTCGCGGGCCGTATCTGGCCCCCGGGCTTTAACTTTGACACCTATGCTTTAGACTGTGATTAAAACAGCTGAAATAAAAGGACTCAACTCGTCACATACAGAACTTTAATAGAAATATAACAGACGATTGTCACGGCAACAAGGGACAGAGATTAGTGCTTTAGTCCTGGGTCAGTCCTGGGTCAGTCCTGGTTTAGTACTAGGTCAGACCTGGGTTAGTCCTGGTTTAGTCCTAGATCAGTCCTGGTTTAGACCTGGGTTAGTCCTGGGTTAGTACTGGGTCAGTCCTGGGTTTGACCTTAGTCCTTGTTCAGTCCTGGTCCAGGTCTGTTTCAGTCCTCTTTGGTGGTTATGAGGGACACAATCATATTTCAGTTAAGGATCAGGGTAAAGAGAGAGACCAGAGAGAGACCAGAGAGAGACCAGAGAGAGACCAGAGAGAGAGACCAGAGAGAGAGACCAGAGAGAGACCAGTGGTACTGCTGTGGGACCTGGGTTCTGGTCAGATGTCTCCACTCATGTCTCCTCTAATGTCTCCTCTAATGTCTCCTCTGGTGCCTCCTCTGATGTCTCCTCTGATGTCTCCTCAGATGTCTCCTCAGATGTCTCCTCTGGTGTCTCCTCTGGTGCCTCATCTGATGTCTCCTCAGGTGTCTCCTCTGGTGTCTCCTCTGGTGCCTCCTCTGATGTCTCCTCAGATGTCCCCTCAGGTGTCTCCTCAGGTGTCTCCTCTGGTGTCTCCTCTGGTGTCTCCTCTGGCGTCTCCTCTGGCGTCTCCTCTGGCATCTCCTCTGGCGTCTCCTTTGTGTCTCCTCTGGTGTCTCCTCTGGTGTCTCCTCAAATCCTCTTGTTGTGGACGCTGCTGCAGTGTGTCTTCATGTCCTTCCTGAGTCTGAACTTGTCTCCACAGACGGAGCAGACGTACAGATGGACCTCCATGTGCTGCTCCAGCTGCTCCAGGCCTGGGAACATCTGGAAGCAGACCTGAGGAACCAGGAGAGGAGGAGGTGAAACTCCCCTCTCAACTCCTGCACCTCCTCTGTCACCTCCTCTCTCAGCTCCTGCACCTCCCCTGTCACCTCCTGCACCTTCTCTGTCACCTCCTCTGTCACCTAATCTCTCAGCTGCTGCACCTCCTCTGTCAACTCCTCTCTCAGCTCCTGTCAGCTCCTCTGTCACCTCCTCTCTCAGCTCCTGCACCTCCTCTGTCACCTAATCTCTCAGCTCCTGCACCTCCTCTGTCAGCTTCTCTATCAGCTCCTGTCACCTCCTCTATAAGGTTCTGTCACATCCTCTGTCACCTCCTGGTACCTCCTCTCAACTCCTCTGTCACCTCCTCTCTCAGCCCCTGTCATCTCCTCTGTCAGCTCCTATCATCTCCTCTCTCAGCTCTTGTCACCTCCTCTCTCCTCCTCCTGCTCCTCAGTACCTGACAGATGGTTTCTCCTGGAGACAGGTGTGAGATCATGTGACGAACGTGATCTTGTTTCAGGAAAGTCCCCTGTTCACAGACTGGACACACGTAACGAGCCACTCCTGCAAGAAAGACCTGCTTTAGTCCGGGTTTAGTCCTGATTTAGTCCGGGTTTAGACCTGCTCTAGTCCAGGTCCCTCTCCCCTTGGTGCATGTCCTAGTCCTCGCTCACCTGGTTGTCTCTCACCTGGTCCTCTCTCACCTGGTCCTCTCTCACCTTGGTGCATGTCCTGGTGTAGCCGCAGCTGCCGTTGCCGTAGGAACCCCTTGCCGCAGGTGTTACAGCTGAATTGCTTGTGTTTGGTGTGGACCGTGTAATGTTCTCGCAGATGACATCGCTGGAAGAAGCCCCGCCCACAAATCCCACAGAAGTGACGTCGGCGCGAATCCTCCAATGAGAAGGCAGCAGGCATCAGGCCGGCCAATGAGGCGCCGGCATTCTGCAGAGAGGAGGAGTTTACCCCCAACACAGCGCACGTTTAGTCCAATAGGATTTATTGGACTAAACCTTCCTCTCCTCCCTCACCTCACATCTCACACAGCCCCTCCCTCCCTCACACACCCTACCCTCCTCCCTCACACCCCCCCCCCCCCCCCTCACCTCACAGTTGTCCATCAGCTGCAGAGCCTCCAGGTCCTCGTCCTCATGCTCCTCCTCCTCGGACTCCTCCTCTGGGTTCTCCTGGTTCTCTGGGTTTTCCTGGAGGTCTGGAAGGTCTGGTTCTTGGCTCGGGTCCTGGCTTGGGTCCTGGCTTTGGTCTGAAGTCTGGTCCAGGTCCTGGTCCAGGTTTTGGTCCTGATCCTGGTCCTGGTCCTGGTCTTGGTTCTGAGCACACCTCTGTGCATGCTCCTGCAGCTGTCGACCTTTGATGAGAACCTGACCACAGCGGCCACAGGCGCACATGTGGCTGGTGTGGCAGGACAGGAGGTGGGAGGAGATCTCCTGGTGCTACGGGAGAGAGAGGAAACACATGTGGTTGGTCTGGAAGGACAGGAGGTGGGAGGAGATCTCCTGGTGCTATCTGGTCCAGACCTTGTCCAGACTTGGTTCAGACCTGACTAAGACCTCACCTCCAGCTGGAGTCCGCACAGCTCACAGCGAGACTCCGGATCCTGGTCCAAACCAGGTTCCAGTTTGATCCTTTTGGCTGAGATTGGTCCTGGTTCTGGTTCTTCCCCAACTTCGATCTTCACTGTAGCTGGTCCTGGTTCAGATCTGGTCCAGTCCTCGGTCTCGGACTTCACTCTGGTCTCGTTGGAGTCTGGACTGGACTCGGTGTCAGTGTGAAATAGATGGACTGTGTCTCTGCTCTGCGGACACAGAGGGTGGATTAACCTCTGACATTCGATCAATAATAAATCTTATTGGTGACGATGCCCTGGTCTCCAACCTGGTTCCTGGTCCCTCACCTGGTCCCTCCCCTGGTCTCTCCCCTGGTCCCTGGTCTCTCACCTGGTCCCTGGTCTCTCCCCTGGTCTCTCACCTGGTCCCTGGCTCCTGGGGGGTTCTTGCGGTTGGTGCAGGTGAGGATGTGTTCGATGAGGAGTTTCTCGCAGCTGAAGACGAAGCCGCAGTCGTCGCAGGTGAAGGTTCTGCCAAAGCGCGGCCTCTCCCTCAGCCGCTCCGCAGGGCGCCTCAGCGGCCGCCGCAGATCGCATGGTTCTGGAGCCTCAGGGGGAGGGGCCACTGGACCAGGGGGAGGGGCCACAGCACCAGGGGGAGGGGCCACAGCCAGAAGCTCCTCCACAGAGATGGGACGACTGGGGCAGAAGACCAGCTCAGAACAGAGACCAGAAACCTGCACCACAGCCCTGTGTGCAGCATGATAGATGAAGGAGCATGTAGCCTGTCCACCAGCTCTACTCTACTTTACTCTACTGTACTCTACTGTACTCTACTGTACTCTACTGTACTCTAGTCAACTGTACTCTACTCTACCATGCTCTACTGTACTCTACTGTACTCTAGTCAACTGTACTCTACTCAACTCTACTGTACTCTACTCAACTGTACTCTACTCTACCATGCTCTACTTAACTCTACTGTACTCTACTGTACTATACTGTACTATACTGTACTATACTGTACTGTACTATACTCAACTCTACTGTACTACTCTCACCAAGTAGGGAAGTAAAGCTGTTGGAAAACGGGGTATGAGACTGACCTATTTACTCACCTGTTTCCAGTGGAGCTGTTGGTCTCTGGTCCAGATCTGGTTTCAGGTCCAAGTCTTGCCTCAGGTCTGGTCTCAACTCGGGTCTCGGCTCGGGTGGGGAACATCCGGACCCCAAAGATGAGTTTTGGTCCCGAGTTCAGAGCGTGGACTTGTGCATCTGGGTTCGGGGTCAGACCTGGTCCTGGTCTTGGTCCCTCCTGGTTTGGACCCAGGTCTGGTCCTGGGTCTGGTCTCAGTTCTTCTAGGGTCTGAGGGACATGGAACATCTGCAGCTGCTGCATGGACGACTTCAGGTCCTCAAAGTCCAGACTGAAACAAGAGTACAGAGCAGCAGCAGTATCAGTAGTAGTAGTAGTAGTAGTAGCAGTAGCAGTAGTAGTAGTAGTACCTGTCTACAGTACTAATACTCCCTCGGTACATGTACTGCAGTACTCTGTCGAAGCTGGTGGCGCTGAGGCCTGTGTGGCTGAGGTCGACTCGCTGCTGCCCCCTGCTGTCTGTGTGAGTGAACATCATCCTGAAGAGGGCGCTGCAGGCGGCCAGCACACAGCGGTGCGCTCGGAACTGAGTGTCACCGATAGCAACCAGGACGTCACACAAGAAGCCCCACTCCCTCTGAGAGTCCAGCTGCGAGAGGAGGCGGGCGGCGTGCGGCATCTGAGGGACACAGGTAAACAACAACAAAGAAGTAAACAAAACAAAAAAAGTAAACAACAAAACTTGGGAGTCTGTTGCCGAACTTCTCCACAACAGTAAAGATGTGGTGCGTGTGGCGTTCGACATAAAATCCCTTAAACAGCACGACACAATAATGTGGGTGGCGTGTCTTGCCAAAGAACACAACCACAGTTTGGCACTTTACAGCCGCCCCACTGTGGCACCTTGTGCTCCCAGAGGTCTCCCATCACAGTACTAACCAGTCCTTGCCCTGCCTAAGTACAGAAGTCTGACAGAATCTGGCTTTCACCTGCGGGTGGCGCCACAATAATACCTATAAAACTGTCTAGGACCAGAGGCTGTTTCATTCTACACACTGTCTATGGTTGTGACACACGTACTACAGCACAGTATACATTAGTATACAGTATGTTAGTATACATTAGTATATACAGAATACATTAGTGTATATAGTATACATTAGTATACATGAGTATACACTATTATATAGATGATACATTGGTGTATATAATCATTAGTATATAATATATACAGTATACATTGGTCTATACAGTATACATTAGTATATAACACAGTAACAAAGCTCTTACTGTGAAAGGGCGGCGTCGGAAGTCCCAGTGTGCGTGATGACGCGCTCTGCGTATCGTACGTCATGCGTCCTCCCGCAAGGTCCCGCAGCTGCACGCGGCCTGGTCCCTGGTAGACCTGGAGCAGTCCTGGTTCAGTCCTGGTTTAGTCCTGGTATAGATCTGGTTCAGTCCTGGTCGAGACCTGGTGGAGACCTGTTTTAGTCCTGGTCTGGGCCTGGAGTAGACCCTCCGCTGCTGTATTTGACGCGGAGGGCTGACGCGGTGCAGACGCGGGAGACGCGGGTCTGGACTCTGCTCTGCTGCGGGACTCAGACTTCCGCACCGCACTTCCCGCACGAGCCCTTCAAAATAACAAGCGGTGCGGGTCTGAACCGTTATTATTATAGATCTGAACCAGGTCTGAACCAGGTCTAAAGCAGGACTAAAGCAAGTCAAAAACAGACTTGCTGTAGTCCTGCTCAGACCTGCTTTAGACTAAAGTCCTTCCTGCTGTTGTCAGACTGCTGAGTCTGTACATGTGCCATTCACCTGTTCTGATATTTCACTAGTTACTACCTGCTGCTGTTATTACTATTGTTTATTCTGCTCATATTCCCTGCTGCTAAAGTACAATATACACATCTGTAAATATCTCAAGCTGACTACAGTGTCCTACACATGTGATACATATATATATATATATATATATATATATATATATATATATATATATATATATATATATATACATATATATAGATATATATATATCTATATATGAGAGAGAGATAATATATATTATATTCTACATATTCTATATACATAGATAGATAATACTCTTTACTCCTCTCTCCTCTGATTTCTGGTCATGTCTCCTCTGCCCACGTGATCCTCCTCCATCGGAGCTCTCGCGGGACTTGTTGCGCTCTCTCTCTGTCTGTGTGCTGTTCTCGCGAGAGTCCAGGTAGATCTCCGCTGGTGCGTGTGTCCGCAGGTCTCAGGTCAGTGCGTGGTCCTGTCCGTATGTGCGCGTGCGTGAGACAGTGGGGAGCGCGTGCATGTGTGGATGCATGAGGTTAGAGACCGTGAAGCAGGTCTGGAGGCTTTGCGTGAACGAGGCTCTGTGGGTGTGCGTGAGAGGAACGTGAATAATACACAGGTCTAGGTCTGGGTGATGGTCTGTGTCCTGGTCTGGGTGATGGTCTGTGTCCTGGTCTGGGTCCTGGTTCTAGTCTTGGTCCGGGTCTTGGTCTGGGTCTGTGATCTATTCTAGATGAGTGTCGGCTGCTCTTTGATGTGGTGCGGGAGTGGGCGGGGCTTGTGCCTGCTTGATGCGTTTCCATAGAAACGGCCGTGTCCGAATCTGAGTGTTATTCCTTTTTCCAAAGTGCTGAGATTAAAGCAACATATTTAAATAGACAGGTCTTCCAGCTTTATGTACGTTTGGATGCAGTCAGATTTTAAAATGGTCCTAACTTTAGAATAATGTATAATTCATTTGAAAACACACACAATTTTCCAAGTCTTATGGTGATTTCAGACCGGAAACGCTGAAACGCTCGTTCTCTAGTTTTCAGACGCAGGGGTCTTCAGACCAGAGGTCCTGACCAGCGCCGGAAGTGCCGGAAGTAGTCGAAGGGCTCTGATGCTAACAGAGTTTAGCTAGCGGCTTCTCGTGTACAGATCTTCTCCAATATTGCAGCTCTGCAGCATCTCTGTGTCCAGAGACCTTCCACAGACTTTATATAACAGTAGTATGTGTTCACGGAGGTGCGCAATAAGTTTATTTTATTATTAAACGGTATTTCCAAAGCGGCGAACACACTCGAAGCAGTTGCATAAAGTCACGGGAGCATGAAAACTCACATGTTCACAAGCACCATGTCCCCCATTGTCAACCCTGGTTTAGTCCTGGTGTGGCTCCTGTTTTGGCTGTTTACGAGTATTTTCAGTCTGCTCGCTCAGTCTGCAAATGTCCCCGTGACCACTTTGCGGCTCTCTGATTGGTTGCTGCACAAACGTCCCGAGGAAAGGTTGAGCAGAATCCATCTCCTGCGTTCCTCCCTTCGACTTCCCAGCGTGGTCCGTGCGTGCATTCCGAGACGTTCGTGCGTTTTGACGACGCAACTCATGATCCGGTCTGAACGCGGCATTAGCCTTTTTGGGCAAATCCTTCAAATGTGGCAGATTGTAACGAGAGGAAACCATCTGCTCTCTTGAGCAGATTTTAGCAAATGAGCTCAAATACGAGGCGCAGTTGCAGTCGTCAGCAATGATTGATGAGTATCATGAAAAATCTGAGTCCCAGTATTGATTCCTGAGGAACCCCACAGCGTGAAAGTGACAGTCTTCTCCTCTCTTACAGCACAAAGATGGCCGTCACAGCGCACAGCCTTCTTCTTTTGCAACAGTTGAATGTTCAGCGGGAGTTTGGTTTCTTGTGCGACTGCACCGTCGCCATCGGCAACGTGTTCTTCAAAGCTCACCGAGCCGTGCTCGCTGCCTTCTCCAACTACTTCAAGATGATTTTCATTCACCAGTCCAGGTACTGAACCAGGTCTGAACCAGGTCCTTTCTTTTCATCTTTGTCTCATTAAAAAAATGTTCTAAGCATAGGTCTGAACTTATTATTTACAGCGTATGGTCTGAACCAGTGCGGAAGTGACAGTTCTGTGGTCCTCTCCTACAGAAAATTGATGACCATCACTCTCACTGTCCTCTCCTACCTTTTCTCCTTCCTCCTCCTCATCATATACACTGTTCTAACCACCTCCTCTTCCCCCTCTCCCTCTCACCCCTCTCCCCCCTCCTCACCAACAGTGAGTGCATTAAGATCCAGCCGGCAGACATCCAGCCGGACGTCTTCTCCTTCCTCCTCCACGTCATGTACACTGGGATGAGTCCCAAACAGAGCGTGGACCAGAGCCGGCTTCAGGATGGGATCCGCTTCCTGCATGCCTACCAGCTGTGGCCCCGCCCCCATGACTCCGCCTACTCAGAAGACCATACCCACAACCAGGACTCCGCCCACCCTGATGATCACGCCCACAACCAAGACTCTGCCCATCCAAGCACCAGCTCCTCTGACGACCTGAGGCAGTCCAACCTGTACGGCATCCAGATCTCCTCCCAAATCTCCGGGAACAAGGAGGTGAGCTAACATGCTAAAGATAATAATTAGGCTAATAATGCTAATAATTATGAATTAATTATGCAAATTATGATAACCTTGCTGTGACTAACATGCTAATGATAATAAATCGGCGAATCATGCTAATGATGCTAACAATGCTGCTCATGGTAGTGATGCTATTCGTGTTTACAAGGCTAATAATGCTAACCATGCACTTTAGCACATTGACTAGAGTGAGTCTGGTGAGTGCCAAGGGCCATGGCACTGACTCCATCCTTCTGCCCCAGGGCAACTGTGACGACATCAGTAGTCCAGCATCGTCAGCTTCCTCAGTTTCATCCTCATCATCATCATCATCATCATCATCATCATCCTCATAATCCTCATCATCATATTCATATTATTATTATAATCATTATTAGTGTTATTATTGATATATAACTGTGATGTGCTGCAGAGCTGTTCGTCGGCCTCCAGGGGGCGCTCTCAGGCCCAGGCTCCGCCCCTGTGTGAGGAGGAGGAGCGGCCTCTGTGCTCCGTGGCATCAGGAGTAGAACCCAACATCAAAGAGGAACCAGAAGAGCTAGATTCAGGCTGCCTGCAGGAGGCGCTACGACAGAGCCAAGCTTTAGCCAATCAGCTCGCAGCTCAGCTCCGCCGCAGCCGTGAGGGGGAGGGGCTCTGCTACCCCCCAGGTGAGAGACCAGAGAGAGAGAGAACAGAGAGAGAGAGACAAGAGAGAGACAAGAGAGAGACAAGAGAGAGACCAGAGAGAGACCATAGAGAGACCATAGAGAGACCAGAGAGAGAGACCAGAGAGAGACCTTTCCTATTGAACCCTTGATGTTTTTATTGGCTCTCACCTGTTGGCTCCTCCCACAGACGGTGAGGAGCGGATAAGCCCTGCCCCCTCCATGAGGAAGAGGAAGATTGCTTGCGCCGTCTGCAGTCTGCGCTTCAGCCACAAGAGTGCACTGCAGGAGCACATGTACATCCACACCGGCAAGCCTCGCCACCATGCACGCACAGGCCACGCCCACACCAGCACAGGCCACGCCCACACCAGCACAGGCCCTGTTCACATGGATTCGGGGGGCGGGGCTTCTAACGGCAGCTCATACTCGCTGGACTCGGAGGCGTCGCAGGAGAGTGCGGTCGATGCCCCCTAGTGGGCGGACCTGGGATTGCATTGACTGTAGAGCATTCACAGAGGCTCAAAAAGAACTGAAACATTCTACAAACTGAATCTGATCTAAATCTAAAACAGCTCAAATATTTGCACAGTTTGTCATGTTTAATATGGGGGTGGTAGAATCATGCTGTGGGGCTGCTTTTCTTCAGAGGGGGCAGGGGCGAGTGTCAGAGCTGATGGAAGGTGGATGGATGACAAATACTGGATTCAGACGAAGACACTCACAGAGAGAGACAGAGACACACATACACACAGAGAGACACACATACACACACACACACACACACACAGAGACACACATACACACACAGAGACACACATACACACAGAGAGACACACACAGAGACACACATACACACACAGTATTTGTACTCTTTGAAGCTTGTCTATTTATTGTTGTGATTGCTTTGTTTTTTACTTTTTCACGTCTGATTGGTCGGTTTGTTTAATGGTTTATGTTTGTGTTTGTGAAGTTTATTAATGAAATATTCTCCTCTGCTGGAGCCAGAAGGGGACGGGGCCAGGAGAGGGAGGAGTCAGTGTGAGGGGGAGGAGCCAGTGTGAGAGGGAGGAGTCAGTGTGAGGGGGAGGAGCCAGTGTGAGAGGGAGGAGCCAGTGTGAGGGGGAGGAGCCAGTGTGAGAGGGAGGAGTCAGTGTGAAGGGGAGGAGCCAGTGTGAGAGGGAGGAGTCAGTGTGAGGGGGAAGAATAAAGTAATTTGAAACATGTGAATCATAAATAAACTTTATTGACTTTGGTCTTTGTTCTTTGAGCAGCTCTTCTCTGTCCTGTTTGGTTCTTCTTGGTCCTGATTTGGTCAGGTTCAGTTCTGGTTGATCCTGGTTTGGTCTTGGTTTCATCCAGACCAGTTTAAGTCCTGGTTTAGTTCTGGAGAATCCTCTTAGCACTTATCACCGTGTTCTGAAAGACACATATAAACGTATGTTACAGTCCGGACCAGGTCTGGGTCTGGACCAGGTCTGGACCGGGTCTGGGGCCCAATCCCAATACCCACACTGCACCCTACACACCTCTACGAAGTGTGCATTTGTCTGAAGTGCACGCAAGGGTTTGAGTGCGCAGGTTACAAGCGTGCAAAAAAGGCGTAATTGGGACATTGCACACTGAGTTTTCAGACCTAAACTTTATAAAAAATTAAAGGTATTTTTGTCAGTTAATTGTACTAAATGTAAAGTTTTAATTGAATGTTAAATGAACGCTAGCTTTAAAAAGTCATTAAATTGTTAAAATACAATGTCCGTAATTCTTCATCAGACGTTTATGCTTCTTTCCAAGTAACAAAGCAAAACTTATTTACACACATACAGCATATATATTGCAAAACTTATATTTAGATGCATTTTCCTGACGGTTTGGTTTGTACCGCAAAGAATTATGGGCAATATCCTTTGCCAGAGTGCGCATAGATGCAGGCTAGGGCGAATTGTGGATCAGGGGCGCAAAGGGGGCGGGCCCAAAGACGTCCCTTGAGGATTGGGACACCCTACTCACTCGCACCCATCATCGGGAACGCGCAAATGAGGGGCGCGAGGGTGGAAGTGCGAGTATTGGGACTGGGCCTGGGTTCACCTGCATCAACATGGCGACCGTCATAGGCCCCACCCCTCCTGGAACAGGTGTGAGGAATCCTGCTCTCTGATTGGCTGAGGCAAAATGGACGTCACCAACGACACGCTTCCCCCCGGGTCTGGAGGCGTCTGCAGGAACAAGAGTCTGAAGTCACAAGCTAACAGCTAACAGCTAACAGACAAGCTAACATCTAACTGATAAGGAATCTGACCAGCCAACCGCTAAATGATTCATAAATCAGGTAATACATTGTAAATCTGGGACTCTGAGGAGCACAGGGACATGCCACCTGCTGGGAGGGGCACAGGGACTGGCCTCCGGCTGGGAGGAGGTGTTGTACCTGGGATGTGGTTGATTCCACAGTCGATGACCACAGCTCCTTCTTTGATCCATTCTCCTCGGATCATCTCAGCTCGACCCATGCCCACCACCAGAACATCAGCCCTGCTCACCTGAACACACACAGGTACTGAGCGAGAGGAGTTTACTTCTACATGGAAGTCAGTAGGAGCCAGAGAGAGGAGCCAAACTTCACTATGAGCACTTCCCTGTTGGGCTTCATTGAACTTAAGAGTTAGTATTGTCCATGTGTATAGTAGGTAAGTAGTGTTATTTATCTGTTCATGTTTCCTCTCAGAGGGACTCTCACCTGCTCTGGCAGGTCCTGGATCTTGGTCCTGGGTCTCAGGGAGACACTCACCTCCTCTGGCAGGTCCTGGGTCCTGGAGTGACACACAGTTACTGTGGCGTGGCTCCACAGCAGCAGGTCATGCATCGGCGCTCCCACAATTTTACTGCGACCAATCACCACGGCCCGTTTCCCCGCTATGGACACGCCTACAGGAAGTGACCGAGTGAGAATAGTCATGTGTTTTTATAGATCTATGGAAGAGTCCTGCTCCACCCTGCGGCTGCTGCAGTTTATCACTATTGTTACACCTAAAAGTGTAACGTTTAAGTTTGGGATCAGGGTCAGGGTTTTTCGAGGCAGAGGCAGGATTTGGGGGTGGAGCCGGGCGGGGTCAGGGTCATACCTGTGGACTGGATCAGTTCCATACATCCCTGAGGAGTGCAGGGGAGGAAGCAGTCCCTGAGCTCACCACGAGAGAGTCTGCCAGCGTTTACACACGAGAGACTGAGGAGACACACACCACAGTTACACAACCACAGAGACTGGCACACACAGAGAGGAAACAGTCTCTAAAGCAGGTCTGGACCAGTTCTAAAGCAGGACTAAAGCAGGACCAAAGCAGGACCAAAGCAGGACCAAAGCAGTACTAAAGCAGGACTCAAGCAGGACCAAAGCAGGACTAAAGCAGACTGACCCGTCCACGTCCTTCAGAGGAGACACAGCGTTGGTGATCAGCTCCTGGTCGATGGGTTCCACTGAGTCCAGAGGCAACTGGACGATCACACCGTGGACTTCTGTGTCTGCGTTCAAGGAGAGGACACTTCTGAGGACCTAGAGGACAAGGAGACAAGTGAGGAGAGCCTCTACAGAGTTCTACAGCCTCAGTCCTGGATCCATTCCTGGATCTACAGTCTCAGTCCTGGATCTACAGCCTCAGTCCTGGATCTACAGCCTCGGTCCTGGATCTACAGCCTCGGTCCTGGATCTACAGCCTCAGTCCTGGATCTACAGCCTCAGTCCTGGGTCTACAGCCTCGGTCCTGGGTCTACAGCCTCAGTCCTGGATCTACAGCCTCAGTCCTGGATCTACAGCCTCGGCCCTGGGTCTATGGCCTCGGTCCTGGGTCGACAGCCTCAGTCCTGGGCCTACAGCCTCGGTCCTGGATCTACAGCCTCAGTCCTGGATCTTGTTGTATTTATAACTAAGAGACATTCTAAAACCATGTGTTTTAGAATGTCTATCGACCCCTGAGTGGCAGGCCAGTCCTTTTAAGTTAATTTTAGGGGTCTTCTTGGACCTGCTAAATGACAGATGGGTTCTTCTGTTTGGATTTTGGCTGACTGTTGCATTATTAAACCCACTCCATCAGGAGTGGGATGACACTGGAGCCTGCTAGTCTACCACTTGTTTAGACCACAGAGATGGATCTCAGACTAAGAGACAGCTGGACCAGAGACGTTAGGCTAGAGAGGCAATGGATTCTTTTTCAGATGCAGACGGGAGAAGACAGATGGAGGGAGGCGGACCACGGGACCCCGGAAGCTGGCTGATACCACGCCCCTTCTTCCTGCACATTTTACTTAAGGAAATAGCTTGAATGTGTGAGTTAGAGTTTTTTTAGACTGGATCAGGGACAGCAGTGTGAGTTTGCGTGGAGCGCCCACCAAAATCATACTTTATACTTTATATAGGGAATAAGGGATAGTTAAAGTTGGTCCAGGTCGTTGTGTTAGATTCTTTTTGTATTAGGGAAATAAACCTTTTTGAATTTAACTTTCTGAATCATGGTCATCTTTATAAGGGATTTTGAACACGTCATTTTTTAATATAATAATTGGTGACCCTCGACGTGATCCCTTTTGATGACTTTCAACCTATCCCTGGACTCTACATCTCTCCTCAAAGCGGCCGCTGATTTGAAGGTAAGCAGATACCTTTTGACTAATTAAAAATCTGCATATTGGACTACACAAATTAAGGGGAGAGGAGTTTTGTCCACGGAGGAGCTAATTCAAAAAGTAAAAATAGTAAAAGCCTAAAAAGTAGTGAGAGCCTTGCGAAAATACGTTAAAATTAAATAAAATAGGAGTCTAAGTAGCTAGAACCCTGCGAGAATACATTAAAAGTAAAGATTTTTTGAGAAGCCTTGCCAGAAACAGGAAAGCCCGCTGTGACTAGCGTGGTTGACGGACGCGTCAACACACAAGTTAGGTTTACACCATTGGAACCTGGGGGAATTTTGGGCCCCCCCGAAAAATGGAGACAGGCATTCCAATCGAGCAGCTCTATAGAGAAATAGAGGCTCAGATTCTGAGTGGTCTGGATAAAAAATATAGGAACAAGGCAAAACGAAAGGCTGTGAAAGCATGGGAAAAAATACAGAACAAAAGGGTCATACCTGAGTATATGACAGCGTCCGCATTAGCTAGGATATTGCGGGAAGAGGAAAATAATCTAAAACAGGATTTAAAAGAGCTTGAGGGAAAGCAGGGAAAGAGTTGGAATGAGTGTAGAAAAATTAAAAAGAAACTAAAAAAGGCTGAGAAACTGAGGACCAATGTACATAATTTTGCTTTGGCTGCCACGGCGTTGGCAAAATTACCTATGGTAAGTAAAGACAAGGAAACAGAAAACGGAGCAATGCCGGTGAGTAATATATACCCATCCCTACCCACGGCTCCACCAAAGTACTCTCTAGGTTTAGAACCAGGTAAGCCAAATCTAATATTGCCACAATATACATTTTCAGGAGAAGTGGCGGTAGGAAAGAGAGGGGACAATGACTTTGTAGACAGTGAATTGGACGAAGGGACAGAACAGGAGTCTGTGGGGGACAATAGAGATCCGAGTCAAAATCCAGCTGTCAGCCTCCCGCCACAGCTCCCACACACCCCTCACCAACCCCCACCCATTCAAGAGGTGCAGGAGCTTCTCCTGCACTCTCTCAGAAATATTAGAGCTAGGAAACCGACCTCTGAATGCACCGCAGACAGAGTTGAGGGAGAAGAAACCCCAAGTAGGACCCATGATTACGAGACCGCTAGACAGGAGAATGCAAAATTAATTAATAAAGCCGCACGCAGAGCCATGACTAGGACGGACAGTGAGAGTGACAAGGGAGACGGTAAAGCTAAACAGGCTAAAAAAGGAGCTAAATTCTCTTCTGACGATAGTAGTGATGACGGAGACCAGGAGCCTGGAGAAACTAGACCGGTGGCAAGCAGAACCAGGTCTCAGACAAAATCCATGTTCCCTCTGAGACCAGGACGAGGCGCAGCTGGGGAGTACCATCCTTTTTCTGTAAGTGACATGCAGACTATAAAAGACAAAATGCCTCCATTGTGTCAAGGAGCTGGAAACTGGATTTCCAGTCTCAACACATGGTTTACAGGTCATGATGTGGCGATGGGTGACGTCCGGGCAGTGATGGCAGCATGCAGTAAACCATGGGAGAGAGACGCTATTGAAAGACAAGCTGGTACTGCTGATGTTTGTGATTCTTCCAGATTTGGCCAGTATGCAAATGCCTGGTACGAAGCACTGAGGGAAAACTTTCCAACCCCGCTGTCTTCTGCCCCTCGTGAGTTAACTTGGCTGGAGTCTGAGGACCCAATTGTATTTTATGACAGGAGTGTGACCAAGTGGATGGACACAGTAGGAAGACACCCTCACAAGGTCAGTGAAGTCATGCCGTTTAGAACAGCTATTTTGAATGGTTTACCAGAAACAATACGCTCAAAGATTGAAGACAACCCAGATAATATTAACCCGGATTCAGCACAATGGAAAACAAATTTAATCTTTCACATTAAGCGATATGTTGAAAATAAAACTAAAGAAAGAAAGAGTGTTGAAGATATGACTTGTCAACTTTTGAAGTTACAGCTTAGTGAAGCGAGAAATAAAGCCACCCAGAATAAAAAAGTAACGAGTAATCAGATGACTAATATGCCTGCTGGACTTCCCACTCCACCACGACAGGACTGGACAAGGGGAGGGGCCAGAGGTGGTGGGCGTGGGGGCCGGGGAGGAAGAAGGGGTGGAAGCTGGAAAGGGGGCAGGGATGTGTGTCACCTCTGTTACAGGCACGGTCACTGGGCGAGGGACTGCCCCTTTGAAGGAGAGGCCTCCTACTACCATGGAGCGCCTGAGATGGTGCGTGGGAGGGGCCCCCAGAGAGGAATGGGACCCAGACCAGAGCGCGCAGGCCCTCCCTCCCCATGGACGGCTCCGAATGACAACCTGGCCCCGAGAGATGGACAATATTTCCAGCATGGGAACTACTGGGGCGAGTATGAACATGAACAATCTTACTAGGGCTGCCTAGGAAATCCAGGGGACAAGGTACCAGCAGAGCCTATGCTCCCCATAAGGGTGGAGGACGACAACCTGATGGCCCTGGTGGACACTGGCGCCACCTACTCTACCATCAATACAAAGATACGCCCTGTCCTGCTCTCTGAGGAGCACATCACCCTGGTTGGATTTTCTGGGACACCTGAGGTACTGCCACTCACTAAACGTTTAAAGACACAAATTGGAACACAGACACTGTGGCATTCTTTTGTAAATGCTCCTAAAACACCTGTCAACCTGCTGGGAAGAGACTTATTGACTAAAACCAATGCGTCAATTCTATGTGGACCGGATGGTCTACAAGTGACTTTTCCAGGGGGACAAATTTACAGATGTGTGACCGGTGTATCGATGGACTCCTGCTGGCTTCTGAGAGAAGAGATGCCAGACCAGTATGCAGACATATACTGGGTGAGACTGGACCCAGAAAACAAGTCCACGGACAATAATGGTGTGCATTCCGTCTTCTTCAAGTGGAAACCCTGGATAAATTCTTTGGCCTCCTACCACCTCCCACTGGACCCTGCCCACTTGACATTATTCTATGACAGAGACCAAGACTTAATGTACAGAGAACAATTCAAACAAATTGAAAGTGATAGGTGGACATTAGAATCAGATTACATTTATATTGGGCCTGAGGGTGTGGCGGCCCATACACGGCTGCTTCCTGAACAGTGTGAGTGGTATTACATGTCTTCCTCTGCTGTCCCACACATCACCTTGGCTGTACACCCTGGTCACGAGGCTAGAGCTTTAGGTCCAATGGTAAAGAGACTGGTAAAAGCTGACGATTGGTCTGACACCCAACTCCCTCATGTAGAGTACAGCATTGAAAATAAGTCATACAGAATAAAAGCAAATATGATAGACACAGGGGAAGTGGAGCACGAAACATTGACCAGACATCATGGTAGACACATGACAGATCATGATGATACTCATGAAATATTGAAACAGGTGCCTGCAGAAGTTTGGTCCCAAGGTCCCACGGACGTGGGATTGTGCACCTCTTTCCCTCCTGTGTCTTTACAGATGAAGCCAGGAGGCCCGATTCGCATAAAGCAGTATGCCGCCAAACCAGACGCTGTCGAGGGCATCTCACAGGTGATAGAGGGACTTACGAAAGTGGGAGTCCTCGAGCCATCAAAATCAGAGTGGAACACGCCCACTCTAGCTGTGCCAAAAACAGGTCAGAATAAATATAGAATGGTCCATGATTTGAGAAAAATAAATGATTTAACATTAACTCAGTGTCTCCCAGTCCCAAACCCTTATACAATGCTGTCATCACTGTCACCAGACCTCCAGTATTTTACTGTTATGGATTTGGCTAATGCATTTTTCTGTATTCCCCTGGCAGAGGAAAGCAGAGATTTCTTCTCATTTACTCACAGGGGCCAAAAACTGCGTTACACCCGTCTTCCCCAGGGACATAAATGCTCCCCGGGCATTTTTAATCAGACTTTGAACGC